GGTACAGACAGACAGTCACTTGAGAATGGGCGCACAATCGGTCTGATACGACCTGCAAGATAGGTTGGGCAAAACACATCACATTCCCTCACCTTTGTCACATCAACCTCGGGAGCGCTAACTTTTGTGTGAAGATATCTAAGAATAGCTGTGGGAGGTACGAAGTACGAGGTCGCAGCGCTTCGTTTCCGACTTCTGTCTGAGAAGAAAGTGCAGAAAGAAACAAAGATTTACTTCATGTTATTCTTACTTCCTGGGGGCTGTTGCCAGTTCGACAACCAGGAGCGGGCACCAAAAAGAAGAAAAAGAAAAAAAAATCAACCTGTTCATGTTCTCTTTTCAGAAAAAGCATCAATAGCTAAAGCACTGGCGACATCTCTGCCTGGCGGCGTGCTGTCTCTCATCATCTCATGGCGTTGCTTTTTGAGAACTCAGCCCTTGCTCTCAGTTTAATTGCGACTTTGTCGCTCTCTTGTCTTGTCGTATCTCGACGCATATCGAGCGGCGCTCCTTGCATTCGTCGCATAACGAAGGAGGAACTATTTGTGATTCAATGGCCCGCATCGAATCGATTTAATAAAGAACGTGGCTGATGGGCTTTTTGCGATACAGATGGACTCCAGCACGAGACCCCAAACACGAGGTTTGACTCTTCACCAACGAAGCCGTTATAGCCCCCACCCCCATCCCCCATCACTCATCACCCCAACCTCTCTTGCTTCTAGTTCGGCAGTTTGTCTTCACAATTTGCTGCTTCCTGTATGTACGAAGTACACCAACAATGAGAGATGACGCTGGGCTGGGGGCACAGGCCATGAGCTATCAATAGATCAGGGTTGATGTCCAGCCGTCGTCAACTATCCCGCCCAGCACTTTCATGCTGGAACATCAAAGTACGGATTCTATAGATTGTGCTCACCTGCCCTCCAACGCCTTACCAAACGCCTCACCCAAAGTTGATGCCTGAGGTGAGCCGAGAGCCAATTTTAATTCTCCGCCACACGAAACGGCAGGAACAGGGAAAACCAGCACACGCCGCAGTACTTTCGTATCACAGCACCTTGAGCGCACCTTCAAAACCCTGTCTCTCCCAGCACGTCAATTCCGCCAACATGTTCTCCCACGTTACCCCAAAGTTCTCCTTCCCTTGCTTAGTTCGTGATGTCACTTCCCATTCTCCATTTCTAGACATCGGAAGTTGTTGCTAGACCTGACCGTTTTGCTCGCCACCCAACTTCACGGCGATCTTGGGGGGCAGAGCTCGTCCTCCCCTGACGGTCTCTAGACCTTCGGTCCCGGTATCTTGTGCGCCAGCTTGTATCTGATGTGTGTACTATCCGAAGCGGCGCCAGACCTTGTCCGGGCTACCGTTGGTGGGCGATGGAAGATGTCGAACTCCTAGCGTTAGTTGGAACCTTAAACTTTCGAGTTACTCCGCAGGGCCAATCTAGGGGGTAAGGCTCTCGACGCCCAGCATGTCACTATAGGGAAATTATCTGAGAATTTAGGGAGACGATCGCCGATGGTCTTACTCCTCAGGGTGGTGAAGATGTATTGCCATCAAAAACGGCCGGTGCACGAGTCAAGATGATTTGTCAATGGTCCTAAACCCTGAAGACATGCCTCGTATGGTAGCCACGAGGAAAGGATACACTTCACACAAGTAGAATAATGAATAGTAATCTACATCCTCAGAACCCATAGCTAGAACCTTAAAAGGAAAGCTTACCATCAAGGTGTTTAGGATCACGATAACCTGTTCCTTGTCGCAGCTGCTTCTTCATCCACCATCCTATTCGGTACCTAGATAGCTACGGCCGAACCCCGAGAGTCATGTACGGCTGGCTTGGGCTTCTTGGCCATGATAACCGCTTGACCAAACTTGGTGAACACCCTGATTTCCGTCAACTCCAAGCCAGCACGCTCCAGCAGATGGCGATAATCGGCGCCGGACCGACCTTTAGCATCGTGGCACGCACGTGCGGCGAGGGCTGCCGCAGGAGTCCACAGATCCGGTTCTGGCAGGTTGCCCTTGGTCTCCCACCTGTGCCCTTGCACGTAGTCAACAATCATCAGCAAGCTGTCGGGGGACATGGATTTAGACTGGGATGCGAGGATGCGCACACAGTCGTCGTCAGCCCAGTTGAGAAGGACAAACTGGATGAAGTATGCCCGCGCCCCTTTGACTGGCTGCTCAGTGAAGAAGTCGTACACCATGGTCTCAACACCGGCCTCGCGGGCCTTTTCCGCCTTCTCGACGACAGCGGCGCGATCCTGCATGATGATCCTGCCGCCGAGCTTGTGGACCTTCTGCACCTCGATGGACTGCGAGCCGTCGCCGCCGCCGACATCGACGAAGACCACCTCGTTCTCATGCGCATTATATGCAATTTCCTCGTCAAAGTGCACCACGTCGACCCATTTCGCCGTGACAGCGTGGACCGCGGCCATGTACCCATAAAAGCTCGCATGCCTCTCAGGACGTGATTCAAGCCAGTCGTAAAAGCTATCTGTGGTGTTGTGGGCGACCTGGAAGGCCGTCCTCTTGCCGCTTCCGTCAGGCCTCTTGGCACCGCTGGTAAGGACCTGATGGAGCGAGCCATAAGCAGGTCCGACTATGTCGTGCCAGCAGGTGAGGGTTGTCATGACCTTGGGGTCCAGCAGGTTGTGAGTGAGCTTTGTGGGCGCGTAATATCCCTGCTGAGGTTCGACGGCGGAGCCGTGGTAGCAGTGATAGTCCATAATGGCGCTGACGAGGCTCTTATCCAGGTTGCTCGCCTTCATGAGGTCAGCAAGCGCAATGGGGCAGGCGTCGTCACCCTTGGTCAAGGCGGTCAACAGGCCGAACTCATTGCTGAGGCGGGCTACGACGAGAGGAAGGTTCGCGAACATGATGCGTTGCATCGACTCTTGTGGCGTCTCCAAGGCCACTGACACCTGACGAGTGAGGCGTTGAATCTCTGAACGGTACAACTCGTCATGGCTCAGAATTTCCGGGTGCTTGATCAGCAGCTTGAGCTGGTCGATGAGATATGTCGTATCTCCTATCACTAAGCCCATGACGCGAAGTTTTGTTTGTGGCTCCGCACAAACGGAAGCTGTAATACTGGTTGGGCAAGGGGACAAGAAAGAAGCTTAGGATGTGCAACGGTCCTGTGATTGGATCAAGGTTTCAGTTGTGAAGAAGCACTAAACGGGATGGCGCAAAGAATAACCCTATAGAATAGCCGGTAGGAGAATTCCTGTCTTTCCAACTATGTATTCACTCATATAGGCACCAGGCTGCTGTGGCAGAGGCAAGGTCTATAATAATGAAAGAAGCCCCTACTCAGGGTATGCTCGACTAGAGGCGGTTCATGTTGAACTTGCAACACTATTGTGAACCAGACAGCATTATCGCCCTCTATTTTACCGATAGTACCGATGGTATCGATAACATGTCTACTCCTTGGCAGGATTCAGGACCGGTCGGACCGGAGCATCGGAGCATGAACCGGAGTGCCGACCGGAACGCCCGCCGAGGTGACCGCCGAGACGTGCGCAGGAGAGGTGAGCGACGATACTTGGCTCACAAGTGGCGATTGAATGGATAGAAAAAATTGTACTGGCAGTGCCAAAATGGTCAGCCATTGAAGAATGTTCGGGCAAGGACACTCCTGAGTTTAAGGACCTGCTCACGGCGGCGTACGTTGGTGACAAACCGATTCGCCTATAGTTGTATTCGAATTTGTATTTTCATATCTTTGGTTCAGAGGTCAAGGAGGCCCATTAAGACCCCCCTCCTTTGGGGGCGCTGGATGGGTCGAGCTGAACCATCCAGAGTTGCTGTCGTGTTCAACCTCGTCTCTCGGAATACCATCAACCAGCAACAGCCTCACAGTAGTTTCAAGCCCATCACCCAGGACGTCAAGACAGGTAATCCATGCCAAGTCACCATACAACTTCCTTTTCATCTAGTCCATCCAGCATGTTGTCGCTCAAAGACGCATTATTTCACGAGGGCACCCCTGCAGTGGAAACTGCCCCTCCCCTCACCGAGAATTATCTTATACAGATATTCCGAGGGCCTTTCGACACCCCAAGGCAGGGACTTCATGTCCTCCGAGCTCACCAGCAGCTTCGATAAAGGCTATGCCTTCATGGGGAAAATCCTCACAGGAGAAAGCCCCAAAGAGACAGGATCTGCTCTGTGGAGGTGGCAATTATGGCCTTTAACGGTCTATAGGGTAATTCTAAAACATCCGCAGACATACCCTCTCCCGCTACTCTCTTACATCAGACTCGCAGATATCACATAAACGGCAGTCAAGTTGGCCCTGTGGCTTGGGAATTAGAGCCCTTGGTCCTCTCTCTGTCCGTCCTCTTGCAACACCAGGCTCAAAACGCGTCTGATGTTGATCTTTCTTTTCCTACTGATCCGCCTCTCCTAGAACAGCAGCTTGGCAAGCTGCAAGTCGGCGAATTTGCTCCCACGATGAAATTAGCATGTGGGGAGTGCAACTCTGTCTACAACCAAAGCATATATGAGTGCTTATAAAGTAGCATGTTTGTGTTATTCTGTTAGGCAACCTACGCGTAAGGATGGTTGTGCCCTAAAACGTAGCTTCATCTTTCGTTTACTATTGCTACCTCCCGCAAACACCGACAGCTCTGTTAAGGAAAACTAGTTTCAATGGTGTACTAGATCTACAGTTTACTATTAATGCTGCTACTCACTAGAAGTTCGCCCAAGATGCTTAATCCCACGTCATTTTCTTATGACGAAGAGGCAGCGAGCCCTTGACAGCCGCCCTTTTGTTAATTTTCTCTTAAGAGCCTAGGCTCCTCATGAGCTCTTTGAACGGAATAAAGGTTGTAGTTAAGGACTAGGTTTTACTTGTACTATATCCAGATATATGGACCATGCTTTTGATGTAAAGAGTAAATAGATAATTCCTATATAATAACACCCAAACCCCCGAGGGGAAAGACCGCCCGAATCTCACACTAACACTTCAATGTTAATCCCAGTCCCCATCCAAGACAATCTCCCTGCCTGTTTCCTTGGCCTTCAGGATTTCATCAATGGTCCACGGCTGGTATACATGTCCAGGAGGGACATTAGTATTGAGAAATTCACTCCCACTCGTCAGGTGCCTTAACGCCTTCTCGTAGTTTTCGATTGCATAATGCTCTGGATCGTGTTTCCAAATCCAGCTGCCAAGTATGCCGATGGGCTTCGTCTGTGAAGCATCCGCATTGGCAGAGCGATTGCGCATCTCATGGTTGAGGACGCCCAGCATTTGCAGACAGGATACCCGCTCAAACCTGTAACAAAAGAGAGGACGTTAGATTACATTTATAACTTCTCAGACTGAGGGTGGCCAACCTCAGTTTGTTATGAACACGGGTTGCCCAGGGCACATTGTCTTTCCCAGCAAGTCGCAAGCAAGCTGCCAGAGAGACGGCGTCTTCCATACCCTGCGTGGCACCGTTCCCGGAGGATGGAAGAAAACTGTGCGCCGCATCACCGATCTGCACAACTCGGCCGCCTGGGGAAACCCAGCAAGGTTGAGGCTCACGCCACATGAGTTTGAAGTCGTGGATCTGATCCTTGGCTGTTGCCTTGATCAATCGATCCGCGAAGTCGGGCCAACCGTCAATCGTGGCCGTGGTTTGAAGCACGACCTCGGGTCCAACCTTGTTAGACCAGGACTCAATGCTACTTCCACGGTTCTAGCGGAACATTAGTGATTTATATGTTTGGCAAGGGAGATGTTATTGAACAATACCGGGTATGTGAGGTACCATATCATATCATGTTTTGTTCTCCCAAAAAGCGCGTACACGTCTTCTCTAGAGTGCTATCAGCAAAGAGGTCTGAGAAAGGTGGTAATAAGACCTGGTAGAACGAACCCCATCCAGAGTTGGGTGGAGGACATCCCATTCTCTAACAGAGGGAACTTCTCATCGATAACGGGATCTACAAGAGCCTGATCGATAGGCAGCAACGCTCGATAGATTGAAAACCCTGTGGGGCGGGCCGGGACTTGACGGCCCAAAGTGATACTATAAGACTTGCTGCCAATTCCGTCAGCTGCGACAACCAAGTCCGCCTCGATCTTTTCGTTATTTTCCAAAATCACATAAGCCTTGGAAGAATCAGGGTCCTCTTGGTATTGAGTAACGTGTTTGCCGTATTCCACCGTGAGTCCAACTCTCTCAACCTGATCGGCGAGCATCTTGTGCATGGTCGGACGACTGTGTCTATATATCTTGGCGGTTTGCAGAGTATTTGGACCTTCAGGGCCATCTTTCTTTTGAGCATTGGGACGGAAAGGAGCCGGACCGGAAATCAGGTCCCCATTGATTTTATGCCATGAAATCCACATCTCGTATGAAATGCGGTCGTTCTCCTTGGCCATGTCTGGCCACCGCTGCAAAGCGCGGACCGCGCTGGTTCCTATAGTGAGTACATCACCTGCAGAGAATTTTATCATTAGTTACGACGACGGTAGGTCGACTTTCTCAGGACAGCAGTTAACTGGCATGATGGATGATTTACCTGATAGAACCCGGGAGGAGCTTTTTTCAAGAATCCGTACCTCGTGGCCCTGACGCCAGCACTCGAGACCGGCCAGTAAGCCGGCTACTCCTCCGCCAACAATCAAAACAGCGATTCCAGTTGGTGATGATCTCTCAGGCAGTGTGCCAGATGAGCCGTTTGTGTGCGGCAGATGCGCAGAGTCGGGTTGTTTCAGCTCGATGCCCATCACGGATTAATTTGGTTAATGAGACAGGTAGGAATGATACGAAGTGTGGTTGGCAATCTCTTGGAGTCTACGCATGTTTTCCCCCTTTAATGTTTCAATGTTACGGCACAAATCTATGCGAATCGTCCGAGGTCAGCCAAATTTCTTCGGGACGGTGATGTCAAACACAGACAAGGAGGTGCTTCAGCCCATTCCATAATCCGTTTCTCTTCTGAACTCTCCGCGCTGCTAGATTCCGACCACTGCAGAGTCCATCCGTTATCTCGGAGTCGGAATCGGAGTCGGTGGAGGTGTCGGTGCAACATGGGTCGAGGATTGAGTCCTCGGCAGGTCAGATCGGGAGTTCGGCGCCGATAGCCTTCTGATCTCCGATGCTTATCCATGGGTTAGCCAGGGTTACCAAGTGCTTATACCGCGCTGATCTCTTGGCGCAGTAAGGTATCGAGCGACACGCCTGTCTCTCACAGCCGGGTATTGGTGCTCTGAGCGCAAACCAATCCGATCCTGGCGATCTTCCATGCCACAAGTACACAGGTACTACTTCGTAAACCCCCTTCTATTTCGAGGTCTGCCAGCAGGTGAAAGCTGTTGACGGACGGATGGATGCGCAATCGGAAATAACGCATGCGCTCGTTCTGTCGGATATGATAGGATGTTGAGCCAGATTAAATAATTGTCAAATCCTTCCTCCGGCCGAATTGAGCGTGGGCTTGATATGCAGCGCTAAGACGGAGAGTATATTACTGTCACATTAAATAGAGACGGAAATGGGATTTCTTAGCTGCTTCTGATTGGGGAAAATCACTGTCGAGAACCGTCTCTATCCTCCTTCCCAGAATTCCTCCGTTTCCAATTCAGGTTCCGCTGGAATTACGGTTCAACAAGGACACACTCTACGGTCCTGGGGAGTCCGCAAGATGAGGCGGTAATCGTATTAGTACTGAGACTGAGACCCTTGCTTTGCCATTCAAGGGCTTCGCATGTCGGCGAAATGTGCCGCGAAGAGTCTGGAGATGATCATTAGCCATGAATGTGATGCTAGGCACTCCGAGAGCGATGCAATAACTCAATCTCGCAAAGGTGCTCCAAGAGACAAAACGTACACTCTGGGACTGGATGGACCTGGATCCTTGCCGAGGTGGAAATTAGCTACATGCATCCTTGTGTTTATCCACTTGGCGGCGTTTTTAGCGCAGGACAACCAACACTCTCCAAAGGCGCCGCCTCCTCAGATCTCGCCCTATCCGGGCCGGCCCGCAAAACCGCTTGATTCGGCCTTTGGGGCAACGGACTTAAGGATTTAGGGCTCGCGCCAACCCCCTTTGGGGGCCAAGGACTTAAGGATGTAGGGCGCGAACCCGCTTGATTCGGCCTTTGGGGGCCAAGGACTTAAGGGTGTAGGGCGCGAACCCCGATCCTCGTGTCAGATTTGGTCGTCCTCTCAGCTTCTTGAAGTGAGATGGACGTCTTCTTATCACAGGCCGCACTCCCAAGTCATGATTGACCAGCACCAGTCGCATCGCACCCATTTCACTTTTCTGAGGCACACAGAGCCTCATCTCAAGCCCTCCCTCCCCGAATGAATTGAGCTAGACGACATCCGCCATGTCTCCATCAACGGCTTCCCACGATCTCAAGTCCAAAAAGGACAAGTTGGATGTTGAGTTTAACGAACAATCCACGGCGACATCTTCGACTGTCGAGGTAGAGACCGAGAAGAAGCGAGATACTGGTACCGATGAAGAAGTTGCCGTTGCAGAATCTGTGCCGCAGGATTCCGGCGACTACCCATCAGGTCTCAAGCTCACATTCATCGTGGTTGCGCTTGTACTCAGTGTCTTTCTCTTTTCTCTGGATCAGGTAAGTTTAATTATTACCGGCTTGCAGTTCTCCCGTGGTCATGTCCTAATGCTGACTCTCAATCCAGACCATCGTTGCAACCGCCATTCCAAGGATTACTGACGAGTTCAAAAGCATCGACGACATCTCGTGGTATGGTTCGTCCTTCTTCATGACACTTGGGGGATTCCAATCTATGTGGGGGAAAGTGTACAAATATTTCCCCCTTAAGATCAGCTTCCTGATGGCCATTTTCATCTTTGAACTTGGGAGCTTGATCTGCGGTGTCGCTCCAAACTCTCCCGCCCTGATTGTTGGGCGTGCTATTGCTGGCGTTGGCGCCGCGGGCGTCGGGTCCGGAGCGTACACAATTATTGCTTTCGCTGCTGAGCCCAAGAAGAGAGCCACCTTAACCGGGGTTATTGGCGCCTCATATGGCCTCGCCGCTGTTACTGGGCCACTCATTGGCGGAGCGTTTACGAATACGGTCTCCTGGCGGTGGTAAGTCGTGGAATCTTCCATGTTCTTTTTTTGTTTTATTCCTACTTGTGCTCTTCTTGCCTAACCCTTGGCGCTTAGGTGTTTCTATATCAATCTCCCGATCGGTGGTCTCGCCGCTTCCATCATCTTACTTTCCTTCAAAGCTCCTCCGGCGGCGAAACCGGCTGAGGCTACGCTCCGGGAGAAGTTTCTGCAAATGGACCCCCTGGGGACCGCGCTCATTATGGGCGCCGTCATATCCTTCCTCGTTGGTCTTCATTACGCTGGTTTAGGGAAGCCGTGGAATTCCAGCACCGTCATCGGCTTACTCGTCGGCTGTGGTCTCATGGCCATTGCCTTTGGGTTTCTCGAGTCCGTCCAAGGCGAACGCGCGATGTTGACACCGCGTCTTATGCGCATGAGAAACGTCTGGGTCAACGGCATATACGGGGCCTTCTTCGCTGGTTCGTACTTCGTTCCGTTGTACTATCTACCCATTTACTTCCAGAGCATCGACAACGCGACGCCCATTGGCTCAGGTGTGCGCAATTTGCCGCTCATCATTGCCTTTACAATTGCCACCATTGGCTCGGGTGGAAGCATCTCGAAGACGGGCATTGCAACCCCCATACTGCCAGTCGGCTCTGCTATCGCCACCATCGCGGCCGGTCTTCTCTATACTCTCGACATCGGGACTGGGGCAGGCAAATGGATTGGCTACCAGATTCTTGCCGGCTTTGGATACGGCCTGTCGTTCCAAGTCCCGATCATCGTGAGCCAGGGAACTGCTGACCCTAGCGACTTGGCTTCTGTGACAGCTATTATCCTATGTGAGTGCTCGTCAATCCTCTTTATCCCCCGTCATCCCGGGCTATCGTCTAACGATATCACCTCGTACCAGTCTTCCAAACCATCGGCGGTGCAGCTCTGATTGGGGCCGCGCAATCCGGCTTCGTCAACCAGCTCTTGAACAAGCTTCCCAGCACCGCGCCGGGCGTCAATCCCGCTCTAGTCGTGGCCGCTGGCGCCACTGAGCTGCGCGAGGTATTTTCGGCAGACGATCTGGATGGTATCCTTGTTGCGTACATGGCAGGTATCAAGGTTGCTTTTGCAATTACTATCGGGGCCGTGGGCTTCTCGTTCCCAATAAGCTTGCTTAGCAAGTGGAAGAGAATCTCAACAGCAGCTTAGGCCACCGAAAAACAAAAGCAACACTTGAAGGTTTCCACGGCTAGAAAGGGCGTCACACTTAAAAAAAAAAAAAAAAAAAAAAAAAAAAAAAAAAGGGAATATATAAGTTCGAGTACTAAGGTACCCCCTTTCCAGCATCCCATCTCAAATCCACATCTCTCCAATCCAACCCGCATACTAAGAACACATATCCCAGTCTACTTTTAAGCTTCTAGAATACAAGAACATGTTTCACTGGTGATTTCGGGATCGCTGGGTTCATCTACATTATTACTTCTTCCTTCCACTTCCATTTGAGTCTTCTGAATTTCTTCGATATTTGCGAACTTTGAATTTGGGCTCAATTCAACCTTCTTCCTTTTAGTTGGCCTTACAGCCTCAAGCTGCTGTTCTAGTAACCTAATCCTCTGCTGAGCGGGAGCCAGCTCGAATGTGTTCTCTTCAAAGGCTTTCTGAGCTTTTTGAAAGAGAAGCCGCTGTGTGGTAGTATCGTGATGGGGGAAAAGGTGACTACAGTGAAAAGGTGTAAACAGGTACCTCTCCTTAGTTCAGTAGTGTCGGGGATGGTATAAGTTGTATTGGAAGCCAAGGGGAGCAGAGAACTGTTATTCCATATCACAGGACCTAGCATCACTATTTCTTTTCCTTCCGGGAACACAACAAGTTCAAAAAGTCTCATTATCATAGTTATCTTTATCGTGATACATTTACAGCTTAATACCTACTGAGATCGAAGGCCGTCAAGAAGTATTACCTCGAACCTGACCCCTTCCGCAATACTGGCGATACGAAGACTTCGTCATGGCCAGTAAACGTCGCCACTACTCCCTTCGGCATCCCCATGGCCGTCGCTCTCCGCATCCACTCGGCCGTCGGCAAGACTTTAATGTGGCCGCCGAGCTTTTTCTCATACATGCCCGCCAGGTCCGACAGCCAGTACTCGTTACTGCTGCAATAGTTGTGCACGGCAAAACCCTTCTGGGGATCGTGCCCATATGCGTTTGCCAAAAACTCGGGCACGACATCACTGACCTCGATGATATCCAGTTGTCCTACCCACTGCTGCGGATCCAACGCCGGCACGGCTCGCATCCGGGTGCAGAAGCGGTCCAGCGCAACTAGCGGGATCTCATCGGGAGCATCGGGCCCCATGATGTTGGGGAAGCGGTGCACAACCGCAGGCGGCGCGGCGTGTTCTAGCAGCATCTCGCCCATCCACTTACTGGCAGCGTAGCCTATGGCATTCTTCATCAGGGACTCGGCATCGGTCGGAGGGGAGATGGCTGACGGGGGTATCTCGGGCAGCTCATGGGTCCCCTTCTGCAGCATGGCGACCGATGATGACGATACGAAATGGACGGGGACACCGCGCGGCGTGGCCATGGCGAGGAGAACTTGTGTCGAGACAACATTGGCGGTGCGTACAGCCTCGTACGACTTGAGATGGTTGACCTCGGCGCCCAAGTGGATGATCAAGTCGGCAGTCTGGCTGAGGCGGATGAAGTCGTCGTTAGAAAGCCCCAACAGGGGCTTCATCAGGTCGCCTTTGTACTCTCGAATCCTGGGGTCCCGGACGCGAACACGGCGTGAGCGAATGCAGAGACAGTGCAGCTCAGCAACGTTGTCATCTGCGACCAGGTTGCGAAGCATGTGCGTACCCAAGAAGCCTGTGCACCCTGTGAGAACGATGCGCCGTGCACTTCTCCGAGGCGCATCCTTGACCGACTCGGCTCCTTGCGGGATAAGAGCAGGGATTCCGTCAATAAGTCCGGTCAATTCCTTTGTCCAGTCCATCTCTGGGTCCTGACGAGCTGTGCCGGAAGAGGATGTTGCCGCCGCCATATCGGACCCTGCCTGAAGCCTTCGCCAGCCTGTCAGAGCGTCCTCACACAGTCGAGATACAGTGTGGTTCGTGGACATAATTTTCAGGATGGGTACGTCGACGCCGAGCTCCTTCAGGAACCACTCACGAATCCGGACCGAGACGAGGGAGTCGACTCCAAGGTTGACTGCAGGAACATCGCCCGATATTTGCGCTGGGTCGAGCTGGAGCATGTTGCCCAAAGCCTGGGAAAAGCACTTCTCCAAGACTGTCAGCCCGTCTTTGGGATCCTCCACCGCCGCCAGCTGAACCTCGACTTTAACGTTCCCGTTGACCTCCTCTGGTCCACCGCCGCTCTCTCGAACTCCTTCTTGGACGAGATAGCACGAAAGCCGCGGGTCTTGGTGCCATGCCTCTTGGAAGGACGTCCTTATACCTGTGATTAGCTCGGGTGGCTGGTCTGAGTTGGGTCGTCCGCACACAATGGCCTCGGCCAGCATCTCGCACAGATCTGTCTCGGATTGTCTATCCAGCCGTGGCAGAAGTGACTTTTCAATCGTCGCGAGGTGTTCCTTGTCTGAACGATGGAAGATGTAGCCCAGCCCCGTCAGGAACCCAATGACGATGACAGAACCCGCCAGGCCACGACTGCGACGCTGGCGCACCAGGCTGGCCGCGAAGTGGTTCGCAGCACTGTAGGCGGATTGGCCGATAATGCCGACCAGCGAAGTCGCCGACGAGAGGACGATGAAGAAGTCCAGAGTCTCATCCTCTTCACCGTCGCCAAAGAGTTCATCAATATTCTGAGTTCCCACAACCTTGGGCGCCAGCACGGCCTCAAAGTCGGGCCAGGACATGTCGACAAAGAGACGGTCCCGAAGCACCATCGCACCATTGATGACGCCGCCGACCGGCGGCATGCTGGACTTGATGTCGGCATAAAAGGTTCTCAGAGCATCTCTGTTCGTAATGTCAACGGCCATGACACGCAGGTCTGCCCCCTTTTGCGACATATGCTCAACCACACTGGCTGGCACACTGGGCTTACGGCTGGCCAGGACGACGCTCCGAGCTCCGTGATCCACCATCCATAGAGCAATTGAAATGCCTACATCTCCCGTCATGCCGAAGAGAAGATATGTCTTGTTAGCGGCAAAGAGCCCGTTGTGCTCGACAGGATGGACCACGGTGGTGACTTTGTCGGTAGCGGACCAGTCAATCACCGTTGCAGGGCCCAACCCCTTGACTACCTCCGTTGTTACGTTTTCGATGGGCAGGATCTGGTCTAGGTTATCCGGGCCCCTCCGGATGTTGTCATGGTCTTCAAAGTGCTGTCTGGCCAGCCTGCATAGGTCCTCGCGGCTCAATCCAATAATCAGATCATTCAGATCTTCGATGTCGATGGTAACGAGCCTGGAACGTGGAGACGAGGCACGCAGCAGCGCCGAAATACTGTTGCTCTTCCAGGGCTTCAAGTCGATGAACGTTTTCACGTCTCTCATGCGCATGCGTAGTGATTGAAGATTTCGCTTGCTGATGTAGGGATGGATGAAACCCCAGTCGCCAGCTCTCTCCATATCCGACGTCGTCTCGAACACGGTGAGACACTGCTCTGCAGCAACACGGGAAATTGCCTTGCTGAGATGATTTGGGGCGCCGTGAATCCAGACGGGGCCCTCCAAGTCGCGAAGGAGATGCTTCACTAGCGCCTGAGCTGTGAAATGGTGGAGCTGTTGCGCGGCGTCGACCGACTCCTCGGCGGCGGTGTTGGCGGCACTGCGTTGGCGATACAAGACGCAATCCTCAGCAACCGTGACGATGGAGCTGCTTGCGTGTGAAAGGCCGACGAGTTTATCCCCTGATACCATGTCGTGGCCCACCCACAGATGAGCAGGCCTCGAAGATGCAGATGCAGACATCTTGGACGAACCTTCGCAGCAGACAAGGGAGTAAAGAGACGATGCCGTGACCTTCACACGCACCTCGCCTGGCTTAACATTGTGGACATGCTCATGGTGATGGCGATACAGCAGTTCGAGTGCTCCGTGTCGCTTCGTGACCTCGATGACTATATCTGGAAGCTCAAAGCTGGTCAGCTGGGTGACTTGTCGGTGCCTCGCCGTGGACCGAAGATTGATAGCATCCAGAGCCAGAACCCTGGGTATATATATAGCACCGTCCCTTAGTGTAAGCTGGGGCTCAGGGGTCCAGAGGATCTCGTCCGAATTGTAGTCTGAATTCATCCCGGTAAGTCGGAGGAGAAGAGTTGCTAGTAAAGACGGTTCAAGGGTTGCGGGCGCATCGACGTCGAGGAACTGAAGCCTCAGGTCACTACGTTCGGCCAGAAGAGTCCGTCCCAATCCCACGGTCACGTTGGCCAGGGGATTCTTGCCAGAAGTCGCCCCTGAACTCACCCATAGAACAGTACTGGCGTTTCGGAAGACGGCCTGCACGGCTTCGAACCTCGACTGGCTCATGGAGTTAAAGACCGGGCTGTCCAGGTCACAAAGGCAGAGCACAACGGCACCGCTGGGAATCTCAATGCCCTCAAGGTTACGTCTGATGACAGCCCCGGCAGAAGCGAGGAGTGTTTGCGACCTGGATGCGAGTTCAGAACCGCCGACGACCAGGACTTGTTGGTCGAGAGGCGGCATTGGCGACTGAGAATTGGTGGAAAGGGGCTGACGGAGCATCTGGATGGTTTCGTCGGTTGCCTGGGATAAGATGACCGAACAGAAGGAAGGCGTCGAGCTTGTGTCCACCCCTGAAAACCCGGTGACCTTCAGTAAAGCATCCCACTCGTCGAGGCCGATCGTGGGAGCCCAGACTCGTCCCTCATCGGCGCCCAGGAACCACCCAGGAAGCGTACCCATGATGAGCTGGATTGGAAGATGGTCGCGTGTGATCTCCAGCAGCACCAAGTACCCCCCAGGTCGAAGTAAGCGGCGACAGTGGCGGACGGTATCCTTCAGGCTCCGTGTTGCGTGGAGGCAGTTCGAGGCAACGACCATATCGAACGAGCCCTCCTCGAATCCTTGCTCTACCGGGTCCTTTTCGATGTTGAGCATCTTGAACGACAGCTGACTCAGATGCTGGCTGAACTTTGCTTTCGCAGGCTCAAAGAAGCCGGCCGAGATATCCGTGTACGTATATGATGTGTATTTGCCGTCCAAAGCCGAAAGCACCGCTCGAGTAGTACCACCCGTCCCAGCACCGACTTCGAGCACCTTCATACGAGGGTACCGATGTGCAAGCTGCTTAACCAAGGACTCGAGATCGAGGTTGCCGTCAGCAAACCCGACTCCCTCCACATACAAACGGTCGAGCATACCGTCCTTCATCAGTACCTGGAGAGGAGGAATAGTTCCGCGAGCTATGGCTGGCAGCTTACCACCCACGGCATGTAGTAGCTGCATATCATTGTTTCCTGAAGCCAAATAGCTGGCGCTCCATTGCTCCACGTCCTCGAGAGTGTCGTTGGACCACTCTGCTTGAATATCGGGGTGCTTGCCGGCTTCGATCTGGGGAAATAGATGCTCCCTGACCCACTTCATCATGTGCCGCCGATGTTTGCTCATAAGTAAAAGCTCAGAGGGTTTGATCTGGTCTCGAAGACTCCGCAGGTAGAAGTAAGCGGTTCGCACAAGAAGCGTGCGTAACAAACTATTCTCTGGAGAGAGTTTGGTCTTGAGCCTGGGCTCAATCCCGTAAGCCGCATCTCGCACCCATGTCTCGGCTGCATAGAGCCAGCGATCTTCCTCCTGGTTCAGGGCGGTCCAGTGGACTCCGCGCAGTTGGACATGGATGGTGGCATCTTTTGAGTCGAAAACATCTACGTCGCCTTCAAGTGACTTTGCATCCGCCAAGGTCAGAAAGCTATCTGCCATGAGGACGCCGGGAGACGCAGGTGGTGCCACCATGTTGATACGGATGCAGTCAATGGCGGTTGGCAGATACACCGTCCTGAGACGACCGTCTTCTGGATATGAAAACCCGGCCAAGAGGCCTTGGATGGCAGTGTCGAGGACCGTGGGGTGCATAGAAGACCGAATTGTAGTCGGCTCAGGGGGAGCCGGGACGGTTACCACGGCCTGGTTAAGGCGGCGGTCCACTGAGCTGGCTCTGAAAGCATCTGAGTAGTTGTAGCCCACTTTGGACAAATACCAGTAGAACTGCTCCAGGTCCAACGTGTTCATGGGCAGCAGAGGCTCCGTCCGGGGAGGCAGGGCGTTTTTCAGGGGCAGGCCAAGCCAAATCCGCACGCTGCCGCTGAAATGGGCTGTAAGCCCTGTCAAAGGGCCGTCCAGTTTCGTCACGTTGATATCGCCGCTGTAGCAGGCCACCTCGGCGGCAATGCAGCTGTCGGACTGGCTCGTAACACGTATGGTAAAGAGAACCTCAAGACCCGGGGAATCTTCCTGCAAGCTCATGGCACGCACCATCTCAATGTCATGCAGCTCGACAAGACGCAGTGCCTGATGGTCATTGACGAGACGCACAGCAGCCTCATACGCCATGGTCAGGTACCCCGTTGCCGGGAAAAGAACTTCGCCCTGGATGGCATGGCCCTTCACCCATTGCAGTTCACTTAGTTTGAAGACCTGTCGCCAATGAACCTCGCGCCGGCCATGCTCACCGAGTGTGACCGGAAAGCCGAGGAGTTCGCGAGGCTGGCTCTGAGTGCGGAAGATGCAAGATGCTCTGGACTCACGCCAGATGAGGCTATCATGATCCCAGGGGTAAGGCGGCAGGTCCTTGAGAATTACAGGATACTTTGGGCTGGCTTGGGGGAAGGCTCGGTGTAAGCCGTCAAAGGTGATGATAGGGCGCATCGACGGGAACAACGACCAGATGAGTCCTAAACCAGCGGCAAAGGCCTCAACAGCACCCTCTCCGCGTTTAAGGACACCAGAATACGGAACAGCTACACCCGTCAACGACTTGATCACCTCGGAGGCTGGACCCCTGAGAGCCGGGTGCGGTCCAATTTCAAGGGCGAGATCCAAGACGTAGGATTCTTCAGACACTGCTCTGCTTACTGCCTGGGAGAACTGCACCGTACTGGTCAGATTATCGACCCAGTACTGTCCCCCGAGCAACTCAAGACCATGATGGTCGTCGAAGGAGCGACTGCGGCCATTTGCACCCCAAACACTCGAGTACCACACGCATTTTTTGCGACCCTTCAGAACGCTGATCCCACAACTGCGTAGCGATTCGAGATAGGGTGAGGCGCATGGCCGCATGTGGTGAGAATGATATGCTGTGTCGACCGCCAGCACGCGGGCAAAAGTGTTGCTCTGGTCCAGCAGTGCCTTGGCCTCATCGATAGCATCGGCGTCTCCCGCCAGCGTGCAACTCGTTGGAGAGTTGTTAGCAGCCACCTTGAGTGCCGAACTAAACTCGTTGCAAAATGCCAATGCCTCATCCAAGCTCATGCCAACAGCCATCATCTTGCCACGCTTTCCTCCGGGCCCCTGTGCCAGATGAGAATGAAACCCTCGATAATAAGCCACACGAATAGCATCCCGGGCATCCAGGTATCCCGCAGCATAGGCGGCACCAATCTCACCCGACGAGTGTCCAACAACGGCAGAAAACTCAACGCCAGCCGTGCGGAGGACGTCTACGAGCGCCACTTGGAGAGCAGTGCAGAGAGGCTGGGAGATGGCTGCGATACCGACGCGGGAGGTCTCCTTTGGTGCCGAGAGCTCGTCGATCAGGGACCAGTCCGGGCGATCGCCGTCGGGGAGCGTATCGAGGCTTCGCTGCTGCCGGTCCAACGACGTGCGGAACACGGCGGATGCTTGGTAGAGCTCCCAACCCATAGTAGCCCACTGAGCACCTTGCCCAGTGAAGACACCGAGTATCCGGGGCGGTAGTGAATTGGGAATGGTTGCGATGCGTGACGTCTTGCTGAGTGCTTCTGTGCCTGTTTCGAGCTTATCGGCAAGCTGGGTGGCCGACGTGGCTGAGAAGGAGGCCCGGAACGGGAATTCCGACCTCTGGAACAGGGTGCGAGAAAGCCTACCAAGATCTGTGTCGGGATGATCTCGTAGATAGTTGGCTAACTCTGCAGCCTTTGCTGCCAGGGCCTGGGCCGAGTTAGCAGATAGGACGAAGAGTCCAGCCGGACGCGATTCCGACACATGATAGCGCTCGTAGCCCCCATCCCAGCTTTCGATGATAGCGTGCGCATTGGTCCCGCCAAAGCCGAAACTATTCACACTTGCACGACGCGGTTGGCCCTCTGGAAGCGCGGGCCAGGGGGTTAACTCTGTCGGGATGCGGAGGTGGTTGAAGAATGGTCGAATTTTGGGGTTCAGCTCCCGAAGATGTAGGTTACCTGGAATCTGGCCGTGCTGGACCGCCAACGACGCCTTGAGCACGCCAGCCAGTCCTGCACTGCCCTCTGTGTGACCAATGACGGTTTTGATCGATCCAACATAGAGCTGGCCATGATTCTGGTCTGGATGCCCCGGGAAGAAAGCGTCGTGTATTGCCCGCGCCTCGATAGCTAGAGTTCGTCAGCGTCCCAGCATATGTATGGGGTTCACAGTGGTTCTATTACGGTCACCCACCGGCGTTCCGGTGCCATGTGCTTCGAAGTATTGTGGACGGTCTCTTGGGTTCGTCGGGTCTAGCCCGCACTTGGTGTATGTGTCTCGGATAAGTCGAGCTTGTGCCTCAGAGTTCGGCATTGTGATGCCTATATACGTACGTTATGATCAGTAACAGGGAGCCACAGAGTGCAACTGGAACAGCGTGGGAGCTCAAACCTGGTGTCCGGCCATCGGAATTCACACCCGTTTCACGGATAATACACTCGATGTGGTCACCATCAGCCACAGCTTGGCTAAGAGTCTTGAGAATAATGGCAGCGAATCCCTCGCCGCGCGTATATCCATCGGCAGAAGAATCCCACATGTATGATCGCCCGTTGGGGGACAGCATATTTAGCTTGAATTCCACCTGTTAGCTTGACTGCAAGTCTGCAATGAGCCTTGACATACATTTGAATAAGCAATAAATGGCTCAGGTCCAAGGATGAGATTCGCCCCTGCTGCAACCGCCATGTCTACTTCTCCGCTTCGCAGAGCAAGGACCGCCTGGTGTAGGGCAACGAGCGATGACGAGCAGGCTGTATCAAAGGCAACCGATGCGCCTTTCCAGTCATAGAAGTACGACACACGGTTGGCCAGGATTGCCATCGAACCGCCGGTTGCATGGTACTGCGGCAGGCTGTCGAGGCCACGCATGGCAACGAGCTGGTAGTCGAAGCTCATGGCTCCCACAAAGACGCCAGTGGATGATCCCCGAAGCTGGGGGATGGAGTAGCCGGCCGATTCAATACCTTCGTAAACGGTCTCGAGGAGGCATCGCTGTTGGGGGTCCATTGCCTCGGCCTCCTTTGGGCTGATGTTAAAGAAATCGCGGTCGAAAGCCCGGGGGTCATCCTGCAGGAGGTAGGCATACTTTGCGTTTGTACTCTAATGCGTCCAGCGGGTGATTAGACTTCGAGGCTTGAATTCACGATTGTAGGATGGGGCAATGTTGTCTTACCCCATGGTGTTGGCTGTCTTGGTGATAAAATGCCTTGGTATCAAATCGACTGGGTGGGATTTCTTGCACGATATCCCGAGGATCCTTGAGAAGCACCCAAAGCTTTGAGGGGGAACTAGCGCCGCCTGGAAAACGACACGAGCTTCCCACTATCGCGATAGGCTCCTTCGCGAGCCAGTTGGGGTTGGCATTACTACCCATGATAATGATTGTGTTGAACTCAAATCAGACGGCACAGGAGGAAAAGATAGTCCTGTTCAGTAGAGACGTGAAGTCAAGTGAAATTCTGTGTCTTTATTGTTCAATTTGACTAGGTTCTGGTTTCTGGAGTCGTCAGTCTTTCTGCTTCCCGGGCAGAGGTGTGAGATATTCGAGCCATAAGCTCACAAAGTACACCACCACAGTCGGTCTCTGTTCGCCCTTTGGAAATCTCTCCTGTCGGGGGCGTGAATCCCGGAAGCCAAACATCGGAAGTACGAGAATCTCGCCGAGTCCAGCCATATTGAGGTTGTGTGGGCTCCGCTCTATCTCATCACACACGATGGGCTGGATGCCACTCGGTGTTTTCTTTTTTCAATTAGGTGCTCCGGCTCAGTTCCACAATGAGCTGCAGGATTGCGGCAAATCTATTTCCCGTCATTCATCACAGAGTCGGGGCAATACGCGTACTCGACTATCAGCACCGGCGGCATTCCCGGCTCCTCCGATCCACCTCCGGCCGCCTCCGGTCGGCCTCCGATACTCTACCGGCTAAGCTGAAATGTGGCGGCTCGTCGTTATCGCTGCTATCTGGATCGATAATGCGCCTCCGACGGCCTGGAATGACATACACCGCAATACTCTGGCAAAGAGGTGACCGAAGACAACCAAGCAACAGGCATAACTCCATATCTCCAGTGCCCTACGTATCCAGTGGATTCGTGATTCTTTGACTTCCGTGTACGCGCTATCACAGCATCCACCAGAAAGCACACATCTCAAGTCGACAATGAAGGCTCACACGGCAATGAAGGCTCTTGTTGGCGGGGAGTCTGGTAATTACCGGCTCGCGGACGACATCGATATCCCTGCCCCCAAGCCAGGCACGATGCTGTGTCGTGTGCATTCCGTCGCCTTGAGCCCATACGACGCAAAGATTGTAGACTATTCCAACACACCTGGCGCTGTGGGCGGCTGTGACTTTTCCGGCGTCGTCGTTGCGGTGGGCGAAGGAGTGGTGCGGTTCAAGGCAGGTGATCGTGTCCTCGCTGTGACTTTTGGACTCAGCGCCTTAGACAAGACGGCGGGTGCCTTTGCTGAGTATGCTCTGGCAATCGAAGACCTGAGTTGCCATGTTCCGGACAGCTTGTCCTTGACGCAGGCGTGCTCAATGGGTCTTGGGATTGCTACTGCTGGCCTGGCACTCTTCCAAGCACCTGGGCTACAGCTAAGAATGCCACGCTCCAACCACGCCGATCAAGAGACGGGTGCTTTTGTTCTTATCTCAGGGGGTGCAACGGGCACGGGGACCATGGCAACCCAGCTTCTGAAGAGGTGAGTTGAAGGTCTCGCCCCGTTGTGGGCTAGTGTCCTCGGCCAGAACCCAGAAAACTGGATCGTGGAAACTACCTCATTCACTCACTCACTCACTCACTCTCTTTCTTTTACAGTGCTGGTTACATACCCATCGTTACCTGTTCGCCCGCTAACAATTCCCTATGCGAGTCCTACGGCGCCGCGGCTTGCTTCGATTACAACTCAGCCACGTGCGGTGCTGATATCCGCGAGTACACGGCCAACAGTTTGACCTCTGTCTTTGACTGCGTCACTGACGCAACGACTATGAGGATGTGCTACGCGGCCATTGGCTCTTCCGGTGGTCAATACGTCGCTCTAGAGCCCATTTCTCCTATTATCAAGTACACGCGGAGGGATGTCCGCGCTGACTGGCTGATGGCTCCCACCGTTCTGGGGACCCCCGTGGAGCTTCCGGGCTCGTATGGACGCCCGAGAACTCCAGAGCACAGAAGATTTGCATCAGAGTTGTTTCTGCTGGCTGAGAAGCTACTTCAGGAGGGCGAAATTAGGAATCATCCTCTAGAGATTCGGGACGGAGGCCTGGCGAGCATCCCCAGATATGTGAACGATTTGCGGGTTGGGAAAGTGCGGGCAAAGAGACAGGTTGTGCCATTACTGGCAGGGTAGACAGCGTCGAAGTACCTCTGACAGGGACGCTCATGCCGAAAAGTTCGAATCCATTTGTAACGAAGAGTTCGTAAAGGACTGATTCCAGGCTAATACTATGATTGGAAAAAGCCCTCCATGTTGAGCGAATCTCGGAATTACTTGCTGTTTAGAATCTAGGAGAAACTGTGCCACCTAGGCTGTAGGCTCTACCAGGTTTGGCCATCAAATACTGAGACGAAATGAACGTCCTCGAGACTAGAACATGATTTCCGTGTTGGGTAGGTCTCTGGAATTCTAGAGGCTAGTACGGGAGAAGGACGGCGCTTTGCTTTACGATAGCGGTCAAGACATTCTCGGTTCAGTTGGTTCCACGTTCTTCTATTGTTTGCGATAGCTTTCCGCTGCCCTACGGAAGCGTTGGTTTCAATCTCTTAGGTATGTTATCGACTGATCAATCGTCCACGCCGCCCGCCTGCATAGGTGGGCCGGGCCTGTTAGTTGAGGTGGTTCGAAGGATTGTGCGAAGCTGCAGATGGTGGTTGGAAGGATTTTGAGAAGCTGGAGATTGTGGTAATTCCGACTAAGCTCCGTGCCTTCTGTCGGAAACAAGAACATGATGTGAGCCCGACGCCGACTCGTGAGGTCGGGGGTCGGATCGGCAGCCGAGGGTGGCAGCCGAGGGCGGCAACATGAAGTTCCACGTACTCTCCTCCATAGCGGGACTGCTGGTCCCTAGCGGCCCACATGGGGCTGGCTTATAGACCTGACTAGGACTTTAAATGCTCGCTGTCTTGCTTTAATCGGAACAGGACATATCCAGACAGCCCCTTTTCTTCAGCCAACCGACACGATCACGCAATAACCACAATAACCACAACCACCAATGGCGTTATCTTCCCGCGAAGACATCGAGTTTAAGACCCTCAGCGGTGTCACATTGCGTGGGTGGCTGTACCCTGCCGATAAGCGCGGGCCGGGAATTATTCTTTCTGCAGGAGTACGTGAGCCGTCCACACCCACCCAGACTTTGGAGGATGAGGTGAGATTGTCCGGCTGACAATAGACCGTCTAGTTCAACATGCCCAAAGACGTAGTCTTACCAGAAATCGCCGAGTGGTATCGCAAACGTGGCTTTACGGCACTCATCTTCGACACATACGGCATCGGCGCCAGCGACGGTGAGCCCAGATGTGATGTAAGCTTACTGCTTCTAGGTGTTGAGGCCGCCCTCCTCCCCCCCCCCCCCCCCCCCCCCAAATTGCCATGTCAACGCGCACTGACCTCGGAGCTACGCCGCAGACAGACATGCATAGGCGGGTTGAGGACTTCATCGATTCCGTCACTTGGCTTTCTCAGAACCCCCTAGTAGACCCGGAGAAGATTGTGCTCTGGGGTCTCTGCTTTGACGGCAACATCATGCTCGCCACGGCAGCTTCAGACCGCCGGGTAGCCGGCGTCGTGGCTGTGGCGCCCATGATTGACGTGACCGGCGACCCCGAGCGCCGTGAGGCCGTCCTCGAGCTTGCCCTAGCAGACCGAGCCGGACAGCTCGCTGGCGAGGAGCCCATGTACCTGCCTCTGGTCGACGAGGACGGCGTCATGCCTCTCGGCCAGGTGTCGGGCCTCGGCTTCTTCTCCGCCATGGAGGACATGAACCTGCCCGTCGAGAACCGCGTCACCGTCCAGAGCTACATGAGGGCCCTCGGCTGGAGCATCTTGCATTTACTGCCCAAAATTAGCCCCACGCCCGTCATCATGGTAACACCTGAGCTGGACCAGGTGTTCCCCGCGGAGAGGCAAAAGGCCGCATTTGACATGTTGGGAGAGCCTAAGGAACATTGCGTTATTGCTGGAAGGAATCACTTTGACTGGATGTTTGGGGACATGGATGGCGTTTTCAACAAGCAGCTCGACTTTTTGCAGAAGTACTTGAAGGCTTAAGAGAGTCACCTTTTTCTTCTTTTTTTTTTTTGGTTGTTGTTTTTCATTCGCGTCTATTTTTCCCTTTGACTTCCGTCAATTTTTTTTTAATTTTTTTTGTTTGTTTTCTTTTTCTTACCAAGTGTTGAGTCTCTCCTCCATGAGAGTTTGCAGCCCCTGAATGACCTGTCTGAGCTTCACATGCTCCTCGGGAAGTCGTCTAAGCATATCTTGGGCAAGGTCGACAATCCCTGGCGAGTCGCCTGCTTCTTCTCCGCCCTCGAGCCCAGGGATCGGCTCGTGGGGATGGAAGAGGGCGATGCCAGTGACTTGATCATCTGCACCCGAGGCCGCAGTATTCCGGCTGTCCATGCGGAGGCTCCGGCCTAGGCGATTGATCAGGTGCACGATGAGTTGCAGGACCATGACGAACTGCGCAGAAGATGCTCCATCGCCGTGCAAAGCCTGCTGTTGCTGGTCGCTCCCCACGGCCATAGACCCTAGGGACCGCTGGATCGAGCCACAGATGGCCCTGAACAGGGCCAGGACGTGCTGGTGAGAGGCGAGGGCCAGGAACATCAGGCCATAGTCGGGGGTTGGCCGTGGATCATTTTCATCGCGGAACACGGGTTGCGGGGCGGAAGATGTGGACTTGGCGAGCGTGATGCTGTTGATGATGCGCACCAGGGCATTTGCAGCCTCGAACGCGTCATTAACCACAGGCGAGTTTACCGTCAGGGGTGTATTAGTATTACCCACGCGTTCAAGTTGACGTGCGGCGCGCCTGGCCCCGCTGCTTAAGGCCATTACTTGTCCAGTCAGGTCATCAATCGTGCCCCTGGTTTCGCTTCGAGAGAGTGTTGAGTTTCCTCCTAAGGCCTCCTGGGTCCCGACGTCACAGACTCCATTTGGCAGTCCTGATAGTGCCCCGGGGATGGACAAGAGGCTGGGGTTGTTGGTGCTCTGGCCGTCTTGATCGCCGTCACCCAAGCCGGCCATGGTCGTCTCGGTAATATCGAGCAACGGCATTCCCATGTCGCCGAATACAGATGCTGACCTATCACTCCATGAAAGCATGGCGGCAAGGTCTTGGCTAAACCGCATGGTTCTCATAGGCGACGTCGCGTTCGCATCCCCGAGCTGGCGAGAGGCTCGCTTATTTTTCTGCTTCACTGCGGCCCTCGTGGTCAATCCATGTACTTAACAAAGTGAGAGTGAGCATGCACAAGGAGAAGGGGCACACGAGGTACACGACATACAGGTATACACACATGGCACGTCCGCCTTTGCGCATCGCTCGCAAGTGGCAAGCTGGTCGCTGCCGGTCGCTTGTAGATCCCAGTTCTTCAGGCATCGCACCTTTTGTTGGCGGCAGCGGTCGCACGAGTGTCGCTGGGAGTGCATTTCGTGAATAGAGAGTCGTGTGATGCGTGCGGAGCTCTGTAGCCCTTGCAAGGCATGTCGAGCGGAGAAGAGGATGCTTTACCGTTGACGGTAACAGCAATAGCAGGATAATTCAGCGCATCTCATCCGATTTCTTACCCTCAATTTTATTTATATACACTTTATCATTACGACACATAATCAACAGATCCTTCAGAGCTGACCCCTGTCAAAACCATCCAAACCATCAACGATGTTTATCATGTAGACCTTTGTAACTACGAAGTAGAACCGAAGCACATCAGCAGCGTACCACGGTAGGGGTAGTGTACTTTTGCCCTAGCGGTAAGTCGGTTACACTAAGATTAAGCTATGTTATGGGGACTAATGCCAAGAATGGCCGTCTCTCGGCCCGCACCGCCTTGTTCGTTAGCAGTGTAAGATGGTGTAAGATAGTGTAGGATTCTAGTTTAGATGACTAGGATCAGGGTGGCATTCAGCCGTTTATCGTGGAATCCACCTTGGGGGCAGTGTAAACTACACTGCACTACAAAGAATGAGAATGTTGGGGGTCGGGACAACACGGGTGCCAAGTCGGCCACGAGGATGATGTTTTCTTCATGTGAGCGGCCAATCCGGCTTGTTCTAATCCCTTCTTCGGGAAATGCGTACGCACGAAAGGCAGCCTTGTTGTACCTCTAGTCAAGTCGATTGGCTCCATTTGAGCGAGAGGTTCGCGTTCCCCTTCCCGTTGCAACCTCGACAGAGCGGGGATCTGACCCTGAGCAATCCGGTTCCAATCGGGGCTGTTTTCTTCATGCGGCTAAATCTGCTAGGCAAGGTAAGCGTGAGATGCATCATCGGAGATAGCGCCAACATTCGTTCCATAGAGTCGTTCCATAGAGCATGCCAATTTCCCATGAGGGTTTAGTCTACTTCGTATGGGCGCGCCCCGTGTTGCTCTCCTATATTCTCCATAAGGTGGTGTAGTGACCAGCTAGATTACATAGCTCATTAGTAGTAATGACAGATCGGCAAACCATCCGGAGATAACGGTGTCGATCATGTTGATTCACAGGAGAGAAGCTTTTTTTTTTTTTTTTTTGGGGGGGGGGGGGGGGGTTTTCACTACCAGACGTGAGACTGAGCCAGACCAAGCAATAGACAATAGAGGCAGCTAGCTTGGCATCTTGAGGCGTTTTTGCTTGTACAATACCTACTCCGTATACACTACAACCATCACACATCAATTGATCATTGATGAATCTTGCCCCTTCGGCCCGCGTTAGCTTCATTCCGGGCGGGCCAGCAACAACAAACGGTTTGCCAGGCTAAAACAAGGGACGGCGGCCGCCAAACCCTGCTGTGCCGGGTGCCTCCGTTCTATATATAATTGATTCTAAAGCCCTTCTAGCCATTCCATTTTGGCTTCTGTCTTACAATCATTTCTGCTGCTGTCGCATCACGCATTCGCTCTCACGACCGTCACAATGGCTGCCGCTCCTGCTGCGGCCGCAGCTACCATCCCAGCTCCCAAGAGCAGGCCGGAGGGCATCGATCTCTATGCTCGCTTCGCTCTCGCTGGTGCTCTGGGCTGCTCTGTCACTCACAGCGCCGTCACCCCGATCGACGTGTACGTGTTCTCGATTCTTCATTGGGTCTCGCTCTAGCTCCAAACCCCCAGCTCCATCTCCGCTATGGACTGACATACAAAAACCTGCCACACAGGGTCAAGACGAGGATCCAGCTTGACCCCGTCACCTACAACAGTGGCATGATTGGTAGTTTTCGCCAGGTCATCCGCAATGAAGGCGTTGGGGCCCTCGCGACGGGCGTAGGGCCGACTTTTGCGGGCTACTTCTTGCAAGGCGCCTTCAAATTCGGCGGCTACGAATTCTTCCAGCAGAAGCTCACTGATACCTTCGATGCGGAAACCGTCAAGCAGAATCGCACCGCCGTTTACGTTGTTTCCTCTGGCAGCGCTGAGTTCTTCGCCTCCATCGTCCTGTGTCCCCTGGAAGCGACGCGTATTCGCCTTGTTTCGACACCCGACTTTGCCAATGGTCTGGTCGGTGGTTTCAGCAAGATTCTGAAGAACGAGGGCATTGCCGCCTTTTATTCTGGTTTCGGTCCCATCCTCTTCAAGCAGTATGTTCATTGGATCGAAGCAACATGATACAGAGCGCTATGAAAAAATAGAACAAAAAAAAAAACTAACCCCGCGTACATGGTTCCTTACACAATAACCAAGTTTGTCGTTTTCGAAAAGGTTTCCGAGGCCATCCTGAGCCAGTTTGACAAGTCGCAAAGGTCGGCCGGTGCATCGACCGCTGTGAACTTGGGATCTGGTCTGATGAGCGGTTTTGCGGCTGCCATTGTGTCTCAGCCTGCCGACACCATGCTGTCCAAGATCAACAAGACGAAGGGTCTGCCTGGTGAGAGCACCGCCTCTCGGTTGATCAAGATTGCTGGCGAGCTTGGTCTTCGCGGATCTTTCGCTGGTCTCCCGACGCGTCTGTTCATGGTCGGTGGCCTCACTGCGGGCCAATTCGCCATCTACGGCGATATCAAGAAGTTCCTCGGTAAGTGTGCTTCTTTTCGCTCTTGCTCGTCATTTTCGTCCCGTCCACCGGGTACGGGGCACGAACTAACTCTTGTCTACAGGCGCTACAAAGTAGATGTATAGAACGTTGGACACGATTCCTAGAAATGATTCCCCAGCTTGACGCGGTTGAGGCCAATCGTTTTAGATTTGTCAGTATTGAGGTATTTAGACTAGACCTGCTTGTATCTACCCACGTGTTCGATAGAAGAACCTCGAGTTCATTAGATAGAATTCCGTTAGAGTCACCGTCCGACGACATCGTTCCTACATCCGCCGCACGCGCAACAAGCAGGCACCAAGCAAACACATAACTTGATGTCCCGCACCTTAAATTCTTCATCTCATTCTCTTTTCTTGCTAGCCTATTTTCTTGTTTAAGCAAATGCCGAGCCTAACGTAGCTCAGAACTTCATCACCTCCTTGAGGAACGCTAGCTGGCCGCCCAAGAGCTCATCAAAGTTTACATCCTTCAAAAAGTTCATGTGACCTCTGCCCTTTACAATCTCATACCTCTTCTGTGGCGACTGCAGGCTATCAAAAATGCGCCGTTGGAATGCGGGCGGCACGATCTCGTCGTCCTCAGGCGTCAGAATCATGACCGGGGTTGGGTTGACGGCCGCGAAGAGATTCATTGGCTTCCACTTAGCATGGCGGTAGAAGCTCTGGATCGTCATGTGGTCGTTGAAGCTCGGGGCGTTTTTCTTGGCCCCGTGGACCCAGGCGGGGAGATGGTGCTTCTGCTCGGGGGTCATCTCGGCCAGATACTTGAAGTGCATCAGGTGCTCGCCCTTGTCGTTGAGAAGGGGGATGTACTGAGGCGGGTTGCCACGAAGCTGGCTAGCCCGATCTGCGACCGCACTCGCAACTATGGCAGCCTCGTCCGGCGGGTTGAGGCACCAGTCCGGCATCAGACCTTGTGCGATGACCGCCTTGACGCGCTTGTCAAAAGCAGCAGCCTCGAGCGCAATGCCGGAGCTATAGAAGAAGCCCCAGATGGCGATACGGTCTGGGTCGACCCATCCCCCATCTTGCAGGAACTGTTTGACCCCATTGATGTTGATTAGCATACTCGGACCCTGAGGGCACCGGCGAAAGGTAACTAGACAAACTTACAGTGACAGCGTCGTGGTTGTCCTCCGCCATCTTTTGCGGGTCGAGGTCGTTTCGAGGCAGGCCATCGCTCTGGCCCAGCGTGCGGGCGTCGTAAACGAGAGCCGTCACGCCGTTCTTCCCGAACCATTCGGCGACGCTGGCTACAAAGATCTCTTTTGGGCTGTTAAACTAGAAGAGGGAAGCATTAGTCTTGGTAAAGCGCGAGCTTGAAAACATATCGGCGAGGAGCTCATCTTACTGCACCATTGACAACTACTGCAGGACCGCCCTTGGGTCCCTGAAACAACCAGCCGCGCAGGGTCAAGCCATCCAGAGTTTTGAACTCAACATCTTTACGCTCCCCACTCATGATGGTGATGTTTCGATTCGATTCTTACTTACGGGGAACGCAAGATAAGTTCACGCACTTTGGTTATCCATGCAACTCCCAGATGGCGCTTTCGAAGCATGGCGGAGAGAATTTACGTTGATACAAATTCTATCGACTGGACAGCAGTTTTGGGGGGCCAGGAGAGGACTGATTCCGACTGCGACACGATTGACTCGCCATCTCGCCATTGCCCGGGCATCCACAACCTTCCAGTCTGTTGAGCAGATTTGAAACCGTTATTCCAAGTTTCGGGCCCGACTCGGTAGACGGATCGGGCGTCGGCGGCGCCGGTGGGCTCGGAAACGTTCCGATGCTCACCGGTCCGACTCACCGCCGACCTCAAAGTAACTCGGTATGTAGTAAGACTGGAATGCTCCGGCAGAGTACGGAGTATAGTTTGCCCGTTCTCGTGCTGCTAGGATTCTCTCAACGCAAGAAGCAAAGGAACATTTGACACACCCACTTGCCTAGCATCGTCGTGTGAGCTCAGGCGCTGTACGAAACAGGTAACCAACCCGAAAGCAACTTTTACAAACCGAATTACGAGTTGAGGCGAAATTGTGCAAGTGAAATAATGAGCAAGAAAATTTGTTGTTCTTAGTGTCACTGGCAGCGATTTCTGCTTGGCCTTCAATAGAGGCAAAGTGCTTGATTGTGCCAGCTGCCATATTTCCCCTGAAGGTTCCTTTTCCTTTTACTCAGTGTCAATCTCAGGAATCTTGGACTTCAGGAAGCCATTTCATCAAAAGTTAAGACCAAGAAAGTTTGCAGGATTGGGTAAAGTGTGATCTGTTCGTTCTCCAGCTTAAAAGTCTACTTAAAAGTCTCGGTGATGCTACTTCATGTGTTGCGATTGAGACAGACCCCAGCCAGAACCGATGAGCACCTCCGTGTTGAAGGGGTTGTGATCTGCTGGCATTGAAGCTATGCGATTTCCTTCATGCAAGGACGGCTTGGACAGCACCGTGGTTAGTGCCAGGGGAAGTATAGATCTTCTCCAGCTTGAGACCTGCGGCACTGAGTAATTCTTGCCAGTCTTTTGCGCTGCGCTCGACACCAGTGACAGTCATTAGAACTAGATCCATCCACCCAGTTTCCGAATCCCCTCCAGTTGGGGGAACAACGATTTCTGCGATGACCAAACGCGACTTTCCGCGCTCCATCGCATTGGCAATGTTCTTCAGGATGTCGACGCAAAGATGATTCGGCCAGTCATGCAAGACGCGACGGATGTAGTATATATGCGCGCCTAGTCGTCAAAAGTTAGCATATGTTTATTGTCGTAGAATGTAATGTGAGGCAGGCGACAGGAAATGCGCTTACCCTGGATTGGCTGAGGTTCAAAGAAGTTGTACTCGTACTTCTCGATCCGCGAAGAATCCAAGTCGTACGTATCGCTAATCACCTCTGGACGATCTTGCAGGACCAGGCGGCCCTCGATGTCCGAGATAGCCTTGTTGATCCTCTGAAGGCAGTGTCCCTTCCCACCTCCAACGTCGACTACCAACACGTCATCCTTGTTTGTCTTCTTGGATGCCAGCAGGGCCCTGAAGTCGACAATGTCCACGGACCACATGGTTGTAGCAGTCTGTGCTCCCATACCGAGGTTGAGAGCCTCCACACGCTTTGGATACTGCTTCAGATGCTCCCAGAAGCTCTTGCCGCCGGTTTGATGCGCATACGTGTATGCATTATCTCTCTCCTCCCCATCACTCTTCCAACCGCGAGAGGCGAGAAACTCGTGCATTTTGACCCACGGGGGGTACATTTCGTCGAATCTAAAATATGGTATTAGATACGAAATAAGGGCTCCCCGGCAGGGATTTACCTGACTTACATCAGAGTATACATTCCTCGGACTTCTGGGATCAGATAAGCCTTGGAGAAAGCAGTATGGGCATACTCATCCTCTCGCACTTGTTGGAAGGGTCCGGTGACGCTCACAACTCTCATCAAACGGGCTAGGAAACGGGTGAGTTCTGGATGCCTTGATGCCTTCAAACTGGCTCATTGAATGGTGACTAACTTACTGAGCAGGTTCTGGTCAACACCGAGCTCGGATGCCAGCTTGGCTACAGTGATGCTGCCTTCAGTGGGAATCTTGTCAAACGCTCCCATTGCAATGAGGCAGCGAATAGCCGATGCTTGGGATCCCTAGGAACGTTAACCAATAATCAATATTGAGAGTCAGAATCCAATGCAGGGAGTCTTCGGTCCTACCATTTCGAAGAATCCATAAACGGTATCAATGGGCCCACGAATTTCTTGGAGAAGCTGGATAGCATCCTTGGTCATGGCATTGCGTGCAACTGCAATCTCGCCCTTATGGGCAACTTCTTCACTACCACCGTACTTCCTCGTTACCCGCTCGTAGGCGGCCAGAGAGGACGTGACATGACCGATGGCATCAAGGATCGCTGATATTGGTTCTGAGTTATTCGGCATGGAGCCCATGACGCAGATACGTTGGGATCAAGGGAAGAAGCGTGGGTTGACTGGATTCAAGATAGGCACCTAATCTTGCTGCTTGACCTAACCGTGGGCGAAAGGGGAGTTAAGCACAAGTGAATGCTTAACATGGACAGAATCTCTAAGTTAAGAAGAGAATTTAAGTTACCAAACTTCAACCATCCCTCCGTCTTCCAATCAGTTGACGGATTATCATCCAAGGGGCACTTTGCAAACAATGATAGAGGTCCGATACTCCGTGGCATAATTCCTGTGCTACTCCTTTGCCGACAAGGTATCGCGACTAAGCTTCTAGAACTAAGCGGCGTTCACTAAAACATGGCTAAAGGTAGACGACTCTGTGTATGCGACCGTGTTTCCGAACCTCCGGCGGTGCGTCGGTGGCATGTCGGCGGCCGATCGGAGCGGGTCACTCCGCGGCTGCTACAGGCGGTGCTGGCATACGGAGCTAAAGCTCCTAACCACCTCTAGAACCTAATCCGTTAGTTCAGTTCACTTCTAGACTTGATACCGGGTAAGCAATATAGATAAGCATCAATTGATACCTTTGCATCCTTGTCTATTTTTGATATAATCTTGCGGTAAAGAAGCAGACGGTTACTACAGGGTAATATGTGGTTAGGAGCCCTATGGATTGCATGAAGCCGGCGGTAGAGAAATGGAGGCCCCACGGAGCAATACTACACAACACAATTGCAACAGGACTGGGGAGTAGCAATGGTGGGCAGTGGTGGACATTGATCATTGATCTCGGTATGCAGAGGGGTCAATGCTGGACGCGGGAGTTGTATTCTGTACTTCGTACATACTTTGTTACCATACTGTGCAATTATCGTAATAATACACTGTTTTTTCAGTTTCTGATGTAAGCTCGAGGGTGAATTTCCTCCTTCACCGCTTTGGAGGGACCAATTCTGCCGTGGGAAATTTTTTGCCCCACTAAAATTTTGGTTGCACCTACGCTTCATCTCTGTGCTCTAGAAGGCCATCTTCGAGTCTCAAAACCCACGCCGCACCAATCGATTGCAACCAACATGGTCGCAAAGAAGAAGTCAAGTAAGGGCTCGGGGGCCTCTTCGGCCCCTAGCCGAATCACCGACTCTCGCTTCGCCAGTTTCGAGACCGATCCCAGGTTCCGCCTCCCTTCGTCGAAGAAGACCAAAACGACCATCGACAAGCGTTTCGCGCATATGCTCAAGAGTGAGGATTTCTTATCCAGTGCCAAAGTGGATAGGTACGGCAGGAAGCTAAAGTCCGACGCCGGAAAGAAGGCGTTGCAAAACCTATACCGCCAAGAAGAGGAAGACGAAGAGGAGGATGAGGATGAAGACGAGAAAGAGGGCGTCGAGGAAGCCGGATCTGAGTCACAATCGGGAGGCGAGGGCGAAGAGGATGAGGAAAGCAAGACTACTGGTCGGCCTTACGATCCCGCCCGAGATGGCGGGTTCTCATCTTCTGAGTCTGATTCCGAGAGCGAAGATGAAGAGGCCGTGAAAGAGGTAGAACTCGATACCTCCGCTAGCATGCAGAGGTTTGCAGACGAGCAGGCCGATGTCGAAGAGGGAGAGGTCACAAACAGGATAGCCATCGTCAACCTGGACTGGGACTACATCAAATCCCACGACCTCATGGCGTTATTCACCAGCTTCCTTCCCCCGAACGGCAAGGGCAAAATCGAACGGATATCCATATACCCCAGCGAATTCGGAAAGGAGCGCATGCAGCGGGAAGAGCTCGAGGGCCCTCCCCGAGAGATTTTCCGCAACTCCAAGAAGCTAAAGGATGAATCGGACGACGACGACTCTGACAGTGACGCGGCGGATGAGAGGATAAAACAGGAACTGCTCAAGGAAGAAGACGACAAGGATTTTGACAGCGATGCTCTTCGCGCGTACCAGCTAGATCGCCTAAGGTATTACTATGCGGTCATGACGTGCTCCGACCCGAAGACGGCGCACACACTTTACGAGGCTACGGATGGTACAGAATATCTCTCGTCGTCCAACTTTATCGATCTGCGATTCATTCCCGATGACGTTACTTTCGATGACAAGCCTCGAGACGAGTGCACCTCCGTTCCCGACGGATACGAGCCTGTCGAGTTTGTCACTAATGCCCTGCAGAGTTCTAAGGTAAAGCTTACCTGGGACATCCACCCCGAGGAGGCCGCCCGGAAACAGTCGATGAAGAAGGCCTTTAGCGGGAGCCGGGCCGAGATGCAAGATAACGATTTACGCGCCTATCTTGCGAGCGATACCGAGGACGAAGCGGGTTCCGAAGAAGAGGGAGAGGAAGAGGGCGGCTTGTCCAAGAAGGAGCTAGCGAAAAAGAAGCTAAGAGAGGCGCTTGGGCTCGGAGACGAATCAACAAACAAGTCGCCTAAGGACGGACCCGTCGGTGACATGCAAATCACCTTCACTTCCGCCCTCATAGAAGATCCCAAGAAGAAGGCCGGAAAGGAAGAGGTAGAGGAAACGACGATAGAAAAGTATGTCCGCAAGGAACGCGAGAGGAAGCAAAAGAAGAAGGAAAAGGCCGTCGCGAAGCGCGGGGCTGACGGCTCTGGGGACGAGGAGGAGATGGTGTTCCAAGACAACGAAGCTGCCGGCGAGACAGAAGATCTTGGCTTCGACGATCCGTTCTTCACGACCGAGGAGCCAGCCGTTACCAAATCCCAGCTCCGGAAAGAAGAGCGTCGCAAGAAGCGCGAAGCAAGAGAAGCCGAGAACGCCCAGAACGCCGCTGAGAAGGAGAAGCTGCAGCGTATTATGGACGACGGCGCTGAGGAGGACGGCATGTCGCGCTTCCAGCACTTCGACATGAAGGAGATTATCCGGGCCGAGAAGGACAAGAACAAGAAGAAGAAGAAGAAGGGTAAGGGCAAGCACGGCGAGGAGACCTCTTCGAATAACCTCCAGGAGGGGCAGAAGTTGCAGCTTGACGATCGATTCAAGTCGTTGTTTGAGAGCCACGAATATGCCATCGATACGTCGAATCCCGCATATACTCGCACGGAGACGATGCAGAAGATGTTGGACGAAGGGAGGAAGAGGAAGGGCAGTGACCGTGATGGAGAATCGAGGGACAGGAAGAAGAAGAAGGCGAGGAGGGATGTGGGCGGGGATGATAATGTTGATTTGAGCGGGCTTGTGGCCTCGGTGAAGGAGAAGACGAAGAGGAAATCCAGGACGTAAGCAAGTTCTGTTGTCCTGGGGCATGTTTGAGTTTTTTTGGTAGAAGAAAAGCTCTTCGTGAGCAAGTATGTATATGGCACCATCACTGGAGTTACTGGGCTCTTTTGTTTCATAAAAGTGTGGAAGGTATCGAGTCTGAGCTTAAAAAAGCATTCGCTACTTGTTTTGGAGTCCTCTAGATCTCTAGATATTCTTTGCAAATCATTCCGCTTTTTGGGGTTTGTCCATCCCATTGCTTTCCACATAATATATGCAACCGTAAAAATATACATGATAGATCCACGTCTTCTAACCCCAAGTACCTCCACCACCACCAGACCTTCCAACCCTCCTCTGCGCACTAAGCCTCCAATCATCCGGTCCCTCAAACCTATTAAACAACGGCTGGATCCTCTCAGCCTGCTTCCTCTTTGACAGCCTATCCGTCGGCGCAACCTTGAAAAACGTCGGCGCCGCCTCCACCAACCACTTGGGCTCGATGACCGTCGTCCAATGCATGTACTCCTTCGTTGTCAGCACGAGCTCATGGTAGATGACCCACTCGGCCTGCTTGCCGAACAGCGCCGAGCTGGGATGCAGGTACACGGGGGTGCCCTCGATGAGGGTCTTGTAGCCTTCCTGGGGGTCCTTACGCGCCGAGTGGCGGAAGAAGCCGGAGCAGAGAGCCTGCCGCACCTTGTGTGTGTCGCGGCCGCACGAGACGATGGGATGGCGGTAGCGCTCCATGATTTTGACGAGCTGGTCGCGCACGTCCTTGGAGCGCTTCATGGACCGGTGCTGGATGTAGTTCTCGAAGCACCAGGCGTTCTGATACCCGCTGCGCTTCCAGCTGTTGTAGACGTTGAGCAGGGTCAGGTGGTCGCCGTGCGGATCGTGGAACTTGGCCTTCTTCTGGTCGGCCTGGGTCTGCTTCTCCTTGGGCCGGTAGAAGACGTTCATGCCGAGCATCGCTACTATGCTGAGCATTTCGTCGGAGCAGCCCAGATCGACCGAGGCGATTAGGACTTTGGCGAGTGACGGCTCCATAGGAAAGTCGGCCATCTTGCGTCCGAGGCGGGTAAGCAGGCCCTCGTCGTCGAGAGCGCTGAGCGCATACAGCTCCTCGAGGGCTGTAAGCATAGTGTTAACGGGAGGCGGGTCCATGAAGTCAAAGTTGATAAGATCGTTGATGCCCATGGCTTTGAGCATGAGAATAGTTAACGACAAGTTCTGCCGCTGGATTTCTGGGATCGTCGTCGGCAGCATCTCGGTTTGGTACGCTGCCTCGGTGTATAACCTGAAGCATTTTCCGGGCCCAGTTCGGCCGGCTCGACCTGCTCGCTGGTTTGCCTGGGCCTGTGAAATTGGTGTGACAACAAGCGAGTCCATACCGAGCTTTGGATCATACGCGTTTTGTTTGACGAAGCCTGGATCTACGACAAAGTAGATGTCGTCAATGGTAATGGAGGTCTCGGCGATATTTGTCGCAATGACGACTTTTCTGGTTCCCGGCGGCGCTGGTTCGAAGATTCGACTCTGCATTTCGCTCGGCAGGGCCGAATAAACGGGGAGAATAAGGAGTTCTGGCACATCAGGACCCAGAGCTTTCATACGTTCATATAAAATTTCGCATGAGGTGTCAATCTCCTCCTGGCCCGTTAAGAAGAGAAGAATATCTCCTTTGGGTTCTGTCAAGTGAATCTGCATAACAGTAAGAAGGGCAGCCTCGAGGTAGTCGCTCTCGGGCTCTCTCGAATATAAGATTTCCACGGGGTACGTTCGTCCAGGAATCGTAAAGATAGGGCATTCGTTAAAATAGCTCGAGAATTTATCTGCGTCGAGGGTCGCAGAGGTGACGATAATCTTGAGGTCCGGCCGACGCTTGACCGTCTTCTTCAAAAGGGCGAAAAGAACATCTGTGGCGATGGTTCGCTCGTGGGCCTCGTCCAACATGATGACGGAGTAGCGCTTCAGATCGCCATCCATGAGGATCTCTCTTTGTAACATACCATCCGTCATGTACTTGATCCTGGTCGAAGGAGTGGTAGTGTCGTCGAAACGAACCGTGTATCCGACCTCCTCGCCAAGCTTACAGCCAACTTCCTCGGAGACACGCTTGGCGACAGACATGGCCGCGACACGACGCGGCTGTGTACACCCAATCATGCCACTATTTGCAAAGCCTGCTTCAGCAAGATACTGGGTGAGCTGCGTGGTTTTGCCGGATCCCGTCTCACCAACAACGATAAGAATCTGGTTCTCCTTCACCGCACTGATGAGCTGTGACCTAAAGGCGAATATGGGGAGGCCCTCTCGCTGTTCCTTGATGCTAAGGTTGGTTCGCTTTCCGAAAGACTGGTCCCTATTCTGGACGGTCTTCTTCCACTCCGGCACAACATCCGACTTTGCGTTTATCCGGGCCTTTCGGAGCTCGCTCGCAAATGTTCGCTTATCCGGGTCTGCCATAGGGTCATGCCACTGCGCGGATAAGTCATCCTTGGGCGCTGCATGCGCTTCCGCATCTGCCTCTTGCTGGCGAGCTTCCTTCCTGTCCCTCACGAGCGCCGATCCCGTTACGGCCGCTCGGTTCATCGAACCATCAGGAGCCTTGACAACGCGGATCGGGGAAAGTTCCAGAGACTGCTTTGTTTGGCCAACCAAGAATGGGGGTTCCTCCTCTCGAACTTCAATATCGACATCCTCCTCCAGCTCCATGCCACCGTCTTCCTTATGGACTGCTTTCGTCTCCTCCTCAAGTTCGGGAAAGTCCGATGCCTTCGCTACTCCGGAGCGGATGAGCTGTCGTATCTCCCATCTGTCCGAATCTGTCAATTGCTTCTTGTGCCTCGGCGGCTGTGGATTGCGGAATGATGTGGGCTGGTCGACGAAGCCATGTCGGCTTCCCAAGGCCTCCATGTTGGCACCGGATCCAAAGGCGGGAGCCGGGGCCGCGAGATCCTCACCGGTGTGTTGGTCGACATCCTTGAGCGACAGGCCTATCCTGTTTCCTTCGATGCTGACGACTTTGACCTTGACGGGCTCACCCATAGATACTACCTCAGAAGGGTGGCCAATGCGTCGGCCTTCGGCCAGCCTCGATATATGTATTAGGCCAGTACATCGCCCCTTGATACCTTCTAGGGACACAAATGCGCCAAAATCCTTGACGCCCGTGACCTTTCCGTCATAGATCTTGTCGATAATCGGCGCGGGGTCCAGTTCTCCTTGGTACCTCGGTGGTGATCTCGACCTTGATCTATATCTCTTCCTCCGCGAATCTCGGTCTCGCGATCTGTCGCGTGACCGATCTCGTTCTCTATGGTTTCGTCTCCTCGAATCTCTGTCGCCGTCTTCGGGGGACCGTGAACGTTTTCGCGACTCTTTCGGCTTGCGCGGCCTCCCTCCTAAACTCTCCAACTGCGCCAGGGTATCATCTATCGCATCGCCATTCGACTCAGGCGGGACTTCCTTGTCAGGAAGCGCCAACCCTGAAAATATTTTTGCCTTCTCCTCATTACTTCGCGTCGGATGCTCTTCCTCTTCGATCTTGTTCGCGGCGCCTTGCTTCTTCTTGAGCTTCGGGTGTAGTGACCTGCACAGCCGGTCTATACTCTCGACCAAACTCGTAGGGAAATCGGCGCCGATAGATTTTAGCCTCTGCTTGAAAGCGGCAAGGTCTTCGCATTCGAGCCGCTGGGCGATGATGAATTCGGCAAGGGTCTTGTCGGAGACGCCTGTGTGGTTGTTAATTTCGGCTTGTACTTTGGAAGCCAGAGCAAACTGCTCCAGCTGTAAGAGGTCGTCCATCTTAGAGCGCCCGACCACGTCTATCGGGAGGCGATGAACTAGATTTCTGTGTTGATGGTTGCATGGTATTAGAAAGCGAAGACTAAATAATGCTGCTGAATATAATACCCAGCCTTGGCTGGATTCGCGACAAGAAAAAAATCCGATGACTAAGCAACTATTTTGGCGTGGCTTATCACTCACAATCGGACCTTGGGGGTGGCGACATCCACCAAAGCCACCAGTCTAGAGAAGGTTCTCGGCCAGATCCATCTCGACCTAGGGTTACATAGGCCTCGCTCACCTTCGGCCAAACCAAGAAACCAGAGTAATGGAAAAGAATTTGTCCAAAAATGGGAATAATAAAATAGGAAGAGGACAGAAGTTTAGGGCGGTGCCAACACGGACCGCCTCCTTCCCCAACTCGAAATTGAGGATGCACCACTGGGTTTTTTCCAGATTTGAAGCGCTGGACGCTTCGCCTAGCTATTATCATCCAGCGGCCCTCGCTTAGGGTAGCCAAACTTCGGTCGATTCCGGTGATGGTTGTGAGATGCTGTTTCTCTTCCACTGATCCATGGCTCCTTTCCCTCACAAGGAGAGCCACACGTTCTCGTTTTTCATTCACCACTTATTAGAATCTCCACAAGAAGCAGATTTCGCCCCTTTTTGAATATATATATATATATATATATATATGCAATATAAATACTGCTGGATGGCATGATTTCCCCAGAAGTGGAATTCCTAGGCCGCGGGCTTGACTAGTTCTCCCCATACTCTGGGAAGCATACTCCATGGCTTTTGGTCGCCTTGAATACTATCGATATTCTCCCATTCTCCAGCTGCCGCCACGATCGCTCTCATATCTCGCGTTAGATTGCAGCCGCCAATAAGCTTTCTCCAGCTTGGATTCCAGAAGTCTAGACGCCGTTAACAGCTGTCTTTGTAATATAAAGAGGTCTCACGGCAGCACTTACATTGGATTGCGGCAGTAGTACGGTCCGAGTTACGGTGATGCTCCCAGAATATGAACTTCCCACCAGGCTTAAGCAGCCGGTAAAGCTCCTTGATAACGGCTTCCGGGTTGTCCACCGAGCACAGAACCTGGATGCTCAGGACAGTATCCACACTCTCGGCAACAACACCATGCGTTTCTAGCACGTCGCTATCTTCCACACGGCATGTAACGAGCTCGTAAATGTCTTCAAGACCGTTTTTCTTGACCTGTGTCTCAATATCTCGTGTGAAGTGCGAGTTGCTCTCCACGCCCACGACACGAGTCACCTTTGTCCTGTCGAAGCGGTGCAGTTGGTTACCCATTCCGGGACCGAGCTCAAGTACCACACCAGTAGAAGCTGGGACAAGAACTGGGATAGTGGTTTGATTTTGCTCAAAGCGGCAAAAATGCTCATCTATTTAGCATTCAGTGTTAACCAGGCAAAGAACCTCCCCGGATAACTGTATTTGAGAATCCGAAAACACACTCAGAACTTTAAACCACAAATAAAACCCCGAGTCTAGGAGATATTTGAGGTTAAAAAGATCGGGGTATCTGCCACTGAAAAAGGCCTCTTTTGATTGGGCATAGATGGCTACGGAAACAGCGTCAGCGTAAACTTCGCTTCGTCAATGTTGCAATAAAATCTGCCGCCATACCCCAGATGCCATATCGGATGGGGTCCCATGGCTCGGTATAGCTGCGAAAGCGATCCATGAGGTTCCAAGGCATCGTGGAGCCTTAGAGTCAAGATAAGCATCGATAGAGTGGCAAACCTGACGTTATTTGGCAGGGTGAAAAGGAACAGTTCACATTCCGCAACAGTCAAAGGCTCCAGGCCTCTATATACCATTCGCCAATACAGAAGGCAGGATTTGAAATCTCGCGTAACACCACGAGAGTCGACCCGGTCGGTTAAAATCCTTCATTACAACACCGAATCATGAATATACCCGGCAAGGCGAGCTCTCGCTACTCAGTCAAGTGGATGGATATTTATAAATATGGCAGTGAAATGCTTTGTCGGGTCACCGTCTTGAGTATACGCCCACGCATATCGGCACTCATTTCCAATTGTGTCGATCTAGCATCGAAATCAAAAAGGGATTGATGCACGAGACGAACATATCAATCCGCCTACCACTCTAATAGCACTTAGGACCTAGGCTACTCATTACTCCGAGCCGAACTTCTAAAATATTGCCGGGAGGAAGTAATACAGCATGAAACTCGGGAGTTCAATCATGCATCTAACCTTTGCCCCTGGGCCTGCAAGGCACAAGTGGGGCGGCTCCGTTCCGGACTCGGCAGACACATCCTCTCACCAGCCCGCATCGGGCTGCGGAGGCATGCCGAGGCGGAATGAGAGGATTTAAGGTCCAAAGTTGGCCTTCTTACAGGAAGATTGGGGAACGTGCTAAAATATGCCTGTACTTTTTGCGTCATACTTATTAGGGAAGGACCTCGTAGGTGAGAAAGTCGATGCTCCTATAAATCGGCATAATCTGACAACCAGTACGCACAAGATGCTTGCCATCACTTTTCAGAGACCACCTAGTAAGATCCTAATTCTTTTTATTTCCCGATAACTCTCTCGTAAGCGGGTCGGGGGTGGGCTCAGTTGCAAAATTAATAGAAGCATTTAAAATCGAAAGTTAGCATTTAAGGGTGTTCTGACCCATTTCAGCCAGCCATCTTGTCTCCGACACTTGGGTATTGACTATTTTGGGATATCCGGGGCTTATTCTACTTTTATTACTATAGTTGAGGTGTTCTGTAATTGTGAACTACGATTGTAGTCAAACCGTAATGGGGCTCCACAAGCTGAAGCTGCTACACATCTCTTAGTCGAGGCCCAGACACTTGATCTTGCATCGTCATGTTGGATGTGGTCTCGACACGTAACACAACACGGCAGGCTATCCCCCAAACACCTCCGGAAACGTCAGCCGTTCATCAGAGAGAAGTTACCAAACCAAGAAGGCCAATATACCTCTTTTCATCGTAAGAATTCCGCGCCTGATCACCGCGCCACCCCCAAATGCATACTACCGCCCCATTCACCCAGGGTTTGGGCCAGAAATCATTCCTCCCTTCTCTGCTATTCCAAAAACTCTCTCCATCTCCTGAACAACACGATCCTAGGGAGATATCGAGTGTCAGTGATGAGCGGGGTGTTCCTGTACTGCGCCCCCAACTAGCGGTGGGTTAGATTGCGAGATGCCCTTGCGTGGATGAGCCGCATTTCAAGGATTGTGAGAATCCCTGTCGACTATCCCGCGTATGGAATGACGAGAGGGGATTATCTAGGCAACAATTGGCAAGAAAAATGTCTCTGCTTTTCGAAGTGATGGGGCTATACAGGTTCATCTTCCGAGACGAGAGCAAGAGCCATGTGGTTGGTATCCTAAACAGGCCCCTCCACCCTATGTGCATCACGTCAGCACCGAAGGTGTAAGATAAGCCCGGCAAACGTCTTGTTCTCCGCCTTGGATAGTAAGTCTCGTGAAATGCGTATCATGAGTTGCCAACTAGGGGGCCGTCTCGTTCATCTCGGAAGAATAGCGAGGCCAAAGGCAACTTTATCACCGAATATCCTTGGCGTGACTGGGGCCATCCTGAAGGGTTAGGACTTGCAGCGAGCTGGGTTATTGGGGCGAAGCTAAAGGCATCGAGTTGCAGTTTGAGGGTTGATTTGACCAACCGACGTCTCCATAGCACTTGCATCTGATCAATTGAGAAGGACGCGGGTCGGAACGTTGAAAGGGGATTCTGAGATGTATGAAGTGAGATAAGATTTGATGGCTTCAGTCCAAGTCAAGGTTGGACTCAGCTTGATGCGTGATGAGTGTGGGGTTGAGACTCCCTGACTAATTTCTGGAAGCCCAAATCTTCGCTGTCGGCGAAGTCAGTACTGCCTCGTTAGTGGCGGGGGCGGAGTGAATGCGTCACCAACGGCTCGAATAAGTGTACATTGGGGATCACAAGTGGTACGAGAACTAGTGAGTGGTTCCCTCCTCATTCTGCGCTAGGACAATGTACCACAAATTGATGGTCGAGGTCCATGCTTCAGCTGAGTAAATTGGAGCATTCCGACTTGCCCTTGTCCAATCAATCCTTCGGAAGAATCTCTCTCGTGCCAGGAATCACAATCTCTCTTCTTGGATGTAAACTACGAAAGAGGCACCAGGCGGGAACGGAGTGGCTGAGATGCCTGAGCAGCCTGAGCAGCCCGAATAACACTTCGTTGTGGAGTGTACCGCCGCCACACAGAGATTGTACATCGCCTTGCTGGACTTTTTCAACTTTCCAATTTGGGGCATTTGACACTGTTTCATCCATCTGCGATTTCTGTCGCTCCCGCCAGATCCCTTGCCTTGGTCCGGGCTGCTGGGGGATCCGCGTCGCCACTCATCGCGCCAAGAAATTCCTTCTCGTCACCACTTGTTGCCGTTGCTTCCTGGCGGCCTCGCACTCTCAATCTTCTCGCCCTTGCACCTTCCTGCTCTGAGGCAATTCACCAAGCACATGCCGGGAGGTCCAGTCTGGTCCCACAAACAATAGAATGAAGGTCGCTGTTTCCCATTTTAAACCGCTCTCGTCCCCTCCCTTTCGCCTTCCCCATCAATCCGACCCGGGCCACTCGACCTCTTCTTGACCTTGTTCCAATTGTCCAGTTTGTTTCATACGAAGTACTTGGAGTCACCCACACGTCACTCAACCTCGATCTTCGTCCTTTATTCCATTTTCTCTCTCTCTCTCTCCCCTATTTCCCCACGTGGATATAGGGCATCGGCGTTTTACTTTACCCACTCGACAATTCCATCGCAAGACTCCGAACAATCCGTCCAAAAGAGGCAACTTAAACATCTTCCACCTCCTGCACTCTTTTACACCACATCCACAACCACATCCACCACGCCCCACCTTCCCACATCTCTTCTTCCCAGCCTGGAAAGGCCCCTTCACCTTAAATGAACAGCACACGTCAACGTTGTCAAACAATGAGCAATAAAGAAATTCCTCATCGAGACGACCTTGTCGACTATGGCCATGCTGTGGCTGGACAGTAAGTTAATTTTCTCTCCCCTCCCTTTCTGCTACAGTCTACGATATCGACAACAATCATGGTTGGCAAAGGCATCCGACAAGCTATTTTCAAAAACCATTACTGACCGCTCCTGGCAGTGCTGGTGTCCTTTCAGATGCTGATGGGGAGCTTTTTATTAAACCCTGCACTCAGAAAGAAATTGATTTTTATCAGTCGGCAAGCGAGAAGTTTATAGAGTTTACTGAAATTATGCCTCTCTTCATGGGAACACTCTCACTTTCTGATCCTGCTGAGGTCAGCTCGGCCGAGGAAGATGTCCCGACCGGCGATGTCGCAGCCGCTCTACTGCAAGTGGCAGAGACTACATCTGCAGTTGCAGTACCACCAGTTGTCACTTGTTCTGCTGCTCAGGAAGCCACAGTGCCATCCACCTCGCAAGAAGGCGCTGCCAAGGACAACGTGACTTGGAAACCCAACAAGGACAAGCGCATCAAGACTACTCAAGCTATCGTGCTCGAAAACTGTACCCACGGCTACAAGAAGCCAAATGTCCTCGACGCGAAGCTCGGCGTCCGCCTCTGGGCCGACGATGCCCCGCTCCAAAAGAGGCAGAGGTTCGATGCTATTGCCGCGGAGACAACGCATGCGAACTACGGATGTCGCATTGCCGGTATGAGGGTTTACCAGGGTTCCCATGATAAGACCGAACTCAACGAGGATGATTATCGGGTATATGACAGGGACTACGGCAGGACACAAGTGAACAACGATACCTTTGTCGATGCTGTTCGGAAGTTCGTCTTCAACAACGCAGCGGGCATCGACGATGCCCTTGGCAAGGCTGTTTGCGGCGGATTCGCGCAGGACCTCAAGCGCATTGAGGAAATCCTTGAGAAGCATGAGAGTAGGATGTATTCTGCTAGCATTCTATTCGTCTACGAGGGCCATGGCGAGACGCTGGAAGCCGCAATCGAGAAAAACAATACCCTAGTGGAACGGATCGAGACTTTTGAGTTCAAGACATCCCGGATTGACAGCGGGATCGTGATGACAGAGTATTCCGAGGAAGAGGAAGAAATCACCATCACTTTCCCCAAGGTATACACCGTGAAGCTCATCGATTTTGCCCATGCCAAGTGGGTACCGGGTGAGGGCCCAGATGAGAACACCCTTACAGGCGTCCGAAGCCTCCGTCGCATATTCGAGGAGTTGGCCGCGTAAGATGGTTCGCGGCTTGAAGGGAAAAAGGAAAAAAGGCACAGGGCGAAGCTTAGACTCGAGCGTGTTTCTCAGTTTTCTTTGCATTTTTGTTTTTTACGTTTGCATGTAACAAGCGGTGACTTGGCATTCGCAAATACCCAACTGGATGATAAGGGCAGAGGGAGAGAGGAAAAAGCAGAAAAAGTGAAAGGAAAAAGAGAAGCGGGATAAAAGGCGGCATGGAAGCCTTCGATGGCATGTCCATAGAGATCCAGCCCAATGGAATGAATATATGAATGACGGCACTTACTCCATCTAGTATTCTACTCACCGCTCGCCCCATTATTGAGGCGAGGCTTCTCGAACTTACCAAAAGGAGTAGTGATATCGAGTCGGAACCCAGAGCCTCTCATCGATCTACTAAATTTCCCGCTGGAGAGAGACAAGCTTGTCAAGGCGAACTGCATCTTGGCCGCCATCTGCCATCTGAGTTGTTCGCTGACCGAACTTCTCTGCCGAGTATCTCCCTCCAGCACGGTATGACTGTGGCTTGACTCGGCTGCCTGCAGCACATTTCGTGCCCGTAACACCAAGACATCCTAAACTTGCGAATTATACATGGCCATCATAGCAGTGCCTGCATTTCTCGCCTCGCAAGTGCAGCCCCAAAACCTGAGGTGTCTCTCGAGTTCAGGTTTCTTCCTGTTTAACTAATTCCAGTGTCTGTACCGAGGTAACATAAACGGATTGTTTGCCTGACCTCCATTGAAGATATCCGAGACGTCAATAACTAGACTCTCCGGGTTCCTGGAGCAAGCTTGACATTGTTGTGGCTCTCATTCTCAGTTACTAACTATTTTCGGGACTTCCAAGCCTCTCACAGAAGAGTGGTAAAATGTAGACTCATTCTAATGGGAGCCGCTTAGAGTTGAATCAGGAGGGAGTTGTAGATCGTTTGCTCCTTCCATATATTGGAATCCGTTTGCTCAAGACGCAGACATCATTACCTCCACATATGGATGATGGCCTATAATGACCTACTTGTTTGCCCTTCTTACTATGAGCAAACATCAATTCCTTTTTTCCATCTTCTTTGGAGGCCAGTTCTATACCTCTTCTTTTACCAGATGAGTCTGTGATTTCTATTGCAATTGGCGAATTCAGGGCAGCTTATCCTCCTCCTTCCCAGTACACCCTCTCTGCCTCTCTCCTCGTCATAAGAGAGGAAGGTACAACTCTCAGAGCCATCAAGAAAACCCCCTACAGGTCTGTATTCGGCGCAGATCTAGTGGGCACTTTCTTGGCTTGTCCTCATCTCTCCCCTCTTCTTCTCCTACCATTGTCATCTAATTCCTCACAAAAGACCTCATCTAACATCTCACAAGCTCATCATGCAGCTCACCTTTCCAGACGATAGGGTCAAAAAGTCCCACCTACCCGATGGTGGTGATATAGGCTTGTGCTCTGGCTCTGGCTCCAACAACGTGGATCCTACCCCCCAGTCCACAAATGAACCTGTTGAGAGCCATGCTCCTACGACCTCTTCCACCACTGTCGGAAATAATCCCAGCATTGAAACCATCACTGAACCCATTACTTCCACCGACACTGGTGGCTCCCTTGCTGTTGGCACCAGTGAAGCCCTTGAGACCAACGAAGTTGATGATGATCGCCAAGCTCGAGTAAGGGCCAAAAGGGCTCGATACAGAGCCAGAGCCAAGGCTCGAAAGGCTAGCGAGTCTGAAGATACTGCCAATGGCGGTGGTGAGATTGTTGGAGGTGCCGAAGTTGATGCAATTGATAGGTCTCCGGTTGAAGGCACTAAGAAAAAGAAGAAGCGTGCGAAGCGCAGGAAGGCGTCGTCCGGCACTGACGGGATGGATGAGATCAATGTGGAGGAACTGGCCATCAATGATGGTACTACTGATGGTTTGTATTTTGCATCACTCATCCATCTCCAATACCATCTGCCACTGCTACATTTTCCGAGATCAACGCCTGGCTAACTAACCTACAGACGAAGGAGATATGGGCAAGATGGATACTCAGTCGACCTCGACCATCGCCTCTGACGTCCGGGAAAAGAATGAGCCTGGACTCTATAGCCCGTAAGTTGTCTTGCTGGACTCAATCGCCCTTGTTCGATTCTTTGAAATGCTAACGCTCTTTTCCCAGGGACCTTCCCTTTCCTCAGTGCGTTTCCACCGCTTAGTGATACCGTTGGCTTTAGAGAATATCATGGGCTAACGACAGGAAATGAAGGCGCCTCGAGATTTGCATCATGCGCTTCCGCGAGCAGGCAAAGCTTGATCAAAAGAAATCCAAGTTCTTCAACGAGTATTTATTCCTGGGAGGCGTCAACGCCCACGTCCCTCTCAGCTATGGCAGTGACAGCAAGGCTATGGATGAGGGAGACGTTGTCCAGGCCCATCTCGTCGCCTCAGAGGGCAAGCTTTACGGCTCGCCTGATGACCTCCAGTACTATGATCCCAATGACCCTGGTGACTGGTCTGTTGACTGGTATAGAGTGGTGGCCGGCTACATCTCCGAGGCCGTCCCTCGAATGATCTGGCAGACCGAGACCGATCCAAAGGACCAAATGCTTATCGCCATCGACGTTGTCGCGGACTTTTTGAAGTACGTGCTGAAGCACAAAGTTTGCGACGAATACAGCGACGACATCAAGAAGGCTCTCGGGCTTTGTGACGAAGGAAAGACTGACATGGCCACGATCTTTGACTGCACTCGAAAGCTACCCAGCTTCTTCAACGACGTTCTCCTGGGCCTCTTCGCTGGTGACGGCAACGACAATACCCCGTTCCAGATTAGCGATGCGACGAAGTGCAACGAGAGGGAGCTTCTTCTGATGGCGGCGGTCGGAGTTCACGCCCTGCCCCACGTATACGCCAACATGCGCAGCACCTCGGTCATCCAAATCACCAATGTCCAAGAATTCGATCTTCAGATCCTGGGTGTTCATCGATCGAATCACCAGCAGACCATGCTTTTCAACTCGCATCTCAAAATCCATGGAATCGACAGCGACCTTAACCTCGGATACGTCACCGTCAAACATGTTGTTCTCCCCAGCCTCGTGTTTGACGGAGAGCCTGCGCGAGTCCCCCGCAAGGGTGTTGACCGCATCATCATGGAGGACAGTATCCTCCAGCACTTGAAGCGGGGATTCTTCATCCGCGTGAGACTTGCCGAGCTCAACATTGGCCTCATGTTCATGGTTGAGTGTCCCACCATTCTTCCGTGCTTCCAGACCCTGTTGCCCCAGGTGCTTATGCGTCGCTATAAGCGAGGTCCTCCGCGCAAGGCCGCTCGTACCGTGAAGGATTTCTTTGACGAGGATTTGTACAAAAATTAGTTAACTAAATCCATTTGACCTACTCGATCTGGGCCGCAGGCGCCGGTCGGAGAAGATACGAATGAGAATCTTGAAAAGGGCGGAAGATTGGAGAATGTACATTAGTTCTGCGGTCCTTAAGGACACTGCCAATAAAAACTTCGTCAAAATTCAAATTCTGCGCAAAAAAAACTTGAAAATGATATACACTACCGGCGACCTTTGGAGCGTGATATAATGAATGACAATCCTAAGCGTAATACATACTCCAATTGATCGCGAAGTGACTGCGATACGGCAATCATATCCCAACCCTTAGAAGCCATGTAGTGTCGGTCGGCTAGGGATGGCGAATTGCACGCTCGCTGTTACCGTCCCAACACTTAGAAATGAGAAACAAAAACAAGTCCGTCCGTCCGCCCATGCTATAAAGCTCCGTGAAACGCCATATAATTCAAGGTTTGGAAGATCACACACAATGCCTCCTATAGAAGTAACTTTAGAGGCTAGAGGAAATCCCCATCCACTAGACAGCTAGGGCGGTCTAGAGCGGGTAGATCGATAGTTCGGTCAAGAGGCGCTTAAGGAGCCTGAATCTTGTTGTCTCCAGCTACAACCTCGGCGTAACTTGGAGGGCAGGGCGCATTGCTGCTAGAACCTTCAGCATTGGCATGGACATTGGGGCTCTGCTGAGGAGCAGAGTGTGGAGCAGACTGCGGTGCAGGGGCGACGGTTCCATAAGAGATGTGCGGCTGGCGAGGAGGCGGGCTTGTAGCGGGACTCTGGATGACGACGTATGTCACACGACTTCCGTCCTCCTGGTCTATGGTATCATATTCGAAGATCGGATCGGGGTATTTTGCGATGATGTACCACGCATGGAGGAGGCCGGGGATCTAGTTACTGGGTTAGCAAGGCTCGTCCCGCGAGGTTTGGCGTAATAGAAGGTCATTAACATACGTAGCCAAGGCAGAGGAGAAGGATGTTGATCAGGGAGTCGGTGGAGCAGATGCCACGCTTTACCCAGACTATATGATATTATTAGCGATCGCCGCAAAAAGCGCAGCGCCGGGGGAGGAGACGTAGGGGTTATCGCCTTGCCCGGCGTGCTGAAGGTGGCGGGGTTCCCGGATCGTGATAACTCATACCTGGTAGAGGAGGGAAGAGAATGGCGAGGATGCCGAGGAAGATGTCTGGGGTACACATGGCGGATATTGAGCGGAGGAGTTGAGGGACGAGGTTCGTAAATGGCTGTAAATCGATGTTTTCAAAGATCGGAAGAGCGATGGTGAGTAGGCAAGAATCATGAGAACATGAGGTTGGTCGGAGGGCTCCCAGCCGAATAAACGGGCGAATACGAATGACGAATGACGCAGCGCGGGGACCTGGAGGATTACGCCGGATTCAGGCCAGGTGATCAAGGCGAAGATAATAGCGTACTAACTTCCTAGTATGCCAACTACTGCTTAAGCTGTTAGCGACGGATCGTTTTGTTTTGAAGCATGCCACTTGGTTCAAGCAGCTGACGGACAACTGCCAACAGTCCTATCCAATTGAGTTCCAACCAGCCTTCAGCAAGCTTCGTTCCAAGAAAATGAACAAGAACGAGCAGAGCTCAGTCTAGACCGAGCATAAAGGAGGTTTTGGAACGGGGATTTAGCATCTAATTTTGGTTCTCATGTAATCTCACTCTCTGAAGCGATTCACTGCAGGCTTTAAATTAAGCATCCTATTTATGGTGGGATGGTCTTCCATCTCCTTCCTGGTTGCCTTTGTTCCGTCCCTGACATCTAGCCCAATCAACAGAGCTACCTGCAGTCGCGGAAGTATTCGAAAGCGGATTTGACCCCCTTTGAAAACTGGGCAAAGCTGGGATTCCAAGATGGCTGCTATTCCTGGGCTAGGGTTGATGGAGGAAGCGGTAAAGTCGACCCGATGATAACCAAATCGATTGTAGAGGATTAGAGCCTGACATCTTATCTCTAGGCCCCGGCCGTTTCCTCTACGCGAGAGATCGAGCTTCCGCCCTTTGGACAGTTCTGCTTCGAGGTTGGCTTTGGTAGCCCCGGTCTGACGGTGAAGCTCATCTCGGGAACCGCCGAAAAGGACGGTACCGAGCTGAACCTGAACCATCCGTACCACTTCTCCAGCATCAAGACCAACATCCTAACTCTCCAAGGATGCAAGTTAGAAGTCGACGGAACCTGCGACAAGGAATGGGTTATCAAGGATGTCCCGCCTGCCGAGAACGTTCCTAACATGTACGTCAACATACATTTTGGGCTTCACCACGAGCGGCTCAAGGCTGCCGCAACAGGTCGCACCGGCCCTAGGGTCTTGATCGCCGGCACACCGAATTCAGGAAAAACCACCTGTGTGAAGACACTGGCTTCCTATGCCACGAAGAGGGGAGATCAACCGTTGGTGGTTAACTTAAACCCCGACGAAGGCATGTTAACGCTGCCAGGGACCCTGAGCGCCGCCGTCTTTGCCTCGATGATGGATATCGAATCGCGACAGGGCTGGGGTGCAGCCCCGGCTAGCGGACCCGGATCTATCCCACCAAAGTTACCGATTGTCCACTTCTACGGACACCAGAATATCGAGGATGATGCTGGTCTTTATAGGGAGATAACGACGACAATGGCCGAGTCGGTATCGGCAAGGTTGTCTGAGGACCCGAACGTCAAGAGATCTGGTTTGATTATCGATACCGCAGGCATTCAACCCGATAGTATGGAAGGCCTGGATCTGTTGTCGCACATCATTTCCGAGTTCTCGGGTGAGTATTTATGTCCTAGCGCGAACGCTCCTGTCCCTGGCAATCTTGCTAACCTTGTTCTTAGTGAACATTGTAATCACTATTGACTCACAGGGCCTCGAGGAGCAGCTCAAGGAGATGCTAAAGGACGAAATGGCACATTCTGAAGAGCAAATACATATTGTAAACATCTTCAAATCTAAATCGATCCCCGAAAGGGATGAGCTATGGTTACTTCAAGAAAGAGAGGCGGATATCAAGGAATACTTCTTTGGCGATTCGAGAATGGTGCTGAGTCCTTCAACACAGCTTGTTGACTTTGACAGCCTGACAATATTCAAGCTCCCTGAGAGTAAGCTCCCCCCTTCCCCCCCCGAACACCCTGTAATGCATTGAAACGGACGAAAATGGAGCTGACCAAAATGGCGTCCTCAAGACGGCGAGTACACACCGGATGCTAAAGCACTGGAAAGAGTCAAGCCTACGGCCGACATGGTACACTGGACGCTAGCTATCATGCAGGCTTCGGTCAAGGATACCGCGGAGACGATCCGGACGTCTCTCGTTCTTGGATTCGTGTACGTCGCGCATGTCGATGTTGACAAGTCCAAGATAAAACTCTTAGCGCCGCTGCCCGGAAGGCTTGGAGATCGACCGCTCATCCTTGGGAAATGGCCGGAGCCTCATGTCAACCTCCTCGGCTGAACACCCTGCCTTTCCCCTCTCGCGACTAGATTCTAGATACCCAATGAAAGGAGAACAGAGGAGCGATGAAATTAAACTGATCATTATAAATGCGTCTATGAAAATTACACGCTGGCCAATGCATTCCTATTTACAAGATCTTCATGAAATCGTTCAACGTAATCGGCCGTCGCACCGCATTATTGAGTCCTTCGTTATACTTGACCCACACCTTCACTTTGCTCTGGCTACTGCCTGAGCTGCCGCGGTTCACGTCTCTCTCCTTTAGCGGCGCGGACTCCTTGATTATTCGACCGAAGAAGTCTCGCTTGACTTTAGCTTCAGGCACCGTGCTCTCTCCGGAATCTATGTTCTCCTTGTTACTCGAAGCAGTGATGAGAGGCGCTGGGGTTGTCGCGTTTTGTTGACCAGGCTGGGATGCATCTTGGAACCTGGCTTGCCTGGCGGCTTCGGCTCTCGCGACTGAGACTTTAAGAAGCTCTTGGTCAAGGACTTGACGGACGGCATATCGGGTGGGGACGTGGGATGTCAAGGAGGTTCGGGAAAGAGTCTCGAAGTCGGCAAGTTCATCCAAGTCTCTGCAATTCATATCTTAGCTTCTGTATGCGAGGTGCTCAAACGGTATCTGCGAAATGAACTTACGGTTCCATTCGGTAAACAAACTGCGGCCCGCGGCTTGACATTGCCTCGCCCTCGAGTCGACCCTTCTGCAAGGCAATGCCGACTTCTGCCATTACCTCAGCGGCGCGTCGGACCATCTTTTTCTCGCTATCCTTGCGGACACTGGCCGTGCTCGTTCCCTTGATGCCTCCGCCTCCCACAACGACAGGATTGACGGCTGGCGAAACCATCCGGACGAGGTAGGGGATGAACTCTGTAGCCATATCCTCAGGGCTTCGGAATAAGCGCGCCAAAGTGGGAGTGAACTCCCCTTGCATCGCTTGCAGCATGCTCCTGTTGTGTTTCTCCGACTCGTGGGCATTGTACGACGCACGCGGTCCTGAAAATCGTGACTGTGGTTCTTCTTTGTCATCGGCACCCCATTTGTGATCATATGTCGACCCATAGGCACGGATAGGGGATGCGAATAGGTTATGGCAAGCGAGCACGGGCTGACTGAGATACGGAGCAAGTTCCCATTCTTGGCCAGAGTAGAGCCTCGTCGAGCAAGAATCGAGGAAATGCAACCAATCGTACGCCTCGTTAGGCTTGGTGAGGTAACAGTCGTCATTAAACTCATGATTGGGATACTCGGAAATGATGTCCGACATGACGCGGTCAATATCTCCACTCGTCTCCACCATCTGCCGAAGCATTGCCATTCCGCTCCTCTTGTGAAGCTCGGAAAACCCGAGTTGTTCCTTTGGCTGCTCGTGGCGAAGGTGGGCGTCTTGGGTAGTCTTTAGGGCCTGGCGAGGGAAGCCTGCGCCTTCTTGAAATACCCTGGTAACGATATCCTTCACGCCGCCACGGCCCATCCCGCGTGCGCCGGCGCCGCCGTTCGTTAGATCTTGCAGGACGTGTTTCTCAACCCAGTGTCTTGTGAGCTTAGGACCGTCGTCGGGCATATTTCTGAACCTTCCAGCCACCCATTCCCCGACGACCATGACACCTCGCAAGTCACCTTGCACGGTACTCTCTGCGCCGCGTCTCGTATCGAGTCCACTGGACATACCCCAGGCGGCTTCACAAAGTTTCCTTGCTGCATCTTTTTCACAAGGGATACCCTCCTTCTCAAAAACTAGTGTCAAACGACCTACGACGGCATCAATAGAGGGCTTTCCGGCGTGGATAATCTCAGCTAGGCCCGATTGACGCAACGGTCGAAGAGAAGGATGATAGACATCGTTGCAAATTAGGATAAGAGGCCGTCTCTGCCGGAAATCATCACCCTTTTTTCGGCGTCGACTCGTAGTCTCCAATTTCTCCGTGGTCGAGGAGTTCTTCTGGTCAAGCAGGGCAAGGTCCACAAGGGCTTTGATGAAACCGCCTTCTCCAGAGGCGCCAGATCCGGTGGTCACCCCGTCAACCTCGTCGACAATGACGCAAACGGGTCGAGCAGGCCTCGACGGTTTATCCCCAGGCCGCTTGCTATTAGTAACAGTCTTCACGTTCTCCGTCCCCAGACTGGTGCGGATGCGGTTGTTAACCACGTTCTTGCTCCTGTCATCGCTTGCGTTGATTTCTACGACCTCGTAGCCGGCCTGCCTTGCGCAGACGTGAGCAAGTGTTGTCTTTCCAAGACCTGGAGGCCCCGTAAGAAGCAGAATTTTCTTGTGCGGCTTCTCATGCTCCGGTTCTTGATCTCCGGGCTTGTGTGACGCGAAGAGTGGCTTCTTGGGCTTGGGCTTGGCCGAGCCGGGGAAGACGATAGGGTCCCAACGCTTAATCCACCTCAGGACCAGGCGATTTGTCCCGTCATCGCCGCAGAGATCCGTGAACTTTCGGGCCCTGTATTTTTCAGTCCATAACAAAGTCTTCTTTGACTTCTTGCCCGTGGGTTGAGCAGTAGTGATGACAGATGTAGCGCAAGGGTGAGGTAGAGTGGGAGTGGGGCCCTTCTCCTGTTGGTTCTTGATCTCAAGGGATGCCAGTCGGACCAAATCATGAATCTCAATTCCATAATACGCGCGCTTTGCTCGCCCCTCCTTCGTCTTCGACCGCGCGGAGACCATGCTCTCGTATGAGACAGGCGCACTTTGTTTGCGCAATCCGATGGCTGCGGTTTGCCCGCCGCACGTCTTAAGCCTATATGTTCGCGTCGCGCTCATGAGGTTGGATCGAAACTGGGATATTTGGCTGAATTGAAGCCGATCGGTCTCACGTTGTGTCGGGAAATCGAGGGACTCTAGCTGTGCATCTTGCTGTTGCGAATCCCTGGCGAACGGACTCTGGAATTCTAACGTGTCTGTGGGCAGAGAAAAGGATATGGCATCTCTTGTCTTCCTCGGCGGCTCAACCATACGCTTCTTGGGTAAGGGCTGAGGATCCTCGATTTCGTCGTCAGAGTCGGCGTCCATCATGAAGCCACCAACCGTTCGCGGTGCAGCAGGTCTGGTCGAAGGTGCTTCATTCTGGCGGGCTCGCTTCATCCCCAGCGACGCGGGACTGCTCGGGGGGTATAGGATCGGCGATGAAGCCATTGCAGAATGGATAGAGAGAAATTTATAGACCTTCTAAAGGGAAGTTCTATGAGATTGACTCGCACCAGAAGAAAGACAGCCGAGTCAAACAAGCTGAGGTTTTTTGGATTGGTTTAACACGAGCAGATGAGGGTGGGCGACGCTGTGGGACGCGTTAATGGGATGAGGATGGACGCGTCCAGATGTGGATCACTGTGCATAATAGTTCGCACTGTCAATTGTCAATTGTCAATTGTTACTCGCATCAAACCACAAATCCGAAACCGAGAAGAGAAGACATCGGAAGCACTAATATCGGTAAGGCAAATAAAGTAGATATCTTTCGTTAATGTACATGTTCGTGGGGTATTCCTGTCTACCATTTTCACACTATATTTTGATACATTCGAATTTTTCCTCTAGGCTCCGTTTCTAACCCGTCACGCACTAAGAGGCGGGTGGGTGTGCCCGGCGAAGAACTTCTTCGACTCCGCGCACCTTTCGCTCTTGCATCCGGGGCAGTGCAGCACCATCTGAGGCGAGCAGACGTGGCCGCCATGAAGATGCTCCTTGGCAAGATCCGCAAGGGCCCTGATGAAGACGGGGCTTCCGTTGAGACTTTCCACTCGCTTCACAGTCTCCGGATGGCCCGAGTCTCCGATTACTTCATAATCAAGCTCATAAAGCGTCTCGATGTGATCCGAAGTAAAGGCAATAGGCACTAGGACGAGATCCTTCTTTCCCCTCTTTACGTATTCTTCTACAGTCGTTGCAGTTTGAGGCCCGAGCCATGGCTGGGGTCCAACTTGAGACTGCCAGCAGAGTCGATAGGGATTGGAGAAGTTCAGGCGTTGCATAACGTGGTAGACCGTGGCCGCAACCTCGGCCGGGTATGGGTCGCCTGCCACGGTAAGTTAGTTTCTTTGGTCCAATAAGAATGAGGAGAAAGACAAGCGCATACCTCGATTCACTACCGACATTGGCAAGCTGTGTGCAGAAAATAAAAGAACGACATGCTTTCGGCGCTCCTCTGGATATTCTGCTAGCTTGGCTTCAATGTTTTGCGCGAACGCCTCAACCAATCCAGAATGGGCGGGCCACCGGTCGATGACGCTCCATTGGATAGTCCCGCTTGTGTCCAAGCCCGCCTCCCTCGCGGGCTTGCCTTCTAGCCTCTGCCTCCACTTCCAAAGCTCATTCAAACTGCTTCCAGTCGTAGAGCAAGAGTATTGTGGATATTGCGTAAAGGCGACAGCGCGACCGCCTCGGCCATTACCGAACCCATCGTCAAGGAGTTTCTGATACATCTCCTCGGTCAATGGATCGGCATAGCGGAAAGCGACGTAAGGTTTGTGCGGTGCGGTTTCGGGAGATATCTCGTCTAGAATCTTGCACATTTCGGCATTCTGATGCTCGGACCATTTGCGAATTGGAGATCCGCCACCGATAGCGGCATATTGTTGTTGAATTTTCGGGGTCCGGCGTTTGGAGATGAGGGGTCCGAGATAGTTTTGTAATCGACCGAGAGGAATCAAATCGCCATCGGCCTAAGTCTGCCATTAGATCTTGGGCCACAAAAGCCAAGGGGGTCGGAGGAGGTGCGCCTACAAATAACCGACTGAGGAAGCTCTCAACTTCGTCAGTCGTCGATGGACCGCCCATGTTGAGGAAGACCATGGCAGTGGGGCCCTTGGACCCTGTCGCATCTTGTGTGACTGGGTGCGCATGGGTTGTCAAAGAACGGGAGCGTGCCGGCGTCCGCTTTGTGAGGGTCAATGAGGCTGAGGCTTGCGGCAATCGAGTCGAGGATAGGTTTCGAGCAATGCTCTCCGGGAGCTTGCTTAAGGGCTGGCGGAAGGCCATTGTGACGGCGGAGAAAACGAGTGGAGAGTGGGAGAAGGGAATGAGAAATATCGAAGAACGGGGTAATTAATGTGTTAAGGATGAATTCTGGCTTTCATTGGCAGTTAAGTCGATGCCAAGGTTAGTTTCGAAGTCGCCCGAGAGTGGATGGTCCGAAAAATTATAAGGCCGCCCATGACTCTCCAAATTGGCCACCGCCGCAAGCTCAACAACGGTAGTTCAGGATCTGGAGGCAAAAAGCCGAGTCGCTTGCATGAGAACTCCGGAGATACCGTATCCGGGGGCAATTGTTAGTGCACTAACAGAATAAGTTTGAGTGTCAAGAAATTTCCGCGGAGATGCTGCCTGCTTTGTTAAAATCCTTCTCCGCCAATTGAGGCCAATCATTGCTGGCCAATTCAACGGAGGTAGTAAGCTAAATTTCACGTGCCTTCGCGTTGGCAGGCAGGCGCAGGGCGCTGAGGTCAATCGCGATGGTCCAGGCAGTCATCGCGTAGAGCTAGAAAAGACACCGTCATCCAGGGTCAGTTTCTTCTTCTTTTTCAACCAATTCTCAAGGTCACAGCTCCAAACCATCGAAACAATGAGTGAACGCGAGCCATGGCAGCGTGGCGATGATGATGAGATTGATGAGGAGGTTGATGAGAGCGTGGGTCTAAGTTATAACACCAATCACACCCTAACGACGATCTACTTACGATAAGCTAGAATTACAAAACGCAAAAAGATGCAGTACTCATCGCAATTGAAGTGAGCGAGTCTATGCTCACTCCTCCTCCAGCTTCTACGAAGAAGAAGGCCGACCGAGATAGCCCCCTGACTGCTGCTTTGAAATGCGCCTATCATCTCATGCAGAAGCGCATCATCTCTAATCCTAAGGATATGATAGGCGTCTTATTATACGGCACAGAGAAGTCGAAGTATCAGGATGAAGATGGCGATTCAAATGCGCCTGTCTATCCCCATTGCTACCTTTTCACCGATCTCGATATTCCCGCCGCAGAGGACGTCAAGGCCTTACAGTCTCTGGTTGAGGATGACGAGAGTGACGAGGGGATTCTAGTGCCTAGCAAGGAACCCGCCGCCATGGCCAATGTTTTGTTCTGCGCGAATCAGATATTTACCACCAAAGCTGCGAATTTCGGGAGCCGCAGATTGTTCATCATCACCGACAACGATGACCCTCACGCCACAGACAAGCAGGCCAAGTCCGCTGCCGCGGTAAGAGCCAAGGATCTGTACGACTTGGGTGTGGTTATAGAGCTATTTCCAATTATTCGCGGAGATAGCGAATTTGACATGGCAAAATTCTACGACGTAGGTCTCAGAACTTCACTTTCGGTTAATAAGAGAGTTCATTAACAACTAACTCACTCCATCCAGGACATCATTTACAGAGATGCTGCCGCGGAGGCGAACATGTCGGAAGTCTTGAAATCCAAGTCCGGAGGCGGACTGAGTCTTCTAAACTCCCTAATTGCCAATATCAATTTTAAACAAACAGCAAAGCGGGCTCTCTTTTCTGGTGTAGCATTCGAGGTTGCTCCGGGTCTCACGATATCCGTCAAAGGCTACAATGTGATCAGCCGCCAGAAAGAGGAACGCAGTTGTTATATCTGGCTGGATGGTGAAGTACCCCAGATAGCTGTCGGAGAGACTACCAAGGTGTCAGAGGACACCGCCAGGACTGTCGAGAAAGCAGAGATGAAAAAAGCCTACAAATTTGGTGGCGAATACGTCTATTTTACACCAGAGGAGCAGAAATCATTGAAGGACTTTGGCCCAACCACGATCAGAATAATTGGCTTTAAACCACGGTCAAGTCTCCCCTTCTGGGCCAGCGTTCACAAGTCCTCTTTCATCTTTCCGAGTGAGGAGCACTACGTGGGATCTACCCGAGTCTTCACGGCCTTGTGGAAGAAGCTCCTGAAGGATGACAAGATGGCTGTTGCGTGGACCATTACGCGGTCCAATGCCAAGCCTGCCCTAGTCGCCATAATTCCCTCTCGAGATCGAGCGGATGAGGAATCGGGTACGCCTTTCCTCCCCGCTGGGCTGTGGCTCTACCCCTTACCTTTCGTCGACGATATCCGCAACCCGCCAGACATGCCAGATCCGGTGCAAGCCTCGGATGCTCTCGTGGATAAGATGCAAATCATTGCCGAGAACTTGTGGCTCCCTAACCGCATGTACAACCCGTCCAAGTATCCCAACCCCCAACTTCAGTGGCACTACAAGATCCTCCAAGCCTTAGCTCTCCAAGAAGAGGTCCCCGAGACGCCCGAGGACCTCACGATCCCAAAGTACTCTGCAATCGCGAAGCGAGTCGGTGGACATATCAAGGATTGGCAGGCACTCGTCAACGAGGAGGTCGCGCATGTGAAAAAGCTAAGCGCAATCAAACGCAGTGCTGATGACGACGAGGTTGAGAAGCCGAGAAAGAGGACAAAAGCCGAGAGCAAGCCCTCGTCTTCCGGGATGAGCGATGCGCAGGTCAAAGCGGCTAGCGAAGCTGGGAAGTTATCAAAGATGACGATGGCGGAGCTAAAGGATGTTCTTGCCTGCAGGGGCTTGCCGATACTCGGCAGGAAAGCTGAGCTCGTCGAGAGGTTGGAGGAATGGGCTGATGGGAATGCCTAGTCTAAAGGCACAGGCTGGAACTTCCTCGAGCTTAGGGCTCTGTATAACGTGTATGAAAAACTGTATTATTATGTTTCCTTAATTATGAAACTTCTCTTTGGGTCTTTTAACTTTGAAAAATGGAACAGTAGCTCCATCATTTTGTGTGCAGGTCGTCGCAACAACTTAACGACTTGCTTGTGACGAGAGAGAGAGATGCGTATCCTCACAGAGAAGTGTGGGTTCACAACAAAACTCCAAGTTTATTGATTTGAGCTCATTCTTATCTCCATGATCTCTTTGCTTGAAACAATCAAAACAGAAGTCAAATTTCTAAAATAAATTCGGCAACCTTGTCCGAGTCCATCTCTTCCATCATTCGGAAAATTAACCTCGCGGAGTCAAGAATATTGACAGCTGTCAACACCTGTATGAAGGTACCGTTCCCACTTTCCTATTTAGCTCGATACAGAGTACGCGCTCCACGACAAACCGCCAACGTCGACGCTCACGACGGACGCCACCTTCTGACGAAGGACCCGACCATTGCTCATCGCCCGCCCAGTGCGCTCCTCGGGGGCATGGCCAGCCAAAGATGGCGGATATATTCAGCATCTTGGGTCAGTCGTTGAAGCAGACTGCTAACGGCTCGTCGCTCTCCGGCTCCTCTATCGACGACCTCCAGGCGCATCTACGCAAGGCCCTCGAGACAAAAGTATCGGCGGCGAAAGCCGAGCATATTTCATTTACTTACGAGCTTCACTCCGCGACGCGCTTCACCATCCCGAGTTCCCAGAACGAAAATGAGCCCTTCAGCGCGCTCGACGGGGGCGTCACTCCGATGTCCATACCTGACGGTTCCAACTGGCCGTCGCGCATTATTTCGGCGAACGAAACGATTATGAACCAGCCGCAGGATGACCCCGTGTTGCAGAAGCTTGTCGCGAGGCATATTGCTACAGCGGTTGGTGCGTGTGACGGCGGCTCTTGGGTTGTGAGGGAAGTGTCGAGAAAGCCCCATGGATGGACGTTCACCTATATCTGCAAGCACTCGACACAGGCGTGGCTTCGCCAGAACGCAAAGAGTGTGCAGAATATCATTGTCTGCGACTATAGCGCGAAGGAATTAGACCCTATCTCTGCAAGTACGTACGCATACAGAGGAAGAGGGTGGGAGTGTGAAGGCGGGTGTGATGATGCTAACTTCTAGATCCAGGTCGGCCCGCATTTGACTGCCGAGGGGCTTTGATTATCTCGTTTTCTAGAAGTTCTCGAAATATCACGATTAAATACAATCATACTCCCTTCCATAAGACTGTCGCCGAACTTCTCGTACTCTTCGCGCCGCCGCCTCGACCCACTGCTCCCGCTGTCGTTCCAACACCAAAGAGCGCCAAACCTAGCCGCAAGAGAGATGCTCCTAACGGTTCCGAGGATGGAAGCGCAAGGAAGAGGCCCCGGACAAAGAAGAGTAACGGCACTGCAGCTAGTGGTGAGCAAGGGTTACCCGATGCGGATGGCTCTACGCTGGAGATCACCATGCTTGATGCATCGACGCTCAGTACTCCTGGAGGTGAAGCCGCTGGTGAGGGTTCTGCGAGGCCAAGGCCAAAGAAGAAGAGAGCCCCGAGGCCCTCGAAGAAGAAGGTGAATGAGCAGTCCGGTGATACAGCATCCGCAGCCAATGATCAGACTCCAAATGAAACGGTGCCCGGGGCGGCGACTACGATGATGACACAGATCAACGTTGATCCGGAGGAGGCAGAACGAAGACATCAGAGGGCCATTGAGCTTCTACAGGGTGCTGGAATTGATCCCAATACACTATCGTCCGATCAGTTCAATATCTTTGCGAACCAATCTCCCGCACTGCAGCAGGAGTCGCTAACGATGTTGATCCAATATGGTGCCGAGAGATTAAGAATCGTGCATCCGAATAAGGATTCCTCAGCGGCGACCCAGAATTCTCCAGCTGCTGAGCCAGCAGCCCAAGCTAGCGAAGCTGATGAATCCGCGTTGGGGGATACTTCCTTGCCTCAAGAAACTCAATCGACTCCCGGCGCTAAGACAGCCGGCAAACAGCGGTTGACGCGTGGGTCTTGCTCAAATTGCAAGGGCAAAAACAAAGTAAAGGTATTGTTGCTTTCTATCCTCATCGCTCGAAGTTCTGCCTCTAACTTGCTTGATTATGCAGTGCGGCAAAGAAAAGCCGGCATGCCGAAACTGCATCGATGCAGGTGACGAATGTGTCTACCCCCTTCAGAAGGCCAGACCCGCGAAGCCGAAGTCGGCTGCCACCATGATCGAGGACGCAGATGTGGAGGTGGAGGCGGACATAGACGCAGAAGTTGAAGCCGAGACTTCGCATGTGCCTGGGGAGGATGTCATGACGCCCCATGACCTGGACAACGACCCGCAAGCCATCATTACTGATACTCCTCAGCCTCATTTTATCCAGCCTTCGAATAGCTTAGGCGTTGGCTCGACCACTCAACAGGACGGTCAGAATGTCCCAGTCCATCCATATCCCGAGTTCGTTTCTCAACTGTCCCAGCCTCCTGAACCAACTTCAACTCCAGCACCAGTTGTTGCCCCATCGATGGCCCAAGAGCCCACCGAGGCTAAGAAGAAGAAGAGGCGCCGTACCTTACCCTCGGCGCCCATAAACAAGAGGAAGAACGACCACATTCCCCTCGCTCTCCCAGAATCTCCAGCCACCAGCGCTTGGGGAACGGCCACCGTCAATCCCTCAACGTTGATGAATCCGTCCGGCGGAACCAATCAAACGACCACGACCACGACTCCGACCAGCACGTCGCAATCCTATCTGAACACCCAACATGTAGCTGCGGCTACGCATGCCATTCTCCAAGAAGAGAACAGAAGGTCGTCGACCCATGCAGCCCAGAAATCTCAGACCGGACGATCTCCGTACCAAGTTACAGCACCAGCTCCTAGGGCCAAGTCACGGCAAAGCAACCGCGCTCAGAGCCGTACTCCCGTTCCGGAGAGAGCGCCATCCCGCGCGTCCAATACATCTGCCCTGCAGTATCAACAGCAAACGCAGCCGCGAGCACAGCAGCAAGCTGTGACGGGAGCGACTGCAATAATGGGAGTAGGTGTAGATTCTTCCGCGCGCCAGAACAGTGGTAGTTCTCGTACGGCGCAAACGACTACGAGGAGTCCAGATGTTGCGACGTATAATGCGGCTCCCTCAATGAGTGGGCTGGGAAACTTTAACTATACGGAATTTCCTTCGCAGACGCAGAACGAAAGCGACCAGACGAGTCACCGCATCGCCTACGAGCCGTACTCTAATCATCCTACGGCGGCTTCAGCGAATAACCAGTCGTACACGTATGATAATTCCAATCGCTCGTCGACATCCAACGCCACCGGACTGTCCTCGTCTGCAACCCAGTCGAGGACGACGGGCTACTCCGCCTCCACTTCTACCTCAGCATCACATTGGGGTCAACAGCAAATGACCAACACGAACAGCACAGTCCCATCCACCCCTTCGACCTCATCGTACTCCCAACCCTCTCTTACCGCCCCAGTCTCGTCGTACTCTCAACCATCTCTCACTACCTCGGCGTCGTCGCAGAATTACTTTAACCTCCGTGACAGTAGTAGCACGACCACCACTACCACTACACATGGACCCTCGAACCCCTATACCCAGAAAGCCCCGCAGCAGTCGCGGCAACAATACCCAACATACAATCCCCAACCAGCAAAACAAGCGCAGATGGCGAAGCAGTCCGTGCAGCAGCAGCGTCGCCAAAACACACACCAACAACAACACCAGCAACTACAGACGCAGACACAGACCCAAAACCACCATCAGCAGCGGACCCAACAGAACTGGTACGGCTTCGACTCCTCCGCCACGACATCGTCGGCGCAGAACAACTATCGATCAGCCCGCGATAGCCACTCGGGTTACGTCGGCGCCGGGTCATACCAGCACCACCATAATTCCCTCAACCTGCCGAACCATGGGGGTTCGTACGGGGGTGCTGATAACGATCCGCTTATTGATTTGCTGGGCGCGTCCGTTCACCACCGCCACTAGCTGAAGCTCCTTTCTCCATTTTTGGGGGGGTTGATTCTCTTTTTTCGTCATTTTTATTTTCTATTATCCTGCTTTTCTCTAATCTCAGGAGGCGTGGCGTTTTATCACTGGAATTTCCTTTTTCCCTCTAGATTTCGTGGCTAAGGGGGGTTGTGATATCCTGTCTGTTTTCTCGGCAAGGCAAAAGAAATGCTAGGTAGCATGATTTCTTCTGGGGAAAGTTGTTTTCACTATTCGGCTCTTTTCTCTTTTTATCCTCGGGTAGCTCGCAAGCAGTTGATGACATGAGGCTTCAAGTCTCAGCTAATGATGAATGGTTCTATGTTCCTTATCCTGCCTATTTCTATACAAAAGTTGCGTTTTGCAATCGTCCCTCGAGACGAGTTCAACGTAGATGCTAATCTGACACTATCTTACCAACTTTTCCTTCTTTCCTTTTTGCTGTGTCTAATGCGAAACCGTGCAAATGCCAAGTGTCCCCGTCCCTGAAGCTACTGATGATGATGACAAGAAAAGAGAGAGAAACAAAGAGGCAATCCGGGTATCAAAACAACATCACGCAACAGAGCAAACCCCCCGACTCTTCTCAGCCCTATAATCCCATGTTAAGCACCCTCTACTTCCCCTGCAACGGCCTCGCCCACTCCTCTTCCCAATTCCCTAACCTCGGCAGCCAACTCAGGATTCCGCCTACTCATCTCCGACAAGAACTCCCAGGTCCTCGAATCTCTATGCCTCAGCATCTCCAGCGCGACGGCGCGCACGGCGTCGGCATAGAGTACCCATGCGTCCGTTCTCCTGCGCGCGTGGCTGCGATCGGGACGTGAGTTTGGTGACTTGTAGACGGCGTCTATTCGACGGAGGTATGCGAGGGCGCTGTCTAGAGAGGGGCGGGCGAGGTGGAGGGTGAGGTGGGCGAGGTTAGGGGGTGGTAGGGTAAGATTTGGAAATAGTTGTATAGCTTCTGTGCAGATGGATATTGGTGGATCGGGTGATACGAGGAAAGGATGGAAGGTCGTGACGGTTGGTGGATCGGTCGTGAGGGAGGGGAGAGTTTCGTAAAGGGCTTCGGCGGCAGGGAGGTTGTCCGAGAAGCAGAGGGCTTCTACGAGGACGTTGAATGCGGCGATTGGGACTCGGTATGATTCTCCGAGGTTTCGTAAAATATGAGTACATTCGTCGACTTTTTCTGGCGAATGTTTGAGGACGTCGAAGAGGCTCCTTGTCGCATCCCTTCCGGGCCGGACACCAGCGCTGTCCATGACGCAGAGAATTCGCAAAGCCCCCTCCAAATTCTGCACACCCATGTACGCCTCTATTATAGGTTCAAAGTGTTGAAAGGAGAGATTCACCCTGCGGTCGGCGGTTACTCGCAGGGCCTCAAGAGCAAGCTCGGGATCGGCATGCCGTGCGGCGGTGTTCATGATGTTGAGAACCATTCCGTCCGAGGGGACGATTCCGTTCTCTTTCGTGGCGACTTGCCAAAAGTGCTTCGTGCCTCGGTAGTGGTATGCGGTGCTGCAGGCGTCGAGGAGGTAATAAAGTAGATCGAGAGATATCGCCGGTGCGTCTTTCTGCTGGGATCTGTATTCTAACGCCAGCATGGCCTCGTCGAGAAAACCAAGCTTCCCAAAAGCAAAGACAAAGACTTCATAGAGCCAATAGGGTACGGATATACCTTCGGTCACTATATCCTCAAGTTCGTCAAAGGCTATCTCGTACTGGCCGTCCCGAAGTAGACCGAGCACGGTATTGACCCTATGGTCCGGCGTAAACTCAACCCAGTCCTTCCGCATCGCATCGAGGATCGTCGCCCGGAGGAGGTAATCAGGGTGAACAGCAAGGGCCTACAAGCGCGTAGTTAACACATCTGTTCCACTGGCCCCCAGCTAGAACACAGAGAACGGGTTCCAACTCGACACATACTGCAAGCGCCAGGCCATAAAACGCAGGACTAGGCCTAATCCCCAATGCGCGCATCTCCTTGAAAGCCTCGACCAACGTCCCTGCCCTCCCCCGTGTATCCGACTGCCTAGCCGCCAACTCTTCGAAACGAGCGAGAGCGGCCGCCGGGCCTTTATCGTCGAGGAAAGCTTGGAAGGCTTCCCTAGTCCACCCCAGATCTACCTCGCGCGACTTTGCTCCATCCTCGGCAACCTGAGCGTCTTTGTCGACCGTCGTTTCGAGCCTCGGGCGGGGTACAATCCGGGAATTTCCCCAGCGGCAGGGGGTCTGGGCATGGGCGGGCGATCTAGCCGACGGAGGCCCCGCGTAAGTCCAGTTTCGGCGGAGGAGAAGTGAGCTCGTGCCGGGGTTGGTGGTGGTGGCGGTTAACGGGTGGGCGTTGGGGAGGGGGGGAGCTCTGGATCGCCATTGCCTTGTCAGGACTATCCGCGAGCCTCTCATGGCGGATTTTCAGGCCATTGTCGAATTCGAGAGTGGGTGGAAGGTTCACGCGCGAGAGCTTGGAATAATATTCAGGTGAGTCTTGCCGCATCTTGCGTTTTTGGTGAAGGAATTGATTTAAAGGTGCTTAGTCAGCGCCAACGATGACCTCAAGTTTCCTGTTCACAACATCGAAAACATGCCGCCACAGCCCCTCGTCTTGTCCAGTCTCAACTATTTTTAACGACCCCAAAGTCTAACATGGGCGGGGAATATTCAGGTTTCTAAACGTGGCCATGGACCGAATTTACGCCTGGAACAGCCCTTCCCGCCTCATGCACCAAAGCGCCCTTCACCCAGACCTTCTTACAGTTCCTATCATCACCATTAAACAACCACTTCGCAATCTTCTCCTCCCAAGTCTCCCACCCAAAGATGTCCACGTTCCCTTCACCCTGCATGATACCGCCCTCATCAACAGTACCCAGCCCGACCTGGACAGCATCAAACTCCTTGCCGACCTCGAACCCGCCAATCTTATCCGCCATGCCGACAACTTCCGCCCCTCCCCTCGTCGCAAGATAAAGCACCTCCTCGACGGAAAGTTTCACCCTCTCCTTCTCCTCGCACTCACCCAGTCCCATAGCCACGTGCCGACTTACGAGGTGAGCCTGCCGCGCGTTCTCCAGCACCGACGGGCTGTAACCACCAGACATGTCCGTTCCTAAGCCAACATCAATGCCCCTGTCCCAGAGCCATCTCACTCGCGCCGCGCCGCTCGTAATGCACGAGTTACTTGTCGGACAATGCGACACTTTCGCTTGTCTCTCCGAAATAAGACTGGCCTCCTCCTCGGACAGGTGAACCGCGTGCGCCAGGATCGTCTTGTTCGTCAAGAGCCCGTGGGAATCGTAGACGTCCGTGTAGCTCCCGCTCTCGGGAAACATGGTCTTCACCAGCGCAATCTCGGAAACATTCTCCGAAATGTGCGTCTGCACGGGTAGATCCGTCTCCTTCTGGAGATCTCCCAGAAGCCTCATCGTCTCGCTCGTGCAGCTCGGCGCGAACCGCGGCGTGATGACGGGCTTCACGAGAGCGTACGATGGATCGATCTGCTTGACATGCGTGATGCATGCCTTCGTAGCTTCCAGCGCCGCCGAGGGCGATTCGTCGCGGTAGTTCGCCGGACACGTCGACTCCTGGTCCATGCATACTCTTCCTACGAGCGCTCGCTGGCCCAGCTCGAGGCAGAGGTCGGCAAGAACATTAGTAGACCCCACGTGGCGCGTGGCGTAGTAGGATGCCGTCGTGGTGCCGTGGGAGAGTGTTTTGCGGATGACAGCTGTGTAGACCCTCCGGGCGAGCTTCTCGTCGCCGAGCTTGGCTTCGAGAGGGAAGGTGTAGGTGTTTAGCCAGTCTAGTAGCGTAGATTTACCAAAGATACCCACGTTGGGATACTGGGGGGCATGGAGGTGTGTGTCTGTAGTTGTAGCATCTAGTCAGTAAGAGAAGAAAAAGGGCAAAGGAAAGGAAAAAAAGAAAAAAAAAAAAAAAAAAAAAAAAAAAAAAAGGCAAAGAAGGTGAAAATGTCCCCAGGAGAGCAGTATCGGGTCCAATCCCGAATCATCCGCTTCATTAGGCAAGGGATAGTAAAACTTACCAATGAAGCCTGGAAAGAAGAACTCTGTCTCCTTACAGACCCTCACATCCACACTCTCTGCAATCCAACCCAGCCGAGGATACAAGATCCTCTCGGCAGCATCCCGATCGCAGTCCTTCTCGACGGCGACGATAGTGCCCTCTTTATCAACACAGACCGCTGTATCGATAAGATATTCCAGCTGGTCCCGCGTCTTGGAATGGATAAAGGTGCCCAGAAAGAGCTGGTTCTTGGAGACGGTCATCCTTTCCCCTTATTTTTTCTTTTCTTTTCTAAATCCTGTCCTTTTCGAAAACTTAAGAGTATTGAAGAGGGATATAAGTAGAGAATTCAAAGCACCGGTTGAAGAAGGAGATAAGTGAAGTTGAGTCTTGTGGCGAGCTGAGGTTGGGGGTGGCAGGCGTGGGAGGTGGTCTATTAATGCATCAGACAATACTTCGTAGAGTGTGTCGATAAGCACTGATGTGGTCAAGAATCAGTTGTTGATCTCTCCTTGGCCTGCGGCTGCACCTAATCCGTTTTGGTTAGACCCGGAATCGCGGCCAACGCCGAAAATCAGGGCCCGGCGTTTGCCTCTCAGCTCGCAAACTTACCTAGCTTTGGGTTCCTGGATGTCGGTCCCTTCCCATCGGTATCTGCCGCCCGCCCACCAGGACAGTTCCGTCGCGGACTGAAGCTCTGCCTGGAAGATGACCTGCAGCACAACTCCCGCTCGGTCATAAAAGGCTCACCTAGGAAGTTGAAAAGAGAGCCAAGCTTGGCCACGGTAACATGGGCTTGGAATTGGTTAAGTTACGAGGTTGGGATTTAGTTCGTCGACTCAAACTTACGCCTAGTAGTGTCAGGGGCTTTCCTTACTATGTGCACGATGGTGGCCGGTCTGAAACGAGGCACAACCCAGGACAAACATGGAAACACTCAGTCTTCACCAAAGCAGCATCCGATCGCCACTTCATTGCAAGCCCAGAGAAATAATTCAACAATTGATTAAGCGAAGAACAGAGAACGAAATACAGTCATACATCAAACAAGTCTATCAATGCCAGATTAAACCAAGCCCACCCAAGAACCAAGCAAGAGAGAAAGAAAAAAAAAAAAACGAGACAGGAATAAACATGGCATGAAAACACTTGGTCGACCACAAGACAGACGGCTCCCTTTCAACCGCTGCCTGGGCACCAAGAGGAAAATAAAACTGTATATCCGTCTTTTTTTGACTCGAGTCCCCCAGATCCCCTTCCATTTTCGCGCTCCCAAATGCTTTTATCATTAAAAAGGGTGTGTTGAGAGAGGATAACCACACCCTTTAAGCGGCGGCCCCAGCACCGGCCTGCTCAACTTCCACTCCGTTAAGGGCCCGAGTCTCGGAACCACTGTTGGAGTCATCACTGTCCGCGTCATCTTGCGTATACTTGTCCCAGTTGGCCAGCACATGGCCGATGCGAGGAGAGTTGGTCAACTTGTAAACGTCCTCGAAGTATTCCTTGGTCAACTCGAATGGCCTGGCGGTCACGTTGGGGATGTACTTTCCGATAAGCTTGGCCGGGTCGATCGTGGTCTTGTTGATCTTCTTGAGGAGGAAAGACCTGAACGGCTTGACACCAGACCGCAAGAAGGTCGAGTGGAAGGGTACATCAATGCCCCGGAGGGGAATGGTGGCATAGCCTCGCTGGAGTTCGACGGGTTGAGGCTTGCGAAGAGTAGCGTCGGCGCATCCGCGGATAATCTTCCGGAGAGCATCCTTAGCCTCAGGGATATTGCCCTTCATCTCCTCGACATTGATTTGCTGCTGCTTGAGGAAGTTGGTCACGCCAGTAAGAGTGTCGAGGGCGCGAAGATCACCGGCACAGACGTATTGCATGTTGGCAATGTTGTAGTTGACAATCTCAACGAGCCATCCAGTCTCCTCAGCGATGTTGTCGACAACATACTGAAGTGCCTGCTCGTTGAACGTCTTGGAGATACGGCCAGGGTTAACGGCACACATCGAGTAGTTCGAGCGGCCCGCAGCGTCACGCTCGACCGCGACCTGCATTGTCAGACCACGGTAGAACACAACCGACACCAAGCTCTCAATCGGCATAACATCCGCAAGGGCAGTAAGGGCCGAGTATTCACCGAGCGAGTGTCCGGCGAAAGTGCTGTCACGAGGCACCAGACCCTTCGACTTCATGTCCTCGAAGCTGGCCTTCTCCATGAGCGTCAAGGCGGGCTGAGTGAACTGAGTGGCCGAGAGAAGACCGGTGGGCGAGCGGTAGGTGTACGAGGTGGTGGTCTCATCGATCTCCTTGAAGATGCGCTCAGACTTGACGGTGCCGTCGCTGGATACGCTCTCGAAGGTCATAGCCATGTAGTTCTGGCGGATGGCCTTTCCGCGAGGACCACCAAAGTGGATGGTGAGCTCCTTGGGGTTGTTCCTCACGATGTTGGTGATGGAGAAGCCTGAGCATTGAAGTTAGCGATGAGGTCACATACTAGAAGTGGACAAGTAAACATACCGTAGTTGTCGAGAAGGTACCTGTCAGCACGGTCCCAAATGTCCTTGGCGACGGGGCTGCTTGCGTACAAGTCCATACCCATACCCTGCTCCTGAGAGCCCTGGCCAGTGAAGACGTAGGCGGTGACGGGCTGCTCAACCTCGGCCTCACCCAACAAGACCTTCTCCTCAGTATCCTTGTTGCTGGCCTCGACCTTGATGATCTTGCGACCAGCTACCATACCAACGTGCTGAAGCTTGACCTGAATGTCATCGTTGGGAAGGACCATGCCGACCAGCGAGGCGTGGAAGCTCCTGACTCGGCCAATATTGTTATCAGCCGCCCAGGTTTCGACGAGACTACGCACGGCAGCGCTGGAGTACATTCCATGAGTGATGGTTCCAGGGAGATTGGCGTAGTTGGAGAAGACACGAGAAACGTGAATAGGGTTGTAGTCACCCGAGACACGAGCGTAATTCTCGTTCGAGGCGGGAGCGCGAAGCTGGAGAGGAGTCTTGCCACTCAGAGGAATAGGGTTCTCAAAATGAACCGGCTGGTCCAAGGGAACACCGTTGCGGCTGAGATAGTCGATGACGGGGTTGCCATGCGATAGGCCGGCCTCGTAGTCAACACTAGCCACTTGAATGATCTCCTTGGTAGGCAACTCAAGAAGGACAGGGCCTCGAGTCTCGACGCTGCTGTAGACATCCTTGTTCTTGAATCGCACCAAACTCTGCAGACGGAACGTCAGGGTCTGGCCGAGGAGCTCAATGTTCTGGGGCATCTCGTCGGCCATGAACCACTGCTTGGATCGGAGAACGGCGACATCCTTGGTGGTGGCGAGGTGAACCTTGACAGGAGTCTCAAGCTTGCGCTGGAAGGTATTCTCATAATCGGTGTAAGCGCCGCGGTACAAGAATTGCGAGGTCACTTCCATAACGGCCTCGCCATCACGAACAATGGTACCGCAGACCTCAACCATCTTGCCGGACTCTTGGTTGATGACGGCGTTGATTTGGGCAGTGGTAGACACTACGTCGCCCTTTTTAAGAGGCTCCGCACCAGGCTTCATCCTGAACTCGTTGGAGAGGTGGACGAGTTTGATCAGATCACCATCAATCTTGCGCGGGAAGATGGGTTTGGTGATGGCCTTCCATCCGACGACGATGGCAAAGTCCATGGGCGCGTACATGATCTTGCCGGGCCGATCAACGAAAGCCTCGCCCTTGTTGCCAACGGAATAGATGAAGTCGTTGATCGCCTCCCCGGTGATGGTAGCCTGGCCACCGTCAAACTTGGCGGTGACGAGCGCATCAAGATCCAAGGCTTCGTCGCCGAACCATGCCTTCCAGTAGAACTCCTTGATGCGGTCGTTACGGCCCTCCATAACCTCTCGGATGGGGGCATAGCCGGCATCAGGATGATACGTGAACTTCAGAGGCAAAGGAACCGGCTTGCCGAGGGCGGTGGTATCCTTAATCATGTTGACAACAATCTCGTTGGGACCATCAAGTTTGACCTCGATGACATCCACGTAATGGTTGTGCCTCGGCTGCTCCCTGACAATAATGACTGTCTTTTGGGGTTCGTTGGGGTATTGGATCTCGACGAAGAGGCCCTTGGTTGGGGAGAAAATCCTCTTGATGGGGTTGGTCTCGTACTTCTGACCCTGGACAATGACGTCGGAGAGCAGAAGGGCATGGCGCCAGCTGCGCTTGGGACCCGCTAGAAGGGCCAGCCAAGATTCCAACGGGGGCATAGCGGCCGTGGCCGATGAAGACAAGCGGTAAGTGTTCTTGTGCGTGTCATAGGACACCGTGAGGGAGTCCAAGTCAACGGGGATCTCGGCCTCCGTAACCCTACCACCGAAGTACTCTACGGTAGGGATTCGGCTAGCATCACCACCGTAGATGTCGCGCGTGAGACCGGCAATATGACCATTGTGGATGCCGTCAAGGATTTGCTTAATAGGCTCATCCATGACGGTCGAGTACTTGACGGCGACAGGGCCCTGAAGAATACAGGTTCTGCCAACATCCTGGCCCTGCACGGCCTGGACATCTTCGGATTGCCAGAGAGAATCCTTCTTGAAGTAAAACTCGAAGTTGTCGTCAAATACAGGGACGAAAGGTACGGGCTTCTGGATAGGCCGGAGACAGAGAAGAAGGAAGTGCTCGACATCATGGGCGTTGACGATCTGAGTCTCAGCCTCGGGATAAGCGGCCAGAACGCGCTCGACAGTCTCAAACGGCTCCTTCAAGTCTGCCATGTTCTGCAGGACAGACGGATTGCCCGTGGTCTGCGTGAAGCGCTCCTCAACGCGCTGGATCCAGTCGGCCGTGAGGCGGATATAAGTGGGATCGATCCAGCGGGATTCGTGCTTGACGTAGAGGAGCTCAACCATGCGACGGACAATCTCGGCGTAGGTCATCTCATCGACGTCGACCGCCTTTCCAGCCTTGTTGCGACCGAACCAGACCTTTTGGAAATCATCGTTGAGCTTCTGGATGATGTAGTCACGGTTCTTCTTCAGCTCAGCAACGCGCTTCTCCTTGGGAAGGCTGAAAATCTTCTGGTCCATCTCGGCCCAGAAGCGGACACCACGGGTCGCCAACTTGTGAATCGGCTCACCCATCTCAGAGCGCACGGTAAGGACACCTCCGGCCGGACCCTTGTAGGTCTTTTCCCATTCGGAGTCATCAACACCAGGAGCGGCAATGATGGCCTTCTTAGCATCAGGGCTTGTGTGTGCTTCCTTAGCGACCATCATGCGACTGCCAAACATGCAGCCATCGAAAGGCATGGGCGGATAGCCGAATTTCTTCGACCACTCGCCAGTGATGTAGGGGTAGGTGTCCTCAGCACCACCGAAACCAGAGCCGGCAATGAGAATGATGTTTTCAGCTCGGCGAATACGGGGATACATCTGAAGCATGGGCTGATGGAAATCCTCGAAAGAGTGATGACCACCACCACGGCCGCCAGTCCATTGCAGCATAACAGGGAAGGTAGGGTTGGCATTAGCAATGTTTACCACGGCCTGGATAGCATCGACGGAACCGGGCTTGAATGAGATGTGCTTGAGGCCAAGAGTCTGGATGTACTCGTTGGCAACTTCGATGGAAGGCACACCAGCTCCAATAGCCAGGCCCTGGATGGGTACACCTTCAGCTCGAAGACGACCAATCATAGGAATCTGCCAGGCCATCGCCATGGGGTTGACGTAGATGAGGTTAACGCCAATGCCACGGCCAGGAGGAATGGCTCCTTCGATCTTTCGGATGGCAGTGGTCATCATGCGAGGATCGAAGTAGCCACCACCAGCAAGCTCAATATGGTAGCCAGCGTTCATGGTAGCGGCGACGAAGTCCCACGGGACAGTCGCTGGGGTCATACCAGCCACCATCACAGGGGGGAGGCCAAGCAGTCGGCTCATCCTGGTGTCAACGTATGTGCGGCCACTCGCAGTCTTGACAAGCTTGGGACCGAACTCCTTGACCCAGTCAATAGCATACTTGACAGCATTCTCCTCGTCACGGTCGAACAGTTCCGACTTGTATCCGACCTCGGGGACAGTGCCCTGGACAGCTCCAGCGAGGATGACACGAACGCCGGTTCCGTCCTTGTTGCGACTCGTGAGGATACCAATGCCAGAGATGCCACCAGGTCCGAAGTCCAAAACGTGGGTAGCCTCGGGGAACGCTGTCGCCTTCTCCCAATGCACGGGATCCCGTGTGATAAGGCGAATCAAGGCGGGTACAATGTTGCCCTTGACGCCATCACGCACGTCCTTGCCAGTATGGGTATCGTACAGTGCGATATCAAGGGACGACGAGTCAATATCCACATCGCGCAAGTCGTTGTCGATCAGATCCGTGGCCGCCGCAAGGTACTTGCTGTGGAAAGGAGCGGTGATTGGCAAGAAACGGTTGGAGAACCGGACCTTGCGCTCAGTGTATGGAATCCTGTTCTGGTCGAGGCCAGTAGGCGCCTTGACTTTCCGTAGGCGCGAGTTGAGACCGTAGAGGGACATGGGAGGGCCCGTCACGACCATGTTTCGGGGACTGTTGATTAGAGAGATAGCGATGTGGCGATCGGCGGGGAGATAGTGGTTGGTCGCATCGACGTGCTTCTGGACTTCAGCTTGGGAGAGGTCTCGGATGCTAAGCATAGGAGACGGCGTACCCTCACCATTGTCGATAGAGTCTTGAAGCATGGACGGGGTAATAGAGGTTCTGGGGAAGGTCTGCTGGCTTCGTGCGCCAATCCAGAAGAGGATCGTCAGAGCCTTGGTGACAACTTCACGCCACGAATCCCAAGAGCTCGCAGCAGCGGTAGCCGCAGCAACAACGACACCCTGAGAGTGGCCAGTGGTGCCCTGGATCCTGTCACGCAACACACCAGGATGTACGCCGAGGACCTTGCAGGTCACTTCATAGTGGGCAAGTTGGAGCAGACCAATGAGCGGGAAGCTCACAGGCGCGGAGATGAGGTAGTCGACATCGGGTGTGGCATCAGGATTATGTAGCCAGGCCACAATATCGAGGCCCTTGGGGTAGAGCTTCTCAGCCTCGGGGTGCTTCGAAAGCGATTGAAGAAGCTCCGCCGACGCCGTGATCAGCTCGCCAACAAAGGTGGAGTACACCTTGTGAATTTCCCTCAGCTCCTCAAAGTACTCCTCAATGTTGCCCTGGCCACCGAAAATGGTATAAATCTGCGCCGAATTATCGTCGGCAGCCCTGAAAAGGGCGGACTGGTGGGGCTTCACGGGTCGGTTTGCGGCCGAGCGACCGGCGTAGTAGCAGCGGATGACTTCTAGCTTCTTGGAGTCGATGCCGGGAAGCGTAGAAGCGAGGGGGTGGACTTCATTCCCCTGGAGGAAGGCGCGCTCAAATTCGTTTAGCACAAGCTTGAGGACCTCCTCATAGGACCCCTGGGCGTCATCTTCTCCGGTCTCAATCTCGTTCGCGATGAATCCCATATACCTCGCTAGGAGTTCCGGCACGGATGATGGTTCGTCATCCTGTGCTAGCTCGTCTGTGGGTGCGGGGAGTGTGGCGGTAAACCTCTCCTTCAACTGAGAGGCGTGGAAATGGAGGCCAGTGGGGACGAGAAAGGAGGTCTCGAGCTTGCCGTGAGCGATGGTGAGGGGGCGGAGAGATGAGCTCGATCGCGGCGTAGATACGCCCGTCTGAGGGCCTGCTCCAGCGCCGTACATGTTGTATGATCAAGGTATGGGGTATCTAGAGTTCTGAGCTCGGGTGCGTGGTGGTCAGCTTGTTTCCTCTCTGTAAAGACTCGACGCTGCGGTACTTGTTCTTACATTGACGACAGTTGATGATCCTCAACACCAACCAGGCGAAAGAAAATTTATGGCAAGAGATCCGTGATCTCAAAAATTAAAAAGGCTAGGTCGCTACAGAAGCGAAAGTGGCGTTCGCTTGGTCTAGAGGCGAGGGGAAGGGCAGATGCTTCGCAGAACTGCTTTGGAAGGGGCAAAGCAGTCTATCGAAGGGGGTATGAATGTGGAGGGAGAGAATGAGGTTTGGAGGAATGAAGAGATAGGATGAAGACAAGACCAGGAGCGAATTGGTAAGTCTGGGTTATTAAAGAGGCAATGTAGACTAAACCTAGGCTTTCCCAAGCTTGAAGAGTCCGTAGGGAAGAAGAGAGAAAGCAGATCTCGACGCTGTGGTGGGGAGATGAGATGTACACTGGGGCCCAGGCACCTCAGATTTCAGAGGATAGACCGGACTAGCTGGCGGTACTTTTTTTTTTCTTCTTCTTCTTCTTCTCTCTTGCTTGCGGGCTCCCCAGGAAACCAGTGTTATTGACGCCGTTGCAAGAGCTAGAGGTACTTGGTCGAAGCTAGGTACCTGAATTTTCTTTTGAATATTTTTCTTCTTTCTTTTGTTGTCGCATTGCCGTTGCAACAGCTAGCTTTGGCGGGCCAAAGTTGGTGAAAGCACTACCATTGGCCATTGGCAGGTGTCTCTCCAAGTTGGGTCGCCTTCCTCGCCAAATTTTTTTTTCGTTGGGAAGTCCCACACCCTCACCACACGCCCCTTCCACCCGCTCCGACCGCGACAATATGTCATAAACTCAATGCTACATAGTGTACGAAGTACAAGTAAATAACAGCACAACAAGCCGAGTCCAAGGCGATCTGTCAGGGGTCCTCGGTACCTGGGTACCAATGCAGTCTCTGGATGCAGCCGAAGCCGTCGTACATAATTACCGAGTGACTTGATCAATCCATCCTCGACAATTGGAGTGTCCTGCCTTCTTTCAGGCTGTGCTTGCGGACGAAGTAAATAGACCAAGGTCTCGCCCAGCCTGTACCTGTGTTACCCGTGGCACTATGGACCAAGTACTCCATCCGTCTCCATTTTCTTGCGGGAACACCTGGCGTTAATGTTGTTCAATCGTTGAATTCCATGTTTCCCAATTGAACGTTGAAATGGTTTCTCAGAGACAAAAATGGATAGAATCCCTTCATCCGGTAGTTTCGTTGCCTGCCGGCACTTTGTAACTTGGGTCGGTCTCGAGCTTCACTGTTGGCCCAGAGTCAACAAACACCCAGACAAGAGAGCAAGAGCACGAGTTGCTCCAAGCTTCGGTTCTCTGAGGGCGCCTGCTGGTATTAGCAGGTCGTCATCTCACATGCCGTATTGTCCCGTGCCCATGATCCGCGAGAGACGGTCTATGAAGGGCAAGGAGATCACGAATTGAGGGTCCTCGATGGCATTGGATGCAAGAGCAGCCACCCGCTTGGTCCAAGGCACTGTACTTTTCAGGGGGGCATGTGGGCAAGGTACACAGTACTTCAAGTACGAGTCTGTCCGCTGATAGCCCTGTAAGGGCGTGCTGCTACACTACAACTTGGAGTGATCGTAATTACTTGGGAGCTGTGTGGGGACACTATTAATTCCGAGAGCTCGTAAGGAGTTAGTGCCGTGTGTTGATGGTTGCAGCGCGGGAGTCTGGGCCTGGGCAGACTGTATCTCATACTTCGTCATCACCGCCTACCGCTTCTGCGCAAATCCGTCGGCTTCCAAGGCACACCGGAGCGGCAAAACCGCGACAGGGCAGCCTAGCGGTTGGATTGGTGATGAAGTATCACTCTGACAGTGGTTCACTCGGAGTCTACGACATACAACGTAAAGAAAGAAGGACCATGACATCTCCTGGCAGCCACGCAACATTAAAACGTTCCACCGGGTGACAGACTGACAAGGCAAACTGGAATATTCGAATCATGTTCTAGTGATTCGGGAGAGGATATCTTTCGGTATCCGAGGTCAAGGCAGCAGATTATGTTGATAGGGGGGCTAAGGTCGTGCGATGTTCGTGAGACTGTGAAATTGAAGCTTTCCACAGGTTCCGGGGGAAAGGGTTGAGTCGAGCTACATTTGTCTACAACGGAGGGGTAGACAATACGTACGAAGCTGGCTGTATTTACTTGTACCGCGTACGGGACTGACGTATTCCTGCGTACTTCGGAATACCAACAATTCCGAGTTTTGGCTGGGTGATTTGCTGAGATCAATTGATCTGGATTGGAGTGTGGGTGGGAGTGTGGGAAATAGTGTATAGACCAACAAGCTTTAAATTGATGCTCTGGGGAACTAACCTCACACGAAGATGCTCGGTATCCTAACCAATGCTCGGCTGTAGTGACCGGACTATGGCGGAAACCGAGTGGTCGCCTTGAGACAGGAGGGACAAAATGATAGATAAGGTGTGCTGGTTGGGATATCAACCGTCGAGCCTTTAAGAACACGACGTGAAACTGCGCCATCATTCGGGTGGTAAAACTGTTCACAGAATCAAGGTTGAAATGGGTTGAATTGGCCATGGCAAAAATTGAGGTTCGAAACTGTTGATGGTGTCCCCAATGAATTGGGATGTGGTGGGGAGCTCACAGATGCATCGAAGTAACTCCGGATTGGGGCTAGCGCAGAAATATGGTTGAGGACTTGAGCAGCTTGTGTCTTTTCGAAGCTCTCACACACCCCACGGCAGGCCGCCGTGAAGTGTACCCCTCACTCTTGTACCCAGGTACATCTCCAATTGCCAGCAACAAGGACGAAGTACCCTAGTACCTCAGACTGCCAGGAACCGGCACCCGCCAACAGGGAAAGGAGTGAGGTGCGTGTTATGGGGCGTGCAAGATGGTCTGGACTTTTTTTTTTCTCTTCGATGCTCGGGTTCAACAACAACACCGGATTTTCTTGTTGGTACTATTACCACTCAACCCACCTTACCTCTTAGCTTTCTCCGCGAGCCAAGGTCCAACTTTTCTTCTGAGACCCAGCTCTTCGTGTTATTTTCATCATCTGTTTCTTTTCTCTCTATACCCCGCCAGCTTCATTCCTTAAGGTCGTTTACAAGGACCTCCATAGACCTTCTTGCCTCCTCACTCTAAGCACTTGGTTTGCGAGCTTCTAGGCGTCCAAGGAGCCGGAGCATCAAGAACAGCGCCTCCCATTCATTCAACGAGAGGCGGCTGGTGATTCCCATAATAACTTTTTAACTCATAGAAAGCCGTACAAGCGTCAATTGCCTAGGCACGGCTTCACTCTACGACTAGAACTAATACCTCCCCGGATACCCGCGATCCAACACCGCCCATCATGCGTCCCGAAGTCGAGCAGGAGCTTGCTCACACCCTTCTAATCGAACTTCTTGCCTACCAATTTGCGTCCCCGGTTCGGTGGATTGAGACCCAAGATGTCTTCCTCGCGGAGAAGACCGCCGAGCGCATCGTCGAGATTGGTCCCGCCGAGACCCTCGGTGTGATGGCCAAGCGAACCCTAGCATCCAAGTATGAAGCTTACGACGCCGCGAAGTCCGTTCAACGTCAGATTCTTTGCTACAACAAGGACGCAAAGGAAATTTACTACGATGTTGACCCTGTGGAGGAGGAGCCGGAACCCGCCGCTTCGTCTTCTACCCCCGCGGCCGCCGCCCCTGCTGCTGCGACTGCTGCTCCTATTGCCGTTGCCGCCGCCCCTGCTCCATCCGCAGGTCCCGCAGCCCAGGTGCCTGATGCGCCAGTACAAGCTCTAGATATTGTGAGGGCCCTCATTGCACAGAAGCTCAAGAAGCCCCTCCTAGAGGTGCCTCTGAACAAGGCGATCAAGGATCTAGTAGGAGGTATGGATATTCATCTCATTTCATCACTACATTGCTAGTAGCAGTGCTAACGACCCATGTAGGCAAGTCCACGCTTCAAAATGAAATTCTCGGAGACTTGGGCAAGGAGTTCGGTTCAACCCCTGAGAAGCCCGAGGATACCCCACTAGACGAGCTAGGTGCGGCGATGCAAGCTACATTCGACGGCCAGCTCGGCAAGCAGTCCCAAGGCCTGATCGCCAGGCTCATCTCTTCGAAAATGCCCGGTGGTTTCAACATCACCGCATCGCGCAAGTACCTCGAAACGCGCTGGGGTCTCGGTTCTGGCCGACAGGACGGCGCCCTACTACTCGCATTAACAATGGAGCCCGCGAGCCGTCTGGGATCGGAGGCCGATGCCAAGGCCTTCCTCGATGATGTGACCCAGAAGTACGCCGCGAACGCCGGTATCAGTCTATCCACAGCTGCCGCCGCCGGCCCGGCAGCGGGCGCCGGCCAAGGCATGATGATGGACCCCGCTGCCATCGATGCGCTCACCAAGGACCAGAGGGCCCTCTTCAAGCAGCAGCTTGAGCTGTTTGCGAGGTACCTCAAGATGGATCTTCGAGCCGGTGAAAAGGCCCACCTCAACTCCCAACAATCCGAGAAGGTCCTACAGGCCCAGCTCGACTTGTGGACCGCCGAGCATGGCGACTTCTATGCTGCTGGTATCGAGCCTGTCTTCAGCTCCCTGAAAGCCCGTGTCTACGATTCCGCCTGGAATTGGGCAAGGCAGGATGCCTTGAACATGTATTTCGATATCATCTTTGGCAGGCTCAAGGTTGTGGACCGCGAGATTGTGAGCCAGTGCATCCGCATCATGAACCGATCCAACCCCAAGCTTGTTGAGTTCATGCAGTACCACATGGATAATTGCCCAACTGACCGCGGCGAAACCTACAAGCTCGCGAAGGAACTGGGCCAACAGCTTATTGAGAACTGCAAGGAAGTCTTGGAGGCTGCACCCGCCTACAAGGACGTGTCTGTCCCGACGGGTCCTCGCACTACTGTCGACGCCAAGGGCAACCTGAACTACGAAGAGGTCCCTCGTACCAGCTGCCGCAAGTTGGAGCATTACGTCCAGCAGATGAGCGAGGGTGGCAAGATCTCCGAGTACGGTAACCGCACCAAGGTCCAAAACGATTTGCAACGCATGTACAAGCTCATCAAGCAGCAGCACAAATCTACCTTGACCAGCTCGCAGCTTGAGATTAGGAATCTGTACCGGGATGTCTGCCGCTCGCTAGCCATGAATGAGAGCCAGATTCTCCCCAAGGAGAACGGGTCGCCCGGTGCCAAGAAGCCTTCCGTAAAGGGGCCCACTCCCGGCAAGGGCAAGGTTGAGACCATTCCCTTCCTCCATCTCAAGCGCAAGAACCTCCACGGATGGGATTACAGCAAGCGACTTACCACGTTGTATCTCAGCTGTCTCGAGAAGGGCGCTCGTGATGGAATTTCCTTCCAAGGCAAATACGCCCTTATGACGGGTGCCGGTGCCGGTTCCATCGGCGCTGAGGTCCTTACTGGCCTCATCAGCGGTGGCGCCAAGGTCGTTGTCACCACGAGCCGTTTCTCCCGTGAGGTCACTGAGTACTACCAGTCACTCTATACCAAGTTCGGTTCTCGAGGCTCCCAACTTGTTGTTGTACCCTTCAACCAGGGTAGCAAGCAGGACGTTGAGGCTCTGGTCGACTATGTTTACGACCCTAAGAACGGTCTTGGATGGGATCTGGACTACGTTATTCCATTCGCTGCTATCTCTGAGAATGGCCGCCAGATCGACAACATTGACTCAAGGTCAGAGTTGGCTCACCGTATCATGTTGACCAACCTGCTTCGTCTGTTGGGCTGTGTCAAGGCTCAAAAGGCTGAGCGTGGCTTCGAGACTCGCCCTGCCCAAGTTGTCCTGCCCCTCTCCCCGAACCACGGTACCTTCGGCAACGATGGTCTTTACTCCGAGTCCAAGCTCGCCTTGGAGACCCTCTTCAACCGCTGGTACTCCGAGAGCTGGGCCCACTATCTCACCATCTGCGGCGCTGTTATCGGATGGACCCGTGGCACAGGCCTGATGTCAGGAAATAACGTGGTCGCTGAAGGCGTCGAGGCCTTTGGTGTCCGCACATTCTCTCAGCAGGAAATGGCCTTCAACCTCCTTGGTCTCATGACCCCCACCGTTGTTGACCTCTGCCAATCCGAGCCCGTCTTTGCTGACCTCAACGGTGGTCTTCAGTTCATCCCCAACTTGAACGAGACTATGACCAAGCTCCGAAAGGACATCATGGAGACCAGCGAGATCCGCAAGGCCGTCAGCAAGGAGACTGCCATCGAGAATACCATTGTTAACGGACCCGACTCCGAGGCTCTGTACAAGAAGAAGATGATCGAGCCTCGTGCCAACATTAAGTTTGAGTTCCCTACCGCTCTTGACTGGAAGAAGGACATCGCCCCTCTCAATGACAAGCTCAAGGGCATGGTCGACCTCGAGAAGGTTGTTGTCGTCACTGGTTTCGCCGAGGTTGGTCCCTGGGGTAACTCGCGCACTCGCTGGGAGATGGAGGCCTATGGCGAGTTCTCTCTCGAGGGTTGTGTTGAGATGGCCTGGATCATGGGTCTCATCAAGCATCACAACGGACCCATTAACCGCCGCCCCTACTCCGGCTGGGTTGACTCCAAGACTAATACCCCCGTCGACGAGAAGGATGTCAAGGCCAAGTATGAGAAGTTTATTCTCGAACACAGCGGCATCCGTCTCATCGAGCCTGAGCTCTTCGAAGGCTACGACCCCAACAAGAAGCAGCTTCTTCATGAGGTCGTCATCGAGCAAGATCTCGACCCCTTCGAGGCGTCCAAGGAAACTGCCGAAGAGTTCAAGCGAGAGCATGGAGATAAGGTTGAGATTTTCGAGATTCCAGAGTCTGGAGAGTACACTGTTCGCCTAAAGAAGGGCGCTGCTCTCTGGATCCCCAAAGCGCTCAGGTTCGACCGTCTCGTCGCTGGCCAGATCCCCACCGGCTGGGATGCCAAGCGCTATGGTGTTCCCGACGACATCATCTCCCAGGTCGACCCCGTCGCCCTCTTTGTACTGGTCTCGACGGCCGAGGCCCTCCTCTCGTCTGGTGTCACCGACCCCTACGAGTTCTACAAGTATGTTCACGTATCGGAAGTTGGTAACTGTGTCGGTTCCGGTATGGGTGGTGCTGCTGCGCTCCGTGGCATGCACCGTGACAGGTACCTCGACAAGCCACTCCAGAACGACATTCTTCAGGAGTCTTTCATCAACACTATGAGTGCCTGGGTTAACATGTTGTTGCTTTCGTCTTCCGGCCCCATCAAGACCCCCGTCGGTGCTTGCGCCACCGCTGTCGAGTCCGTGGACATTGGTTACGAGACCATCATGGAGGGCAAGGCTCGCGTCTGTATTGTCGGCGGTTTCGATGACTTCGGTGAGGAGGGCTCGTACGAGTTCGCCAACATGAAGGCCACCAGCAACGCCGTCGATGAGTTCGCTCACGGCCGAACTCCTCAGGAGATGTCTCGACCTACCACTACCACTCGTAACGGCTTTATGGAGTCCCAGGGATGTGGTGTGCAGATCATCATGACCGCCAAGCTTGCTCTAGAGATGGGTGTCCCCATTTACAGTATCCTTGCCTTGACCACCACTGCGTCTGACAAGATCGGCCGTTCCGTTCCCGCCCCCGGCCAGGGTGTCCTTACTACTGCCCGCGAGCACGCCGGCAAGTTCCCCTCGCCTCTCCTCGATATCAACTACCGTCGTCGCCAGATCGAGCGCCGCCGGAAGCAAATCAAGCAATGGAAGGAGTCCGAACTTGAGTTCCTGTATGATGAGATTGATGCTATGAAGTCTCAAGGCGAGAAGTTCGACGAGAAGGAGTACCTTCAGGACCGTACGGCTCATGTCGAGAAGGAGGCCGCCCGTCAAGAGAAGGAGATGCTCAGGAGCCTGGGCAACAACTTCTGGAAGAGCGATCCTTCCATCGCGCCCCTCCGAGGTGCGCTGGCTACCTGGGGTCTCACTATCGATGATCTCGGTGTTGCCTCCTTCCACGGTACATCTACCAAGGCCAACGACAAGAACGAGTCCTCCGTCATCTGCCAACAGCTCCGTCATCTCGGCCGCTCCAAGGGTAATGCCATCATGGGTGTCTTCCAGAAGTACCTTACTGGTCACCCCAAGGGCGCTGCTGGCGCCTGGATGATGAACGGCTGTCTTCAGGTCCTCAACACCGGCTTGGTGCCTGGCAACCGCAACGCGGACAACGTCGACTCCGTCATGGAGCAGTACGACCTGATTGTCTACCCCAGCCGTAGCATCCAGACCGATGGTATCAAGGCCTTCTCTGTCACCTCCTTCGGTTTCGGCCAGAAGGGTGCTCAGGCCATCGGTGTCCACCCCAAGTACCTCTTCGCCACCCTTGATGAGCAGACCTACAATGCTTACTACGCCAAGGTTGAGGCGCGCCAGAAGAAGGCGTACAGATACTTCCACAACGGCTTGATCCACAACAGCCTTTTCGTTGCCAAGTCCCACGCTCCTTACACCGACGAGCAGCTCAGCAATGTTCTCCTCAACCCTGACGCCCGCGTTGCCGAGGACAAGAAGTCTTCCGAGCTCGTTTACCCCTCCAACTTCATGGCTCTTTCCGAGAAGCCCGCCCCATCTTCCGCCGTTAAGGCGACACAAACGATGATGGAGGCCCTCGCCAAGAAGGTCGTTGCCAAGAACTCCAAGATCGGTGTTGACGTCGAGGACATCTCGGCCATCAACATCGAGAACGAGACCTTCATCTCGCGCAACTTCACCAAGGCCGAGATCGACTACTGCCGCCAAGCCCCCAGCCCCCAGAGCTCTTTCGCGGGTCGCTGGAGCGCCAAGGAGGCCGTCTTCAAGTCCCTCGGTGTCCCTAGCCAGGGTGCCGGTGCCGCGCTCAAGGATATTGAGATCGTGAGGAACGATGACGGTGTTCCCTCTGTCAAGGTATGTTCATGCACTCACTTATATTATGTTAACCCATCCCTTCCCTTTAGTTCATGGCTAACTCTTTTCCCAATAGCTCCACGGTGATGCTGCCACCGCCGCCAAGAAGGCCGGTATCAAGGACGTCAGCGTCTCTATCTCTCACTCAGACTCGCAGGCCATGGCCGTCGCCGTCGCTTCGCTTTAAGAAAACAAATATACCCTGTGAGGATGAGAAGAGTCTGGGAGGGTAGAGAGTGCAAAGACTAAAAAGAAGGCAATAACATGGTCCTGTGTGAAACCTTTGTATTCGCTCAATTTTTTGGGCTTAATCTGCGCTTTTTATGTTTCTCGCTCTTGTTTTTATATTTTACTTCACGGACCTGTTTGCCTGGGATTGGAGGAGGAAAACATTTCATAGAGTTTTCAAGTTTTAGCCAGTTGAGGGGATTAGAATAGAATCATTTCAAGTTCATCGTGTGTCTTATATACGCTCCATTCACCCTGTGATATCCTGGGCTTGAGCTGGAATCGGTTGCTCCGAAGCCCATGGGTTTAATGGTCTCATCCCTCCGGATCATGGATGAGCGGTCTTGGGATGTGGGAGACTCCGACGATATGAAGTCACAGAAGCACGTCATGTAGGGGACATCATCAAGTAAAATACCCCGATTGATTATTTCGTTTGTCAACAAGCTCTTCTCAGTCCCAGCCGTACATAGAGAACAGACACTCTCCCATTCTCCCATTCCCATTTCCCTCTCGCTTTTCAACCCAACTCAACCCCTCCACTCAACCCAGTAATCTCGGATGAAAAGATATCGACAATGTACGACATCGGGCGGTTTTCCAAACAAATTCTTCATCGGGCGCCTTCTCCCGGTTGAGCCTCTTTTGCCGTGTGTGTGTATTGTTTTGTGTCATTTGTGTGCTGTATCATTTGTGATCTCGTGGTTCGCCAGGGATTGTTCTTTTCGGTCAAAGTCGCCGTCTCATCTCCATTTGGTGGATTGTCCCAGAATAAGTAAGGGTGCGGAGTTGTTATCGCATTGCAGCTCGTCGCTTCTTTCGGGAGGAATTACGGCATTCTTGGTTGTTGGCATCACTCGCTGACATTCCCTCTGATAGTGGTCACCGTTAGCGCAAGTGCAAGTAATAACAGGAAGAAAGTTCCAGGAGGGAGACCAACGTACCTTTGGTAGATGTGTGTTGTATAAGGTGGCATACATGCCCACGGCAATGTTGGTTTTTTTCTTCATTTTTTTAGTGTCCAATACGAGCGGCGCATCGCCATTGCTTGCTTGCGTGTAGCGACGTCCATGTAGATTATCAAGTGTAAGGGAAGAAGTTTCGGACAGTATAGCAATGTCGACACGAGGAAATCTAGGGGGGAAATAGGACAATCAAAGTTAGAATACCTCACAAGATAAGACGAAGTGTGGAAGCTTGGTGAACACAAGGGAAAGGAACAGGGCAATGAGAAAAAAGGAACAAAAGATAAATGTAGGCACTTACCTTCCCAAAGAGTAGAAAGGCTCTCGTAAATACACGAGTAATTGTATCGAACGGGTAGGCGACCAAGGTCTGGTGGGCGTCGTTGTCGTCGACGGTGGAAACTTGAAAGACTTATAGCAAGGATGAACAGTAGACTGAGTGGTTGCAAAGAGTGGAAGAGTGTTTGACGACCGAAGAAGTGTAGAGACGGTTCGCGCTCAAGACGTAGACGAGGATGTGACCCGGGAAGGCTCTCTTGATAGATGAGATCTTCTCATCGTAGTTGTCGAAAGCCGAGTTTGCGTTGTTCGAAGCAGAGCAGCGTGGTCAAGGATGTGAAGTGGGTTGCCGCAACGAGTGTCTCGTCTCCACTCGACAAGGCAAAACCGAAAATTGGTATATCGGAAACACATCCCCTCTCCCAGCCAGAGGACCCGTATATAGGAAACAGAAATCCACCCCCAGAAGAGGTGGGAAAACAGACACACACAACACACACATAGAGTTGAAAGAAAAACACCCGTCCCCTCGCCCCCTCCACCCCTCACCCCGGATCACGAGACGGAGCGTCTTTTGATACCCAGATCTTCAGGGAGGTCCGGACAGGCAAGAATACGGCAGGGAAAACAAAAGTTATTCCCGTAACCATTACTCCTGCTCGCCGGTCCCCACCTGACCCTGCTGCTGGTTCCTCCTCGAGTTCTGGCCCACTCTTGCAGCCGTTGGCCGAACAGGAACCAGATACTCTTCCCGAGTGGTGGGATGTATCTCCCTCCACTCATCGGGATTCCCCCCCAGCAGGGCGACCTGGGCTCTCAGGTAAGCCGTCTCCGCCTCCAACTCCACGACCCTACGCATGCCGTAGTCGCGGTGCTCCGCCTTGCGTCGACGGGTATTCTCCGCCGACAGACGATTGAGCGCGCGACTACGCTCACCCGCAGACATCTGGTCTAGCTCCGCCTGCGGAATCTGCAGCTGTCCAGCGCCTTGCTGATTCCGCTGAGACGGGTAAAAGTTTGGATCTGAGCGAGGCATGCTCAAGAGCAGCCCCGCCCGCTGAACCCGCACCCCCGAGCGTCCTCAGGGACACTGGACAGGTCATTCTCGGACACCATGTGCCCGAGGAGACCACCCATGTTAGAGTACGGCCCAAGGTTCGCCCCACGATGCCACGTGGGGTTTTCCATGGGCCACTCATAGGGCGCCGCAGCGTCCCCGACGGCAGCTTCAGCCGGATCTGGAACGGCCGTCGTCTGAGCAGCGCCCCCGTCATTAGAGGCAGCTGCCTGGGCCCCAACTCCAGGATGACCAACTGCCAACGAGAGGGTGGAGGGCATACCCCCCACTGCACTCTCATTGACACATGGGTCCCAAGAGGGCCCCGCGTTGACAATGGACAGCTGTCCAAAGTCCAGACTGCCAGATGTCGGGAGTAGGTCCATCAAATCCCCCATCACTTCCGGAGGGATATCACTAAAGTGATCCCCGGGTTGATGAGGGTTGACTCCCTCTCCCGCTAAAACCGAAATCACTAGGTGTCAGCTCGGCCGTAAGTGCAAAAAAATCAGGAAGTAGGGATCGACTCACAGTCATGGAGCGGATCCTCCACGCCGCCAGAGCCAGGGCCTTCAGTTGCCGTCGGCTCGGCACCCTATGCCTCACCGAGGAAACTGAAGGCCTGGTTGGCGGCATGTCCTTCCACCCCAAAGCCCTGCCCGTTGTGGGCCATTTTTTATCTATATATATCACCGGTTAGGCATGATGTATATAACAGAGGGCCTCCGGAGCACTCTGGCGTATATAAAAAAAAGAAAAGAAAAAAGAAAACAAGAGAAGACATGAACGGAATGGATATGAGAAGAAGAGAACCCGAAGCCCAAGAGACAACCGTTGCGAGCCAAGGAGGGATGATGAGGGATGATGAGGGATGATGGAGGGGGTAGAAAAAGTGGCATCCAGTTGGAGGGAATGGGCGTTTTTATACTCGACCACCGAGCACCTCTGAATCACCAATGACGCCACAGAGCCCCGAGATTGGTGACTCAAAGGCTGTTTGGCAGGTGAAGTGGGTTGAATAGGCTGGAGAATAGATTAATGGAATCAACGCAAGGGAATTAGGAAGGTAGTGAAACAGGATGATTTGTAGCAAGCAGGTGTGATTCCCAACGAGGGAGTCATTGGGAGGGGAAACAGGGTCAGTGATTGCCTTCCAAGTGAGGAAGTCTTTAGAGGATGGGCAGGAGATGTGAAAATGGCTTCGTGACACAGAGACGAGATGTGCAGGGAAGCGATCAATATCTTAGGAATATAGTGTCAGACAGGAACAGCCAACTTTGGTGAAATGAAGCAGAAATCAAGAGCAAATGAATCTGAAAGGAGATATAACCACTTACTATATTGGATGGGTAAAAAAAAGGCACCTTGCCAGAAAAATAGTGTCTTTGTTGAAGCTTTTGAGCTTTGATTGAGAATGTTGAAGAGGAGAAGAAATCGTCAGGGTTCTCTCGATTCAGAGTAAATGGGTGTTTATATAGTTGATTCTGGCTCCTTCCCTGGCCCCCCAATCACTGGAGCAGGGCAACTGGAGCAAACTGGAGCAGTGAACTGGAGCAAGGAGAAACTATAATCTTGATTGCTTCACAAGGTGAGGTGAGGAAGGAGCAATACATAATAGGCACAGGCAAAAGCAAAGGGCAAAAGGTAATAGGCAACAGCTCTCCGAGTCGGATCCTTCCCAAGTCGGTATCGCCATCAATCCTTCAATCAGACGACGGGGAGGGTCGATAGGTTAATATGCCATTGTCCCTTAATCAATCGATCTCTACAATCGTAACCGCCAAGTCCACGGTCCAGAACACCTAGAAGGAGAAAGGGGCCCCCGATTTAGAGAGATCTCAGCGTACCAGCTAATCATTGATATGAGTCAAGCAGTTGGCTGTTCTGGTACTAGAAAGATCCCCTACATGAGCCACCAGTTCAAGGAAGGGGAATTCAGATAACGTTTGCTGGTTTTTAAACTGTGATACATGACCTCCACACTAACCCCGGTTCAAGGTATTGCCCGCTCCCCTTGGGTTGTCCTCTTTGAATTCATCCCACTGCCTCGCCTTGTACGTCTCTTCGTCTGCCTTTTCTATGTTATCCTCGTCTGGCTCCGGCCTGTTAAAGCTCGCCTCGCCACCTCCTTCGATGATATTGCCTCGCCTCCTCTCCTCCTCCAAGTACTCATCGATCGACATCGTAGGCAGGTTGTGGCCAGGACGAAACACGTCCTTCTTCAAGTCTTGCCTCGTCCCCACAATCGTGAAGGGCTTCAGCGGTTTTCCATCCTTGGAGAGTAGCGGGCCTTTTTGCCCCAGGAGGGACGTTAGTGGCGCATCCAGCCGTTCGGAATAACCATCGGCGTGCTGACCGGGCGCCCTACGGCGGAGATCATCGGGAAGAGTGGTTTGAGGTGGAGGAGCTGGAGGCGCGAGGGCGAGCATCTCAAGTTCTCTATTCAAGCTCTCGAGATCCTGGAAGGCCATGTGCGTGCAGAATTCGACGTTGGTGAGATAAACCTGGCGAACAAGTTCTTCGTCGCCATGCTCTAAATACCTTGGGTTTCTTTTGAGTGAAGCGAGCTTCTCCTTGAGCGCCTTTTCCGCCTTGAAGTTCTGAATCTTCGAATTCCTCTTGGCTGCTGCATCCGCGCCTACCACCGTAGTAAAATGATCTGCATCCTCATTGTACCTCTCGTAGAGCTTAGCGTACTCTCCATGGAGCAGCTCATATCTGTCTAGAAGTCCTAAAAAGGACTCATATGCAGCCTTTGCCTTTTTCACGATGCCCAGTCGCTCTGCCGGCGAAGTGGTTGGCGTTTTTTGAATTACTTCTGCAAGGTGGTAGCTTATGAGAAGATAGGGCAGGGATGTCGTCGCAATGTCGTCGGCCGACTCGTTAGGGCTGAAGATGGACAGCTCCGATACAAGGCGGAGACATTCTTCGTAGGATTTTATGGCTGATGAAAGCTTTTCACGGAACTCTGCAGAAGTCGAGTCGTATGTGCTTGCAAGGGCGGCTTGTCTCTCTTCTGCCTGTTCAAAGAGGGTCTTGAGAGACTGTGGCTGATCCTCTTCGGACATGGTGGATTGAATGTGAAATTGAAAGGGGGAACGAGATAGAGGTGTCAAAAACTGCGGACTATGGGGATGATGTAGCTTAATTCTTAATATGGGGGCGATTTGGTCTTCTCGACGGGTTTGAGGGTTTCACAGAAGCATTTGCATTCGAATGTGGTCGGGAATAAGTTGAGGCAGTGATGATGATAAATGGTGGGGTTGTTCTAGTCGCGACAAGAGAAGAAGCAGCATTTGCCCCGCGCTGCCACCTCGATCTACTCGTCGCTCGCGTCAACTCATACAACCCGGCCGAGGTTAGGTGTATTTCAAAAGCCAGTGGCAAGCTCAAAAGCATGTATGTATACCATCTATATGAAGAAATTTCTCTAAATATCCGATCCGATATTCGCTTTAAATCTCGCCTCGAAACCCTTCACTGAAGCTCGTTCACTGTTTCCAACATTCACTGTTCCCATCTCAGAGGGGTGAAGTTGAGAGATCCAACGCCGAAAATTAGCCGACTCAGAGAGCACAGTGCACAAGCTCGCCCCTTCTAATTACGTCGCCCCTGTTGATACGCCCATCGTTGAAGCCGCAATCGAGCTAGACTTGGGACTTATTCTCCAGCAACGTCTCAAACGTCTCTCTCTCTCCATCCGATCATCAGTCGCATGCAGCTACGGCCCTCCCGGCCAACCGATCTCTCCCCCTTCCGCACCCGTCCCGGTCTTCGACGTTTCCCTATCACGACCGCAGCCCACCGTCCCGACTCTCCCTCATCCAGATCCAAGCGTATATAAGCTCGCGCAGGGCAACGTCGGTTCCCCCCTTTGCTTTCACCATGCCTCCGAAAATCGAGCAACAAGAGATCGAAACCTACTGGAACATTTTCGCCACCAGAACAGGAGGCCAGAAATATCTTACCGGCGAGCAGGCTGCGCCCGTCCTCAAGAACAGTGGTTTACGAGATGACCAGTTGGAGCGGGTGTGGGACCTCGCCGACGTTGACAACGATGGCAACCTCGACTTTGAGGAGTTTTGCGTCGCCATGAGGCTAATCTTCGATATCCTCAATGGGGTGGGTCAAATTCAAAACTCTAGGACGCTCAAAATAACTCTCTAACTAATTCCGCTTCATAATAACAGGAATACGCCGACGTCCCTTCGACACTCCCAGACTGGATGGTGCCCGAGTCCAAGTCGCATCTCGTCCAAGCTACCCGCGCGATTACCGGAAAGCAAGTTCAATTCGAGAGAGTCGAGGATGAGCCGGATTCTCCAGGGCTCAAGGATGGGTTTGACTGGTACATGAAGCCCGCGGACAAGTCCAAATACGAGCAAATCTACCAAGAAAACAGAGATATGCGAGGCGAAATAGCTTGTATGTTGCTGCAAATGCGTCCCATTCCTGTACTAGGTGTGGTTATCAAACCTCCATGTTAACAATTCTGTTGGAATGCAGTCAATTCCCTCGAAGACCTCTACGAATCCCTTGATGTACCTGATACAGACATCCGCTCTGCTTGGAATCTGGTCAACCCGGCGGCCCACTCCACGATAAACAAAGATGCCTGTCTCGCTTTCCTACACATGCTCAACTACCGACACGAAGGCTACCGCATTCCCCGCAACATTCCCGCCTCTCTCCGGTCATCCTTCGAACGCAACAATATCGACTACCAGGTCGACAACCAACGCACCGCGGCGGCATCTCGCTGGGCGACCAAGGCTGACGATAATACCTCTACGGGCCGCAAGGCCAAGTTCGGCGAACAGTACCTTACTCGGCTGGGCCACTCCGGGTTCAAGACAGCGGGGACCGACTTCTCGACCGAGAAGACGGAAGACTGGGAGGAAGTCCGCCTCAGGAGGCAACTCCAGGATCTCGAGGAGAAGATACAAAAAGTGGAAGCAGACGTGGAGAGGAAGAAGGGCGGCAAGCGAGACTCCAAGCCGGCACTCGTGAAGAGGGAGCTCGAACAATTGCTAGACTACAAGAGGAAGCAGCTTAGGGACCTAGAAGAAGGCAATAATAAGGGGGCTGGCGGCGGTTCGAACTTGAAGTCCATCTCCGATGACTTGCAGACGATCAGGGAGCAGGTTGATGGGCTGGAGAGCCATCTGCGTTCGAGGCAATCGGTTCTAGACCAGTTGAGGCGGGAGATTGAAGACGAGAAGGCGAGCAGATGAGGGGCCTTTTTCATTTTATCGTTTATCTTAGCGTTACATTGTAATCTGTATATTTCTTCTTGGTTTTGGGTTTCGCGAGCGTTTTTGGGAATATTCATGGTGTTTGAAGTTGCACTTCATCGCGGAAGGCCTGGATCTCATTTCTCGGTACTGAGCAAGCGTTCGCATCTCAAACTCACCATCAAAAAACTACAGGCCCTATTGCTGTGTCCGGAGCGGCTCCTTCCCACGTTGGATACACCCACTAAGCAAGAAGCACAAAATAGAGGTTACAAGCAATACAAGTCCAGAAATGTTTTCCATGTAGCTGCTAACCTGGTAAGACTGATACAGAAACCAATCGTTCTCTAAAAGAAAAAGGGGGAAGACAGAAGAATAAAAAGAAAAAGGAAAAAAGGAAAAGGAGAAGAAAAAAAAAAAAAATTACACAATCCCCTTGGCCTAACTACTTCTTTACCACTGAGTACCGTCAACATATTTGGGCGCCCAGGGGAGGCCCAGAGTGCGGCCCTTAAGAGCCCACGCCATGATAGAGAAGACCTTGACGCTTCCGATCCGGCCTACACCGCGATCGCGGCCAGCAGCGCACATGATGGCGTCGAATGGCAAAAGCTTCACAGGAATCTGTGGCTTGCCCTGGATGGCGAGCTCAATGTTCTTGGCAACACCAGCGGCCTATTTGCCGTTGTTAGTCTTACCTCCGCTTTTACAAAAGTCTATTTAGTCAAACCCGGAGAAGGGTCAAGGGGGAAGCTCACCTGCTTATCAGCAATCATGAAGCCGGCACGGGGCTTGGAGACGATATCTCCGCATGCCCAGACATTCTCGGCATTCTTGACCTGGTAGAATTCATCCACCTCTGCGTACTTTCGCTCGTTGAGGTGCTTCGCATCAAGGAACCCAGTGTTAGGTCTGAGGCCCATGGTGGGAAGGTACAGATCGGTGGTAATAGTCGTGCCATCCTCCAGCGTGACTTCGGTCTTCCCGCTAGGCAGGACCTTGGATCCCTCAACCCTTGAGTTCTTCCTCACATCCACGCCAAGCTTCTTCATCTCATATTCCATGTTCGAGCCGATAGAATCCCCGCCCATAAGCGCCGCATCGGCAGACAAAAGAACAACACTCTTGTCAGCCCCATACTGATACTTAATCTCACTCGAGGTCTCACACCCCGTCGGTCCAGCCCCCGCAATAACAATGTGCTTCGCCGCCCGCACCTTCTCCGCCGTGTCGTGGAGCTGCTTGATCGTGGCCTCGGTGTTAGAAAGCCCCTTCCACGGCACGTTATCGTTGGCCGAGTGGGCGCCCGTCGCGAGGACGAGGTAGTCGTAGTTGAGGGTAGTCTCGCCGGAGCCGTCGGCGGCCTTGACCCGGGCCGTCTTGGCGTCCGTGTTGACGGCGGTGGCGGAGCCGAGGACGAATTGGAAGTTTTCTTTGGGGTATTGGGAGAAGCCGGGTTCGATGGCGTGGAAGATCTGGTCGTCTTTGACGAGGCCGGGGATGACGGCGCGGATGGTGGCTACGTTCCAGTAGAAGTGTGTGTTCTAAAAGTAAATGTTAATCCCGTGTCGACACAATTGCAAAGCCACCAGCTCCATTGAACGGCTTGCAAAGTCCGAAGCTATTTTTGCCCCCGGTGTGATGTAAATGGCCAATCGCCAAGTGCTGGCGACGTTAATATGCGGAGTTTTGGGTTTCCCCAACCCACATCGCCGGAGCTCCGAAGGTCTCAGCCCCGTGGAACCTGTCAGGAACGGCCCAAGCGGCAATTGATAAAAAAGAAGAGAACAAAAAAAAAAAAAATCGGGTGAGAAACCATACCGGGGAGACGAGGACGACTCGAACATTCTTTTCCGTTTGCCTCGTGTATTTCAGCAGGCGATGGGAAACGGCCAGGCCGGCAAAGGAAGCGCCGAGAATGACGACGGTCTTGGACATTTTGGCTAAGCTGATCTTAGGAGGGAGATGGAAGGTACAGGCGGAGAGTCTGGTGAACAGCCGTCGAGGATCAGAATGCACAGTAGCAGGAAAGTACAGGGCTCAGTTAAAGATGCGGAAAGGTTCGAAGGGCTTGAGGACTATCTAAGCGGGTCGCAACGAGAGGAGGGCCAAGTCGATATTTATACTTGGCGGAAGAAGCAGAAAATATGTCCGGATGTACTTGATCTTGGGGCAAAGTACCGTCTTACAAGATATCATCATTGCTCGGAGACGGAACGGGGGTTGGCCGGGCTAAGCCCGCAGGGACTCGTACGCATGAAAGTCTCCGTGCGACCTGGTTGCTACACGCGTTCGCCAGGGCTCTGTAGTAGGGTACTATTATGGGCGCAGAATGTGAGACAAACATTGCTTATTGTGTACAACTTATGATACTCTCAGACGGAGGACTAAATGTGTTGTCTACTAATGTCTGGTTTCCCAGGGCGAGTTGAACGTTGCACCCTTGTGGGATCTTTATGGAACTTGTTCTACCATGGTCCTCCGGGTTATCAAAGGGATGTCTAGGCCAAACTCTCCTTTAACATGCGAGATGGGACTACCCAGTTGAGGCTTGAGAGGTTTCTTGGTGTGCGCGTAAATTATCTTCGAAGAGGTCATGTTCCTAATCCAGTGCCCCAGCTGAGCTCCGACTTACACACGCAGAAACATTGGCGAGTTGTGCAGAAGGCGGCGTGGATGTCAGGGCGAATCCGGCATTTCCATAGGTCACTACCAAGTTTGACAAACTCGAGATGATTCGGTTAGATGGTGCATATATCTATAAAAATGCTAAATGTTTGACGAGAATCAAAAGGAACCGAGAGGCATAGATGGCGTTGATGAATCCGGTCGAGAAGTGGGGATACTCGGATCACACATGTTGTGTAACTGGAAGGACGCCTCTCTCTGAGGCACGGGGGACTTGTGGTAACGGATCCGAGATTTGAGATGTTGCAAGGGCCTAGTTTTCCTTAGTTCTAGTTGTTATCGATGTGGGAATTGAAGCCTTGCGACACTAGATTTTATGTGGTTCAGGTGACGAGGTATGGACTGCAGCGGTCATGCCAATGAGAAAGCTCAGGTTCTAAATCAACGGGCGCGAGAGGGCAAAGAAGCTCGAATGCGGCTACATGAAGGTTGGAATGTAGGTTGGAAGTACTCCGTAGCGTAGCCGCTTGAGGTTAAAATTACAGCGAGAGGATATCTTGGCTACCTACCATCTCCCAATCACGAACGATCAGATTGGTTCGGCCCATCAATGCCCGTTCGAGTTCCTGTCTCCGTTGTTGAGGTAACTTGCTTGGTAGCTTGTCGTCTTCGCCAGCTGGCTTTCACATGGCGCAAACAGGTCGAACCCCACTGGAGATGCTCCATTCTGGGCCTCCATTCTGGGCAATTCTGGATAGTGCAACTTGGAATGATAACCCGAGGCCCAGCGCTGTAGTAGTTTACTTTCGTACAGCTTCACTCGGAAGGGATCTTGTTTCTTTCATTCATGGCATGGACAACCTTGATACTTCCCCAGTTTTTCTTTGGAGGAACCGCGCCGTTCATCTCGCAACATTCATCTTCGTATCAGATCCTTTGGACGCGGAACCAATAACGCTCCGGCCAAATAACACACTTGTCTCTTCCTTGTTTCTTGGCCATTGGCAACAAGCTTGGTTGGAATTCGATGAGTTCGATGAGTTCGATGCGCGGAGGAAACTCAGCTCGTTCTGTCACCGCTAAAGGTGTGATGAGGTCAAACAAAGTAGAGAGGGGCAAAAGAGCGAGACGAATCCGTAATATTGGTCAATGAATAATACTTGCTTGGTACCTTTGTACTTGACTGCCACTAACACTACTGTACCGCTGTACCGCCGTACTGCTGTACTACTGTACTATTACTTCGTACTTTGTCCATCATCAATGGTGCGAGGCACGAGGACGAGGGGTCCGACTTGGACTCGGCTTTCTTTGTCTTGTACCCCGCCATAGCCAAACCCACCAAGCCCGCCCCCCGCCATCAAATACAACCCTCCTCAACAAACCCATCGACTTTGCTCTTCCCCTTTCTACCCGAGGACTTTCAAGGTTCCACATTTCGAAAGTATATTATCGGCTTTCCCCCTTTGCTCTAGAACCCTTGTGCCTGTCAGAAACACTCCTCATACAGCCTCGCGCCTCGAACCCTTCCAAACACAACCCTTTATCTGCCCCACCACCGAATCTGCCCACCATGGTCTCCAAGGAAGACTTCCTCAAGGCTGCTGAAGACTCGAAGAAGCTCACCAGCAAGCCCTCCAACGAGGAGCTCCTTGAGCTTTACGGTACGTGCATTGTCAATACTTTCTGTCACCTTTCAACTCTCTGAACCTCACCTTCCCGGGGGTCACCTGCCCCACCTCCGTCTCCCCTCTTCGAACCCCTCGGCGACCGCAACATGAACCGAGCAAGTAAAGCTGACCATACGTCATCTCTCTAGCCCTCTACAAGGTCGGTAACGGCGAGGACATCACCAAGGCTCCTGCCCCCGGCATGTTCGATCTCAAGGTCCGTTTTACCACGCATTCTGATACCCCGTTTCGCTTTCGGAGTTCAACCACCGTACCCGCCGTGGGGGTCTCTTTAACCAGCGCTAGTCTTCTGTCGAGTTCACGCTTCAGCTAACACATAGCTTCCACAATACAGGGCAAGGCCAAGAAGAACGCCTGGCAGAAGCTTGTCGACGAGGGTGTCACCACCGAGCAGGCCCAGGAGAGGTACGTTGCTCTCGTTGAGCAACTCAAGGAGAAGTACGGCTACGACGCCGACAAGGTCCCCGAGGCCGTTGGATCGTAAACTACTGGTTGAAATATCGAATACGAAGGCATTTATTTGGCGCGATGAATTGCTTTTATGAGAAAGAGATCTAGCAACTTTACGAATTCTGAGAAAATAATCACATTTCTGAATATCGACGTATATAAGGTGCTGGGTATTTCCACGCACCAACCCGGTGTCATGCTCGAAGTGAAGATGTGATATGCCCCGCTGCACCGCCGGGCAGCGAGCAGGCTTCTGAACCGGCCTAATCCGTCCAAAATTCCCCCAAGCAGTCGGGTTCTGGGTAAGACATGGTGGCAACCCATGGTATCTCATCCTTGCCATACTTCTGTAGGGGGAGACTATAGGGCATCCGAAGGCCGACCACCGCCGTTTTCCCGCCGTTCTCCGTCACCTCTTTTGACGGTGTGTCGTTTTGAAAAGCCCCAATCATGATAGAATCCTTTACTAGTAACTCTGGCCAAACCAACACCCCAATTTCCCATGAAGCGATGCGGACCTCATGTGCAGCGTTGGGAGCCTCACCCCACGCCTGCTTTGATAGGTTTGCCGAAGTAATCAACGCCCAGTCGATGGAATCTTCGCCATGGCGAATATAAGTCTTGATGTGTGGGGCTGCCCGGTTCCTCCCGCTGTTATGAATCTCTGCCTCACCTAAATCTATGCTCCAATGTTAATGTCTTGTAGGACCTCTACTGTCCAGGAACGAGTAAACTGACCTTTGCCTTTAGGGGCATCGTTCGCCCAGTGGTAGAACATGGGTTTCATGTACTCCAACTGTTTGGCCTGCTGCTTGGATTGGATCCGCATGTGTATGGAACCGCCCGATCGATAGCCGGCGACTGACCGTCGAATTTCATCAACGGTGGGAAACATCACCTTGAAGTTTGGTCGACCCGCGGATGCTGACTTCGAGGCGGACAGCGCTTGGAAAAAGGTGCCTTTCAACCATGTATCTTTGGGCCCGAGAGTTGCTATGGATGATATCTGCACAGCAACGTCAGAAGCACCGTGCTGGACGGGCACCTCGGCTAGAGCTTTCTTCAGCGCAACCCATCCCCACGGTTGAGAAGACCGCACAGGATGGCGTCCGGGGACACTCGCTATGAGAACTGCTCTTACGGCGGAGAAGTCATACTTGGATAATTCTTCGACAAGAGGTTTACAAGTGGGCCTTCGTGCGTCATAAGCTCGTAGATATGCTAAAAGATCTTCCTTGAACCGCTCTCCGCTGCCTAGAGGGTGGGCTTGCTTGCTGCCAGTTTTCTTTGGGTCCTTTAGAAGCGGTAGTAGCGGCGATAGCCAAGCGCCATTGGTTAGCACTGTCCAGTCCTGGACGATGCTGTTTGCTGTGTGAATGATGACTTGGGCGGTATCATCATGCCTAAGCAGGATCATCATCTTTGAGTGATGCGTGCCAAACATCTCGGGCATGGGGGCAACATGGAGGCTGACATTGGCATACTTCGCTGCCTCTGCCTACACTTTGCTTAGCTTCATCAGAAAAGATAAGCGACTAGGTAAGATGGGCTCCTTTTTACCTCGAGTCTGATTTTGCCGGGGTCTTCTCTCTTCCAGTTTCCGTGGACGATGTGAAGCTTCACTAGGTTTCTGACGTCCTCATCAAAGGCATCGAGAATATACGCGATGTCGTGCATGTAGTTAAAATTCCAACATTCCTTGATCAGAGGGTCACCGAGGAGAGTTTTAAGGGTGACTGTCCCCTGATTGTAATGGTCTGGCAGATCGTCAATTCGTGTGAGCTTGATGGGGGAACTCATCACTACCGGGCCATTGCGGGTAGTCCGCTTTCTCGCTGGGGGGCTGATCGAACGCGTCAATGAGGTTGGAGCTTCGACTGTGTCCTCGTGAGACTTGACGCCTGAGTCGTATCGGGCCCGCTTGGGAGGAGGTTCCATCATGAAAGCTCGTCGATAGAAAGTCAATTGTGGATTAGGTAGTGGTTGTCGGAGGCATTGGACAGTCTTTGAGACCTGTGATGTGATGGACAACAGTCTGGGAAGAGTTGCGGCTGCTGACCCTGAATAAGAGTTCATCAAGGCTAAGGTCTGAGGAGGAGCCGCAACCTACAATTGTAACTCCCCAGTCTGGAACCAGAGCAGTCGATGAGATGGTTCTTTCTCAAAAACGCCTTGTCACCAATCCACGACGGATTTAAGTCATCAAATACAATCCAATGTCGTAGCTCAAGTTAATTGTCAAGTTAGTTGTTGTCTTGGGTAATTCAATCCAGCTCGTCCGCGCATGTCGAATTGAGAATCAGTCAAAATGCATGTACCTCTGCGACTCGATGTATCTTTTTCGTGCAGTTTTGGAGTGATTCGTTCAACCAATCTGTACTATTGATATTCTCTTAAGAAATTCAAGAAACACATCAGTATTGGGATATTACGAAGTAAGAGGAAACCAATCCCGGGCCCATTTTCATGGTAATTTCTGTTCTAGATTATCTGTCAAGATGCGCTCTCTCCCATGGTGGTAGCCCAGCGTGTGATTGATCAAATGGTTCCTGAACTATTAACACTGCCTGGCGTGTTCGGGCGAGTCTTAAGAGGCGCCGCCTGCGCCCAAAAGAAGGATCAAGTACCTGTGCACGCGGAACTTCAATACACCACTGCTCGTCATCATTGCCAACCACTTCAAAACAGCTTGGCCACAGACCCCGGTCGAAGATTGTCGACTGCTAGGTTTATTGTGAACCCTCTGAGACTGAGTATGATGTGACAACCTGCTCTACCCGTTATCCATACTCTGTGGGCTTGTCCGAGCTTGAGATGTTGAATCAAACAAGTCGGCGGAGATAGCCTGGCTCTTGTTTCAAGGTGTCTTGCCTGCAGGAGCTAAATTCTTCGATTCGCAGTCTAAATTTACTGCAGCTCTTTGCACATTCAAGGATAAGGAAATACGAAGTACTTGGGGGCGCGGACTTCTGACATGTATGCCATCGGTCTGTTCAATCCAACAGGGCCTATGAAGTAATACGCCTCCTTTCCCTTCACATTCCCTATCTGCCACTACTCCTTCAAATGCAGCGGAATGCACAATCGTGGTGTGTGTGGCGAACGGAGGTACATCCGAATTGTATCGATTTGCCTGTGTAAACTTAGTTTACTTCGAAATGTGTCCCCGTCCGCACTGCCGCCTGAGATGTTAGGCCTTGAACTATTTTTCGATCCATCGGTGGGTCTGCAATTGCTTGTTGAAGCTTAGTGGAGAGCCGACAGCGGTTTTATCCAATAAGCTTCGAGCATCGCGCCATTTTTAGCGATAGGGAGGATATCAAATGAATTGATGTTCATTGAGTAGTCCATCGTCTTGTACTTGTACCTGTACCTGAACATTGGTGGACATCCGCCTGTTCTTGATGTATCCTGCCGTTCTCCTGATTTTTCCACCCCCTGTGTGGTTTCTGTCCCGTCTTCTATCATCCCCGTGTTCCTCCTTAATTTTTCCAGGACACCAAGTTCTCTTCGCGATCTCCAAGGTTGGCAGATTCCTAGCCACGATTTTGTATTTCTTGGCTCCTTCTTTCCTTTCTTTATCTCACCATCGCCCAATCATCATCGTTTGGCCCTGACGACTTTCCTTTCTCTCTTTATTTGCTCCTCCGATTTCGAGGAGATTCCGGTCTGGCGAACATTTTTTGACATCTCCTGTCTTTTTTGTTCTCGCGATCCCTCATCAGATTGCCTCCTGATTTGCCAGCTCAGCAATCCGGCGACTTGGCCTCCAGAGGCGCCTTCACAACCCACCCACATCCCGTTTCCAGATGATAGCCGTGACCGAATCATAGACGACGAGTCGACGTTACGGACCACCTGTAGCCTTTCGTTTGTCTCTTTCTATCTTGAAGCGACCGAGACGAATTTCATCGTCACGACCGGAATAATCCTCCCTGAACTACCAAGCTCTCGTGACGATATCATCACCGATCAAGCGCCTTGTCTCCGCATCACTCGTTTGCCCCCCGCGCGTTTCTCAGCACCTTTTAGGTGCCCCCTTTAGAATATGAAGCTTGCTTCAATGCTAACGCTCCTCGGAGCGACGGCTCTGGTTCAAGGCAAGGGAAAGAAGGACCCTGAGCCAACTACATTCAATGGTGTCGAGGTTCCCCCGTTATTAGAACTCACTCCCGATAGCTATGACAAGGAGTTAAAATCTTCGACCTTTGTCATGGTCAAGCACCACAGGTAGATCCATCTCCCTCACTCAGTCTCCTTAAAAATGGCGTCAATTCTTTCTAACGGCATCATCTTGCAGCCCTTATTGTCAATTCTGTCTCGAGTTCGTCCCCACCTACCAAACCGCCTACGAATTCTATTACACCTCGCAACCGGAGGGCACCGACAAGAGCTTCAGCGAGTTTTACGACTTCAAGTTCGCGTCGATAAATTGCGTCGCGTACTATGATTTCTGCGCAGATCATAATGTGACGTCGTGGCCAACAACTGTTCTGTTCAAGAACGGAGAAGTGGACGGCAAGATTCGCGGCGCCAAGAACATGACTGTTGTGACCAACGTCATCGAGAAAGCCCTTGAGAAGGCCAAGCCTGGTTCCAGGCCAAAGAAGCGAATAATCCCCAAGCCTGGTGTTGATCACGTCGACTCTGCCGAGACCCCGAAGTCCGACAAGACGGAGGATGTAGATGAGCAGCCGGCCACGACGGGCTCCAGCGCTAAGGTGAAGGCCGATAAGGTACCTGCTGAAGAGGTCGAGAAAAAGACGGCCGAAGAAGATGACACCGAAGAGATCGAGGAGAAGAGGGCTGAAGAGGACGTTGTCGAAGTCGCCAAGGAGACAAAAGCAGCTAATGACGTTCCCGTCTTCCCTACCCCGAATATCCCCTTCCCGACCCGGGCCAAGTCAACGGCAACTCCTAACAAGGAAGGAATCTCGACCCCCCTTACCGCCGAGTCGTTCCATGACAAGGTTACGATGACCCAAGACCCTTGGTTCATCAAGTTCTACGCCCCCTGGTGTCATCACTGCAAGGCTCTTGCTCCCACTTGGGATCAGGTTTCCAAGGACATGAAGGGTCGTCTCAATATTGGCGAAGTCAACTGCGATAAGGAAGCTCGTCTCTGCAAGGACGTCGGTGTCCGAGGCTATCCTACAATTATCCTTTTCCGCGGTGCGGAGCGTGTTGAGTACGACGGTCTGAGGGGCCTCGGCGATTTGCTTCACTTCGCTGAGGGCGCCGTAGACCTGACTAACGGTGTTCCCGAGGTCGACGCCGAGTCTTTTAAGGCCCTGGAGCAGAAGGAGGAGGTGATTTTCGTCTATTTCTATGACCATGGTGCTACGAGCGAGGATTTTATGGCCCTCGAGCGTATTCCCATCCACCTTGCTGGTCGTGCCAAGCTCGTCAGGACCCGCGACCCCGAGATGTTCAAGCGCTTCAAGATTACTACGTGGCCGAGACTCATGGTCTCTAGGGAAGGACGTCCCACTTACTACACTCCCATCATGCCCAAGGACATGAGGGATGTTAATCAAATGCTTCAGTGGATGAAGTTCGTCTGGCTCCCCATTGTTCCGGAGTTGACCGCAGCCAACGCGCGTGAGATCATGGATGGCAAGATCGTCGTCTTGGGCATCCTCAACAGGAACAACGAGGAGTCCTTCCGAGATGCCCAACGTGAAATGAAGAGCGCCGCCAACGAGTGGATGGACAAGCAGATTCAACTCTTCCAGCTTGAGCGACAGGAGCTTCGTGATGCTAAGCAGCTGCGTCTCGAGGAGGCGAAGGACCGGAATGACGAACGAGGAATCCGACAGGCCAAGGCTATCCGGATCAACATGTCCATGTCGGATAAGAAGCAGGTCACCTTTGCCTGGGTTGACTCCGTCTTTTGGCAACGCTGGATTAGGACCACCTATGGCATTGATGTTAAGGACGGCGATCGTGTTATTATCAATGATGAAGACGTAAGTTTCCCTACCAGCAGCAGCTTTTGTTTGCGGCGAACGGATCTAGCTAACTTGTGCTCTCTATAGAACCGTCGATACTGGGACACTACCATCACGGGTAACCTCATTACTCCTTCGCGCACCTCGATCATGGAGACAATCAGCAAAGTCACCGCGTCACCGCCCAAGATCAAGGCCAAGCTGACCATTTCGAGCTTCGAGAAGGTCTTCTTCGACTTCCGCATGGCCTTCGTCGAACACCCCTGGCTCTCCCTCGGCTGCACCTTTAGCATTGCCCTTGCCGCACTATCCTGGTTCCGTGGCCGGCTACGAAGGACTCGTCCCAACTTCAGACTCGAAGACGCCATGGGCATCAAGGAGTTGAAGGAGGGTCTGCTCGGGGGCGGAAGCTCTAACAGCAACGGCAAAGTGGACTAAAAGAAAGAGGGAAGAGATGTGACGATGAAATGACTTTATTACATTGGGATTATTACTAGCAGTTCATCTTTTTTGACTCTTTCCTTCTTCCATTTTCGCCCGCCGTTCTTATAGGGCTTCTTCTATAACTTCTCTGCTTCTAGCCGAAGTTCCCAGGGTTTCCGCGTCTTTGTCATTCCGTTTATTCGTCTGACTCTCAAACATCTGTCATAGAGATATCATATTTATTTATCAGGTCGCCAAGGAAGGAGTTGTCTCTTTTTTTTTTTTTTTGTCTTTTTTTCTTTTCTTGTTTACCCATACTTCCAGGCGGGGAATGGATACGAAGGGGGTGTTTTTTTTTTGCCCTTTCTTCTTTTTTTATTCATGGTCAACATAAAAAGGAAGGCGAGGGAGCGAAGCTTAATTCACATGGACGCTTTTTTGTAACTTCTTCTCACTTTGGTTGGCTGCTGCTTTGTTTGCTTTGGCTAGGACTTGGACGTTTTCTCACCCCCCTTCTCTGCTGTACTAATGTTCCATAAGATAAACAAAAAAACACGTTGTACTTCAAGACTTGGTTCGTGGTCGACTGATGTGAAGAAGTAATGGAATTGACTTGATGTTCTAGTCCCATTGAGATGTCAAGTCTCACCCTCTTTCCAACGAGGCTAGCGCCTATGCCTGAAAGAAACTGCACACGCATGATATCCTAGGTTCGGCAGGGTTCTCCTGTTCAAGTATACAACTCCGCCGTCAAGGTATTCAACTCCAGACCCTCCTTCGCGATATCCGGCTCATCCACCAAAAAGTCCAAAGGCATCTCCACAAGGGTTCCTCGCACGCGGCTCAACCACTCCTTCACCTCGCCCACACCACCAGGGAACTCCGACTTGACAACGTGGCCGTAGCCAATTTTGCCAGCTGCATTCTGAGCCTGCTGCGCCTGCTGTTGTTGTTGCTGCTGCTGCTGCTGGTTGTTATTGCCGCCCTTTTCGGGCTTCTCGGCGGCACCGGGTATGACGAAGTGCTTCGAGAAGAACTCGTCGTAAGCCTTCCACGTGCGAACGTGATTATTCGGCACATTGTGGAAGACCTTGCTAAAGACCTCGGTATTCACGCGGGCCGTGGTATTCCACAAATTCCGGAAATCGGGGTGCAGCGGATCGCGGACGAGCTGGTCAGCGTGCGAGTTCCAGTCATACCAGTTGGGGCCCTTGTCGACGCCGGACCAGTTAACGTTGGGCTTGTCCCACTTTTCGTCGGGAATGAGGCCGAGGTGCTTGCGGAAGATGAAGCGTCGGAGGGAGGCGGCGAAAACGCTGGCCTGGTAAGGGCGGCCGTTCATGTACGAGTCGACAGGGGTAGGGTCCTCGATGACGACGGCGATTTCGGAGTCGTGGAAGCCGAGCTGGGATCGGTCGTTGATGTTGGCCGAGCCGCAGATGACGAGTTTGTCGTCGGCGATGAGGAGCTTGCTGTGGATGTAGAGCTGCTCGCTCACGAAGGAGTCGATCTCGGCCTCTGGGGGACCATACCAGGGGACAGATCGGATATCAGCACCACCCGCCATGTAACAGGATGCCACGGTGTCCCAGGTAGAATCCGGGCCTCTGGACGGGCCGTTGATGCGGTCGTAGTTTCGAAGGTTGTAGAATGCAATATATCGACTGACATCCTGGATACCGTTATTTCGCAGCGTCTCGAGAATACTATGCCCACCACGAGAAATGGAGAAGTACTGGAATTCCATAATCGCTCGCGTGCCGAGTGCACTGTCAGCCTTCAGGTCACCGGGGAATCCAGGGACAGCGGGCATGATGACAATGATCAGGAACTCTTCGTTGGCGTGATAGGCTTTGAGAATACGGTTCACGATTGCAGTTCCCAGCTTGTTGCAAACTGGTTTCTGAGCATCGCTTGTAGCAGTGATGAAAAACTATCGTCCAGTGTTAGACAGCCTGCCTTCATCTATCAAGCTTTCTCTCTTCAAAAAGGCAATTACCTGGTTCTCAATATAGATAAAGTGCTTCGCATTGGTGATGGCGTCTATGTAGGCGTTGGCAATGGAATGCTCGGTGGGAAGCCCAGAGGACCATTGAGTAGCGCTTTACAATAGTTAGATGTTTAGGTCGACCATGACCAACTGAGTGCGGAAGGCCCGGTCTAATCACTTACCTGCGCACTAGCTGGATGCTGCTTCCGGCGCCGCTATGCCTGGATGGTGGCCTTTGGTGGGTGCGGTCATCGTGGCCGGTGAGATGGCTCAATCCTCGGTTGAATCGACTGTGCATGTCACCCAGGAGTCGCTGGCCAGACTGACTCCAATCGCCGCCCAGGCCCCGATCTAGTCCTTGGGGACTAGGGTTGCCTGGCACGGTGGCCTCAAGCTTCGCATACTTGCCAGCATTCTTGTGTCCATACTTCTGGTCGTAAAGATAGTTCCTACAAAGATGTCAGCAAGACGGACCCGATGGGGACTGCATACTCGGAGAAAACTGACCACCGGTCCTTAAAGTGATGGATTAGACTCCCGACAATTGGGCCGTTCAGGCTGATAGTAACATCGGTCCATCCCATCCTGCTACTCTGACCTCGGTCGAGCTTGTTCTGCTCCCACTTATCCACGTCGTGGAAGTCATAGATTCGGGCATTATTGTAGTCTTGCCCAGGAAAGACAACGGCCTCGAGGTTTCCAGGGTGAGCATCAGCAATTGGGTGACCTGAGAAATAGAATTAGTATCTAGAATGGTTCCCGACTGCATGCAGTCGGCTACGGATTTGGGTTCATATTACTCGTGGTGTCCCATCGTCCGAAACCTAGAAAACGTGTTAGCTCCTCACCCAGACCTCGACGGTTATCTCAACCTACACATATCAAGCCCGCCCATAAAAACAATCTTCTCATCGACAAGGCAAAGCTTCTCATGATGAGCCCAAAACAGCACCATACCATCGCTAGTACCGTAGAGGGCCTTTAAGGCGTCGACAGAGGTCTTTGCAATGCCTGAACCACCGAGGTTGAGGCCGGAGAAAGTTTTGTTCAAACTGTATCCAGTAGGCGTGTGGTCAGGGTGCCTAAAAACCTGAATATTCGGATGGAGAGACTCGAGTCGCTTTCGAGTATGCTATACGTTTACTCGTCAACAAAAAAAGGACATGGGAATTTATACGATGAACCTAGTTCTCAGACTTACTGCAGAGTTTACTTGTAACCAGTGACGAGATGTGAGTGGCGGCTCGGGTTAATTAGAATATCAAGTGGTAAGTAACTTACAGGCCAATGCTGCTTGAACCTCCTTGTAGACGATGATGTGAACTTTCACTCCGCGATCGGCAGCAGCATGGAGCAGCTTATCGAGACGATATCTCTCGTTGGCAGAGGGAGGTCGACGCAGATACAGCTCGGGACTGAGCCACCAATCGAGGATGTAAATGCTCTTTTGAGCAGCTAACGACGAGCTTTCAGCACTGCGATGCCCCGCGTAAAATCTTGGGTTCTCTTCTCACACATATACGTAGCGCCTCATCTTACCTTCAATAGCCTCGGATGCGGCCCAGAAATAGGAGCAGCCATCGACATACCACTTGGCGTTTCCGACAGTCTGGGGTGCGAAGGAGGTGTACCGGTTGTCTCTATGATGGTCAGGATGAATATGGGTGCATTCATGACCGAGGTGAGTGTGGGAATGGCGCTCATCATCCCCACTCAGGAGACTCTCGATGCGAGCCCCCGCCTTGCGGAAGAGATCCATATCGAAGGAGGGTCACGCAGGAGGTAATCACGGTCAACAGCAATGAGAAGGATAATAATTGCAGATGTTTCCGCTAGGGAAATCCGGAGGTGGCCGCGCTAAGGTTCGGGAACTAGGAGGGAGAAGAACAAGACAGAAAAATGCACGAGGCAAAAGACGAGGCTTTCATCAACCGCGGAGCACCGCAGAACGTCTTCAAATTGGTGGGACAGATAAGTGCTTCATGTGGCGGGGGTGAGCTGAACAGCCTAAGACGGTAGGGTCTAGGCGCATAGGCTTGGCCCCGACCTGACCGAATTGCCGTGGCACTAGACCTGCAGCATAGATTGGCGGATGTGACCTTGGATAAGACGTAGAAAGATGTCAGCTGAATCTACTTCATACAGCGTCCGGTATCATCGGACCTGGAGGCCTCTAGTGGAGAGAGAGCCGTTGCAGGAGTGTAAAATCCAGCCAGTGGATTGTCGCTGAGCGAGAGCTCGCGTGCGATGCTGGTCCGATCCACACAGGGAACTTAGCTTTCAACATCCTGGTCTTGGTGGAGAGTATCAGAGCATCACCACGAACCTCGAGCCATCCTCGCTTCTTCCCCTCTTCGGCCCCCTCTTTTTGTGGTTATGGATTTCTCGAGGAATGATATAAATCTGGAGGCACGTCTCTTGCAGCTGTCAATCTCGCACCAGGGCCTAGTAATTTGCTATCCAAGTCGCAATCTATAGAGGATGAACTTGGATGGTGTAGAACCGTCTCTCGCTCTGTCGGGACACCCCCAACTTGGCCGTCTGCATGAATGATTGGGATGCGAATCGAATTTGACAGGCTGGCAATGCGTGTGAAAGGGCATCCTGTACAGGCTCAACAATTTCTCACAACTACGGCCACGGTCCGGCGTTTGCTTCGGGATGCGCAACTCGACGTTGTACGAGGTCAGAAAGGTTTTTGTCTTGCTTTTCATTCCGATGTAAATTTCACACTGGAAGAAACTCGCCGGTGTGATCTTGTTTTGCTGTCCGTGGCTGCTCCTCCGCGCTTCGTACATCTCGAATGCATGGTTGTTACCGGTGTCAGGTCCTCAAGGCGTTCCTCAAGCCCTAGGATTTGGTGTCTCCTCATGGATCGAGACTTTATTTTATGTCCTGTTGCCCACGTGCCGCTGCGGTTTCTCTCCATGAAGAGAGATCCTCGAGTAGAGTTTAGTCGCTATTAAATCTTCTGGGCACAGCGAAATTTGACTGATGAGGACCATCGATTCGATGTCAAAGTCACTTGCAGCTTCTTTACGAAGGAGCGTACCTGTGTCCTACAATTGCAATGCCTGTGCTGATTAATACAAAGTAAGGACTTGGAGGCTTCAATTGAGCGCTCCTGCTTCTATACCCAACTAAAAGAGTCGTCTGTGACTCGTGACAGTAACACTAGACCGACACTGAACATTTCAATGGAGAAGGAAGGAGGACAAGAAGTAACTTTACATGTATCACCCACTGGCTTCTTGAATGCCGACATGCGAGGAAGGAAGGCTGATCCAGTCGGGAAATTGTTGATCCAGACATACGGAGAGAAGGAACGAGAGAGGTGGATTTTGTTGCGGAAGGAGACGGTAACGGGAGACGCTCTCTTTGGTAAAAACACAATGTGGCGTTCCTTCCGCGACCGCGATGCGTCCTTCTATCGCGCATCATCTAACGTAGACTGAGAATTCTACAGAAAATCATACTCGTCCAAAGTAGGTTTCCTGAATTGCATGTAACTGGAGTCCTTCTTGTCATATTAATCTTAGTGCCCCTTGCCCCCTTTCCCCCTTGCAAGCCCGACATCACACCTCCGTTTCCTCATGTGCCTCGCCTCAGCACAGGGTTTTCTCCTGCAGGTGCAACGCTTTCTCCCTTTCTGCTGCATTCTCCTAGCTTTGCCGATCCCACCATCGCCATCAACACTGACCAGGACCATGGTCGAGGGAGAGTCTCGGGAGCCGGGAGAGAAATGGAATCGATTGGTCTACGAAGTACAAAGGAAGTCAATTGACAATTGATATCGATGACGGGGATTATTAGTGACGTGTGGTGTGTGCCCCTGCATTTTCCATCCTTTACCTCTTCCGAATTGTGACATGGCGATATCCTGCTTGGAACGCCGCCCCAAGGAGCGCAGTAACAGTTTGCAACGAATGTATTAGCATTCGCCCGGCCAGATACTCGACAGAGCGAGTGTGACTGCCGACTGGAGGTTGAGACTCCGTGCCTCCCCCGCCATCCGTCGAGTCTGTCGTCAGATGCACAGCGTCGTAGTTGGTAAACCTTCAGAACAAGATCAAGGTGAGGGAGGAAGAGAGGAAGACAAGGGGTGAGAGACAAACTCTTTAGTCTCTCCACGCGTGAAGTAAGGGCACCTTTTCTCTTGGTCAATGGCTTGCCTTGAGGCAATATATGTCCCATCCTGGTCTTTGCCCATTGTGGACGAACCAAAACCTCGGCCAGTCCGCATCTCAACACTGCAACCGGTCTCTCGGTGTGTGTATGTGTGCGTTTGTGTGTCTGCCACCACTCTCGCCTCTTGCTTGCATTGATCCTTGCTGCAGAAAAGTGAGCGTATTTCTATAGATCCTGGCACTTTCTAACTCTCAAAACGGCAAAATCCTCGGTAAACCAACATAATATCCTGATATGACCATCTAAGTCCGATATACTAACATCTGCTCATAAGCCCAAGTCTGCTACTTAACATCTTACATTTCCACCCTCGATCCTCCAGAGGTCAGAGGTCAGCAAAGGGGCTCGCATTAGCATAAGACCACGGTCCTTCCTACTTTTACCAATCTCACGGTCCTTTTGGTCTCAACAACAATACATACAAGCGCTGTATGCACCGGATCAGTTGACATCTCGAGGACGCCAAGTGTGACATCTCGAGTGAAAATTTTTTTCTCCTTCCTTCCCAGCTGCTGCCAGACTCGAGAGGAAAGATGCTATCTCCCGACTTCACCGAGGCCACACGGCCGGGCGTCTCGACTCGGCTTTTTACCGAGAATGAGACCCACCTCATTCCGTATCTCGCTGCCATCCATGCCAACTGCATCACTTCCGACCATAGCATAGTCACCTTTCTTCCGCCCTTGGATCAAGATAAGCTGCTCAAGTTCTGGAAGGATGTCATTGCCGATATCCGCGAAGGCAAGCGCTTCATGGTTCTCCTCTTTGATGAGTCCGAGCCTCAGCCTACCCAGTCTGGGCTACAGCTGATGGGGGCTGTGACTCTCTCCATACCCTACTCCGAGACCGGGCCTTTCCGAGGCTGGGTTGAGAAGCTTATCGTGAGCCCGAAATTTCGAAGGAGAGGCGGCGCGACAGCCCTTATGAAGACCCTGGAAGTTGAAGCTCTTCGAAGGGGGAGGACACTCCTGGTACGCTCAGATCCATTCACGCCTACGTAGACGACTCACTCCCAGGCACACTGAATATCCCTCAAGCGAAATCATAGATCTTCTACTAATAACTTGCGAAATTTGATAGATGACTGATACTGAAACTGGAACTGTGGCCGAAGCCTTATATAGGAAGTTGGGATACGTTGAAGTAGGCAAGATTCCCGACTTTGCTATAAGTCCTGGAGGTGGTTTGAGAGCAGAGACATTCTTCTATAAACAACTGCTGTAGAGGCAGCTCCGTGATATGCTCCACAGAGACAATGGTTGTCTACGAATACACGGTTAGGGCATGCATGTGTGTGTGTGTGTGTGTGTGTGTCTCTTTCGGTTTCTCGTCTTGAGGGTATTCGGTCTTCGGCGTCCCCCAAGTTTCATGGTATTGATGGTTTACTGGTTACTATGGCCCTCGATCGAGCCAGGCTTTTTCACTTCCGAACAGGGTTGAGGGTTTCATTTGGTTCTGGGCAGGCAAAAAGTTATGAAAGGGCATCAATTATTTGCCACTCTGTGCGCACACACAAAATCGAGAGCAACATTTTGATCCATCCTCCTTCTCCTGCCCACGGGGTTTCAAACAACTGGCAGAGAGGCACACGAGTGAAAATTTTCATTTTTTACATCCGCTTTCTTCAAGATCCCCACGCTAAGACCCGCCTCCCACACCCCAAGTTGAGCCACCCCATTCGAACCCGACGTCTGGATCGCTTCACCCCCTGCACCGAACCACCAACCAAGTCTTGCGGCAACCCACCCATCCGGCGTTGCCCTTTCGGAGTTTGCACCACACCGCCCTTGCTAGACCAACGCTTTTTGTCCTTTCTGGCTCCTGTATCTCGAAGTGTGGGATGAAACCAATGCGCCAGATACGTACTTTGGTTGCCTACCACTTAGTGTGTCACCCCTTTCCTTCATACATACTTTAGTTGCTAGTGAATATCCTGCTTCCGTCCCGAGTGGGAAAAGAGAAAAAAAAAAAAAAAAAAAAAAAAATTGTTCATGTATGAGCAGGAGAGGCCAGGCCGAATCCGGCAGGTGAGAATGGCTTGTCGGGAGATTGCCAAATAAAAAAGAGGCCCTCGAGTTGCACGCCAGTAAGTACACGCGAGCAATCGGCAGCAGAAACCTGCTCGGTACCCGAATTTGTCGTGCGTGACGAAGGTTCGGCACGCCGGAACGGAAGGACTTGCCCGGTCCAGCCTGACGATGGGGCGAGCCGAGAGACAAGGGTCGGGAGAATGCATCTTTAAGGTGCGAGGCTCTCTAAACAGAAGGTGGAAAAGGCTTATTTTGTTCCTCGGACCTTTTTTCCCTCCCCACGTGCTGTGTGAAGGACCGTGGAGAAGAGGACAGCAATCGTTCCATTGTACAACTTTGGAAGTCTGTGCCGGGAGTGAAGATGGATCGTCAATTGCAAGATTACACTGAACCACCATGGGCGAACTGCAGCTTCCCAGTCGCAGCAAACGAATCATTCCATTTTTCGGGCCGCCATTGGCTTGTAGTATAAATAAATGAGTTAAATGCTTCCTTCTCGCCGTACTAATACATATGATGCCAAGGCCATGGATGGCGAGGGAAACCGAAAAAAAAGGCGCAAGAAATTCTTCATTCCCTTCTCTCCCCAAGGAGAATGCCGATTAACCCCGCGAGAATCGCCAAAATAACCCTTCGTACCTTCATTCCACCAGTTTTTCCGACTCGAGGAGGACGTACTCAACCCCCATATTCTAAGAGTCAACGGGGTCGTCGGGAAAGGTACACACAAAAAAAAAGAAAAACAACAGAAAATCCTTCATTCCTCTACTCGTCATCCGCAAGCTCTTCTACCTTGGGAGCAACATAGGAACGCTGCCTGGGCTCGGTATTGATCTGCGTGTCGGTGGCGGGGGGCGCGTTGCCCGTTGTACCACTGATATGGGATTGTGCCTCCATGTTGGACAGGCCGTGTGACTTGGTCTTCTTCTTCTTCTTCTTTTGGGGTTCGGTCTAACGAGAGTGTGTTAGTTTTATTAGTCGGCTGGAATCACAAAACGGGATGATTGAGCATGATTTACCTCGTGCCACGCCCACACGGGTCGGAAACTATCCATAAATGAAACATCTTCCCAGAGATTGGGATAGAGCCAAAGACCAGGTGGGACGACAAAGTATGTGACGCAAAACAGAATAACTCGGAAGATGGCCATGAGGAAGAAGAGGCCGAGCAGACCAAGGAATCCCCAGCTGAGGTAGTACACGCCTTGTCGTAGCTTGACGGGCCAGAGAGGGTAGAGCACGATGAGGAAGATGAGGATGAGCGCAAGTACGGCGTAGACCTTTCGCTTGATCTGGGCACCCTCCCAGAGCCAGGCGTAGTACATGTCATCATGCGCGTCCTGCTGGGGCTCAATCTTGACTGTCCATAGACCCTTGACTCGCTTGGGCTTCTTGCCGTGGTTGTGGCCCTCATGGGGATCGATCTTGGTCACACGAAGAGCGAGCATGGACATTGGGAGAAGTTTGAAAGTGTTTTCGAGGGACGCGCGATCCGTAATCTCGGGTAGAAGAGGGTTCTTCTTCCTCGCCTTCTCGTAGGCGGGGGACTGAAGGGCGCGGAGAGCTCGCTTGACTGTGACATGCCGCAAAACGTTAGTTGCCGTCACTCACTCTAAAGAGGGTATGCCGCTTCTCCAATTGAATAGGCACAATCGACATGTATGTCCTATGTGAACTCACCTCTAAACATGTCTTTGCGCTCGCCATTTAGAATACACGTTCGTGGCTTAAGGTCCTGGCCCTTCAAGAACTTGGCGAGGGCAAGCGCCCGCGGGTTGGGGGGACCGGGGGTAATCGGCTGAGGCTGCCCTTGGGGGCGGGCATTCCCTTGAGGGCCATGCTGATGTTGAGGTCCTGGGCCACCACCAGCACGCTGCTGCTGCTGAGCTGCTTGCTGCATCCTCATCTGTTGCTCACGAGCCTGCTTCTTGAGGTGCTCGACGAATTCGGGGACGGTCATACCGGCCTTTTGCGCCTCCATAGCTAGCTGCCGCTGCATGATTTGGATCTGCTCGGGTGTTGGCATCTGGCCCGGTCCAAAAGGGCCCATGGGAATGGGGATGCCAGGGCCGCCAGGTCCTCCAGGACCACCAGCGCCCGCAGGGCCACCCGGGCCAGGCATAGGCATCGACATGATTCGGCTTAAGGTTGGCGATGCGAGGGTGGTGTCGAGAGGGAACGGACAAGGTTTAGATGAAGCTTGTCTGTCTGAAGGGGGGTAGCCGCCAAAAGTAAGGAGAGGGAGGGACGAAGAATTGAATGAATCTCAAAGAAATTATTATTTAGTCAAAAAAGGACCGAAAAGAAGTGGCCAAGAAGCCTTGACCAAGCCGTGAATGGTCCAAGAGAGGAATCGAATGTTTTGCCTCCGATTGAGGATGAAGCTTCGAAAGTCGAAGTGACCAGCCGATGTGGATGTGGAAGTGGATGTGGCCTTAGCAAAAGCCCAAGCCAGAAGTTATTCTTAGCGCATCCATCAAACAGTAACTGTGTTCACTTCTGAAATTTCCCGTTCCTGGTTGCATCACCAAAAGCGGGTCGGTTAATATTCGGCAAATAAAGTGGACCAAAGCCTGGTGAGTAATCAGTCCCTTTATCGGTCCTTATCTTTATCACTAGGCACCCCACTTCATCCAAGCGCCTCTTGTTCTGCACAAGCTTGTCCGGATCCATATCCGCCACCAAGTCTATCAACGCCAGAAAACCAACTTCACGAACAGTGATCTCATATTCAGGTAATAATCGTTATACAACAACCGAGAAGAAAATATGGGTTCCGTTTTCCTACCCCATCTTCGAAGCGGCTGGCACGTCGACCAAGCCATCCTCAGCGAGGAGGAGCGTCTAGTCGTCATCCTCTTCGGTCGTGACTCTGATCCCGACTGCATGAGAATGGGAGAAGTATGTCCACCTCTCTTTCCGGACAACCCCTAATGTACCGCATGCTAACCATTGCTACTTTTAGGTCCTTTATAAGATCTCTGAACTAGTCCGCAACTTCGCCGTCATCTACGTCTGTGATATCGACCAGGTGCCCGACTTCAACGAGATGTACGAGCTCTACGATCCTTGCACCATCCTCTTCTTCTGGCGCAACAAACACATGCTCTGCGATTTCGGCACCGGTAACAACAACAAGCTTAACTGGGTTCTCGAGGATAAGCAAGAGCTTATCGACATCATCGAGACCATCTACCGCGGCGCGAAGAAGGGCCGTGGTCTCGTGGTCAGCCCCAAAGGTAAGACTGCATTACTCCAACCCTCTTTCTAATGCGAGGGGATCCATCTCATCTCATGATCGACTGTACTGACATGTGTTTGACTTAGATTACTCCACGCGACATCGGTATTAAGCATTGGCTCTTCCGACATCCACAGGACGGAATCTTGGTTTATTCTAGCTGCCCGGCCGAAAGCGTAGGCCAACATATCCTCCAACGAGAGCAAGGGCGGCGTCTTGGGCGGAATGATATTGCATTGTGTTTTTTTCTCTATTAGGGTTCGTCTCACATATCTCAATACCACTAAGCGATTTTTTTCTTCTTTCCCCCTCACTTCCTCACCTCGATGTCGTCAATATTGCTAATGCTCTGAAGAAACGGAACGAGCAAGAAAAAAACCCCAAGGTAAGGAAGAAAAGGTGGGGGAACAAAAAAAGCTCTAATCATCGTGACGCTCTCTGTCCTATGTCACCCCAGGACACTGAGGACGGCATCCTAAGCAAAAAAGGTACGCCGTTTCGCCCACCAAACTAACACCTATGTAAACAAAAGCACATGTAACTCTCCCCCCTTTCCGCCGGAACATAGAATGTTTTCGTACCAACATTAAGGCAATGGCCTTAACGCTTTTTCAAATCATATTGAAATAGCGTAGAGGATATCCAGACAGGCCGTAGTACTTCTTTCATGTGTCGCAAGTGAAAAGGGGGAAAGGGGCCAGGTATCAACCACATGTAGCACCAATATTTCGTAGTCCTCATCTCAATATATACACAGCATTGAGAAATTAAAAAGGAAAAAAAATAAAGATTTAAACAGTAAAAAGTCGTGTCTCGAATGAAGACATCCGGGATGGAGTGCACGGAGATATGTAGGCAAGGGGTAAGAGAATAGCAGCTAACGCACGCAGTCTCGCTAAAGCATATCAGCTGGGGGCGGTTGTTGCGATTTTGGTGGAAACAAGTTTGTGCCAGACGGCGCTTTAGGCATATGAGGCGGCCCTGCTCGGTCCAGCCGGAACCGGTCCAAATCTCTTGTTCTGCTTCCCGTTAGCCGCCGCACCCCAGCCCTCGACGATTGCGTGAGTGGCCGTATCATGTTCTCGAGAAAGAACGAGCCTTCAGCGCTCCCTGCACCTGGCCGCTCATCGTCCGCATCGGAAAAAACGTCCTCGTTGAGTTCGTCATCGGAGGCTAGTTCGCCTATCTGCGCCGGATACTGAGAGGGAGTGGAAGGGGACATCTCGGATCTGGAAGGGACATTTTGGCGATGCATCGATGAGGATGCCGTGAATGCACCAGGGTTCATGGTATTGGAGCTGGCCTCACGCGACATAGCCGGAGGCCGTTCGGCGAACCCATTCTGGAATGAAGTGTTGCTAGAAGCCTGGTGTAGGATGGGGAGGATCTGGTCATCGTAGAGTTGCACACTCGACTGCGAATTATCGGGATCATATTCGGTAATCGTCCTTGATGACCGCCCCTCACTAGGCGCGCTCTGTGACAAGTCATCGAAAAAGTCGTCGAGGCTATCAAGCTTGCTCACTAAATCTCCCATAGTGCTGTCGGCACGGAGATCGTCAGACATCATTGTGTCGGTTCGATCAGCCAGCGGGAAATATCCGTATGCGAAGTCATCAGTGTGGAACTCCACTTCAGGCGTTGGTGTGGGCTCATCCACTGCACCTTCAGGACTCTGGCACATGTAGAATGCCGCATGAATGTTTGCACGCGTCGAATCTGTCTTCTTTGCAGGTACTGGGATGGCCCATCCCGACTCTTCTGGTATACCGAAGAGGCTTTGCGTCCGTTCATATTCCTTACGAATGGCCTTCGACGTTGCTCTTGTCATGCTCATTCGAAGGTGATGCTTATCCATAGAGCTCCCCGACATAGTCATGACATTGTCTAATACCTCTAAGGCCTCCATGCAAAACTCCGTTTGCAACAACCGAAGCAATGGTGAGATTAGATCTGACCCATGACCCGCGAGCTCTGATTTGCGCATATCCATCTCGGGTATGACTACGCAGAGAATTTGCATAGTCTTAATCTTGACCCAGGAGATGGCATTGGTGAGCTGGCCCATACAGAATGTGACCATTTGGAAATCGAGGTGTGGGAGGAAGTATTCCTTGAGCGCTCCAAACATCTGAGTCAAGAGCTCCTTGCTTGAGCGATATTTGCGGGAAATGAATTTATCAAGAACAAGAGCAATGCTGGAATATCCCTCGCTCTCAGTCACACTCAAAAGTACCTGGGCGGACCGTATGATCTCTTCGTCTTGTTGACCCAAATCCAAGGCGTGAAGAAAGCCTGGCAGGTGGGCAAGGATGGCAAAGAAGACGCGACTGTCATCCCCAATAAGGTTATCGCTTGGCAGTGGCACGAGTTTGTCCATTGTTCGCAGGGTGGGTTCCATGCAAAGCGACGAGCGCAACCCCTTGTGGAGAAGAGGCTGAAGGCCCTCAAATGGCCCATCCCAGCGAGCAGGCTGCCCATCCAGTAGCATCCGCCGCACAGCATCGGCCCCAAAATCTAGCTTAGCAAGATACTCATTGAGCATCTCTACCGCCTCAAGGAATTCAAGTTCATTGATGGACTCGAGGCAGGCGCATGTTGTCCAGAATAACTGCGGGAACGTTGCCAGTTTGTCTGCGTCAAGTTTGACGATCAGGGTCTTTAGTGTTGTGAGGATCTCCATTGAGAAGGTGCGGATTTCGGGGTCCTCATCCGCAATAGTATTGGACAGCCGAACCAACATTCCGCCCAACATCGACTGATCCAGAGACGTGAGAATGCATCTGAATATCTGGAAGGATCGGCAGGCGAGGTGTCGTACAGGACAGGACGTAGCCCAGGTTAGGGAAAGCCGACCCCAACGCTCCTTAATTCCTGGGAACGTAAGTTCAAACGTCTTGACAACCTCTGCTGTGAGGTGTTCCATGCTCGGCGGGACATTGTTGTCTCTGTCATCAACCTTGCCGTTACTGTCCTCGTAACTCCAGACGACTGTCCTATCGTGTCGTCGGATCGAGTCTATTAAATCCTCGATCGACCTCTTTGCGGTGGCAGGAGTCTGCTCGGCTAGCCTCGAAATGACTAGTTCATGGATCAGATGGACGAGCATCTCTCGCGCCTGTTCTTGCACCAAAGGCGTGTAATGGTCCCAGAGAACCGTTACAACCTGCAACAGCACTGGGAGATCATCAGAGGTAAGGTGTACGGGGGAAACCATCAAGTCTACCAGGAGGATAAGGGAAAGCTGGCCGAGAGAGAATCCAGCTTGCTTAGTTCCGATAGGGAGAGCTTCAGCTAGATCCGCACAATAAGGTAGATTGCTGACATCAGGCGGGGCCGGGACGATCTCTCGCTTCTCGTTCGGGACCATGGCCTTAGGAGTAATTTGCATCATCAGGAAGTCGATGACCTTCATGCCAGGGGTGCTTGATAGGAAAACGACGATTTGCTTCGCATACTCAACAAAATTCTGCTCGCGGCGCTCGAGGCACAGGGAAATGATGAAATCGAGCACGACCCTAACATTTCCAGGATGTGGACCAGTTGCAAGCGCTTGCCAGAGCGCTTGAACCTCGTTATGAAGAGTGCCGCTGGCTTTGATTGTGATCTCCACAAGATTGGCCAGAAGGACATAGGATGGTGCCGTTGGGCCACCATTTGGATCAACCATCAGCTCGATGGACTGGATCCATGGTAATATAACGGCAACCATGTTCTGCTGAGCACCTGGTTGAAGGTCTTTGAAGTATAGTGTGAACTCGGAGAAGACGTGGAAGGCGAGGTCCGTATGCTGTTTCGAGAGGCGCTTCGAGATTTCAAATTGAGCAAGCTTATAGACCGCCTTAGTCTTGTCCGAGATACTGATATCGTAGTCCTGAATTTTGGAGCTTCTTCCCATTTGTTGGCGTTCATCTAAGGTCCTGAGTACGTGCGCCGATTTGGACCGAATTTCACTCTGGTCATTTCCCAAAGTAAAGAGGCAAAGGCTCAAGACTTTCCAAAACGCAGTTGGGTAATCAGCATGCTCCTTGAGCACCTGCGACACTACGGAGAAGTAACTCTCGAGCACCTTAGGAACTTCGGCGAGGTAACACCTGGCTATGCAGTGCTCAAGGAGGTACGGGTACTCCTTATTGTGAATAATGAGATTGTGGAGAGCACGTCTACCGGTCACATTCATCCGGTCACTTCCCGAGTTGAAGATGGCCTCGATCCAGGTCAACAGCCTTCTTGGGTCGAATTGTAGGATGACGCCACTCTCGGTTGTAATAAGGAGGGGTCCGCCGCAGAGGGCAGCCATGGAGCTAAGAGCAGCAGTCCGGAGGTTTCGCTTTTCGATCTCCATGGCAGCAGTAACAGTTCCTCGTTCGCCAAGTGCTTGCTGATCAATAAGAGATTGCCTCATAGTGTCTTCACGCGCCCGGATTTGGGTCTGATTTGGGGAAAAACCACACCAATCTTCCATGAGTGAAAAGGCGGACTTTCTCGACTCGAACGTCATCCACCGTGACGGATCTTTGGTTCGGTTGATACCCTCGAAGAGCTCTTCCATGAGACCGCAGTAGTGGCGCCGTAGTTTTTGAAACTCCCAATCGGTTTGCACTTCACCATCCATGAGGAACAGTTTCAGATCTTTGGTGTAATTGACGAGATTGTTGAGAATCCATTCATCCTGATAAACTTCTGGCTCCTTTAAGAAGTGTGAGGTCAGTTTATAAACGTGCGTAATCTCGGTCCGAAGCAGATCCATCTTCCGGTTCCGGCGAGGGTTGCTGTTCGAGCGCTGATGAATACGCGCCCGGGCCTCATTATTGCATTGAGATACCTGCGTCTGGAGTTCCTCGAGCAGGGTGCGATAAATATGAATATTGATGGATCCCATCGCGACAACAACAGCCTCCCTGACAGATGCGGACGAGGCCGAGAGCATGGGGATAAGAAATTTGAAGAGCGTCCTCGCGGAGACGATCTTGTCTGCAGAAGTGGACTTGGAGGATCCTTTCCTGCCGTGCTGGTGAGCGGTAGGCGTGGTCAGTGGCGCACTGCCTGGGTCGGCGAGTGTGGTACACGCAAATATAAGATACAACTTCCATTGCTCAATCAAGACCTCTGGTTGGGTGGCAGGTGCCCTTCCGATTAAGCGGCCGCTCCCGGGATCTGATCCGAAGTATGGACCCCTTGTAGGTTCGGATAGAATGGTCATGGACTTGTACATCTGCATTATTCGATTGCAAATCAGATCGCGGCCAATGGTGACAGTAAAGGGGCATTTATCAAAAGCCACCCGCATCAGGTTGGGGAGGATCTTGAACCAAAGCGTGGTATCATACGAAACGTCACTCGTACAGAGTTCCACGAGAGCACCTTTGTTGTTGTTGCTCAAGATGCCGCGTTGCAGACGGCTCCTTTCCGCGACTGAGAGTTGCTCGTGTTTCAAGTTAATGACCTGATCAGCGTCGTTTTCCAGAATATCAATAAGGCGCGGTGTATCTTTTTCCTTTCCTTGTGTTTTACCAAGTGCTGTATCAAACTCGGTAATGAGGCGCAAGACGGTGATAGCAAAGTGTCTCACTCTCCGTGACTGAGAACAGAGGAAGAACAGGCCATGAGCTTCAACATAGTCAACCTCCGCCCAAACACTAGACAGGTCAAGCTTCATGCCCCGTATATCGGTATTACTAGAGCTCGCATCGGTTGCTGTATTAGATGCATCCTTAGACTTTTGTCGAATCTCCTCGATCCATATCTGAAGCAACTCAACGTAGAGCCTCAGTGTGCTCTCAATGTGTCCTAGGCCAAGCATTCCCCCGTCTGACATTGTCGAATACCTGTCGTCGAAATTGAAGATGAATCTGGAGAAACCCATGGTGACCTGTTGCGAATGCGATTGCCTCGCAATTGCCTTGAGCGATTGCGCCGAAGACTCCGCAATATTCGACTGGACATGAGCAGTTCCGGTGCAGAGAAGGTTGATGAGTGAATTAAATGGTATTTCCACCGACAGGCACCTAGGGAGAGCCTGGACGGCAACATGAAGGAGCTCATAAAAAGCTTGCTTGTGATCGGACGGGCCTTGGTGATCGTCGCGCCGTGAAAAGTTGAACGTCTCCGCGATAGGGGTCTTTGGGCCAGGGCTGTTAAACTTCTCATCCAACGCGGCTTGGCCACCAAAGGTATTATCGCAGATTATAGTAATGGTACCGAGAATTTCGCAAAACTTAAGATAGTACTCCTTCACACTATCGCTAAGCGCATGGATAAGGACCGGTCGAGACACACCATCCTCCTTTGGGGGCGGCATTGGGATGGACAGTGGCGCGCTGCGAGGGGACATGATGCCGGGCGAAGTGGGAGTGCGTTCAGGGAGCGAGGAAGATGACGGGACGCTGTACTGAGGAAACGGGGGCTTCCCTTGCTCGCCTTTCTCAAGATCAGCAATAATAGCCAGAAACGCTCGGATGCCGATAACGACCCTGTCGGGGTCGAGTTGCTCGACACGAAGCTCCTTGTTAGACCTAAATAGTTCGGCATTGATAAGGGGGAAGATGATGTTCTTGAAGCAGTACTCGGGATGCTTATAGCCAATGATTCGAATAATCTGGATGAGGGGCTCTGCCACGCTGATATCGGAAGCCACCAAAGATCGCTTAGTTTGAGGAAGTACTAGCTTTATAACTTCATCCAACTTCCTCAGGGCGCTCGGCGTGGAATCACCTGCCCGGTAAAGATAGGTCCAGAGCAATCTTGAGATCACCTGCAGACCAAGAGACTTGGCATACCGGTCCTTAAATTTTGGTTGCAGAGGAAGAATCAGTTGCAGCCACTGAGAGTTGAAGGTGTCTGGAGTGGAAACGCATAGGAGTGTCGCCGTCAAGGGAAAGGCAAAGCTCCAGTGCCGCGGCTTCACAAACATCTGTGCAAGGCGCGGGCCAATGGTACTCCGTACCTCAGCCCACTTAGGATGCGAGAATTCGCTTGGAGAAGCCTTCGCGGCAACGGGAATCAGAAGCATGTCGAGAACTTGACAGAACGTCGTTTTCACCCGTTGGCCGTGCGACTTATTGAACAGTCGGCCGAGAGCGACGAGGAAGTCGCACGATTGTTCCCAGGCTTCGACAGGCGTAACTTTTATGCGCAATTGTTTCATGCCTCCCAAGACGAGTTCCATTTTCCCCTCTATATCGCGCCCAGCGGCTGAATTAGGGCCCTTGATAACGAGCTCCTGGAGCGAGTGTTCGATATCAGAGAGAAACCTCTTGGTAACAGTTGTAAAACTAATCTCGCTCATCGTTCCAAGAAGCTGGGCGAAAAGGTTCCAATTCGCTAGCTTGAGGGGGGACATCATCAGTTGCTCGGTATCTGCAATCTTCAACTGGCCAAAGATGATTCCTTCTAATTTCTCCTCCATCTCGGACGTAATGCAAGCCAGGCTACTCTGGCTGATAATTTCGATGAGGACCCTGCACAGGATGTATATAGACACGGTGGATCGACGTTCGGCCTGGGCAACATACTCCTGCCTGGATAAAGGCGAGTTTAGGAATGGCGGCAGTCCCGCATCGACAGATGACGAGGGCTGGTGGGGGTGAAGAGGTTCGGTATTTCGTCGTTGCAAGGGACTTAAAGGTAGATGGGCCTTAGATTGCTGAGCCTGTGTTCTGGCTTCGTTTGCAAGGTCGCTCTTACTCTTCCTCCACAGCATCATTAAGTCGATCAAAGGTTTCGGCTTTTGACTCGCAATGTGGCCAAGGGCGACTATTGACTGATCAAAGCTCGGGTCAACACCAGGACCACATATATGGTCGATCTGTGGCTCTGGGTCGAAGGGCACGGTGATGCAATCGTTCAACTTCTCCTCAGCTTGGGCAATGAACTACTCCAATGTCAGTGGCGAAGACTACCTAGGGAAAGGGATGTCCAGCAAGGCCTATCATTCGGGAAAAGGACGGAGCTTCACGTACGGAGGTAAACAAGACATGCAGGGCGTACTCGCCCACGGTTTTTTGTTCATCTCTATGGTGTCTAGAGGAGTGGGACGGATGGTGGGCATGATCGTGGCGAGATTTGACGCTTTGCATACGCTCGACCCGTCTAGTAGTTGCCGAATAACTAGTGCTTTCAGGGATCGAGGCGGGTTTCTCGGGGACTTGGGGTATAGAGGTAAGGGTAGGGGCATTTGAGAGAGAGGTTCCGGGTCTCGAAAGCGGAACGTCGTCATCTATCCGCAACATGCCATGGAACTCATGGCGGTCTGACAACATGGCGGCTCCGGCCGCGGCAATCATCTGCGGGCTCAGGGGACTAGATGACGAGCTGGCCAGGCTTCCATTTCTTGAGTGTTGAATCCCATGGACGATAGAGGTCTGGCGATGGTGCCCATACGAAGCGCTCTTCGGATCGATAGGTCGCTCAAGTACACCTCCAAGCCCTGTGCGAGATTGAGGCGTTTGAAGACGCGGGGAGGTCAAAGTTACGGGCGGTGCGGATGGGGATATTTTCTCGGCCGAGGATTCTCTCGAGTGGGCAATCGGTCGGGGAGCGTGGGGTTCTAAGGCATTCGGTCGAAGTGTTCGGTGCCAATCGTCTTCGGGCTCCTCGTCAAGCCTTGAGACGGATCTCGGGGAGAACTTGACGGGGTCGGGCGAATGGTCCGGCAGCGTCTGGGACGGAGCTTCTCGACGGAACAGAACGTTAGCACGGGAAAGCCTTATCAATGGGCGCTTGCAGTATTCTCCTATCCTTGTGGAACAAAGAGGTGTCTATATGTCGTGTACATGTATTATCCGAAGTGAATCCCCAAAATTGGTCAAGATGAATGGGAATGACATCAATGGGGCAGCAGTGAAGGGAAGCAAAAGATGCTCGAGACTGAAACTGGGTTCGCTAGGTCGAGACAAAAGACGCGGGAGGGGATGGGCAACGCAGGCACACAGTTCTTCTCGAGGGGTATGTGTAATATAAGACCTGGAAAACATCGACTCATAAAACACCGACTCAAGGGCATAAGAACAATACAGGGAAGAATGGAGAGGAGAGGTTGCACAAAGGAATGGGTGTGGCGGGCAAGAGGTGAGGGGCCCACGGAGAAGAGCATTAATACTGACCCATTTCGAGTTGGGCAGAGTCCCATGATCTGTTCTACCACATCTCTAGGCGGTGCGCCTTGCAAACAGTGGCACGCGGTCGGTCTGGTGTCAATCGAAAGGGTAAGGATCAAATCGACGAGGGTAGGGCGATATGTTGGTTGTGGTGAGCTCTCGCCGTTTGGGCATTTACAACAAGCTGGGTAATATTCCGCCCTCCAAAGAGCAAGGCCTGAGGTCGTTGAGCATTAATATGGGTGGTGCTAGAAACGGAAACGGAGGCAGGGATTGCTGGCTGAATGGGTTGGAAGAAGATTTTGACCGGCTGATACAATTTAGCACGCGAATCTGGGCGTCCTGCAAGGGGACGTTGAGTGAGGGGGCCTATTGTGGCATCTCTTATCACGGGAGGAGCATACCCGCCATAAACAGATGGTGTAAGAATGGATGGCACCTGGTGAGAATTGTCACGACGCGCATAATTATTGCTACACTAAATAGGGGTTTTTGGGGGAGATCTGGCATGAGGTCAGAGCTGTCTGCTTAATCATCAGGTTTGATAATTGTTCGGGCAGGTGTTGACATTTGGTGGCAATTGACATCACATGTCGCTTGAGTGTTGAGGCTCCGTTGTTGAACAAAAGTATAGGTATGTACGAAGTATTGTGCGAAGTACTTCAAAGAATTACTCGGTGCAATTTGTACAGAACATATAAATACTTAGGAAGAGCTGCGGAGAAAGAGAGCGATGCGAGGATTCGAAACAAGCAGAAGGAATCGGCGATGAGTATAAATTGGTCAAGATCCAATCCACATCTCCGCGGTGAAATATGCTTGTGCCGAGCCGCTAGCGAAGCGGTCGTACTTCGTAGCGTATTCGGAGCATCAATCAGTATCTCCAAGTATCCACAGCATTCCTCTCTCAGAAAGGCTACCAAACAGCCGAAAAGACACAGTTCGGTGAACCCAAATACGCCTCAATGGTGAACATCACGATACCATACTTAAACGCTACAGAGTCGAAAGTAGTTTAGTTCTAGGAGTGCAGATGTTCCCAATGGATAAAAAGAAAAGAAAAGAAAGGAAACGAGCATGACGAAATAATAGATAATGCAAAAGCAAAACGAAGGAAAGAAAAAGAAGAGGAAAGAAAAAAAGATGAGTGAGTGAGAGACGAAAAGTACAGCTGTCATCTCGATAATTGTATGAGAATCAATGTCGTAAGACTTCCAGGACCGTCCGTCATCGCGTCAATTCAAGTGGCCAGCGTAGCATTGTCGTTGCGATTCATTGCTGCCTCCAGAGTCCAGAGTCTAGGCCTCCCGTCGGAGAGGATTTCCATCCGCCAATCCCGCACTCCACTCAAATTCAAAGATCTCGCAGCCAACAATCAGTGTCGTTGCTATCCTGGTCTATTGTCGGCTCAAAGTGGGACGACCGGGCTTATCTCATCAGCGGGTGGGGCATGGACAGTTCAAATTGACCCGTGGGCTGTGGGCAAGACTTGGCTTGGGACTTCAAATTGTTCCTTGTCCTTTCCGTTGCCATTTTCGATGTACCCATACGAAGTCGGCGTACCAGGTATTTCCGACCGGAAATCTACAAAGTACATACAAAGGTACACCCAACCCGAACCCGAACTACCGTCCGGGCCACATCAACCTCCCTGGTCCTCCCATACCCTTTTTGCTTTCTCGTGGTGGACCCTCGTCTTCGCAGTCAACGGCAGATCACCGCCCCCAGCAAAAGAAGTACTGAGTAGCGCTCTCAACTGGCGTGGTGCCCCGCCCCGACTTCCCCAAGTTTCCAGGTACCAAGTAGTTGTACACGGCGTCCCAAAGCTAAAAAATCGGCAGACAGCGGACAGCCAGCCTCTGCTCTCCCACCAGCCAGCCCACGCTAGAAATATAATTCTTCTCATCCCCCTGGATGCTAATCCTCCTTCTCCTTCATACATTGGAACCTCGGCCCACATATCCATCAATCTTTCCTCTCTCTTCCTCCAGTTTCTCTCGGCCATTTCTCTCCCTTCCCTTTCCCACTCTCATCCTCCCTCCGCCTTCCGTCGGCCAAAGTGATAACAGAGATTGATCCTCGATCTCTTGCAGTGAGCCTCTCAACTCTCCAGCTCGCTCAACTCATCACGCAACGTCTTCGTCTCAATTTACCCCGAAGTCGGACCGCCCACACAAATCTCGAGGAACCTTTTTCTGTCGACCCAATTCGTCACGATGGCCGAACTCGACACTCTGGACGTTATCGTCCTATCTGCCCTTTTCGTTGGTACTGTAGCGTACTTCACGAAAGGAAAGTACTGGGCGGTAGCTAAGGACCCCTACGCCAATGCCTTCAGCAATACGGCAAAGGCCGGCAAGACGCGGAATATCCTGGAGAAGATGGAGGAGATGGGCAAGAACTGCATCATTCTCTACGGGTCGCAGACCGGCACCGCCGAGGACTATGCTTCCAGGCTTGCCAAGGAAGGGAAGAGTCGATTCGGCCTCGAGACCATGATCGCTGATCTCGAGGACTACGATTTTGACAATCTCGACACCATCCCCAGTGACAAGGTTGTCATGTTCGTTCTCGCGACTTACGGCGAGGGTGAGCCCACTGACAATGCCGTCGACTTCCACGAGTTCTTGACTGCCGACGATGTCCAGTTCTCCGAGGATCGCAGCCCTGCCCTCGACAACCTCAACTACGTCGCGTTCGGTCTCGGTAACAATACCTACGAGCACTACAACTACATGGTTAGGAATGTGGATAAGATCCTCCAGAAGCTCGGCGCCAACAGAATTGGCGAAGCTGGCGAAGGTGACGACGGCTCCGGTACCATGGAAGAGGACTTCCTTGCCTGGAAGGAGCCCATGTGGGCCGCTCTCGCCAAGAAGATGGGCCTCGAGGAGCGCGAGGCTGTCTATGAGCCTACCTTCGAGATCGTCGACCGGGACAGTCTTACCGTTGAGTCTCCTGAGGTATACGTTGGTGAGCCGAACAAGATCCACCTCGAAGGCAACGTCAAGGGACCCTTCAATGCGCACAACCCGTACATTGCCCCTATTGCCACCTCGCACGAGCTCTTTAATGCAAAGGACAGGAACTGCCTGCACATTGATGTTGACATTAGCGGATCCACTCTGACCTACCAGACTGGTGACCACATCGCCATTTGGCCAAGCAACGCTGGTGCCGAAGTCGATCGCTTCCTGGACATCCTTGGTCTCACCGAGAAGAGGCACGATGTTATCAACGTCAGGGCCCTCGAACCCACCGCCAAGGTTCCTTTCCCTACCCCGACTACTTATGATGCCATCGTGCGATACCACATGGAGATCGGCGCCCCCGTTTCCCGTCAGTTCTTGGCCACTCTTGCCGCTTTCGCCCCGAACAACGAGATCAAGGCCGAGATGACCAAGCTTGGTGGTGATAAGGATTACTTCCACGAGAAGACTAGCGATCAGTTCTACAACATCTCCCGGCTCCTCCACAACGTCAGCGGTGGACTCAAGTGGACCAATGTCCCCTTCTCGGCCTTCATTGAGGGTCTCACCAAGCTCCAGCCGCGATACTACTCGATCTCGTCTTCGTCCCTCGTTCAGCCAAAGACCATTTCCATCACTGCGGTCGTCGAGAGCCAGCAAGTCGCCAGCCGACCCAACGACCCCTTCCGTGGTGTGTCTACCAACTACCTTTTCGCCCTGAAGCAGAAGCAAAACAGCGATTCCAACCCATCCCCCTTCGGTCTAACCTACGAGATCGAGGGCCCCAGGAACAAGTACAACAATATCCGCGTACCTGTTCACGTCCGTCACTCCAACTTCAAGCTCCCCTCGGACCCTTCCAAGCCCATCATCCTCATTGGACCCGGAACCGGTGTTGCTCCTTTCCGAGGATTTGTTCAGGAACGCGCGAAGCAGGCGGAAGACGGCACCGAGGTCGGACACACTATTCTCTTCTTTGGATGCAGGAAACAAACCGAGGACTTTTTGTACAAGGAGGAGTGGGAGGTATGTTACCCAAGTTCCTTTCCGGTTCCTACCCATTCGCGGACACAAATACAAATACAAATACACATTATGTTGTTCATCACAGAGATGGCTATCTTCCTACCTACCTACCTACCTACCTACCTAACCCCCCCCCCCCCCCCCCCCCCCCCCCCCCCCCCCGGTTTCAGCACAACCACTTCATCAACAGCTCAACTAACATTTATTCCCTTTTTTCTAGGAACGCAAGAAGGTCCTCGGAGACAAGTTCGAATTGGTCACAGCCTTTTCTCGAGACGGACCTAAGAAGGTCTACGTACAGCACCGACTCAAGGAGCGATCGAAGGAGATCAATGATCTTCTTCTCAAGAAGGCCTACATTTACGTGTGCGGTGATGCTGCCAACATGGCCCGTGAAGTGCACGCCGGGCTTATCCAAATTATCGCTGAACAGCGTGGCATCTCAGAAGCTAAGGCGGAAGAAATCGTCAAGAACATGAGGTCCGCAAACCAGTACCAGGTATGTAACGACATCCCTCCCACCTCTACTACATTTCCCTTCCCGCCTAGTCTTTGGCCCGTAGCACACCTCTTGCTAACTTGTTTGTTTTTTTTCCCCACCGTGCAGGAGGATGTTTGGTCATAAAAGCATTGTGACATTAGGTGGGGGGCAGGCATTGTTTCTCTACCAGTTCTTCTCTTAATTGTTTTAGGATATACGGCATCGCAGGTGCATGATGATTAGCGGCACAGGTTCACGGGGTCGGAGGCTACAGGACTCACACTCCTCCCAACCGGGTACAAGCAGGCATGGCGATCGAGCATCAGATGGCAGGGGAGACGAGATATGACGTTTCTTTGGATTTTAGACTAATTTTGGGAGCGGTGCAGGCGCTACTGCTTTGGTCCATCACCAGTGGTCTTCATTCGTCACACGATGGAAGAAGGGGCTGCGTGGTTCTGGTTGTACTACTCTCATATACCTTGTTTCCCCCTATTTCCATTGTTTGTTCCACCGATCTTTCGCAGTTATAGTAATGCAAATAGAATTGATCCATTTCATCGTTTTCAGGCCACATTCGTGATTATTGGCCCGGGAATCCACATGCCGCATCGGAAACCCGAGGCTCCAAACACATCAAGGCTGCCTCCCACCCACCCACAAGATTGCGTGGGTTCCCAAAAGCTAAAGCGCAATTCGGGAAGTCAACCGGCTTCCCTCGCCATCAAGGAGAACCCTCAATTGACCCGCTTGTGCGAAATTCGAGTAATGTACTTGTACTTCGCACAGTTACAGCTTTGCAACGCGTTTATTCCCCCATCCCACACCCCACAGTGCCCACAGTGCCCACAGTGCCCACACCAAAGTCCGAACTTTCAATGTCCGTTCGCATTGTTTCCTCCCCACACACAGCAAGCTTCAATCTTGTTTTAATTGGGATGTCACTTGGCCCACGCGAGTAACAGAGCCACCTGCCTAGCCCCTAAAAGGAACCCCTCAGCTAGTTGTGAAGTAGCTTTCAGGGTATCAAGGACCCTGGCACAAGTACTCTGTACGCGACGTGGTTTACACCGTTTGGCGCTTGGGGGTTCTGGACCGAGTAATACCAGATCTCGCATTAAAATTTCCAAGTTCCGGGTAGGGCAGGTGGGGAATGGCACCCTTGAGTTGGAGATGCGACAAGCTCAATTTGTTCCTGCTAGTGCTTCAGGGTGAGGGGAAATGGGGTGATCGTGTGGACTTTACCGCTTTTCTGGGGCTGAAAAACTGACCCCGATAGGCTCGGCTTGATGTCCTGTGAGCACATTCCCCAGGAAGCCAGGCGAAAAAAGGTAAGGATACCACCCCCTCGGAATTTCGGAGAGTCAAATCCTGGGTAACCACGTCACGTGCTTCGGCAGCGGAATCGGTTACGGGAGTGTCCCCAACCTCGACCTCGACCTCGCTTCCCATCATCGGCCAAGAATGGGATTCCGGGTGATCAATGATGCCTTGGGCCAGGGTACTCACCAAAAATGCGAAATCCCGAGGACAAACAATCCCGTGCGTGTCTGTATTGTTTGCCTCGTAGAGAGTCGCGTTCTCGCAGATTTGATTCATGATGTTGGCAACAATGCTTGATGGCCGCGGTCCCGGGTTACACTTCCGAGCACAACAACACCGAAACAACATGAACTCCCCTTGTCGTGTCGCCGACTTGCGTTAGCGCCGATGCCATGTCGTTTGTTCGGAATCCCCACACCCCGGCTCTCACCTACGGCTACTCCTGTGCTGCGCGGGAATCCAAACCGGAAATACCTTGATGCATGCGTGAAGATCCGGAACCCGCCTCGCGTCTCTTCGATGCAGGACAACAATCATCCTCAAACGGTACAACTCATTGAGGAATTTTGTCACATTGTAGTAGAGGAATACGTTTGACGCACGCAAGGATCAGGTCGCATTGTGCACCTGTCCATCGGTTTTTCAGCGCTCATCGTCACCTGTTCATTCCTGTGTAAGTCTGTTCATTCCGCTATGGATCAATTGAGGGTTTTGGAAACGACAGTAATTCCTGAGCTGGAGTCTCGGATTGTACTCAAGATGTACCTCAGGTGAGTCTTTCCCGGTGTTGGTTAGACAACTATTCTAGAATAGTTCTTCAGGTGTCATCGATAGTATGGGGGAACCTTAAAAGATGTAGAGAACAGGCATCGGTGATCAATGTGCTTTGTATGATTTGTAACCACAACCTAATGTGGCTTATCTTCTGCGGAAGCCTAGTTGAGATGCTACGTGTATTCGACGTGAATTCCCGCCAGGACGTGAAGAAACCGCCGATTGTCACTCAGCGAGTCAGAGGTTGGACGTCATCAGGAGGAAGATGCCCTCTCTCAGATGGACAGGAAGTTAATAAGTTTCCTGAGAGCCCAGTACAACATGGTACCTCACTTGCTTCCTCTGTTTGTGCTTGCACATACCGCAGATCCGCAGGATCGGGCTTCCAGTCACTCCGCACTGCATCATGGCGTCCTATGCCTTGCTTATGGCGAATGCAATGGGCCGAGACTCAGCGGTCCTCGATGTGCGCCTTGCGTTCCCTAACAGGCGACGACCAGCGGCTACCCACGCTTAGCCGCCCGCTTGTTTATGGAGGTGGAGGGTACGCGAGCCGCCACTGGTGTTATCCTCCATCCATGCATTTGGTCACTAGCACGGGAGCATGCCGCTTTAGTTTGAAGGGGGCCAGAAACAAATGGGCAGGACGGATCGCCTTTTGCTATAACGGCGTGATTCCTCAACACCATTGGCATTTGCAACATGGGGCCCCGCCTCATGCGATAGACTCATAGCAGGTTATACTGTTCCCCGTTCCGTCAGGATAATCCGACCCTGATATCCTGAGCCTTATATTCAGTTCTTGTTTTATTATTGAATGGAGCCGGCTTGGCTAAGTTTAAGACAAGCCAGTAGGTGAAGTGTTACATTTGTTGTCCTTCTTAACTCCCGGAATCGTTTTCGGTCTGTCATAAGGACCGAGAGACGTCACGGACTTGAACAACACAAGCCAGGAGGCCATCTTAGCCTTCACACGCGACATCCCGTCTGACAGGAGCTCCTCAGTTGCATCGGTAAGTATGCCTAAGTTCACAAGTCTTCTCTCACGCCTATCGGATCATTATATGATGGTGGTCTAACTCTGGGCAAACTACAAGCTGGTATTTTTATTGAACTTTCCTACACTTTATTCCATCGTTATTTTCGAGATACAAATCGCAGACATAGATCGTTTCTGCCTCTTACCTTGTGAGAAGGGCCAGACCGGTGTCCATTGTCAACGCCACTAACACGAAAAGACTTATCAATCTCCCCAAGTGCATTGAGCTCACCAGGAGGTCTCGAAACACACCTGCCGTTTATCCTTACGACAAGGCAGACACGTTGACCTCAACATTTGAGGCGAGTGTTGCGTGAGAAGCTAAAAGTTTGAGCTGGTTAGGAAGGAAGAGCCCTCGTTGCTTCTTGCCCTCACCCCCATGTGACAGCTTTCCCACGAGGAAGTTGCCCTCTTGAAATCCCTTCCAAAGCTTATCCAAGCAGTCCTTGGACTTGGTGGGAGCTTCCACTGAATCATCATAATTCTTTCTTCTGTATTGATCCCTCTAACTTCAACACATCGTGTCTTTCCCATCTCGTTCTTTTTATCTTTCCTTTCGTCACTGCTCCGAACAAACCCATTCTTCTACTTATCTATACGCATCTATCCAGTAGCCGTCGATCCTTCTTTAGCGTCGATATATTTGGCCTCCCCTTCCCTCAATTCAAAGCTGCCTCGACTCGCGGCCCCTCGACCGCCCTCTACGTCAGTTCGTTTCTTTCGTTCTATTCGGTTCTCGACCTCCTTCACCTTTGAATCCGCGAATCTCGAAAAACCAGCAGAGCTATCTCAGAACCTGCAGCACTTTCCAAATAGTGGCATACTTTGGGCTGTAGCCATAGAAGAGGTAACTGCTCCCCAGCGCGGCCCCTGCCCCTGACTTCATCGTGACTCCCCGTCTGCACTTCCCCCCCATGCATTGGCTAAGACGGTCAGAGAGCGCCTGCAGTAGCGCGTGGCCTGGAGATATCGATGCGCCAGAGGTTGAAGCTGCCCATCTGGTCCTTCCCTTGATTGCCACTTCTCCACGCGCCTCCTTTCCTTCCCTCTCTACAATTGATACCCCTTGGGCGATTTTCATCGCCTTTCCCGAGACCATCGTCCTCGTTCTCCCTCCGCCTCTTTTCCTTTTTTCCCTTTCCTCTCCAAGCATCACCATCACCAACCGCACTCCCATCAATTCTTTTTCTCCATTTCTCTCGTTCCATAACTTCTCATCCAACTTCTTCTTCTTCAGTTTACTGTATTACTCACTCGCTTGATAACAGACACACAACTACTCTTGCCTCTACGACCTCTCGATCACTGGAAGAATCTTTTCGGTATCTCTCGCGAAAACACCAGCCAAGGTAGGTATCTCTTGTGACTCCTCGTTACCATCACCAATTTGCCCTCTATACACGCTCTCCCTACTCTGCACTGCATCTTCAAAACCACGCCCTCTCCTTAATCTCTCCCTCTCCTCCCCAACGCCTTAGCTATCCTTTGCGGGTGGTTCGGTCGTCGGCTTCAGACACTCCTAAGCCCGCAGCCTATGCACTCCCGGTTGTACTCCTTCATACACAGGACCCTCCATTCGATTTCCTATGGTGTTCTTTACAATTCTGTCCAGTCCCTCGTTTAACCCGTTGTTTGGGTTTCAAGCTCACAGTTTCTTGATTGCAGTTTCAACACCAGTTTTGATCCAACTATTAGAACGTGTAAAATGGCAGCACCGCGGTGTAAGTTCAATCACATTACGTCTGCTAGTTTGTTATATATACACACACTCTACCCTACCCCGTGTTTGAAGATCTATCTAGTTCTCAACTAATCCGACGCCGCATTTTACTTCTAGCTCCCATGAACCCGACGATGCCTGCGTATCACGGTGCCGGGTCAATTTTGGCCGACGCTCAGCATGGTCCCAATCCTGCCCTATCCGGCGGCCAGCAGTATCCTCTTCATGTGCCCATGGCTCCAGGCGATGCAACAATCGGAGGTGTTATGGGCCAAATGAATGCTATGTCCCTTGCCAGCCCCGTTGGAGCTGGATACCCGGGACCCATTGGTCCGGCTTACGTCTTCTCAGACGGCCAGTACATCTTGGCCCCGGTTGCCAATGGCCAGCAGCCAGTCGGCATGATGGACCCTTCCTTCGGAGGACCTGCGTACATCGCGGCTCACCACCCGGGCCAGTTCCCTCATACAGTCGTCACCTACCCCCCTGTCGTCCCTTTCACTCCAGCCAGACCTACTGGTTCAAACGCCCGTTCGGACCGTGCTCACGGAGAGGGACCCCCTCCCCTTGATAGCGGCCGTCGTGGCTCGTACTCGACGAACGAGTCCACTCCCGCTACACCCTACTACCCTGGCATGGCGAACCGGGACCATGGCAGAGTGTCCATCGTTGGACTGGACCGGTCCACTTACACGACTCCGTCGCCGCAGCAAGGTGCTCTTTTGTCACTCAATGCTGATCATTCTGTCATCGCTAAGCAGATCCCAACAGCAATTGATCAGAACATTGATGAGCTGCTTAAGCAGAGCCCAGCCATTCCCAAGGCAGTTCCTGCGGTCTTCACCCCCGCGAGCCAGATCAAGACCCTTGAGCAGAGCCTCGAGAATAGGATCCCCGGGAACCGCAATGTGTATATTCGCGGCCTTCACCCCACCACTGACGATGAGCTCTTGCTCAGATATACCCAGAGGTTTGGTGATGTTGAGACCTCTAAGGCCATCATCGACACCGGAAGCGGAGCATGCAAGGGGTATGTGCTGGCTCACAACAAGCGTTTCTTCCATTGCCCAAGGCACTAACCCGAAGAATTTAGTTTCGGTTTCGCTAAGTTCTATGACGTCCGAGATTCGGAGAAGTGCATTCGAGGCTTCCATCGCCTCGGCTATGAAGTTGGTTTTGCAAGGGTATGGTGAACCCTCGACTTTTACTCGCCAATAGGCATGGTGAGCTAATTATGATTAAAAGGAGTCGTTCAATTCTCGCCTCAAGGCTGAAGGCGATGACACCTCGACCAACCTATACATCTCGAATCTTCCCAAGCATATGACTGAGGTGGTGAGTATGACCGATTGATGCTAAGTCCCTAGGAGAGTGGAGCTGATACTGGAGGTGCCCCAGGAACTCGCTGCCATCTTCGCTGGATACACCATCATGTCCAGCAAGATTCTTCGGGACAGTATGGGAAACAGCCGAGGCGTCGGTTTTGCGCGGTAGGTGCCCCTGTTTCTATTAGTCCAATTTGACTGAACTAACTAGTACGCAGGTTCGAGAGCCGTGAAATCTGTGACCAGATCATCAAGAGTTTCAACGGCCTTCCCATTGTGACTGAAGGCAACAACTCGCCGATGGTTATGAATATCCGATATGCTGATACTCCCGCCCAGAAGGAATTGAAACGAGTGACCGCGGAGCGACGCCAATTCCGCACCAACGAGTACAACATCGGCGCCTATGGCACCGCCCATGTCGGCATGCCTGTCCAGGCATACGGAATTCCGACCTCTTATCGTCGACCCTACCCGGCCACTATCCCGTATGTTGTCTGTGCATCTCATAGTATCCCTGCTGCTAACCTCGTGCTTTCAGGGGAACTCCTCGTGCTTATGTCGGAGTTAACAATGGGGTTACTTATCGAAGCGAGCGAGGATCCGGCCAGGCTGGACACCAGTATGGCACACACTTTCTTCATGCCGGCAACTGGCTCTGACTACTAATGATGTTGCCTAGGTCGGAACGAAAAGCTCCTATCGCCGATTGTCCGTCGCCGAAGACTAGCGACGAGGTCAAAGAAGCAGACGATGACCAATCTATTTCTGAGGCAAGCACTTCGCCTTCCCCCTCGGTCAAGAAAGAAGATATTTGAGTGGGATTCACTCGTCAAGCAATGGGTGCGGCCGGCCATCGAATGAGTCTTCTGCTTGGGAGATATTCCGGTGATAGACAAAACGGCGGTTTAGATCGAGATGGGAGTTATGGCGTATGATTCATCGTATTCCGGTATTCGTTTTCATTTCGAACTTTTCGCAAGGCAAGATTACGGACTGCAATATCGTTTCGTTTCTGTTTTTCTGTTTCCTTTTCTTTTTCTTTCTTTTTATTATTTTTCTTCTTTTTATCACTGGGGGACCTGCAAGTTTCTAGATTCATTTATTTCTTAACATGTCAACCAGGAGAGGGGAGCGCGGAGCTCAAACATGTCTTTCCCTGGTCCTTATTTTACGACATCCGTACAGGGAAAACTAGATAGTGGCTAGCACGAACAAAAGGACAATAATATAAAGGGTATGTCAATCAACGACAAGATGGTGCTGTTTGTTGTGGCTTCAACTCACCACAATATCCTGATCTTCATCATTTTGTTTCCTTTCTTTTTCTTGCTTAGGCACAGGTTGTTGTTTTTACTTTTGCCTGTCCTTGTTCAGGCTGAGAGCTAAAAGCTGAAGCTGCAAGGTAGGGTGTGGCACGGACCAAGATTGCAACCATCTGAGCTGAAGATCTGCAGCTCACTGCTGAAGCTAGGTGTTGGTGACGTTTTTAGGACAAGTCGTACGTCTTTGTAGGCTTTAAGAGCTTCCTCAGGTTTGGATAGCACCACTCAGCTCCTCCCATTCTCTCCACCCTTTCCTCCATTGCCAGTATCACCAATTTTCCGCAGAGTGTTTTCATGCTCTCATCTGCACTCCAACAAAGCCCACAGGGTTGATAGTTAAACGACAGAATAATTACTCTTGAAAGAGTCCCTTAGACGTCGGAAGACAATACCTTGGTAGACGGAGATTCCCTTGGCTCTTCAGCGTCACACCATGGCGAGCCCAAAGGGTGCGAATGCGAGAGAGGATGATGAGCAACTGTCAAATTCGAACTTCAAGTATGCGAGGACACAACTCGCTCTCTTTCCGAGATCCTTTTCGGGCTAACTTCTGTGTTTGAAAAGTGTCGACTACATAATTCATTACAAGGTTCCTAAGAATGGTGCGTCCACGATACTCGGTGTGGCCTGGCTTTCGGTCTGGCCACCCTCTCTACCACATGTACTCGCTTGCATAAACCCCTTCTACCCGCCCTATCCACATATGCCTGCTCCTTTACTCTTTGACATGGGATTCTGATTTCAGTTATGGTGTGTTTTAGAAAGAATCGAAGCCGAAGCGGGATATGTACAGCTCATCGAGGCCCTTACGACCGTCGGCCTCGCCTCCGAAGTCCGACCGGGAGACGACTCGTCGATACTAGTTTTCGTCAAGATGGCGTCGGAGACGCTCCTCCGGCAGCAGGTTTTCCGGGCCCGACTACAAGACTGGCTTCAAGGCGTGCGGACGGCGGGACCCGGTGCCGACTTGTCCGGAGCGCTGATGGAGGAGCCGGTGAGCGAGGCGGAGCGGCTGAGGCTCATATACCTGGCGATAACGAAACCGAAGAACGAGGGGGGTGCGGGAATTACGCCTAAGAGCGGGCAGTGGAAATACGTCGACTCGGTGTTCCCGCTTCACGATCGACACTTCAACCGCGAGTGGATGAAGAGGCTGAGCACGAAGTATCTCCTCAACCAGGATGACCTCGACGAGATTCGCAACAAGTTCGGCGAGAGTGTCGCTCTCTATTTCGCCTTCGTCCAGAGCTATTTCCGGTTCTTGGTGTTCCCCGCGGCGTTCGGATTCGGTGCTTGGCTTCTCCTCGGGCGGTTCTCGTTCCTCTACGCTCTTGCGAGCTGTCTGTGGTCCGTGGTTTTCTTTGAGTTCTGGAAGAAGAAGGAGGTTGATCTCGCCGTGCAGTGGGGTGTTCGGGGAGTGTCCAAGATTCAACACCCACGACCGCAGTTCAAGTTTGATCATGAGACGGAGGACGTTGTTACGGGAGAGCCGATTAAGGTCTACTCGCCGTTTAAGCGACTCAGGACACAGCTGCTGCAGGTCCCATTCACGATTGCCTGTATCGTTGTTCTCGGAGGGTTTATTGTCATGTGCAATTCTCTCGAGATCTTCATCAACGAGGTGTACAGCGGACCTTTTAAGACCTACCTTGTCAGTAGCCGAACACCGCACCCTCTTCCCTTACCTCCAGGCCATGACAATTCCGAGGCGAGTTAAGGAATATTTGCTAATGTCGATGCTGTCTTATAGCCGTACTTGCCTACGATCCTTCTTGTTACTGTGCTGCCCGCGTTCTCTTCTGTTCTGACAAACTTCGCTAAGAAACTGACTGAAATGGAAAACTATGCAAATATCGATAGTACGAGCCCCATCGTTTCATATCTTGCTTGAGGATCGAAGAGCTAGCTAACAGAAAGCTTCCATAGCTCACCATGCCGCGCTGGTGCAGAAGGAATTTGTCCTTAACTTCATCACATCATATATGCCTCTCGCCTTTACCGCCTTTGTCTATCTCCCCTTCGGACATCTACTTACGCCCTACTTGCACATCTGGGGAAAACTAGCCCAGGGCCTTACATTCGGCCAGAAAGAGCTGAGCGTCCAGGAGTTCCAAATCAACCCCGCCCGCATCACAGGTCAGATGTTTTACTGCACTGTGACTGCGCAAATTGTCAACTTCGCCACCGAGGCTATTGTGCCGTATGTCAAGCACAAGGTGATGACCCAAGCCAAGGAGCAGGGCATTTTGGGTAAGGCGGCAAAAGTTGGCGCCAGTGATGCAAAGGAGGAGGCTGCGTTCCTTCGGAGAGTCCGACGGGAGACTGAGCTCGAGATTTACGATGTCACAACTGACTACCGAGAGATGGTTATTCAGTTCGGTAAGTTTAAAATGAGTGATGTAGCCGAACGTCGAATCGTTTCTCCCAAACGACATCATCATTATTATTACACGTGACTGACTAGAACACCTCGGCTGCCGTAGGTTACCTGTCACTCTACTCAGTAGCCTGGCCTCTTGCTGGATGTAGTTTCCTCATTAACAACTGGGTCGAGCTACGTTCAGACGCCTTCAAGATTGCGTCTGGATCTAGGCGTCCAATCCCGTGGAGGGCCGACTCGATTGGTCCTTGGCTCAACGCACTAGGCTTCCTGTCTTGGCTCGGAAGCTTGACCAGCTCGGCCATTGTCTTTCTGTGCCGGGATGGGGCCGACGGTTCGAGGGGCGCCGCGTCCAACGTGCAGGCCTGGGGTCTTCTCCTGACGATTCTACTGGCGGAGCACTTCTATCTAGTCGTACAGATAGCCGTGCGTTTCCTGATGGACAAGATCGATAGCCCCGGGCTACAACGAGAGAGGAAGGAGCGTTTCAACATGAAGAAGCGAATACTCGAGGAGAACCTTGGCGAGAATGCTGCTCTCGCGGCGTCGGTTGCTCCTGGGATCGAGATGAGTGAGAAGCTAACGCAGTCTGCGCTTCGAGAGGAAGCTCGACGGGCGGAACAGGGATCCGTCGAGGATATGTGAGTGGTTGCCGCAGACTATTGTCAAACATGCCCCTTGTTCGCCCTTGTAAGAGGGAAGGGGGGACTCTTCTTCGGTGGATTGTGGCGTCGGGACTAACATCATTGGTGCCGTCTAGGTTCTGGCAACGACAGCAAGGCATGGCTGGAACCATCGAGGCCGGTCGCACTCTTATCTCCCAGGTACGCGGAACCCCCCCCAAAGACACTTGATAAAACCTTCGTTTCGTACGAGTGTGCGATGGCGATATCCTTTCTTTCACAAGTCCACCGGATGCATATGCCGCTAGAACAATGAGAACTGACATATGGGGTTTGGCGCGATGCGGGGATTAGCTTGATGTCGCATCCCGAAAGCAGGAGTGAAATCCAAACAGGAAGGTGAGAGGAGAGTGCAGACGAACGATTCCTGATAATTTGAATGGCTCTATACTATACTACTACATACGCTACACGACCATTCCTTGTACGCTACCTATCAGGATGCTGGATTCATGGATTTGAATACCGTTCTTGGCATTAATTCAGGGGCAACGAGACATCAACATATACTTTGTACTTTATCGTGCAATCCATTGAAGCTCTGAAGCATTGGGCATTGGGGTGGAGACAGACCATCGCTCGCATCACTCCCATCGAATCGACTCGGAAACAAAGATCAGTAGGTTAGTTCCAGCGTAGTGTACGAAGTAGGGGCGCTAAGTTATACAAGTGCGCCTAAGGTTGCGCACTTTCCCTTGTTCGTATCGTAAACAGGGCCAAGATTCTGAGCGCATCGTTGAACGTTTCCAGTCTCATTTCGCATCAGATTACACGATCGCGCGGTACACGTCCGTGAGTATTTACGCAGATTGTTATGGAACCCCGTTCCTCGGTGCCGTCCTTGCGCATTCACGAAGGTGCACGGGCAGAGCTGTCAGGTTGTCAACGCATTAATTTACATAGTGGTGGAGAGATTCCTGCATGTGGGATCCGAAGCTTGGGTAGAGTAGTTACCGGCGGGCCTGCCGAGGAGCACAACATCCCGAGGGAATGAGGAGAAGAGTTGATCCTTCAATTTGCTCTCGAATATCAACAAAGTTTCTGGGGAGTGTAAAGGGACTGCGTGCGTATTTTGAAGGCCGATTATTCACCCGACAGAAAGCCAGGAACTAGGAAGAATAGCTCACCTCGCCGGCTGGGCTGTTGTGTTGACAATCCCTGTTTTCTCGCCTTGCTCGGCCCTGACGACAAGGCATGCACCAAGTAAAGCTCCGTAGTAGACGATTTTAGGACGGTGGATCCTCCCCCCCTCTTTCAGCTAATCTTGAATCGTCGAAAATAACCCAGGTTGAGATTTGGGCATTTTCCCTTGGCCGCCCTCGATATTCCTTCACTCGTGCCCTCTTACTCTATCTGGACATGTTTATCGAATAGGTATGGGATCGTCGGCCACGCTGGTCCAGGCGTTCTGGAAGCACAGGGCAGTTTGTATGCAGATGGCGTGGGCAGCAATTTCAACCTACAGGTCGGGAGCCTTGTTTGAGAAGGTCTTGGACGTGGGCGTCAAATTATGGTACCAACTACGAAGTACTTCGTACTTGATCGAGATGTCGAGATAATACAAAGTACCTCCTGGCCGCCGTCCTTCATAGTGATTATGCCTCGCGTTGTGTCAGACAGGTCAGACTGCACATGTGGTCTCATGCGGGCTTCTCGAAGGCATAATTTGGATGGCGCAGTTGACGCAGTTGACGCAAGTCGCTGCCTTCATACATTAAGGCGCACACACGCAAGTCCAGCCGTAGTTACGAGGTACGAAGTCAAACACCACACACCCTTCCTCTTGCCGGGTTGGACAGGGACAGCGCTTTTTTTCTGGCGCACCTGCCGGAAGAAGGCAGACCGGCCGGTTCTAGTGCACGTATATATTTTATCAGTTGCAGGGATGACGGAACGACGGAAGGTATCAATGATCGATATCACTTCTGGGATGGGTAGGACGAGGGAGGATGCAAGCTAAGCTGCAAGGACTAACTAATACTCCGTAAAATGGGAAGGTAGGGGGCCATCAATCTCAAGTTCATCGATAGCTTCGTACATCAATTTCATACAACATCGCCTACACGACTGTGCCAGGAGAGTCTCCCGAGTTCAAAGCTGCTTAGCTCAATGTCCAGGTAGGCACACCAATACGCCTCCAGCCAGCAACGGCTTAGTTCGTTCAAAGTTGCAATCTAGACCAGTGACAGAGACCTCCTGAGTCCCACACTCGTCTCGCTCAACATCATTGATCCATTTCGTTTTCCCCTGTTACGACCTAAGCTTGCGTCAATGTCAATTGAAACATTGCTTTTTCGACTTTCCTCCTTACTAGGACAAATACGAAGTATATAAAGTTTTGAGGCACTATTAAACGTTATTCTGTACCTGCGCCATATATTGGTAGCTATCCCGAAGAGCTTCACCGAGAGGGAGACGACACAGGTTTGGTGGAGAGTGTTTCGTCGACCCTAGTTCGTTGTTTAGCGATACCACGGTACCAGTGTAACAGTGAAGCTCACACAATCAGGCCCTGGCAGGCTGGTACGGGGCGATGCTGCGCTACTGTAAGTCATCAAATTATTACATCTCCTTGGAAACTGATTAAGGCTGGCGAACTGCACCTTGTAAATTACGAAGTAACTAGCTTTTGCCCACTACAAGGAGCCAACAGCTTGAGTGACTACATCAATGATATCAACTGTTGCCCTCCTTGACACACTCCCTACCTGGTTTCTGCCCCTGGCCAGTTGGTACCGTCACACTGAAACTTGCAAAGAGTGAGAAGTAGCATGACGAAGGAGAGTTCATCACTCGAGAGCAGGTGGCTGAGGTCGCATGAACATTTCTCAGTCTAAACTACACTACTTGTACGAAGTAGATCATGGATGCATTCGTCGAGGAGAGGAAACAGTTCCTCGCTCTCGAGTTACGAAATACAACGCACGTGTATTGGGTCTGGCTGAAGCTTCCTCAGATTAACCCTCCAGTCTCGGTTGTCCTAGGCGGACCCCACCTACCACATTGATCGTACACTAATACCTGCTCGCCTCCCAGGCCCTCAATCCTCACTTCTGGTCCCCCCCCCAAAAAAAAACTTCCCAGTCGTCCCTACCAAGACCACGTCGCCCCACCTAGCCTGCGCCCCCGAATCCACCCCCGGTCTGCCGTGCCTTCCCTCCATCCAGCCAGAGTTGTCCTAGCACCCACGCGCTCCTTCCACATCTGCCTAGGTCGATTCATGCTTGGCCGTTCTTGGTAACGACGTCTTGCCAATGGGTCCAATGTCGTGATGCTGAACCTCGGTGACCCTTGTGAGGGAAAGAACGCACGCTACGTTGAAGAAAAGGGACCAGGATGCCTGCCCTCTCTGCGGAAATAACGGCCTGGTCTCTAGCACACAATACAATTGATGCTACCATTTCTCGCGTAATAAACTACTAGTACGGAGTACGAGGAACTCGACCCTGACTTCCATATCGAATCAACGACGTATGCCCATGGATGTAGCCCATCAAATCAATCAATACTTCGGGCTTCGTACTCTTTCCTCACGCACCCCCTTCCCCTTCCTAGCTTCCCCCCCTTCTCCCCCCCACTAATCCAGAGTAACCCTACGCCGACGGGTGTGGACACTCCAGAAACGCTAGAAGTCGTAGAACACAATCTCTGGGTCAGTTTTCACATCCCAGAACACCGGGCAGCGGAAAGATCCTGAATCATTATAATTACCACTTTGGACTAGTACGAAGTCGTGAGGAGGAATACGCCAATGCAGCGCAGCTGCAGTCCGGTGCTCGTTTGTGCTGAGTTGTGTCTATATCCAGCCTTACCTCTCTCTATGCCTGGCCATCTCTGACGTTCCCCCCCTCTTCTCTTCTTCCCAGTCCTCCATCCTCCTCCATCCTCTTCCTCTCTCCATGTTTGTTTTGCTTTTCTATTGCCAGTTGTATTTGTGTGTCTTTTTTAAACTTAATCTGAGTATTCATTCGAGCTGCCTGTCATCGGGTCTTCTGCAGCGACCTTACTACCCATATATCATATTACCTTGGTCGCTTTTCTTATTTCTCCTGTTGGGCGCGAGCTTTGCGCGCTACTCCTTCTTTTCAACAGCATACGCCCGGGCGCACTTTAACACTCTGCGCCGACGAGGACGCGAAGATGGACCTCGTAAACGATCTCGTGCTGACTCCTTTCAAGGAGATTGTCGAGAAGGGAAAGACCGCGCGAGAAAATGCCGCCGACGATCATCCCGCCATGCACAAGGCCAGCCAGGCCCTCGTGAGGGAAGGCGAGCGCGCACTCAAGAAAATCGAGCCTTTGTGCAAGAAACATGTCGAGGAATATGGTTCCAATTTTTTGGACGCTTTAAAGGAGAATGGTATGTCTTACATGTCCATGGCGAAAGCTACCCGCCGTCGAGCAGACTTACACACAGATGCCCCCGGTGTAACACTTTCTTTGCTTGCCTCGTGGGCTGTATAATAACGCAACATGAATCTTTCCTTTAGATGAGATCGCCCAGTACCGCGCTGATCTCAATGATCTCCTATGGGAATTTGACGACTTTATCGAGATTGATGAGTTCGACCCCGAGAAGTTCTCTGAACTACAGGCCATGTCACGGAAAGCGGCGCCGCGCATCTACGACATCATCATGAGAATGAGGCTAGAGCCAGTGCCCAAGGACGAGAATACAGTGCAGACCCCGATATCTGAGAAAGAAGACGCCAGGGCAACCATCCCTACGCCGCCCCCTTCCGCCATAGGGTTTGCACCACCCCCACCGCCCATTCCTGTGAACACCGCCCTTAAACGAGGACGGTCGGCGGCATCCGCTCCCTCGGCCCCGACAACTCCGCTTCCCACACCCCCGCCGCGGAGATCCCTGCCCACCCCGATCACGAGTGACAGAGTTCAAATCCCGGTCCCACCATTGCCGCCGAATTTGAACCCGTGGGATGTCAAGACAAAGCCTCCGATGAACCACATCGCTCAAGCTATAAAGAATGGCGTCCAGGTCCCTGAGCGTAGGCGGCCTATTGTGACCAATTCTAGTGAGATAGTTCTCCCTCTCATGACGGATAATATTTCGAAACGTGAGAGTCAAAGAAGTTCCCAAGCGCTATCTCCGACCGATTCTCAATACTCGTTCCAACCGCCGAATGAATCTCCAACTCTGGGCACTGCATTGCCAGCGATACCTCTCCACGGGAGAGCGAGAGTTATGGGCTTTCCGCCCTCGGTCAACCGCGTCGTCACTCAATCCATCCCGGAGCACTCGCCTGTGAACGGGAATATGCACCACACACCACAGACTCAGGCCTGGGATAAACCATCCCACTTGAGCTTGTCATCCAATGCCGACCTACCACGGCAACAGTCGGTGGATTCATTCCGTAGCTCCTACGGCGCTGCTTCGTCCTCCGGCGGGGATAGTCGCGCTTCGGCGCTTTCTGCTAACGACGGTTCATCCATCGGAAGCCCCATTTTGGGGCAAGCCGGCGCTCCTGTGACACCCGCCACACCTCGAGACTCAGCGGTGGAATCTCTCCCAGTCATTACGCAAGATGACGATGGTCTCATCCCTGTTGAGACGGAAGGGCCGAACTCGAAGCCGGCGCTACCTGGCATTGCCAGACGTGACACCTCGGTTACACTTGCCAGCTCCTTCTATCAGCTCAAGGGATTCTGCGAGGGTGCCAAGGAGGTTCTTAGGGGCGAATTGGGTGTGAAAAAGGTCAAGAAGCCGTCATTTAGCGGATCGCAACTAACGGCCAAGTGCACACACTGTTTCTACGAGTTGGATTGGAAGGAAATCGAGATGGATATCAACCACAGTGGTAAGTGTCGTGTCTTTTATCCTCCTTCTGAATAGCCCCATCCGCACTGAAGCCTCAAGGCTAGGCTAGGCATCTGGTCAATATTTTGGCTGCTCTTCTGTTCCGCTTCTAACGTATCATGTAGCCGATGCGAACTTTGCCATTGGCAAAGTTGGATTCCGCATTCGATTCTTGCAGAAGAGCCATCTTGCTACGAGGAGAGCAGACGAGCCTCTCTATGCTTGCGTCTTCTGTATCCAAGAAGGACGCACTCCTCATGATGGCGATGCAACTGTCTTTTTCTCTCAAAAGGAATTGTGTGAGCATATCTCCCGCCATCCTCGGCCACTGCCCAACGTTCCCGGCGTGACGGTGGTGGAGGAAGCCACGATCCCTCCTGCTATCCGTAGCAGCTATGATCTCCACCTCAAGGGTGAGGTGGAAGAATCTATCGTGGACGAGAAACTGGCAGAGATTTACAAGCTTCCAGTAGCAACGGCGAAGGAGATGGTGAAGAAGATGTATGGCATGAGGCTCCTCCATGACCGCACGCCGGCGTTCGAGTTGGCTCCCGGAGCGCGCATTGTCGGGGTCAGCTTCCCAGACAAATACCACGGTGAGTGGTGCATGGGCTACCACGACGGAAGGTACGCATCGTTCCCATTTGAAGTGGCAAAGCTGGAAGCGCCGCCGCCTCATGAGCTTCGTATGGGAGGTACGAGCAATGTGAAGGGTGTAGCCAAGTGGAAATTCAATACCAAGGACAAGGGCAAGGCGGAATGGCTCAAGTTTGAAAAGGGGGACGTGATTAGCAACATCAGCTGTAAGTTATTTTTACTCCTCCTCCTCTCTCTTTTGTGGGCTCACTGCCCGGAATGAGCCAAGAATTGCGGCTAACAGTTGAACCGGCACAGGGAGCGAATGGGATCACTGGTGCTGGTCCGGCACAAACGCCAAAGGCAAATGGGGAATCTTCCCCAAGTCTCATATTGACTTGACTTCGGTTAGAGAAGGTGATGATGGGTCTGACCGATCTAGCATCATCAGTGGCGGTACCACTAAGACCCGCGTCCTCGGACGGTTCTCGTCCAGGAGGTCGGATACAAGGTCAGATACACGTCCAGACACGCCCTCGGCCAAGAGCTTCGGGCCAGCTTTGGCGGGCTTCCATGCCTAGACGAGATGATCCTCTCCGCTAGACATCCAAGCCGTTGATTCCTTGCCTTCTATATTTCTACATTCACACCGCCATGAGGCCCCGGTCATCTCCCTTTCATATCGTTCACCATGATGGCTTGTACCTATATTTGTCGTTCATTTTACTTTCTTAGATTATACCCGGGGCATCTCCTAAGTTTCTTTTTCTTCTATTTTTTGCCTCTTCTCACATAACGAATGGACTGGGATACGAAGGAATCTATTGATAACTGTGGCTTGGGAAATTTGTGGATCGGAATTAGTTCCTTGATTCAACGATAGACTTCTACGACGGAAATTGAGAGAGCGATTATTCCAATTCTCCTATTTTTGCAGGACTTTACTTGTACTTTGGGAGTGTGGGGTTTCTGTGTCATTCTGCAGTTACATCGTACACGCCACTATCTTCCACCTATATTAAGACGTTCGCAGCAACGCCGATGCTTATCGGAGGTATCAATTGAAGTCCGCAGAATGCCTGACGGGTCTCGACGTGCCGTGGGGCTGGTGGCTGGTCCAGTCCAGTCCTCGTTGAAAACGCCCGCTTTATCGCACGTGTCCAGGTGAGAAGTCGACTGTCTCTGGGACCATTAGAGGACTCTACTGTTGTTTATCTCCGTCTTAGAATACTCCGTAGAACCCACTTGTCAACTCCATATGCAATTAGATTCGGAAATACTTACCGAACTCGGTTGCTAGGGGCACTGAAAGGGCATGCCCATGCCAGCCTTTGTGGAGTTATCGGGGCCCCTGTCGGGCTAGCACTTCGAAGTGGAAGCAAGAAAGTTCGAGGAATGGAGTGGAGGTTAACACGACCGCGAAGTACATTAGATAGCACCATTTTCCAGACGCACGTGGCGGCGGGGGCAAGAGGAGTACGAAGTTACCACGACGTGTACGGAGTACACTAAGTACCCTGTCAAAGCAGGGGGAGGCTGGAAACCCGGAATATAATCTCGAAAGCGTGGGATCGGAGACGATCAAGTTGGGGGGCCATTACTCGCCTGGGTGAATATAAAGTGGAGAGGTGGAGGAAAAGGTAAACTAGTAAGGGGGTGGGAAGCATACCGAGAGGGATTTTCACCTTCTTGGGGTTGTTCTGCCGGTGTTGCGGAACGATGGACTGCGGACTGCGGACTGCGGACTACGGTTACCGAGCGTGAAGTCGGTTGGTTAGATGCTTACTTCGTAGTTTACGTACGAAGGAAGAAAAGAAGGTGCATGGGAGAGAAGAAGCATGGCGAGAGGGCTACCGTTAGCGTTGCAGTGGGCTGAGCCAAGCTCTCGGTATCTCATTGCAGCTGTTGGGGTGCTTCAGATGGGGTGTTGATTGTCGTGGTGGTGATGATATTGATGAGGGGGATGCGGATGCAGATGCGGATGCGGATACCGGTGGGTGTGGAGATGATGGCCTTTGTTCCTGGTAAGGGAGGCGAACATCAATTGATCAATCGATTTTCGATTTGAATGCCGGTCGTCTTCACAGCTCGAAGCTACAGTCCTGGGACCCACGAGGTGCCCTGGCTGGTTATCCTGGTTCGAGGTGTTTGGTTGGCAAGCTTCGTCTCATGGCATGCCGTCTTGAGATTCGACGTGAGCTGTGGCCTCTTCATCACGTCAATACCTTGATATTGCTTGGCTCCAAGTAGCATCTCCTACGACGCTAAAGTGCCATTTTACAACCAAGTTTACGAAGCACGCTCGGAGAATATAGCACAGACAAAACTCGCTCGTTCTTGAACTGTTCTTTCGGCAGAAAGTACCGAGAACGACGCATTAACAAGAGTCCCTAAACAATATCGAACGTAAAGTGATTACTACAGTCGCTTTCTATCATTCTAGAAATTCCCTGGAATGGTCTACTTTTCAACCCCTCGTTTCTTTGGATGCGCCAGCGAGATTGGAAGAGAACTCGGTGCCTGGATGATCGACAGTCCTGAAGTTTGGGGAGTTTGGGGTTGTGGCCCTGATTTGCACACCGAAATGAGGAGCAGATCATTTTTGCGTTACTATTTTTTTTTTTTCTCTTTTGCTTTTCCGTTTTTGCCTTTGTGTTTCCACACCACCCCCCCCGGAAGATGGGAAAATCATGGGGCGCCTCTTCCACGTAGGATAAGACGGATAGTAATTACTTCGTACGTGCCTAACCTTAATTGTTTGACATCAAATCGACCTGCCGCCACCGAAGTCAAATCAGTTCAACGAGGATAATTCAACTTATGCCTCATTGGGCGCCGAAGGATGCGCAATATGGCGAGAGAGAGGGAGAGGGAAAAAAAGGTGGCTCCTTGAGAAATGCAGCTTCCGCTGCTCGATGCGGATGTGAAGCTCATTTTTGCCCTGGCTGGTAATTCTTCTGATTGATCCGGGCAGACATGTGAATAGTTTTGGGAGACCTTGTTGTGCTGGCTGCCAACCACGTTGTCGGGACGAGGCGAGTGTCGAAAGCGCTCGTGGTTGTTGGGTTGGCGAGAAGGATCATGGATGCGATGCAGGCGCACCTTCTCGCTCACCGACGAGAAGCGGAAGTCGTCACACACGAAGTGGCATCTTGGCTTCACAATCATATGCAATCATGTGGGTGTGCAGTTCTGGCTAGGCACGGCACCGGACAAGGGCATGACATTAGTTGTGGCTGGGCTGGGCGTCGAGAAGTCGAGAAAACGTACCCTGGTACTTCGTACATGCAAGTTTTCCAATCTTGGATGGAATCGCGGGTTTAAATGTCTCGTACCTTTCAAGGTACTGAAGGTGTCACTGCTGCAGGAACCATGACCCATGACGAGTCCAAAGTCTTGCATTATTGCCAACGCCAACAATGACACCAAGTTACCAACAAACAAAGTACGACTCGGCACTTCATACACGCACCCAGGAACTGGACTGGCTGGTTGATGTTTTGTCGTTTGTTTTACGGAAGCAGTGGGAGATATTCGCAATGGACCGATGCTACCCTGCATAGCACGGAACTCCATGGTTCAGGAACCTCACATATAAACTGACATGATGTAATTCAATGTCCCCACGTGTGTGCTCCCGTTGTGGTTCGGGAATCGGGACCAAAGCACAGTACTCTCACCAGCGTCCCCCAGAGTGCTCAGACAGCACCAACACCACCAACCTCGCCCACGCACGCTCCGTGGTTTAATAACCAGGTCCTTGGACAGAGATCATCGCTGGGCACGGACTGCCTGACTAGGCGTGCCGTCGTACGAGGCAATAACTCCTCTCCTAAGAAAGAGTACTGACTTGTACGAAGTACAACTATATAATAGTTTGCGAAAGTAATATATGTAGTATTAGAACTGTGCCAGCAGTGCCTTCACTCCTTGGCGGTCTTCATGGAAGATCTGCTGCACAGTAAGGGGCTCTTAGCAGTGTATGATAAGAACAAACCCGGTGGCAGGCTTCGGGTTTGGTAACTCGGAAGATTTGAGAATAAACGAGCCGATGCAGATTGCGGGGGTTCTTCAGCATCCTGCTCTCATACCCCAGGAACTGTAACGTTTGCAAACATGACGAAGAGTATTTGTAACATCGTTAATAGTTTAGTTTGCCCGTTGATCGATTTTTACCACCGTCTCTCAGAAAAGAAAAATAAAAGGAAGAGAGGAATGTCAAGGATGCCAGTTCGCAATCTCCTATTTAATCTTTCTGAGTTGTGATGGGACAAGGCTCCCTCGTTCCTGAGATGGCGGCTTGCCTGGTACAGGTCCCTGCCAACCCAGTTCGTCTCATCAGCTGAGACGGGGGGAATGAATGGACGGTGGGACTCTGGATACGAACAAGGGAGGTTCTACAGGAGATTCTGAGGGGAGTTTGGGACTATTCGGATCACGTCGTTCTGTCGCTGGCTTCCCCCTTTAGACCATATTGAAGGAACCTTTTCTCCGATTCTGCTGCCCATTTGAGTGGACAATGTTATGCGTCTCAGGGCGCTCATCGTCGAAAAGACGACGCTGGGTTGTGTTTCGCCTGACAGTTAGATGTTGGCGAATGCTACCCTGCAGCTACTTTGTAGGGGTCGGCTCTTCTCCTCAACGTCCAAGCCAGGCTCCCAAGACGGCTTCCCACATGGCGCGGCATGGCATGGCAAACCCGAAGAATTTTCGAAAGCCGCATTTCCCCATGCCTGGAGACAATGGCATGGGACAATGAAGAGTTGACGAATGCGGAGCACTGAGGGTGTATGATCCCTTGTCTATCACTTGACCATCTCCACTGCAGTTTATTAGGACTTCGTCCTGAGCTAACCTGTAACGAGGGCAAGGCCAGGCGATAATTCCGCCGCCATGCCATGAGCACAGACGAAGTAGATGACATGGGCAGGGGAAAAAAAAAGGAAGAGTCGGCGGCGAGAACAATAATGGGCTGGCTGATAACAATACCTGGGCAGACAAACCCTTAATCAATATCTACTTCGTACTTTGCAGGGCCGTTGACATGCCCCTCTAAAAAGGGCAAGGCTCGAAGCTCTGAAGAGTGTGCCCCAAAGCATGCTCACATCCAAGTACCACTATCATGGCTTCACCCAAAGAATCGATCTTTTATATACCTCAACTTGGAGTTTGTTATCACCTCTTTTGCCCGGTCCGAATATTACCTCATATCTTGGTATGCCTCGACTGGCTCACGGGGTAGCAAGTCAGCAAATCGACGACTGCCCAGACCTAGGAAGCACACTACTCTCTGAAGTAACTCGAAGAGTCCAAGTCGCATTATGCAGCGTTGCACATTGCGCACGCCATGATTGTTGTTAGTGCCATATTGTGTCCTTGCACCTCCCCTTTTGAGACGAAAAGCCAAACTCTCTCGGAGAGCAAAGATCGAGGTTGAGGAAGCCCATTGCTCGCACAAAGATTTGCTCCTGGGATCCACCCCACCCTTCGCCGACCTTGGCTGCAGAGTGCCTGTGTTCCTGAACAGTTTTGTTCACGGAATATCCCCCCTCCGTTTGACGCAGCCACTTTGACGTTGATGTTGGTGGGTGCCCTCGATATTCGAGCATTGACCGCAAGGCGAGTTCACACGCACAACGCGTCTCTAAAACCGAACCTCCCTACGAAGTACTTGCATGTCCACGTCTTCCTTTCCTGTCCTTGAAGCGGGACTGTCCTCCGCTTCTGTTGCAGGGTGAAGAAGGTGAATGGAAAGACACCCACATTCCACTGCTTGAGAAGTCTATCGAGGCACAGTTGTCATGGAGTGAATCAAGCATTGCCCCTTGCGATACGGTAGTGACCACTGATTCTGTATTTTGCCATTATTCTCACTAAACCACATTGCTATCAAGTACTGCCAGGCCTGGCGAAGTAACGTGGAATTAATGTTTCGCCTAAAAGATCAATGCTGAAATTAAAGATTGGATTGCCCTCGATGCGGCTATAAGAAAGTATGCAATAATATTGAGTCGAATCTCCGTTTGCCTTGGTGCTTGGTCTGACTCGAAGCGACACCTCGTACAATCCAGACTCGATTTATTGTTGATGTGAGTACTTCATACAAGGACCACTCTGCAGCCAGGCTACCTAGTATGCCGCAGTCTGTGACAGGGCCGGGTAGAGAGCGGCACTCGAGAACAAGCTTCAGTGCTGGAGAGGCAATAATATTGTGCTGCATTCAGTGGAATTGATGGGTCTCAATTGTACCTCTGTTATTAAGTCCATGCGCTTCAAATTCTTTTTCCGTCCTCGATTCGGTCGCCTGGCTTTGTCGCTGTACTGCAAAGTACGAAGCACTCGGCCAAGTACTTCCAAGTTGCTGATGATGTATTTTCCCATTCTGAATTGCCTGAAATGATTTGCTCCAACTTGGGGGTCTCGCCCTGGTTCCTCCATTCTTTTGTCCCGCTCCTCACTTCCTCCCTCGCGCTTTCCCTCGCCCTCGCCCCTGTACCTGTAAAGTACGGCGGTCTTTCCCTTTCAAGCCTCAGTTTCTTGTGACTTTCAACCTGCCGCTTTTGTTCGCACCTTCCATGCCTCCATGCTCGAGGCGTATTTGGCAAGTACGAAGTACAAAGTAGCATCTTCCATCCTTCCTCTCATGCTATTCCCGCAGCCCCGACTTTTATCTCCTCTCCATGGCTCCACCTCCACAGTCAAGTCGTAATCCACGATCCAGCACATTGATACATTGACCAAGGTTCTCATTTACTCTAATTCCCCTCTGCTCCTCTCTCCTCCTCTCCTTAGACTCCTCCGCTGGCGCCTCGCAATTGATCTCTGCCTCGGCGAGTCTCGACATCCCAAATCAACCGCATTTGACCTTTGCGCACGAATGTTCGGTGGTTCTGTGTCCTTGATGGACCCGAATCGCTCTCCTGTCGTCTCACCAATTTCAACTGATATAGCCACCATCGACTGGTAACTAGACTTTCCTGGTCTGGCCGCAACACTGCGCCCTCCGTCAAATCCGAGAGCAATCAGACTTTCGAATCGCCATTGTCACCATCTGTCATTTCTCATCTTTCTCCGACTGCGACTCGACCCCTCTCTTACTTCAACCCGTTTTTCTCGATTCGTTCAAACCACCTACACCGCTGCCCAGCCTTACGCCTCGAGCGACAACCTGCGAGTAATACCGCCGATTGACCTGTCCCACTTTCGACCTGACATCCACCAGCTTCCACTCCTCTCTCTCCCGAATCGAGCCACGCCTGTCCCGACAGCATTTTTTTTTTTCCTCACTTTGTGCCCAACCTCAAAAGCAGCCGTTGCACGTTGATCGAGCCGTGCCAATTTGTTGTCGGCGACCGAATCACCGTTACCAACCTGCCCCGTTCGACCTTACCGAGTGTTGCACACCGCCGACACCGTCACCGCTTCCTCCGTTGGACAATCGTTCTTCGTCCGTCATGGGCCTTGGATTGTCGGCAAAAACTTGATATATATTTACCAAAATTTGGGAGGAACAGAGTTGTCTCTCGAAGTTCTGTCGTGGACAGCGCCAACCGTATTGACTCGACCCTTTATCCCCCCTCCTTTGATTTTGACCTCCGACCGTTGACGGCACGCCGCGCACTTTAATGTTCACAATGGGTGCATGTATGAGCTCAAACAATGAGGAGGCCATTAGGAAGAAGCACAGTCAAGCCATTGACAAGCAGCTTGAGGAGGACTCTAAGAGGTTACGACGAGAATGCAAGATTCTACTGCTAGGTGTGAAGTTTTCTTTGCTTTTCTTATTCTCCTCCCTCCTCCCTCCTCTTTGCTCTCTTTCTTTCTCTTCTTAATCAGAGAGCAACGCCTGGCCTACACACCTCACTTCTACAGCAGCTAGACATTTAATTACAAGAGCAGAGGGCTGACCCTGGAGAATGATCTAGGATCTGGTGAGAGCGGCAAGTCTACTATCGTAAAGCAGATGAAGATTATTCACTTGAAGGGGTACTCGGACGATGAGCTTTACAACTACCGCCCGACTGTATTCAAGAACCTGGTGGAATGCGCCAAAGCGGTCATCCAAGCAATGCACCAATTCGAAATACCCTTCGCCAATGATGAGAACAGCATGCATGCCAAGTTCCTGATGGAATACTCTGCCGAATCCGGGCCCCAGGCCAACATCGATCCCGCAGTCGGCACTGCTGTGAAGGCAATATGGAATGATCCTGCAAAGGATATTCTGATGGAGAGGCAGACAGAGTTCTATCTGATGGACTCGGCGCCTTAGTATGTGGCCAAGACGGCCTACCCATTCCTTGGCTGACCATGGCTCTCTATATACCTTTTTTTTTTCCTTCTTTTTTTCTTCTCTTCTTCGGATAAGACTAATTTGACCCGTCTATAGCTTTTTCAACGAAGTTGAGCGAATCGTAGCGCCAAACTATTTACCTACCGAGATGGATGTATTGCGAGCACGAACAAAGACTACTGGTATATATGAAACTCGGTTCCAGATGGGTCAACTAAGCATACAGTAAGCTCCATCCGTCTTCCATCCTCCCCTCTCTAGTGTGAGGGCTGATCTTTGGACATTCTGGCTTACACGTTAAACAGCATGTTCGATGTTGGTGGTCAGCGAAGCGAGCGCAAGAAGTGGATCCACTGTTTCGAAAACGTCACATCCATCATCTTTTGCGTTGCGCTTAGTGAGTACGACCAGGTTCTACTGGAGGAGAGCAGCCAGGTAAGCTTCGAAAAACGCCCTCTTATCACCATCGCCAGTAGGCCTTCAACTGGGAGGCTCATGGTGCAAGTGTTTGAGAGTAATGCCTAACAGAGACTCCCTGTTCTAGAACCGAATGATGGAGAGTCTGCTACTGTTCGATTCCGTGGTCAACTCGAGATGGTTCATTAGGACAAGTATAATTCTCTTCTTGAACAAGGTCGACATCTTCCGTGAGAAGCTCAGCCGTTCGCCGCTCGGAAACTACTTCCCAGACTACTCCGGGGGCAACGACGTGAATAAGGCCGCCAAGTATCTACTCTGGAGGTTCAATCAGGTTAACCGAGCACACCTCAATCTCTACCCTCAGTAAGTAATATAGCGGGTGCTCCTTTTTGGGGGCAAAAGGCGTTTACAAGAAGCCACTATCCAAATGATATGAGCTAACGGAACGCCCTCTAGCTTGACGCAAGCCACAGATACGTCAAATATTCGACTCGTGTTTGCGGCAGTCAAGGAAACGATACTGAACAACGCACTTCGAGACTCTGGCATTCTATAAGCCGACAATCGAATACTAACCTTAGCCTATATTTTCCGCCTTCCTTTACTTCCTCATTCCCCCTTTTTTTCACCGGCTTTTCGAAGAATACGGCCTCCTTTTTAGTGTTACCCCCTAGCATGGACCGGCGTTCAGGTTACGACTTTTTTCGGTGGTTGTTAGTGAAGGAATACCACACACTACACTCGTTCTTTAGCGATCTCGCGATGCAGACACGGCGTTCCTCTTTGCATTTCGATCGACGTTCTTATAGTTATACCACTTCCGGGCCGTCCAGTAATATCACAGGCACCAGTCCCATCCCAAACGTTGAGCCTCCGCCTATTCACCCGCATCACATCACAAGGCGAGCGAGGCTCATATTAGATGTTCGTGATGCAAGTACCTCCGGGCTCAACCATGCCGTGCGGTGCCTAGCTTCTTACCATGACGGCCCTCCCTCATCCCGCCCCACGCGCCGGTTAGCTGAGGATTTTTCTAGGAGGAAATATTCCATGGAACTAGGCCTATGTCTAAGCCAGAAGCTGAAAATAAACCCTTTTACGGCCTTTCTTTTCTTTTTTCTTCCCACCAATGGTTGTGTTATTTTGTGGGCAGACAGGGATTTGTAAAAAGCCGGCACACGGACGGCGTTTCTGTCGAGGCTTGTTCAGTTCTTCGCTATGACAATGAGGTCTCAGGTTTCTCTTTGTTTGACGGAACGGAGGGATTATTGGCAGCAGAGCTGGCCTTTGGGTTTTTGCATGATGGGCAGTTCTACACGACAGATAGGATACTTATAGACTATTCTTTTTCTTTTCTTCTCATTAGATACCTCGTTGTTGTCCGCTAGCTGGTCGTGGTTCGCGCCAACCAAGGTCCGCTATCAATCTAGTTTCATATCGGGTAGGCCATCCCGGTCCCGGGGATATATGTGAGACCTCCGGACCTTAACGGGATGAAGAGTGCTGAGGATCTAGATTTGTGTGTGGGTGGGAAAAGAGAGTGTGTATGTGTATGTTTGGATGCGTGCTATTTAACATTTCCCCTCCTACAAGGTCTCTGGGGTGTCATGCATTCGTTATCATACATCATACCATCAGGCCAAATCTGGAAGTCATTGCATGGAGGTTGTGATTACGAAGTAGATACATTGATAACAGCGCCCAAACCACGACCATGTTCTCTAGATTCCCCCAGGCGGCTTAACTTCATAGCAAGGGGCTTTTGGTCTACTTTCGAAGTTGAAGTACTCTAATGTGCGGGGGCTTGGGTGTTGGGAAGAGGTGGGAGGGGCGAGCCGTTGATCAGTGAGTTCAATTTTTCCCTGATCCACAGTTCTAAGTCGCGATCTGGAGCAGGGAAGGGTCCAACGATGACTGGGGACAGCCAATTGGGCAATTGAGGGGGAAGGTGGCGATAGGTTGGAACACTAGATGGAGGGGTGGGATATCAATTGCATTGGGATTTTAATGGCGAGCCGCCAGGGTATCTTGACCCTCTCAAGTCGACACCAAACATTGAATGGTGTGGGAATAATTGACGGATCTATTGGTACATGTAGTTTTCATTGTTGTTCGAATTGATTGGGATGCGATTTGGAGAGAATCTGGGGGGGGGGGGGGGGCAGCTGGTGATGTGATGATGCTAGGAGGTCAATGGCAGGTAGGTGAGGGGCGCCCTGGGGGAATCAAAGATGAAGGTACGAAGTAGTTTACGAAGTATCCTTACGCAAGTGTATGATGTATCAATTAGGATGTGGCCCAAGCTTCCAAGCTCGAAATATCCACAGTTCGCCTTGGCGGCTCTTTCGTGGGTGCTCTGCGGCGTCGGACTCCTTTGGTCCAATAGCTCAAGGGCGACGATGCATTGGCGAGATCCACTACAAGGCACAGTGGCGACATTCGAGTGCCGCAAACTGGTTTCCCAAATTGATCGAGGACGGGAAACGAGGCATGCCAAGGCAGGAGTAGCTTAATCGTGCTTGGTGATCTCAATTGCCTCAATGCCCCTCCTTTTCGCCCTTCGAGATGTTGAGAAAAGAAAAGCCGGAGCTATTTTTTCAGTCTATTTTTGCCACTCATGTCGCAGGGGGGGTTTCTACTAGACCGAAGCTATTCATGGACGTCCAATCCAGCCGCAAAGCGCCGCGCCGCACCCTTTCGTATCCACGATGTGTCCCTCCACTTGGGCTTGCTGGTTTTGCGGCGGCCTGCACAGATCGGAAGAAAATCTTTACCTCTCATCCCTCTGTTGTATAACAGTCATTGATGTTAAAGGTCATCAGCGGTGATTACCCCTCACCAATTGCTGACCACGACAGGATTTGGATGGAAATGACCAAATGCTCATTAATGGCCCATCAGGAAGTTGGATTGGGGAAGGCGGGAGGCGGGCTAAATCTAATCGGCGGCTCACTGCTTCATATGCTCATACCTTGCATGTGGTTGGTCTGACCCAATCGAGATGTATCACTACATCAATCCAGCGCACATGAAAACTGCAGTGTACAATTTCTTCGGGGGATGGATTTAACTCTTTACACAATATCGGGAAAGAGGAGAAGCCCAAATTCAACGGTGAGACAGATGCCAAACAACTACTCCGTAACATTAGTGGGCGTCTTTCACTAGTACCTGCCTACCTGGACCCATTTCGTTGATACTTAAGTATTACAACAAGTATCGATTAGTCCAGGTACAACTTACACCAACAAGCTGACCTTGAGCTGTCGCCCAGAAGAGAAGAAGAGGAGGGGGAGGGGCAGCTTTAGTTAGCTCCCCAGTCAAATCCACACACAATAGCTTTACCTCCCCTCTCGTGATATGAAATCAAATTGCGTCGAATTTCGAAGGTTTTTGGCGAGCGCAATTTTCGAGTCTAACTGCGACGATTACGTCGGGACGCAGCATGACCCGGAAAATGCAGTTGCACATGCTCTCAGAGTATCAAGAACCTGGTCTCTCTGAGGGGTTGGAGAACTTGCCATCCATGGCACGAAGCCTAGACACGACATCTGCACAATCGATTGATGTAGTGAATGATCCAAAAGCACATGTAGCGGGTACATCAGCTAACACGGGGTGTCCGAATCCTATCGTTCGTCGCAGCTTCGCGTTCAAGTTCTAGATTCCTCCTCCGGGTTACCTCAAGCTTTGCGCATACGCTAAGCTCGCCCCTCCGTACCCTCCGTCAAACCTGCCGCAGCTCCAAGTCGCGTCAACATTGGGCAATGATGGCACCAGGTTCGTACGAAGCATGCGGAGCGGGCGAGAGCATCAAATTGAACCCCACCTTTCCAACCCCAAATGTCTCCCTAGATCAGATGTAGCTTCCTCCTGTGCTCCATCGTCTGACGCAGGAAAAACCAGACATCTATAAGCTCCAGAGCTCCCATATCTGTTTACTCTCCCCCCTTCGATGCTGTGTCTCTAGCTTCTGATCTCCCTACTTCTCGGATTGATCCTATTCCTTAACCATCTCTTCGTTACGGCCAAATCACCCTCCTGAGCCGCCGGTACTTATTATTCCCCTGTGATTTTCCCAAGTTTGTGTTATCTAGAGCTTCCTTTGGAGAAGCTTTACCTCCGACCTTTTATCTCTCCTCGACCCATTGACCACACTACACTCTACCCCTCCCTTCCCCAAAGAAGAGACCGCACTTGTCTTAGCATTTTTCCTATATTGAACTCGCCCGCAGAGAGAACACACCCAGCAACATGACGAACGACCCCCTTCCTACCCGCCAGCGGAGGCCCTCTGTGGGTGTCCCTCTCGTCGACATCCAAGGAAGCGTTGGCCCCGCCGGCATTTCTCGACCCAAGCACAAGCGAACTTTTACGGGCTTTACTCCCCAGGAGATCGTCAGTGTTGAGGGTACGTATTGTTTTCCCAAGTATGCGAATGGCGTTAGTACCGCGAACCATCACGGTGCCCCACCATATGTTTCAATACACCCCGATTTCTGGAACCGATGCAGTTCGGGGAGATCTGCTCGCAGGCCATGATTATTTTTCATCCCCTTCTTTGGCTCCTCGCTGCTTTATCTTTTATAGAATTATATGAGTTCTAAATCTCTTTCATCCTAGCTTCGATTCCCGAGCCGCAGCGCGAGGCCTGGAATAGGAACAAGTTCAAGCCCTTCACTAACAAGGACGAGTTCGAGCGAGAGGTTGTCCGTCATGTCGAGACCGATTTGGCTCGCAGCGTCTTTAACTGCGACGAGTCGGCCGCTTATGCCGCTACGAGTCTTGCCATTCGCGACCGTTTGATTGTGGACTGGAACAAGACTCAGCAGCGCCAGACCTTCAATGACAACAAGCGTGTCTACTACCTCAGTTTAGAATTCCTCATGGGACGCGCTCTGGACAACGCTATTCTGAACGTTGGCCAGAAGGATATCGCTAAGCGTAAGCCTCTTGTTCGATTGTAAACTTGAGAAATTTTGTATCTCTTTCTAAGAGACGCGCCGATTTTCTAACACGAACTTCTTTGTGCAGAGGGCCTTTCGGACTTGGGTTTCAGGATTGAAGACGTCATCGAACAGGAGCATGACGCAGCTCTCGGAAACGGTGGCTTGGGTCGACTTGCTGCCTGCTTCCTCGATAGCTTGGCCTCCCTCAACTATCCCGCCTGGGGATACGGTCTGCGATATAGATATGGTATTTTCAAGCAGGAAATTATCGATGGCTACCAAGTCGAAGTACCCGATTACTGGCTTGATTTCAACCCCTGGGAATTCCCCCGACACGACGTGACTGTCGATGTAAGTCAAGAAGACCTGGCCAACCTTGGGGGTTGAATTTTAAGCTGTAAAGGCGCTAGATTTGCTGACCCATTTTGAAGATTCAATTCTACGGTTCTGTTCACAAATCGACCGGTGCAGGTGGCCTCCCTGTCTCTCACTGGGAAGGTGGCGAGACCGTGACCGCGGTCGCGTATGATGTTCCTATTCCTGGATATGATACTCCTACCACGAACAACCTCCGACTTTGGTCTAGCAAGGCGGCTAGCGGCGAGTTCGACTTTCAGAAATTCAATAGTGGCGACTACGAAAGCTCTGTCGCCGACCAGCAGCGCGCCGAGACCATCAGTGCGGTTCTGTACCCCAACGACAACCTCGAGCGAGGAAAGGAACTCCGTCTCAAGCAGCAATACTTCTGGGTTGCCGCGTCTCTGTACGACATCGTTCGGCGGTTCAAGAAGTCGAAGCGCGCGTGGTCCGAGTTTCCTGACCAGGTTGCTATCCAACTCAACGACACTCACCCTACGCTTGCCGTTGTCGAGCTGCAGCGTATCCTAGTCGACTTGGAGGGTCTTCCCTGGGATGATGCCTGGAACATTGTAACTTCGACGGTAAGAGCTCCCCCACGCCACGAACGCATATATATCAATTGTCAATTGCCATGCGTCGATGACATTGTATTAACATCGAATGTCTTAGTTTGGCTACACCAATCACACAGTGCTGCCAGAGGCGCTTGAAAAATGGCCCGTCGGTCTCCTCCAACATCTCCTCCCTAGACATCTCCAAATTATTTATGATATAAACCTCTTCTTCCTCCAAAGTGTCGAGAAGGTCTTCCCCAATGACCGCGATCTCCTTAGGAGGGTTTCGATTATTGAGGAGTCTAACCCCAAGATGGTGTGCATGGCTCACCTCGCTATTGTCGGTTCCCACAAGGTCAACGGCGTCGCCGAGCTCCACTCCGATCTCATCCGGACAACTATTTTCAGGGACTTCGTCACGATTTTTGGCGTCGACAAATTCACCAACGTCACGAACGGCATCACCCCACGCCGGTGGCTCCACCAGGCGAACCCTCGCCTCTCCGAGCTCATCGCGAGCAAGTGTGGTGGCAGCAGCGAGTTCCTCAAGGATCTCACCCAGATCAATAAGCTCGAACTTTACCTCGAAGATAAGGCCTTCCGAAAAGAATGGGCTGAAATCAAGTACGCGAACAAGGTCCGTCTTGCCAAACTGATCAAGTCCGCGAATGGCATCACCGTCAACCCTGCGGCTCTCTTCGATGTTCAAGTGAAGCGGATTCACGAATACAAGCGCCAGCAGCTCAACATTTTTGGTGTTATTCACCGATACCTTCGCCTCAAGGCCATGTCGCCCGAAGAGAGAAAGAAGCAGCAGCCCCGCGTTTCCATCTTTGGTGGAAAGGCTGCACCGGGCTACTGGATGGCTAAGCAGATTATCCACCTCATCAACAACGTCGGATCCGTCATCAACAAGGACGAGGAGATCGGTGACCTCCTCAAGGTTGTCTTCATCGAGGATTACAATGTTAGCAAGGCCGAGATCATCATCCCCGCCTCGGACCTCAGCGAGCACATATCTACCGCCGGAACTGAGTAAGTACAAGGACACCAGATATGCAGGGAGTTTCAGCCTCATAATGAGCAATCGCTAACATGCCGGCAGGGCTTCGGGAACTAGCAACATGAAGTTTGTTCTCAACGGAGGTCTTATCATCGGTACATGTGATGGTGCCAATGTAAGTTGGACCGAGCTGAGGCTCATCATACCCATAGTCCGAGATGCCATTGCATGTGTGTAAACGCTAACCTCCTATTGTTCCTGTCGGTAGATTGAAATTACGCGCGAGATTGGAGAGAACAACATCTTCCTCTTCGGCAACCTCGCGGAGGATGTCGAGGACCTCCGCCACGCGCACACGTATGGCACACACACACTCGACGCGGATCTCATCAAGGTATTCGATGAGATTGAGAAGGGCACGTTCGGAGAGCCTAGGGACTTTAGCGCGTTGATCGCCGCTGTCCGCGACCATGGCGACTACTACCTCGTTTCGGACGACTTTAACAGCTACAACACCACGCAGGCTCTGGTGGATGAGGCGTACAAGAACCAAGAAGGGTGGATCACCAAGACCATTACGAGTGTGGCGCGAATGGGCTTCTTCAGTAGTGACAGGTGTATCAACGAGTACGCCGAGGAGATTTGGAACATTGAGCCTCTTGTGGTGAAGGATTAAGGGGATGGGAATGGGGATGGGCGATTTCTAGTGGATTTGACGGATTCCTCAAGTATGCATGTAGTGGCAGTGTGGTATTGAATCAAGAAACGTTTTCCTATTGGATCTTCCTCCTAACTCGGCTCCTCCACAATTGCGTTTCGCGTGAAGGAAGCAAAAAAAGAAAAGGAGAGAGAGAGACTATCCGTAATGCAGAGCTAGAGATTGTGGGAAATTCATCTTTGACTCATCACATTCAAGTTCAATGACATCTTGAATCTCATCTGCCATCTCCTTGAAAGAGATCGATCAAAACACAGAGACAAGTTGCTCGAAGACGATCACCCCAGTAGTGAGGTATATTGGGGAGTACGATTCTACTATGTAATTAAAGTGTATAGTCGATAAAACAGATGCAATGTCTGAACCAAAACGTGGGGAGTGGGTATGACGTCATGATATCTCTGTGAGATCGTTTTGAAAATAAACTACGGCTTGCATCCTCAGGATTCTGAGGTTCGGGATGGACCACACGGAAGGTGACAGGTGTCAGGACGAACAAGTTCCCAGGATTGGATGGCAATATGAAAAGGGGGGAGAAGGCAAGGTTGAAAAACAGCTGCCAGCCAGGATGAAGAGGACATGGTTTCCCGTCGTAAACTAATCTAGATTGCGTCGGAGTATCAACTCGGAGTGGGAGCCCAACAGTACAGATGAACCAGATTACCACGGCAATGGCTCGTCGCCACTAAAGAGAACGCGGAAAACGAGACCATTCATTGGGGAGGGGAGGAAACGGCGCAGAATGAGCCACGAGGCATTGCGTTGTGGTCGTGCATCATCTTGCCTCATGGTGCGAGACTGCAGCCGTCAAAATCGGAGTCCCGACGCCCCACAGTGTACTAGCTGCGGAACATGCTGATAGCGTAGCAGATGAGGTAACGGGAGATCCATTGATACTTCGTACTCCGTAGTTTACATTGGGGGGTAGGGAGCGAGGAAGCGAGGGAGCTGGACGGTAAGTCGGGAGGGAGTGACGTCATCGTCGGAGGTTTCGCGCCTTGCAAAAAGTCCGGAAGCTCGGAATTGCGTGCAGGAGGACCTACCTCACTGACATGTGCTACTGCTAAACTGGGAGGCTCGGTTGCCGTGTTTTGAGAAAGAAGTTCTATTATTTTATTTTATCCCAATTTTATTTTATTTTCTTATGTGTTTCTGTCTCGGGTGTATTCGCGAGAAGGAAGCCCAAAGCTAGCTGGAACCAATCTAAATAGCCTTTCCTTCGTATGGGGAGCACAGCTCAATTGGCAATTGATGGAGGGAGGGGCGAGGGGGGGCGGGCTATGGATTGATCGATTGATTAATTGATGTAATTGTGCAGGATAATGCCAGCACATTGGGGGTGAGCTGGAGCAGCCGAGGAGCTAAAGCAGATGGGTTTTGTTCCTAGTTTACCTTCTGAGGCGGGTGTAGCTGTTAGATGGATCTGATGCTTCCACAAAGTAAACGTTCAGGAAAACAACTTCACCTTTGCTTTCCCTATCTCCACTGAGAAACATTAGGAAATCATCGACGGCTTGATCTCTCTTTTTCAATCTTATCTTTCTCTCTAATCTTTTCATCTTCTCTCCAGCTCCTCCCTTTCCATCCGTCCCATTTATCTGCCGTGTCTGGATATCGTGGCGTGCGGTACGATATCGTCAAACACGATCACCAAACCTCGCTCGATCTTCAGTTCTCAGACAACTGCCCTCGGGTACCTGAGCATCGGTCCGGCCGGGGAAACTTTGGTGAGATGATCGAATTGACAGCTCCGTCCGGTTTCAATTGAGCTCGAACAAGCCGCAATCTGAGGCACGCGAGCTAGATCTAGTCCGCACTTGCCCCCGACGCAGGTGCGCGATTGTCATATCATCATCCTCGCAAAGATCAAAAGTGCGTAGAGGCTCGGTAGAGCAAATCACATACTCTAGTCTAATTGAAGGATCCTTTCAAAGATCTGACCACTGGTTTCTCAGGCTGGTCGAGTTTACGAGGTGATTGCCACAAGGTCCGTCCAAATCCGCCGGTTTATATACTCTCGTGCAATTACTAAAGAACGATGCGAAGAACAATTGAAGTCAAAGTCGTCAGGATCATTTGATCCAGGTCCTCGGAGCTTGGTTCTCATCGGCCGGAGCTCTCCGATATAGTACGCCGCCCGAACGAACCAGCCCCCGGGCTCCTTGGGGAATAAATCCGAATTTCCTGGGGCTGATTGTTGGCGCACGAGCACGAAACACACTGGATTGTGAGCAGAGTGCCACCCTGGAATAATTGGGTCCAAAAATTGAGGGAAATCCCAGGCCTTCAGGCTGTCAACATTGACTGGATATCAATCAGAATCGCCATTTTCAGTCCATTTGCGCCTCAGGACAGCCTCGCTACTGAGGCCAACTTCAAAGGCGTTTCAGTGGTGTCTGGTTTGCGTTGTCCGTTGTCTGTTTGCTAGCGGCACAGTTGCTGTCCAATCTGCTGCTAATCTGGCGCTGTCCATTACGAAGCAATTGATCAACCATCTAAACACTAAATCTTGCCCCAAGAGGAGGAGATATTCCAGCTCTAGCAAACGCCCAACGCCAAAGGCCAGACGATCAAGAACAAACGGTCTCTGCGTTGTACACCACATCAAAGTCACATTTACCCCGCCCTTCCTAGTCCGCCCAACCAAACTTGCTTCCAAGGGTACATTCTCATAAGGTACCATCCTTCACATCCCGCCTTTCCTTTCCTTGCCAGCTAGTGAAGGGGAGAAAACAAAAGTGCAGCAAATCGACGGAAAGGTTTTAACCTTCTTTAACTTCCCCCGCCCGCCTCCCAAGGTGATTGAACACCGCTCGACAGAGGGGCATTTGATGCTAACTCGGAAATCCTCTCGTTTTTTTTTTCTCTTACCTTTTCCGCGATACCAAGGTCAAGACAGACCACCTTGCCTCTAACCCGCACACCCCGCCAACCTTGCCCCCAAATTCATTCACTTCATCACTTCCGTCGTTCTCGTCACAAGAGACAGTTGAGCCACCAGCACCAGCACCAGGACAGCTCATTGGCACGGAGCACGGGCACAGGTACGAACAAGACCTGTGCAATCCACTTGGCCTGTCAACCTAGCACTGGCTCAAGCTCCTACACTCAGCATTGAAGCTCTGTGCCCTCAACTTCGCAAACCCCTCCTTGTTGCTGGCTAGCAAGCTCTTTCCAAAGCTTCTTCTCCACCTCTACCGTCTCTCCTCCCCTATCTACTCCCTGTTCGGCCACCATACCCGCCACACCTGGAATTATTGTAACGAGGAAAGGCGCAAGAGAAAAGAAAAGAGAAAGCAGAGGGATCAGATAAATCAGTCAAGATGGCGGAATTCGTTCGAGCTCAGATCTTCGGTACCACCTTCGAGATCACATCGAGGTAAATCACTAACTACAAGCTGTCTTGCCATGTCCAAATAATGTCGGATCCTAATCCTAACCTCCGGGACAGGTACTCCGATCTCCAACCAGTCGGCATGGGTGCCTTTGGTCTAGTCTGGTAGGTTTATTCTCTCTTCTCTCTTGTCCTGCCACTTTATTAGAGAGTCGTGCCGAACGAGGCTTCCCCTCAAGTTTCTCCTTCCTCGCCTCCATCCAAGCCCGTCTCTCTAGCTACTAATCATCGTTGTTTTGGTGGTGGATAGCTCTGCGCGGGACCAGCTCACGAATCAAAATGTGGCCATCAAGAAGATTATGAAGCCCTTCAGCACGCCTGTGCTCGCGAAGCGAACGTATCGTGAACTCAAACTTCTGAAGCATCTCAAGCACGAAAACGTTAGTCCTCGTCCCCACCCTCTAGTCGGAATTCAAGATTCAGGGTCTCCACACCTGCCCCGGTCCTGGTGGGAGAATGTGTCGACTGACCCTGGGTCCAGGTTATCTCTTTGAGCGACATCTTTATCTCCCCTCTTGAAGACATGTATGTAACGCCTTTTGTATTAATGACATCCCCACCCCCCTTTCACCTGGGCGGCGATCCGCGCCTGTCTTTACCATTCCACTAACACGACCTGCCTTGCCGTAGTTACTTCGTCACCGAGCTGCTCGGTACCGATCTTCACCGGCTCCTCACCTCCCGGCCTCTTGAGAAACAGTTCATCCAATACTTCTTGTACCAGATCATGGTTCGTATCCCGATCTGGCGGTCGTTCATTCAAAGGCAAGCCATGTGTGTGTGTGTCTGACCAAAAGCGTTATAGAGGGGCTTGAAATACGTCCATTCAGCTGGAGTTGTTCACCGCGATCTCAAACCAAGCAACATCCTCGTAAACGAGAACTGCGATCTCAAGATTTGCGACTTTGGTCTGGCCAGACTGCAGGATCCTCAGATGACGGGTTACGTGTCTACGAGGTATTACCGTGCTCCGGAGATTATGCTCACCTGGCAAAAGTACAATGTTGAGGTCGATATCTGGAGCGCTGGGTGCATCTTTGCCGAGATGATTGAGGGCAAGCCTCTCTTCCCCGGCAAGGATCACGTTAACCAATTCTCCATTATCACCGAGCTCTTGGGCACTCCTCCGGATGATGTTATTAACACCATTGCGAGTGAGAATGTGAGATTTCCCCCTCATCTCCTCTCATTTTCCACTTTTTTTTTTTTTTTTTTTTTTTTTTTTTTTTTTCCCTTCTTTCTCCTTTTTGTTATTTTTTTCTTTCAATTTTTTTTTTCCCCTGGTTCAACTACACTTGCGAGAGGATGTGCTGACAGTTGGAATTACAGACCTTGCGGTTCGTTAAGTCACTACCAAAGAGGGAGCGGCAGCCTTTGGAGGCGAAGTTCAGGAACGCCGAACCTGCTGGTGAGTTTTCCGTGTTGATGCTAGTGAATAAGTCACCGTAAACTAACACATCTTTTTTTCTCCTTCTCGAAGCCGTCGACCTCCTAGAACGGATGCTCGTGTTCGACCCGACGAAGAGGATAACAGCGGCCGATGCGCTCGCCCACGAATATCTCGCGCCGTACCATGACCCCACTGACGAACCCGTAGCCGAAGAGAAGTTTGATTGGAGCTTTAATGATGCCGATCTGCCCGTCGACACATGGAAAATTATGATGTAAGACAAAGTCCAGCCCGATGATGTATTTCTCCTGGGACAGAAACTAAGCTGAGACGCAATCGTAGGTATTCGGAGATCCTTGACTACCACAACGTCGAGCCGGCGGCGCCTCCCATGGGAGAAACGTTCGCCCAGCAATGAGAGAAACCGAGCCTTGCCCACAGCGCCATCCGCCGCGGTCTCGCTGAATCCGTGAGTAGTACCGGCGGGCCCTCCGATCTGTAACCCTTTGCAGGACGAAATAAGACTTGATACCCTGGCTATAATGCATTTTATGTCTATATCTTCCTTCTTTTTCCTGATCAAGGGGTCTTCTTGCACCCCGAATTCGATCGTTCTATGACATGCGACGGCATCTCTGGGACGGGCAGCTACCTGCTACGGTTGCGCGTAACAGTGAGATCGCTAGGGAGGTTTGGGTCGCAAGGAGCCTGGCGTATGTGCGAGATTGCTCTGAACCGGCCGCCGGAAAGCTGCGGCATCTCCTTTCTTTCCTTCCTACGAGATTAGGTTTGATCTGATGAATACTGGAAGAAGAAAAGTAGGTCGCTGGAAGGGAGCGAGGTGGGAGAGAAGCACGGGAGAACGGAGCCTGGGGCCCGGCTGCAGTCGTTTCACAAGACTCCTATTACTGGGTCTGTAATGGGGAGTTTTCTAGAACGGCTTCGCTTGATCTTTGTATTTTCTTTTCTTTTCTTTTCTTTTCTTTTCTTTTCTTTTTTTTTTTTTTTTTTTTTTTCTGCCTTTCTAGTTGCTTTTCTTTTTCTTCTCCCTTTACGTGTTTCCTCTCAGATGCTCCCTCTCACACTCTCTCACTTACAAAGTAAACGGCGTCATATAGGAAAGAGGAATGAAAGAGACAATCAATAGATACGAGCAATGATGAGCAACCAAGGCTGTGGAAAGGCAAGGAAAAAAAGATGGCGGTGCTGCAGGGTTCTTCTTTTCCAAGTTCCAACTACGTCATTTCCTATTTTGTATCCTACGAAGCATGGAATATGCGGAATGGGAACAGGTGTATTTCTACTGAGCAGATTATATTGATCATGAGGGCGCCAGACTTACTAAATATTTTTCTGGTGAACCGGGATTCCATGGCTGGCGCTCGTTCGTCTTCCAAGTACTTCGTCAAAACTGGCGGACGTGTGTGATGCGCAGCGGGAGGAGCCGGGTTGACGAGACGCCCAATCGTTTACTGTTGAATATTCAGCGTAAAGGCCGTAATGTGTAATGTACACACAGCATTGTCGGCTTTGAACCGAAATAAATTGCAATCCGCCCACATGCCGTATGCCACATGCCACATGCTAGATGCAAATGCGAGGCCACGTTGGCAGGGTTGCCGCTTTTTTTTTTTTTTCTTTTCCTCTCTCTTTGCGGCGGGGGTGGGTGGGAGTGGGTGCGAGGGTATGTAGTTGAGTGGATATTAACATGACGAACATCGAATGCAAGTTGGGAATGCGTGGCGGATGGAGGAGGGAGTATATGTACGACATCTCCAAGGCCTATAGAAGAGATATATCATACTGGATTATCACGGACTGCATTAGGAGTTGCCATTGAGTTGGTTTCTAGAATTCTCAGCGAGCAATGGAGTTGGAACGGGACTTGATACGCGGTCGCTGGAGCCATGCCTGCGGTTCGTACTGGCTCGGCGAAGGGGTCGCATCGATCTGACACCTCACACCTCACACCTCACCTCACAATTTGCAGAACAGCATGGCATCGTGTCGCTCGTCCCCTTTTGTTGCTGCGGGTTACCCTCGTATGGTAATACTTCGTACATGCCAGCGCTGACATCCGTCTTGGTCGAGTCAGGCTACTCTTTGAGGGTAATTGGGACTCGGTCTACTCCGTACACAGGTAGATACTGACCTCACAAGTGGATGTCACGAAGCGATGGTTGGGACAGAGAATGTCATCGGCGTGGGATCTTGATTGTCTTGACCGCCTCTCTGACCAGCGTCAGGGTCAGCACCAGGTCACGGCGGACAGCCTGGACAGCCTGGACAGCCTGGTGAGAGCATTTGTCTTTTCTACTACTTTATACGAAGTAGTTTGTCATTTATTTCGAGACCTTCCCCAATCGGTTTCACCTTGTTGACCACGTAGCCCTCGATGTCGGCAGACGCAATGCTCTGGCTTGCGAACCGATATATGACTGGCCGACGTAAGAAATCTAGAAGGCCATCCGATTGGCTTGGCAAGTGAAGCCTTGTGCATTGGTGGAGAGAGGATGATTTGGATCTGCGATTTTGCGGTTAGTGCATTGCGACTATTCACCACGGCGGCTTGGACCTGGGACTGGACTGGATTGAGACGGACCAGACGCTTGGAGTGCCAAGCCCGGCTGGTCCATTTTCGATGCTAAATTGTAGCGTGGACTTCTGGACTTAACACTTAACTTCCGACTTCCGGGAATAGGAATTTTTGTCTTTGCTGGGCATCCCAGCGGCTTGTTTTCTTCTTCTTCAATTCCTCACACAGAGATCGGAGATTCTCCGATTCTTGCAGCGTTCAGTCGTACAAGCGCAGAAAGTGAGTACTGCAATGTCTTGATTGACTTTGAGCCAGACTCGATGTCAAATTTATCAAAAATTACCCCGCAGTTTGACAAGTTGGCGAACCCCACCAAGTACAGTTGTACAATTGTACGATTGTACAATTGAACTATTACTGCCTGTTGCTGGCTGCTGATATCAATTGATCATCATCTCCGAGTGGAAGGTGGAAAAGGGGAAGGGCAACGAATAACGGACAACGAACAACGGACAACGGACGAGCAGCTTCAAGGTTTGAAGCCGCTGAGGAATTGAAGATCCAAGTGCCGATAAGCTCAGGGCAGCATCTGGCTGGCAGCTTTAGTCCATTTGTTCTTGTCTGCTAACGCTAACTGCTTGTTGCTCGTCTCTCTCGCCAGTCCTCAGCGTTCTCGTTCTGCAACACGTCCGCTCAGCGAATCCGCGTTCCTGATTCGAATATATATATTTATTTTTGAGTGGGCGGGCTGGACAGCTGGCGGCACCAACACCGAGATCCCGATATCGAGACCTCGACTCCAACTCGCTGATACCCCAACACAACACCACGACCTTGAATTTCACGATTCTCGCCTTGCCTTGCCTCGCCTCGCCGCACCACCTCATCCCCTCCAACCCGCCGGCCTTTTCTCGACGCCACATCCGTTGATCATAACCCCAGGTCATACGCTGTCGCTATCATCTATCGCTGTGCATGCGCTGTGTGCCGTGTGCCACCTAATTCCTGTCGTATATCCAGCCCGATTCTGCGATTCTGCGATTCTGCCACGCCAGCTCTGCCGTATATTTTTCTTGTCCCGTCGTCTCCCGACCCGCCTCGTCGCATGTGCAGAGACCTGCCCTAAATCGATTATTTGCCTACGAGCCCCTTCTCGACTCGGGGAATACGAGCGAATATCCCATTTACCACCGCCTCAATCCACCCGCCCACTTCTTATTATAGAGAGGGCGAGGCGAGGTCTGCGAATTGAAGCACCATGGCCGAACCCAACCCCTGGGCCTCACCCACCGAGCAGCGGTTTAACGATGAGCATACGTATACGGCGCCAGCTACCGCAGACTCCCCCACCTCAGACCAGTCTCAACCTCAACCTCTGCCTCAGCCTATTGACACCTCTTCTCTCTCTGTACCCCCGACACCTTCCATCCCCGAACCCCTAACTCCCTCGAGGGTCGGCTTTATTCCGCTGGTTACTGTTGTCGATTTCCACCACGCCAGAGGCCCCGAGGTTGAAAGGTGGTTTGGTGCCCCTGAGGATACGGACCCCGCTGTTGACTATGGCTGGTCCCTGTTGCCTTTCATGGCGCTGAGCGATGGCGCGCATGCGTAAGATTGCTTCCCCCGCCTTTTCTTTCTCTTATAACTAGCGCACAAGTTGGAAGGTTGAAACCGAATGCTAATGTAAGGGGTGTGCCCGCGTCATTGCACAGATCCGAAGAAGACTTCTCATACTTTACTCTCCTCCGCCCCGAAACCCCTGCCGGCCCCGCCACCTCCTTGTTCGGCATATCATGCACTCGTCAGCTCGACGCGTCCCAGCTCATCAACCGCCCCGCCGAGGTGACCCGATCCACCGTGCAAAAGGCCGTCGTCATCATCGCCGACAGTCCCCAGGCCTTTGGTATGCTGAGGGAGCGCCTGAGCATTGTGACCAAGGCTTGGTTTGCCCAGCGCGAGTTCACCGATGTCGAGATCCTCAAGGGCTTCCAGGAGAGTCTCGCCGATGAGAAGAGAAGGGGTCTCATGAAGCAAGAGGAAGAGAGCAATGACCATAACCTCGGGATGAGCTTGAGGGAGCTTGTGCATGAGTTTAAATGGCAGTCCTTGGTTCTGCTCAAGGCGTGTCTACTACAAAGAAAGGTACGGCCCACCACAACCGGTTCCAATCCGGAGTCGATAGGGCTCTCTCCCTCGCCGTTGTATATCATGCCAGTCCAAATCGCATGGCGTGACGGCAAAAGAATGGACGGCGCTAATTGACGTATAACAGATGCTCTTCTTTGGATCTCGTTGCGATCGGCTGTGCATGTTGCAATTTTCACTCATCTCTCTAATACCAAACCTTATTCGAAATCTCCAAGACTGCGCCGATCCAGACCTTAACGAGTACGAGAAGAATCTGACACAGCCGACGAGCTTACGGACGAGCGATAGAACTTCCCTTCTTCAGTACATGGGTCTCCCGCTCCAGATCTTTGGCAAGGTAGGCATGGCTAGCTACAGACCCTCTGACGATCCCACTAACTCCAAGTCAGGGGAGCTTGTTTGGTCCGTACACACCTCTGCAGCAATTAGATATTCTCGCAGACTTTGGGACGAAATCGTACATTGTTGGTAGCACCAACTCTCTTCTTCTTCAGCAGAAAGATCGATATAGCGATATCCTCATCAACCTCGACGAAAACACCATCAACATAACCTCTCCCTCCCTAAGGTCGGCTCTAGCGCTTACGGCGTCGGACAGGCGGTGGATAGACTACCTCACTCAGGAGGTGAACGAGACTTGGGACGAGGCGAACCCGAACCGACCGACGACGTTGAGATATGTCGGCAGCGAGGAATTCATCCGACTGCAGTTCGAAGAGTACATTCTCGCCCTCATCGCCTCCGTCAAGTACCACAACTATATCAAGAAGAACCCCGACGACGGCAGAGTGCTATTGCCTCATATCGAAGGTGACCCGGCAGCCGATTTTGGACTTGAGTGGGTCGAGACGTGGACGAAGACGGAGAACTACCGTATATGGAACAAGAATACCGACTCTCACCTCTTTGACATCGTAGATCCCAAGCACCCTTGCGCCGGCGGCCTCACGATCGACGACGTGCAACGGAGGATAGCTGAGCAGGTCAAGGAGCTCCACCTCGACGAGCGATTCGCCCAAGGCCGGGAGGCACTCGAGCGGAACCTAGCCTTCGGTCGCGAAAAGGCCTCGACCATGTTCAACAAGATCTATGCCGACATGGAGGCCTTCCGTGAGGCGCAGCGCAAGAAGGCCGAGGAAGCCAAGGCCCAGCAGGGTAGCAGCGGTAGCAGCAACGGCGGCAGGGGAGCCGGGGCGGGTCAGCAGGCGGCCTTCACCGGCGTGGATCTCAGCAAGGCCTCGCAGACCATGCAGTCCGTCGGGTCCAAGGCGGGCGCGTACGTGAGCAGCTGGGCGGCGTGGGCCGGCGAGAAGCGCAAGGCTGCCGGGTGGGGCAAGATTTCGTCGCCCATTGGCACCGGCGGCTGGGGTCTCGGCGGCGGAGGCAAGGCTAAGGCCTCCGGGGAGGATAACGGCCTTTTAGGTTCGCCTGTGGTTGAGGAGAAGGGCGGCTATCAGATGCTCGGCTCGCGGAACGGGGCGGGGTCGAGGCTGTCGGACAGCTCTACGGCCTCTACGGGGACTTACTACGCCGATAGGGATGATCCCCTGAGCGGTGGTGGCATAGGTCAGAATGGAAGCAATGGGGCAGCAGTGCCGCAGGATGGTTTTGTTGCCGTGGAGAAGCCCGGATCTCCCGTGAAGCAGGGGACAAGTGAAGCCGGTCCGAAGAATTAGGTCGCCAGCAGAACACCAATGCTTAATTTAAGTTCTGGGACGGCACATGCGAAGTAAGAGAAGAGAAAAAGAAGGAATAAAATAGCAAGACGATAGCGAGGGAGAAGACACATAACAGGACGGACTGGACAGATGACGTCCCTTTATACACTAGAGAATCTCTGGATGTTTGGACCGCATTTTGATCTTGGTACAAAAATGGTAGATGGCATTTATTGATGCTACTAATCATGAAGGTTTTTACTAGTACAACAAATAATAATGACGAGGAATAGGAGAGGAGAGCTTTTCGCCAGACTGCTGGGGAGTGAGAGGGGAGAGTGTTTGTTTACACAGCAAGAGAGAAGAGGTTGAGGCATGCGGTGATTGGAATCGACGTTTGTTTTGGCTTTTCTCCGGCCTGCGGCTGGACCTCATGATCTTCTTTTTCTTTATTCTCCTATATTACAAGGGAACACAGAACGGGAACCTGGTAAATCACAGATACAATCCTAACATAGAGAGGTCAATGTCAATGTCAGCACTTTTTTTTTCTCCAACAAAGTCGACAGAAAAATGAGGAAGTCTTCTTCTAGTTAATGAGGTTCCTTGATAAATCCTCCAATCAACCAACTTAAGGCAAAAATCATATAACTCTACCGACCCATCGACGTCTTCCCCTCTTGAAAGGGTAACAATACATAAGAAATATAATAAAGAATAAGAATAAGAAACGAACTTTATTCATCTCGACGAGGTGTAAAGGAAAAAAAAAGGGAAAAGAAAAAGAAGCCATCAAAAAACCATGGGCATTTACTGCCCTTGCCCATAATACCATTCATTCATTCATCCATTGCCGGCGCGCCAGCCCCCGCTATTCCTTGAGTGGTAAACCCTCCTCTACCATCACCGATGCGCAGAAGGTATCCGCTTTTTTGCCCGCTTCTTCACTATGTTCAGTTTGATATCTGCATCTGCTCGTTCATTTTCTGTTTCTATCTCGTTCTTGTTTCTCTCTCTCTATCCACTTGTCTCCCGACGCCTGGTAAAGGGAGGACGGCGAAGTAGTGGTGAGATATATGGGAGTGGGTATGCTTGCTTTGACAAGCAGAAACTACGCTAGGTATCCCAACTCCTCGTCGTCGAGACGTTCCAAATATTCCTTGTCCAGGAGAATTTCTATGCACTTCTTGATGTCTGGGATCTTGGGATTGAACCTCGACTTGATCTGTGTGATGGTCTCCGACACGAGCTGCGCGTGCTTCATCCTCTTCCTTGCCTTCATGATACGGACCATGGCGGACTGCGCAGAGAAGTGTTAGTAGAGAAAGGGGAGAAAAGAGGTAGACAAGCAGGGGAAGGGGAGAAAAAGAGTAAACTTTACCTGAATAAGAATCTTTCGGTCCTCTTCAATGGTCTTATTCGTCTCAGCCTCCTCTTGCTTCGTCTCCTTCACACCTCCTTGGTCAAGCTTGATTCTTATCTTCTTGCTCCTGAAGTCGGTGTTGAGCTTAAACGAAGCGCCCGACTTCACCTTGCTTCCTTCGGGGGATATTAACAGCACCTTGGCCTTGAGAATCGTTGCCATGGCCTGCTCTAACACATCGGGGTTGAGCTGGGTCGTCGCCGCAATGTCGTCGTAGCTATATGTGTCCCGCTCGTTGAACAGGAGAAGAATGGCCATCTGGTATAGCGATACTTGGAAAGCGTACGGCGTCTTGGTCCCTTTGCAGTAGTGCGCCCTCACCTCACCCTTGCACAGGTTCCAGAGCCATGTCAGCTTTCGGCCCTCGTGATTCTCCTTGTAGAATTTGTAGAACCGGTCAAAATCGGCGGCAATCTCGGCGGGAGGGTTGAACTTGGTGGTCGGTGGCTGCAGGGGCCAGAATCCGGTACCGAGGATAGAATATTGAGAATCCAACGTGGATCCACCTCCCTTTTCTGCCTCTTGGTTGCGGAAGTTGGTGTTGAGATCTTTAGAGATTTGCATATCCTGGAACATCCTCTGGAGCTTGTTAGTGTATTCGAAGCCGCAAGCCTCCTTGAGTTTGCTGATCATGCTAGTCTCAGCGTCATCCGATGACGAGTTGCCATGGACAAGTCGGCGAGCCAGCATGCGAGAATAGAATTTCTGGAATACGTCCTTGTCTTCAATGTATTTGAAAACGGTCATGATTTGCGTAAGAGTGGCTTCAAGCTCGGACTCCTCAACACTGTTGCCACCCTTGCGCAGCAGCACATCGGTGTACTTGGCAACGAGCTCGGGAGACTTGTTGGACCCAGACTTGCACACTTCGTTCCGGTTGACGAATTCCCTGCAGGCATTATCCAGCGCCCGAGTGAATTCCGGCTCGTCGCAGAATGCCTTCTTCACGAGAGCCTGGTACTTAGTGTGCGTCTCGAGGAGAGCGTCCACATAGACCTTTGGCTCGAGCTTCTCGGCCTCCGAGGCCACCTTCTGCACAGCAGACAGGCCCGCCTTTCGAACATGGCTTTCAAACTTTTGTCGCAACGGATCCAGTCCCTCAGGGATCCGTGAGAGCAGTTTGTACATCCGAGCCATGTCCTCTTCGCGGTCGTTATCCAGTAGGACCTGGAACTCGTCTCTCAAGAGCGCAGAGTGCTCGGCGATAAGAGCCTGATGGCAGGTGTTCTTGAGAGGTACAGCAATATCCTGGTGGAGATAGGTGCGAACTCGCTCATCTTCTTCGTCGAGCCGCGTCTCGGCCTTCTTCATGTACTCGACAATACTATTTTCGTTGACGAATTGCTTCGACTCGGCTTGGTAGAATTCGGCTGTGGCCTTGAGGAAAGGCTTCTCGAAGTGGAATCGATAAACATCTAACGTCGACTTAGACGGATCGGTCTCATCAAGACCCAAGGAGACAAAGGAGTCGACGACGGCCTTGATCTGGCTGTGCTCAATGGTCTCGCCGTTTCGTTGCTTCTCAACGAGCTTCAAAACAGCGTCCATAACCTTAGTGTGAACTTGCTCGAAGAGAACCTGGCGCCACTTGACCAAATGAAGGGTATACACGTCGTAAATCCCCTTCTTTCCCTCATCCATCTCGCGCTTGACCCAATGTCTGTTGAGGTACCGGAAGAGATGATGAATATACTTGGCGGCAACGGTGTAGCGATCCCATTCTTTGATATAGAACGAAAGAAGAGCTTCATCCGTATGACCCTTAGATTGTTGTACGAGTTCCTCAAGATGGCCCTTGAGATACTCGATGAGCTTGTTGTAGAGGTCTTCCCCAAGAAGATGCGCTGCATCCACGAATCAGTAAACGCATGTCATAAAAAAAAGGTTACGCTTTGTTGTACTGGTGTCTCACGAACCTCCTTTGTGAGCAGCATTCGGGTGCCCAACCCCTGTCGACGTGCTCATAACCTTCTGTGAGGTACAGAAGTTGTGAACGGCGCTAGAGAACGAAAGTTAGATCGGTCAGAGGAGAAGAATCGGTGGGTGCGTATTAGGTGGAGGCGCAAGACGTACGTGTAAATACCAACATACTACAGGTTTCACAAAACAGAGTTAGCAAAGAAACTTGGATCGATTATGGCAGGATTATAGCAGGAAGTGGGCGACCAAAACAGCGGGTAAGACTCACAATCTGCATGTCAATGTCTTGGGCGTGCATTACTCGAGAGATACCCGCTTGCAGATAATTCCACCTTCCACAGAGTTGTTAGTCCAAATGCTCGTTCAGTTTGGGACGGCCCATTTGCTCCCGATCTTTGGGAGGGAAAACGGGCGAAGCCGAAAAGGACGAGCGCTTACGTAGCTGCAAGGTCCTCCTTGTTGGGCTGTGGAGGCATCTGAATTGAGGGTGGCATCTTGTCGGTTATCGGAGGAGATGCTTGAGGGGAAATGGGTCGAGGAATCGAGGGCGGATATTCTCGCCGACTTGAGACTGGACGTGAGAATCGCGCAAGTTCTAGGTCCACGAGAAGGATTAGGCTTCGCTGTTTGATTCGAACAAGAGGGGTATTTAAGATATAAAATGCCCGGTACCAACAAAGGACTAACCTCAGGCCGTGATTAGTCGCAGGGTCCTTGCCTGGACGCTGGTCTCTGGGAGGATGCGACGCGAGTGAACCGCCCGTGGGGTACCAGGGGAGGGAGGGGGGAAGAGAAGAGTATTTAGATTCCAGCTGAGACCACTGCCAGAAAATATCGGCAAGCCTGCTGCTAGGGGACTCAAGAAAGACGGCTGAAGGCGTCGAGGGGATCGGGGGTCGCTGGGTCGGAAAGAAAATGGGCAACGATCGTAAGGCGGCGTGACCCGCTATCTCCCAAAAGAAGGGCCGATGGGGGTGAAGAAGCAGGCCGGTGAGGGACCTCAAATGCAGGTTCGCAGGTAGTCGAGAGAGGATGAAAAAGATCCAGAATAGGAAAAAATATACGGTCGCTAAATTTTGGTCGAGGGTAGAGTGGTTGATGGTCGTCGGATTCGAGATAGTTGCAAAGGCGGGAAGTGGTAAAAGGTATGTTGTATGTATGGAGCGTCAATGAGTTTATAGTTGGACGTTAATAATTAGAGTGTCTGGCGTTCTGGTTTCTTGAGGAAGGCGAGCCACTCGAGGCAGCCACCACCAAATGTGGATCTTTTGGTTCTGCCGCATCCCACCGCCTACTTCATCTTCTTTCCCCGCCAACGACAAGACTCTATAATTGTAGCCTTGCTGGTTCCATGGAACAGCGCGCTCTTCTGGCAGCTCCCAGTTAATATGCTATTCATTGACCAAGCGCTTTTCAGAACACTTCCAACGCTTCAGGTGAGCCTAGGGCCGTCGATCTACAAGCGCGGAGTAGCCATCGTCGGAACTCGAAGTGATGTCAAATGTATTATAGTCCATCTGAGTATCACTCGAATGCGGCAGAGTCGAACAACCTCTAGGCTTCCACTATCTACCCGCAGTACATGTTGACTCGGGATCTTTCTTTCCCTTCGTCTTCGCTGGCAACAAGGAGAAATCAGCTGCTGCCTTGTCTTACTCTTCGACACTCCTCGCTCGGACCCCCGGGTGAAACAAGAAGTTTGCAAGAGCTTACGAAGTAGTATTCAGGAACCCGGACGGCGTGAGTACAAAAAAATAGAAACAAAGTACGAGATGCTGGGGACAAGGCCTAGACGTAGGCCTGGCTTGATTTTGGTAGAAAGAATAGAAGCTATCTGCGTGTGTAGTGTACAAAATAAAAGGGTAGAGTAAGAGACTCTCCGTCTGCTTAAAAGACTGTGTGTTCCGATTCCCATATCGATCCGACCCTAGCCTGTTTGCGCCCGCTGATGCAATCAAGTTACTATACCGACAAAGATAAAACAAGACAGGAAAAAAAGGGAACCCAGGTAAAAAAAAGGAATGAAAGACGAGTATGGAAAAAGAGCCGGTCAGGTACTGTTACACACGACTGGTTTCGTTTTCACCTCCGCCCAAGCGTTCGACCGCGCGGAAAATGTTGATAATAAATGTGCTTATCCATGCCACGAGACCCAAAACCATAAAGGCGGTTAGAGCCTTGGAGAGCTGTCTCATGGTTGCATCAGCATCTCTAATGTTATGATGAATTAAAACCTCGAACGCCAAGGCCGTACTCGCGGACTTGAACACGATGAAGAAGAGATCGAGAAGGATAAGCCCAATTTTGGCAGAGGCAGGCCGTAATCCGAGAGGTTTCCCGGTATATTCATCCTTGATCATGAACGCAATATAGGGAATAGCGACGGAGTCCACCACCGCGGCAGCAATGGCCTGGCCACTCTCGGTACTCCTGTCGGGGTCATTTCGCAACAGTCGAAGCATGGTTCCGGCAATGGCCAGCGCAATAATCGAGGTAAGCATCACGGCAAGGCGGGATGCGAGGGGAACTAATGAGTGTCGAATAATCATCTTCCACAGACGTCGGTATAGGGTCATCGCCCGCTCCCTTCGCGAGCGCGCCTGTCTGTCGTGGGTGTGTGACGGCACATCGATTCTCTCGTTAAAGTTAGGTTGTAGTTTGTTGAGTGTTTCGATGTCGACAACTGTCGATACTTCGTTCGGTGAGGGAGGTCGACGGGACGAGCGAAAGAAGTCGGACCATTCAGTCCGCTGCTGGGTTCTCGGCACGTATCGCGACACGATCACGGGCTCGGCTGTTCGTAGGTGATCCCACTTGCGTCCTTCGGCGCGGCCATGCTTAAAGAGGGTCGGTACCTTGGTTTTCCGATGGGGCGCACTCTCCAGCCTCGGGTCGGCCCAGCTAACAAAACCATCTCTGGATATCCGCCTCTCGACGTCGCTAGGATTCGAATTGTGGTGGGATGGTCGGAGTTGGGGAGGTGGGTTGAGGAGGCGGCGTTCGTCTTCGTCTTCATCGTCGGCTTCGTAGGAGACAATCCATGCTGCGGACGAGGTCTGAAGTTAGTGAACGCAGACTTGGTCAATGGCCCGCCAACGCCGGCCGGCCTTTCAGATAGGCATGTTGCATCGCCTGTAGGTGCCAAACACACTCACCTGGCAAAGTCCTTGGCACCCTTTGCCGAGGAAAATGGTTAGCCGTAGCAGTACTTCCACTCCTTTGCGAACATCGCATTTCAGACTGTCCCGAGCTACCCGGGGGTTGGCCTATGGAAATCATGGTTTGGGGATCGTTGGACGCGACGGGACCACGTCGGTGGCGATCGTCGGGTTGTCGAGGGTTGTCGTAACCCCTCTCGGCCTCACCGGCAGACGGGTCAGCCGGAGGGTTAAAATCTCGCGGTGGGATTCGGCAGTATTGAGAACAGTGAATCCTCTACGCGATACATGGGGGATAGCTCGTCTCGAAATAACCAACAAATACTCATACAGTTTCGAACAAGGGCGAGAGAGCGGATCCTCGAAGGCAAATTCTCGAAAAATAGGACGGGGTCGTAGATGTTGGGGGCTGAGCGGTTGAGGGTTTTACGGCTGAAAGGAAGGAATCACGGTTCCGGCTCGACAGGGGAATATTAGTAGAGCATGCTAGACGAGAGACTTGGCTGAGGACGAGGCGCAGTTCTCATGCCCGCACCAGTCCATACAGTCAAGAGGGCGTTTCGCGATCAACGTTCGTCCGGGGTCGTGTGGTTGAATCGTGTCGAGGCGGGTACACAAAGGGGAGCTGGTAAATAACGGAGCGCTAGGGTCTGGTACACGGCGCCGAGGGGGCAAAAAAAAAAAGCGAAGAAAGGAGCGGGAAGAATTGAAGGGTAAAATGGTTGCAATCGAAGTCGAAGTGAGGCCCCCTTGCCCGATGATAAAGTAGGCAGCCGACAAGTCAATGTGGCTACGGTTTAGGAGGTGAGAAAAAGGGAAGAAAGAGTATCGACAACAAGTGACCCTGATTCAGATTGACTTCGAGAGAACAACTCCTGTTCATTGTAATATCAATGTTTAGTATAATGCACTGAGGTCATTTCATGTCCTGCTCAAATTGCGGTTTGGCGCTGGGGCAGATTACCACGGGTACATCAGGACAACGGCTCAAGCCAATTGGATGATGAGCCTCACAGCGTAGCATCTACCTCCCTGGATCACGCTAGTCCGCAGCGCCCCAGTCGCTTCGTGCATGTAATCGATACATTTGATACATTTACTACACTCATACATTGATCGGGTCAATTGATTGATGTCTTAGCCTTCCAACAATGGGCAAAACTAGGCGGGGTTTTCCAACCAGGCCGCCACGGGGCATTGTCATTGACTGACGTTGGCGGACTCGCCTCAAGCTCAAAGACCTTAGGTCGATCTTTAGCTGCATCTGACTTGGAGTCTCGAGGCCCGCTCCGTCCCCCACGAGGGCCGAAAATGGAAGACTCCCCAATCGATGGAGGGGCTCAACAATTGATCAACCAAATGCGTGTAAATGGACGAAGTGCGCAGTACTCCGTACTCAGCTTCGCAGCATGTTTCGTAATCTAGTTTAGTCGTTTTTACTCCGTCAGTGGTTTATTAGGCAACGGCGGAATTAGTTTAGTTTATGTGGGGATATGAGCTAAAGGGGGGCCAGGATTCGATGGGTTCCCTCTCATATTTAAGCTCCCAGCTGGACCGGGTTATCAAAGAAATCGTGTACATTTTCCACCATCATCGTCCGGAATTGAAGGCACTCGAGTTCACCTAAGTACCACTAAATCCCTGTACAGACGTCACTTATCAGCATCAACGACTGCGAAGTACGAAGTCCGAAGTACTCTAGTCAATCCCTCAACTCCCCGAAGCAAGGTAACTACCAAGTACGAAGTAGTGTCCGAAGTACGAAGTAGAATTCACACATTACATACACGGTATACGAAGTACTTCGGATCCAATCGCACTGCATAGCTGCTTGATTTGGCGTCATCCTGGCCTCCCATAGGCTGGTCCCGAGCATATAAGACAGTATTATTCATACAGTTCTATTCATAACCCTTGCCAGGATTTTCGTCCGTGATTTGCGACGCGGCTCCCGTCGCTTGTTTCGTGCCTGCCGTCATTGGAAAAACTGAAGAATCATAAGAATGACCCAGATCTCACCCACCTTCACCCACCACCACGGACGAGTAAGCTCAGTGAAACATTGATTATTCAATTTTTCTCCCCCTCATCTGACCTCCTGAGCTACGAGGTTCCTCTGCTGTCTTCACCACCTCGACTCAATTCCACCCAATACCTCCGCGTAAAATGCGATAGACCACCTTTCTGCACCTGCGCAATCGTCATCGATACGCCATCCCCGAGAAAACCCTCACACCCCGGCGCCGCAACCACATTCACGAGACAAACGAGGAGAGAAATATAAAGCCCCCGCGCCGCGATGCGCTTCGTCCTCCTCCCAATCTCTACGAAACGGACGCTCCTCTACTGTATACGCAACAGCGAGGCGACGAAGCCGCGCAACAGTCTCGTCGACAAGGTTACCGCAAGGGCTGCTAACGTCTGGGCCGGCTGGGAGCGAAAAGAGAGTGGGTGGCAGCGCAAGGTCGTCGACTACGGAAACCATGCTCTGAGGCGGATACCTTTCCAGGAATGGGGGCTTAAATCCGTACCGCCGCTGTCTTCGCGGCGCCAGAAGGAGCTGCTGAGCAGCGGGGAAAAGGTCGAGCTTAGCTTTCCCCCTTCCGTCATACCCCCGGATAAGGCGGAAAAGGTTCTACATACATTGGGCACGGAGAGGGAGGCGCTGCACCGCATGAGACTTATGTGGTGTTTTATCGGGATGCCCATAACTGCCCCCATCGCCTTAATTCCTGTGTAAGTCTCGTCGCTTTCTCAATCCGACCTCTGCACGGGGGCAGAAAGGGAGAAAACCGCCGCTAACGACTTTCAGTGTGCCCAATATTCCATTCTTCTACCTGGTATATCGCTCCTGGTCCCACTGGAGGGCTATCAAAGGCGGGCAGCATGTTCAGTTTCTGCTGAAGAACAAGCTCCTAACCGTCGCTCCTTCATCCATATTAGATGAAGTATACACGGCGCCTAGGCTCCCAGGAACTTCCTCAAAAGAGACCCAGCAGTCCAAGTCGGAAGCGACTGAGAAGGATACCGACACGCAATCAGCCGAGCCTGCTGGCAAGGTGTTACTATGCCATGACACGGTGACCAAGTTGAGTAAAGCCTTGGAACACCCCGAGATTGAGGCCGAACTCGAGCGGGCAATATGGCAAGTGGAGCAGAGCAATAAATCGGACAAGCCCTCGAGCACCGACTCTAACAAGGGGTCTAAGGAGTCCTGATGCTCTGCCCTCCCATACCGCTGCAGGTGTGTTCAGGTTCGGGCCCCCCCACCTTCAGAATCAAGATCCCCTTCCCTCCTCCTCCTTCTTCTCTCTTCCCTCTGTATGATAATCATGGCGGTTGTTCTGGTGCTTTGACGTTTGAATTCGGGTGTCAGTTGAAGCACAGCATGTATGAATGATAGACGATCCACGCACGACTCAAGTATTCAATGTTGGTGGAAGGATATAGGAAAATAGACGAGGAGAGAAAAAAAAAAAAGGCACGAATTTAATCTTGCAACTCTTCAAAGACTAAGTTCAAAACTGGGAGCATCTTTCTCTAGCTATTGTGCTAAATTGTCGGTGTGGTTTGAAATTTGGGGAGTCTCGCTTGGTCTCAAGGCAATATCAGCCATCCACCAAGTCACCATCTCCGAACAGGCGAGGTGCAAGACGAAAAATACCACGAGTACCTGGATGGCTTGCAAATCATGGCCTCGGTCATCGTTCGGCGCCAGGATGGGCACCTCCTCGTGTGCGCCTACTAACTGCCTGGCACCGCTCTCGGCGAAGGCGTGTGAACGAGAGTCTCCGCTGATGTTGATACGGCAGTCAGCAAAGTCTCTCGAGCTGGCTTGGTTGACGGATAAGAGCTCAACTCCCGGGAAATCAGAATTTAGAATTTACCGTTCGATTCTTCCCTGTCAATCTCTCGGGAGTTGGTATGCCTCGGGTAGTCGTAATCGCGCTCTCTCCATGTTCGTCGCCAGTTTCCTCCGTTTCGTCCGCTTGCATGACCTCTCCCTCGATGTCGATGTGGTTTTCGGCCAAATTGATCCCCTCAGCCATTTTCCGTTCAACCTCTTCTCTAAGGGTCAAGTCTGGAATATCCAGTTCTTCCATGGCTATGTCTTAGGAGATGGCATCTTCGGGGTAAGACAATTCAGTGTTAAATCTGGTTTATTGCCTAGGCTTCAGGTGCAGGTTCGCACACACAAACACGCACACGCACACACAATTGGGGGTGTCAACAGCCTCGATATGCTTCTGATGGAAGTATACATCAATGGTTGGCATTCATGACTTTCCTCAGATGTGCAGAGCACAGATCCTATCAGTAAGTAAAGCCAGGTTTAGCAGGGCTTGGTGCGAGGGGAAGAAGCTTCTTACCTTCAGATTCTTCTGAGATCGTGGTATTTTAGTGGCGTGGTAAGATATTTAGGAGAGAGTTAACGTAAGATAGGAACTGTTGATCTCTCACCTGAGTGGGACTTGGCTCGTGAGAAATAACTGCTTGATGGACGAAGGAGTGAGTAGAAGATCTTATGATCTGGTTACTGTAGCAAGACTGCAAAGAGAGTGTATCACCACTTCCTATTGCTCCAGTCTTCTAGCATGAGCGGGATGCTTTCATCTAGGCTTGTTAAGCAGGAAGGCACTACCAATCAGACTTCTGCTTGTATTCAACAACAATAGTAGGTATCAATATTTTACTTATCCTGGGTTCTCTTCTGGCTTCTACAGCAAGACAGTGTAACCGGATATATCAATGGAAGATAAAATGTCTTGATTTATGTGCTAGCGGCCTGTGCCCATGCAACAGAGTTCCAGGAACACGGTTTCCAGGAAGGGGAAGGAGCCGGGAAACATATCTGCAACCAAGCGAACGACAGCAAGCAAGAGATACAGCCGTCCCATATAGCTTAATGGCCTGTAAAACCCGCCACGGCCTTGGAATTATTGCCTCCTGATGGAAAATTGGGCAAAATCAATTGCTGCGGAGAATCTGGTGTGTATCATTCACGGCGCGCAAACAGAGGGCGTTTGCCCAACAAAACGAAGAGAAAAAAGGACTAAACTTTTGACCGGCCACCTCCCACTATATATATAGAACACTCGCTTCAGCATGGCTCTCAAGTACGCCGTCAACTCCTGGTGTTCTGGGATCTAGCCATAATTCCCGTATATCATCATAGTAGTGCTGGTGGGCAGGAAGAGATTGCTGACCAGCGCTGACCCTCCTTTTTTTGTACCAGTTCAACCAACTCCAACCAATTCCTCCCTGATTAAAAGATTCCGAATAATAGGTTTGGGTATTCCCTAACGTGCGCAGCAACTCGAAACATAAACGACAAGAAACAAGAGCTCAAAACCCCGAGAAACAGGTAGTGACTACCAAATGGGGGATGTAGGTCTTCTAGAGCAACGAAGAAAGAGCGCAGAGTGCGTTGTGTGGTCCGCGCAAGAAAAGCATCTTCGCAGTCATGAAGCCAGATTTTGTGCTATAAAACAGGAAAGGACATTGTAATCGGGACGTAAAAGCGTTCGTGCAGAGTAGCAGCAGCAGCAGCAGCAGTAGTAGTACAGATTGAGTCATGTTTGGAGGGAATGGTTTGCCCGGTGATCTCGCCTGACTATGGACGTTGCGACAAGAGGACCAAAAAGTCAGGGTTGAGGCTGGCACACCAGTCTCCCCCTTCACGTTCAAGACTCGGGCTCCTCGGTGGTGGGTTCATCCGAGAGTTTTGCCTTCTTCGCTGGAGGGCTGTCCCTCACCTCGGGCTCAGGTTCGGGCTCAGGCTGTGGTTCGAGCTCAGGCTCGGGAGATTTTGGGGGAGTACCGTCGGTCACAATAGCAGTTGCAGCTGCTGCCGTGGCGGCAACAGAGGCCGCAGCAATAGCCGCTGTTTTAGCCTCAAGCTCCACCTCCAACTCATCCAAGCGGCGCTTCAGACTGTTTTCCCGTCTATGGCTGTCATCCAGCTGCTCTCGGAGTTGGGCTTCTGCCTTCGTAATAGCCTCTAAATCGGCGCGAAGCTGGGCGACCTCGTGCCTAGACAGTTCCTGTTCATGCTTTGCATTGGCATCGGAAAGCTCCAGCTGTTGTACTCGGTCACTGTATAACTTGTTGATAAGTTCCAGTTCCCCAACGCGCGTATGAAGGCTTGAGTTCGTCGCCAAGAGCTGCTCTGTCGAAGGTGGGGTGGAGTCGCGACGGTCTCCATTCAGGGGCGACGGCGCTCGACCAGCAGATCCATACGCCGCAAGTGATGTTGCGAGCGAAGGATCTTGTATCGATGGGAATCCCGGTATCCCTGTCGCCGTGTACAAAGATGGCGTGCCGGTGCGCGAAATGGGAGATCCGGAACCATTTGCGGATTTTCTTCGCGCGGCTTGGGCCGTAGCTGCCGCCGCAGTACTTTGAACATCGAGTCCATTCGGATCCGTCGGATTAGGAAAAGGCTGTGGTTGGACCTGCTGTTGATAACAAATATCTGGTCAGCATTATCCCTAAGCCAAAGGATATCGCAACGGACCACTGAATGCGCAACCCTACCTTCTTCTTGGACAAATCTGGCCGCATGCCCGCATTCTTGACTCGGTTCCGGCTTTTGATTACATCCGTTTTGAGAGATATCGGTCGTGGGCGGTTATGCAACTTCAAAAACAAGCCGCAGGCATTACACAGAACGGCGCCGAACTCATCTCGACGCCAGAGGGGTGTTGTCGAGGTGCTGCAGTTATGGCACGTAGGCTGGGAGGTTTCACGGTTATGGTTAGCTGGAGTGGCCATTGTGTTTTTGCTCGACCATACGGAACAAATCAAAGGGGTTAAGAGAATCGGAGAGAGCTTTGAGTTGGGTAGGAAATGTGGTGTCGTTGTTGATTATGTGGAGGGGGAATTGCCCAGTTGATAAGATTTCGGCTTGAGTGCGACAAGAATTTCATGCCAACCCACCCAGTCGATTAGATCTTATCAAAAGGTTCATCCAGATTGGAAAGATAAGGTGAATCACGTGATCACGTGCAGGTTGCATCTGGCCTGGGCGTAGTGGGGGTTTTCTTCAGGACAATGAATGAGAACGCCGATCTCAAGCGTCCGGCAGTAATTGAGTTGGATGAAGGGGGTTTCACGGATGGAAGAGTTATGTGCGCTTGCTGATACTCTGAATAGACAGCATTGGGGTTGAGATCTGATAGTGTTTTGGGGGGGGGGTTCTGGTTATCGCATTCAAGGAAACAAAAAAGTGAAAAGAAAAAAAAAGAGATAAAAAGAAAAAAAAAAATGACGTGGGTTGGAGAACCGAAAAAAATTGGGTCCACTGTGTATTCATCCAAGCTGTCGTCATAGCGCGCAACTTCCGCCGCCACGAACACGAGGCCAACAGATTCCCTCAGAACGAAAAGAAAATGTTATGAGAGAAGATAAAGTTATACTTACAAGAGTGTTTCCACCTCCGCCTGCGGTAGCTGCAGGAGACGAAGCTACATAAGGGGGTGGAAGATTTGCAGACCTAAGAACGATGGAACAAAAGACGGGAGGGATATGTTAGCCATCCGATCTAGCTAGGCGACAACTAGGACATAATGGCGATTCTACACGTCTGAAAAAGGATAGATACCCAAGGGGGATGCGTAGCAGAAACTAAGCAGCGAAGCGAAGACACGGCTTGGTTCCTGACGCCAGAGGATATCGTTGATGGAGATGAACCCACGAGCTCGCGGGCGACGGCCAATAGGTCTTATATGTGGAAGGGGAATCGAGTCCATGCAGTCGCATCGGGTTTCAAAGCGCTAAACATACCTTATCTGAGGGGAATTCGCTGTCGAAGTTGCCGAAGCAAGTGACGAGATGCTAGGCAATTGCGGGAGAGAGGAAGATGTCGAGGCGGAGCTTGGTCGGGATATTGGCTCGAGGGTAGCCGGGGGGAGAGGGAGAAGTTGCGGTCCATCCTCCATCACCAACTGAGATGGAGGCACTTCTCGTTCGAGTATCCGATCCGAGACCGGAAAAGGGAAGACGGTGACGGGGGGAGCGGTCAGCGTGATGGATAGAGACAGCGGCGATCGAAAATGATGGCCGCAAGCTAGGAATGAATGGGGCCGAAGGATGTGATCACGCGATGCTTGACACAGAGTGACACTCGCAGCAGACAGTCGCTAGGGAAAGAGCCGATAAAGTCGTCAGGACGCGATCGAATTGATGAAGAGAGCGCCAGAAAAAAAAAATAATCGAGGAAGATGGAGCTATCGCCAGAAAATGGGGAAGAAACGACAAGGAAATTAAACAACAAATTCGGGTCCAAGTAAACTAGTTTGACTTATCAGATCTAATAAAGAAGAAGGAACAAATCAGAATAATCAATAATCAAGCTATAACATTAAGGTGTAAATGGAGGGCGTCGCGGTTGAGGATATCATGGGTCTCTTGCTCCGGAAGTTTCCAAGATGCAGATTTTTGACCTGCACGTAATCATTGCCCACTTCGTACTTGTACACTTGCACCTCTCTTTCTCCTTGACTGGTTCTTCTTCGGAGTTTCCCAAGGTTCTTGAGAGGTTGATGGCTAAATTTTTCTCTTGGCCAAAAAAATAAGATTGCGCTAATAACATTACCACCCGTGGAGAAACTGGCTTATGATTGGCCCAGCGTGGGGCTTTCAAGGGCACTAGGACGGAACGTCCTCTTCAGAGCCTTGCTGGGATCCGCTTGCTACTTGCTGTCTTCCCTTTGCTGAGAACACCAAAAATCGAAAACGGATTCATGTTCGAGTCCCATAAAAATGCCCTTCGGTTTTATGACGGTAAACCGCAGCGGCGGAAGGTGCTATTTTGAGAAAAGGCGGATGAGTTCGGGTTTTCAAACCCAAAACCACCGAAGATCTAAACAACTGCAGGTAAGAAGCTAAAAGTGTTGACAGTTGCCGAGTCTTGGACAAGAAGCTTTCGGAGTTAACGGGCACCAAGCGCGAAGGTGGACCTCTTCCTTAGACATGGGGAAGGAGGCAACCAAGTGAGACATGTCACCAAGAAATGGTTACCTGAAGTACGAAGTAAGAGAACGTCCACGCGTCCCGAATAATATTCCCAATATGTCCAGCATATGCGACGTAGGAGGTAATGCTCGGTCGTACTTTGGCCCTTCTTGAAAAGATGGCGATTTGATGGTAACTGGATGCACTAACATAGGATGACGGGTTGCGAACTTGTGACTAATCCTTCGTAGCGAGTGGATCAGTTCAAAAGGAGCCAGGCTGCTGGACTGGTAACGGCAACTTGAGGTCTTTCGCGAAGATCTCGGAGCTGCGCATCCTTGGGACGGATCCGTGGACGAAAGGCGGCCTGGTGTTAGACCCCGAGCTACTCGTACTTATAGCAGAATCAAATCTCCCACCAGGCACACTTTAGAGCAATAACATCAGATTGACTTGGCCAAACACTCAAGTTCAAAATTGATTGATCTCGTGCACGGTCAGGGCCCCACTGAAGCGTCCAGGGTCCAATCGCCCCTTTCGTGAGTGGCGGTAACCCCGCCAATCCTGATTTGTAGAGACTGACCATCCTGCCCAACTATGACCTCAATGGCATTGATCAGAGGGGCGGCCTAATAGAATTTCACCACATCAATCGTGCCTTCCTTCCTGCCTAGCACCTAGCACATGCCCAGTTCCTGGAGAAGGCGGTGAATCAGGAGTTGAAAATTTAGTTTCTTCTTTTCCATCACCACAAGGCTCGGACGACTCTTTCTTCATTTCTTTACACTCCTGGGGACCCCGCTTATTTCTACCAAGTACAAACAATAACCCTCGTCGTACCCACCACGCCTTGGGCGCTTCCTCTCTAACTCTGAGATCTTGACTCACGCTTTCCTTGCCTTCTCCCCTTGTCGACCCCTTCCTTGAACGGAATCCAAACATCGGAAAGGCTATCCTTGGTAGAAAGAACGCCGCGATCATGTTCAACTGGGCGAAGCAGCAGTAGGCGTCTTTCCCGTCTTAGCCTTCCCCCCCCCCCCGGGCCCTTCTTTGGCATGCGAAATATAATCTAAAACTAACCTTGCCCTGAATTCTTCGGAAAGGCTGGCAAATGTCGCCGGTATCCAGGAACCCATCTACGGCCCTACCGCCATCAAGTCGGTTGCGGAAGAAGCGGCAACGGTTCCATATACCGAGCTCAAGCGCGACGACTTAAAATGGAGGGCCATGGACTCGACCTCGGTGGAAACGCAGACCTTCTACTTCATGTCGACTAGCGGGCAGCTCGGTTGTGCCCAGGTCATCTATAGTAATGTGGTGTATGGAACGCTCCTCAAAACCAAGCCCGAACTTTTTTCCTTTCTTACTTGCAATACTAACCCATTCTCCAGTGGCCTCCATGTTACCTGCCAGTTTACCGCAAAAGTCTTCTCTCGCGACGCCTCGATACCCCACATCTGGTCTTCCACCCAGCTCTCCAACGTTGATTTCAGCGATGATAAGACTTGCTTCTATGCCGACAACTGCGCCGTCGAACTGTCCGAAGATGGGACTACGTACACGATCAAGAGCCTGGCTGATGAAGGTTGCATCGTGAATCTGACGGTTACCCGGACCACCCCCGCTATCCACGCCGGAACAACAGGTACCACTCTTTTCGGCACCGACTTCACGAATCCCTGGGGCTTGATGAGACATGCCTTCTGGCCTCGATGCACTAGCGAAGGTACCATCACCACCCCAGATGGCCCGATCGATTTCTCAGGCCGAGCATTCTACGTCTACGCCCTGCAGGGCATGAAACCCCATCATGCTGCGTCGAGGTGGAACTTTGTCAACTTCCAGGGCCCAACCTATTCCGCCATCCTCATGGAGTACACCACCCCTCCCTCTTACGGTTCGACGACTGTCTGCGTCGGCATGATTGCGAAAGACGGCGAGATTGTAAGGGCTGGCTGCGACAGTACTGCCACTCACCTCAAGTCCGCAGGCGACCCGGTGAACGACTGGCCCGCCCCCAGCGAGGCCAAGTTTACCTGGTCTGGCAAGACGAAGGATGGGAAGGAACTTACCGCCGTCCTCGAGGGTGCACTCGGTGAGCGTCTTGATAGGATAGACGTCATGGCTGAAGTTCCTGGATTTGTAAAGAAGATAGTACAGACCGCAGCTGGAACAAAGCCATACGTGTATCAGGTAAGTTCTATCATACCCCACTTGCTTGTTTGACCTCGAGTGAATAGCTAATATTTGAATGTCAAGTACTCCCCGCAAGTGAAGCTTACTCTTAAGCTCAAGCTTGGTGAAGAAGAGATCTCGGAAGAAGGTGAGCTTCTAACAGAGGCGACCTTTATATCAGAGTAGACATGTTGGCTCTGGTTCTGTGTCCTGTACCTGGGCACAACTGGGGCTAAGCATGCGGCTTACAATGGCCTTTTTTCTTCCTTTGGTACTTTTGAGACACTCGACTTCTTCTTACGTTGGGCTACAAATGGATTATTACATCTTATAATAATACACGGGACAAAGAGTCCCTTTAATCGTAACACTTTTTTTAATTCGTTCAATAGAGAATTTTTGTAACCAACTACTGCTTCCATACTGAAAAGGTTTCGTATTGCCATCAATGTCTTATTAGTGTGGTCAGAGAGAAACAGTAGCGGGATCTGAGTAGATCTAGCGAATTCTGGGTTTTGCAAGGGTAGAAAAGACCGCTGGAGAACCTCGGCGGCTCGTCGTATCTGTTCGATTCCAGACGACAGGACGACTAGAGATGCTTCTATCTTGTCCGAGGGTAAGAGAAGGGGGATGAAAGGGAGGATTTTAGGATCAAATACGCCAGAGAAGAGGTATCAGAGCGCATTGCAAGGTATACTGTAGACCGGTGAGTAAGACGCCGAGTATACACCGGCAGGTTCATCCAATTCCACTCAAGTTTGATAGGGAGATCGAACTCATCGAGAGCAAAGATGGGTGCGTGGTTAGCTTCGCTGTTGAGTGGGCAGAAGGCGCAAGGGGGCCGGAGTAGAACCCGCTCACGAATGATCATGAATGATAGATCCAGGTATGTAAGCCGGCGTTCGACCCGGAATTGACAAGAGCACAGGTTGTACGCAGCATTGAAAATTGGTTATACTTTGTGTTCTTCCCGTACGATAGCTCGGTCTCACTCGAGAACTTAAAATTGTAGCTGACGTCAAAGGTATGTCGTGTTTGCAGCGGATGTTGGGATTTAAGTGTTTTATCTGTTGGTGGGTGTGGTCGGAGCCTAAGTGGAAGGAGCTCCCGGATGCCAGACCGGACCATCCACGTGACAGACAACAGCGGCCCATCTCTCACGGCAGGCTGCCGGCACACCCTCTCTTTCTTTCATTCACCATTGTTTACAATTAATCTTTGTGATTGTGATTATCGGTCCTAGACATTGTTGCATCCACTAAGGATTTATTCAAATTGTTGTTATCGATCATTGATATTAGCAAACTATGCCTCCTACCTTTCAGAGAGGAGGTCCCTCAAGGGGCAAAGGCACCGCGGCGCCCATTGTTTCTGGAAGAATGGGCGGCAAGGGCAAAGGCTTGATTGCGCCTCGACGACACCAGTATGTGTCCTTGGAGCTAAACGGAGGACCATCGACTGACATCCCTTCAAGCAGGGTTAGCAAGGACGCCCTCAAAGGCATTAGTAAGTACTATCTGGAAGCGCCGTCAATGGTGATTCTAGTCCAAGAATCTGCAGACTGATTGATGTCTTCTCTTCCACCACACCAGCGCGGCCTGCTATTCGGTACGTATACACCCATCCCTTACTTCGCTCTAACCGAGTATTTTGGGCTTTGGTGGTATTGTGATTTAGTATTTTGCTGATCTCTGATTTATTGCTAGTCGTCTTGCCCGCCGCGGTGGCGTAAAGCGCATTTCAGCCACCATCTACGATGAGGTGCGAGTGACCCTCGATAACCGCCTGCGCGCTGTAAGATCGACCACATTCTCAGCACTTTTCAGCGAGATGGCTAACATTCACTTAGATAATTAAAGACTGCGTTCAAGTCCTTGAGTATCGCAGTCGAAAGACAGTCACGGTGTCGGATGTAAGCTCCTGTTCATGTCAACCCTAGCCCCGCTTGCCTTTTGCCCCTCAAGTGTTGGTCACGAGCGGTCGCGCAGCTAACCTTTTCAACTCTCCATAGGTCCTCTTCTCCCTTAGGCGCCTCGGCCAGCCCATTTACGGGTTTGATCCAGAGACTCATGCTCCCCCGTCTCGAAAGGATCCGAACCGTGCCATGGGCAATTCTCAAGGAGCCTAATCTCCCCCCGCCAGCAGTTGCCATGCTGCCCCATTCCATCTTCAGTCCTATGGCCGGCGATTTTTGTTGGAGTTAAACGGCGTTGAGATGGGTTTTCCTAGCACTTACGAATTATGACGAATGAAACGATACCAGGCGTCTATTTCTTTGGGAGGTAAACAGGAATCACCGACATGCGATTAGGGATTAAGAATGGTATATGCACACCGAAGAAGAGAGACGGCGAATACAGGTACAGGACCGCATTGAGAAATAGGATTCGCGAGAGAGTTTAACACGTGCAGAGAATGGAGAACGGGCTTATTTAAAGCCCGGGGTATATTCATCCATCCGTTCGTATCTCATGAGCCGACTATCTTCTTTCATCTCTTTTTCCTGCTACTGTCGAGATCCGCCAATACGTCGTCCAACGCTTGCGTCGCCCTCCTCTCGCGCTTCCTGAACGAGCCATTAAACATCTCGGGGAGGATCATGGTGCTGTTTGCGTGTTCTTTCGCGAATCCCACAGCGGCATCCTTGCCGCACTTCTCCCTCGTCAACTTGACAGCCCTCCTCAACAGGCTCATTCCCACCCCTTCGCCTCGGTGCGGCTTTGCCGTCGTCCAGGCCTTGATTACGCATCTTCCCCCTCTCAGGCTAGGGTGTCGACCCTTGCGCCTACTAAGTGAGGTAAAACTAGGCTCTAGCCTCAGCACGAGAGCCCCGATGATTTTATTTCCCTCGTGTGCTGCAAGGACAATGTCTCGCCTACAATCCCCCGAGGCTACCCACGAAGGGATGACATCTTGGGCGACGCGGATGTACCCCGCCGTAAGGTAATAAACGGCAGCAAGATAGGTCGCCATCAGGAGGGCACACATTAAGAAGGGTACAGCGAGATCTCTTCCCCTTGCGCCGTAGGAATAGTGGAAGGCGAGGCCCATGGAAGTCACGAGGCCGCTTAAGCAGAGAGGGTGGGTGCCGAGGCCTATTACTGCTTCTTTGCGCTGTTCCACGACCGATTCGGCCACAAGCTGGAGGGCGTCGGTCTTTTCGTCTTCATTCGTGAGGATTTCGAGGGAGAGAGGGGGGATGTCGTCGAGTGGCACGAGAGGCGTGTTTGCGCCTAGCGGCGAGGGCGAAGAGGGGACATAAGTGATGGTGGGCTCGAGGAGCGGCGTGTTAGTTTGGGACGAGAGAGCCGAGTGGTTGAGAGCAAGGTTGGCGCGTAGAAAAGTAAAGAATGCTGTTGGATGGCAATGTTAGCTGGAGACGTGGAGCTTGGAGAAAATGCAGAGACGGGAGGCTGTTGGTCGTGGGAACAAGCTTGATTTGCCTGCCGATAACCCGCGACATGCAACATACGAGGCTAAGAGCTCTGGAACCGGAGTTTCTCCCGACGGGTCGTCTACCCGAGGCCAGGACAACAGAGCACCCCATTCCCGAGTATTTTAGAAAGGGAGCTGTTGTCCGAGGCCAAGGACAATAAGACAAGACAACGAACGACATTGCCGCCGGTCAAACGGATAACGAAGCGCACGTGAGGAAAGGAAAGATCAGGCCTTACCAGTACTTGTTTTCAAGGCCGGTACTGAATTAATTTTGTCGACTATCGAGGAAGGGTGGCAAGCACTGAGATCGAGTTCCCGGACCTGGACGTGGCGGTGAGATTCCATCACGTCCCAACTGGTCTGGACCAAGTCGGGTGTTGTTGGTCGTGATGGTGGGGCTCAACAGCCTAACAAATTTTCCTGCCCTTCGAAAATGGATTACCAGAACCGCCTGACCGTCTGAATCGTCTTGCCTCGAACACAAGTCGAAACTTGCTTGCTCAGTCTGACCCTGCTGGAACCCGTATTATGTGTACAGAATTTGCTCGAAGGGAATTTTGAGAAAATCCCATCTATACAAATTCAATAGACGGCACCATGGGCTGATGTGTGTGTGAATGCGTATGTTTTGGTCGTCGGTAATGGTAAATCGATAGGCCGAGGATTTAAAGTGAGGATTTTAGCAAGTCGACTTAGACGGACGGGGGTATACGCAATGGATATATATCCCCACAACTAGAAGAAATGACAATATGACGAGGAATGCTCTGCTTCCCACAAAAGATTTTTCTTCTTAGTTCCAAGACAGGCAATGCACTGTTCGTTGTCCGGGGAATGTCCGGACTAGGTAATAGACGGGTTGGGCAAGGTGCAAACAGACGTTCCGAGTGGATGAAGATCACTGATCAGTGATGGGTCATGGCATTATCGTGGGGCCAGCCGCCGATATGAGAGAGAAAAAAAAACCAAAAAAGAAAAACCGAGGACTGATCTAGTGTGGCAGCAGAGACCATATCTATACTTTGACATGAATGCGGGCGCCCTATCAAGACACGACACAAGAAAGAAAAAAAAAAAAAAAAGAAAGAAAAGAGAAGAATAAAAGTAAGTACACGCCTTCTTGCAGCACGGTACTCACGCCAACGCTTGCGTGGATGAGCGCTTTCGTCGAAACCAGCCCTCCCTTTCGAAACATGCTCCTCGCCTAGTTGGTCGACGATTTGGTCATTCCTGACCTTTTCCCACCATCACATCCAACCCGTCCCTCTCTGTGATGGGCTAAAGCGGCGCCCCCGCCTCCTCCGACACTCTGGTGCCGACTATGCACATGTCTTTGCGCCCGATAAGACGACAGGTTGACCGACCAATGGTGTTTCCTGGGCGGATCAACGAACTCGGGCAAAGTGTGCATCAAGATCCATGTATAGCTCTGGTGTCTGTGGATACCCTCCCACTTCAAAATCCAATCCAATCCAATGGGTTGTTAAAAAGAAACGCGAAGCCAACGGCAAAGTAGCGTACGACTTGAGTGGTTGGCTCGAAAGAGCCCGGACATAACTCCCTGCGGATCTGCGCTATCCGTACACTAGGAAGTGGGTTAGCTGTCCGGTGGTGTTTTCTTTGGAGCTACTTTCAACGAATATGCAAGAAGGATCCCCTCCGATTCCCGATGCAGTTAACCTCTGGCGTCTGTTGGTTATTTTGTTTCACACCATGCAATTTTATTGTTTACTCTCATCAAGCGAATCTAAACTAGACTACACAGGTACGTTCTCATGTCTTCGACGATAGTGTGGTCGTAGTGTAGCGAGGCATATCTGCTGCACGTTGGATGCATGTCGGTGCGGCTGTTAGAGCAGGTTTGTGAGAGTGGGTGGGTTGGAGCGTGTTTGGGAGCATCAGGCAACGCCAGTCCCCAGACCAGGAGCACGACGTTTCTTGTAGTGAGTACTTGAACGGAAGACGGGTTTGCCTCACGCTGCTTCGTAGTTCATACCCCGCAGTTTGCTTGGATCCGGGACTGAACTGAGTTTACACTATCACTTTGCACACGTCCATTGCATCGAACTAGGGACCCGTGACAGATAGACAGACCGGGGGGCTGGTCCTTGGTGTGTCGGTGAGGTGGGGTTCCTATTGAAGGCTGGTACGTACGAAAGTATGGAGTGTACTCTGTACGAAGCCAAGTCTGGCCCGGAAATAGAGCCATGAGCTTTTCTTGGTAACAACTCCTCACGTTAATATCGAGGTTTATGGCGCTCGACGACTCCGCAGGACGATGCCCGTTGATCTGTTTACCCAGCTTGGGAAGTGCATGTGGGCAGACTGTCATATGGTAGATCGTTCAACCGACAGGTTTATGCAAAGATTCGGATCCTCTTGGAAATGTTAAAAAAAATCAAGGCCAGAAGAACATCTAGAAAAATACCAATCCTTGGGTTCTAGCGTATCAATAGACCTGGTGCAGCTTCATTCTGAAACAAGGATTGCCTCTTCACAGTTCTTGAGTGGAGGCACACGTCCGAGATGCGCGCCGGGTGGATTCCGTTGACTCCACCATGCTGCAGCACGCAGTAAATCGTACGAAGCAGACCAGCGCGCTGAGATGACTGGATGAGAGGGTATAATCTGATCGAGCGTACGCGCAAGTGCTTTGAGAGATGGCATTTGAGCTCGGAGCGAGTCGTAAGCAGCACCTGAGGTTGACTCGGTTGAGGAAGTATAGCCGTAAAGTAATACATAGGAATGCTCCTTTGTGTGCATTCTCTCTCAGAGTCGATGCGATTGAAATAGCTACAAATTATTTAGGTCAAGGATCAATCTCGAGAGCCCTACTAAATGTAATCCCGCAGCGCACCACCATGGGTCGGAGGGGGTTCTTGAACAATCGACCTTTGACTGTTTGAATATCAGTCTTCCACAAATCAGGGATTGACGATATGTCTTCGTCCCAAGGGATCTGGCTGACGCAGCTCGGGGCACTAAATGCATGGGTTCACTCCAAGGCCGTCGGCGATTTCGTCAGACCCTCCCAGACATGACGACGATTTCCTGGGGTTGGTCGGGAAAGTCTTAACTGGGTACCCCGGAGCTTGATGTACTGCGAAGTCCGTCCTTGGCAAGGCGTTGACATCGAGCACACCTCGTTTTGAAACAACGCAGGACACCCCATCCTTGCTCCTGGGGGACCTCAGATCCGTACGATCAAATGTCAAGAAAGGGGTTCAGAACCGTGTGGCGGTATCAAACTGGTTTTTCTCGGCCCTCCCCTCCACTTGCGTGATGTGCATAAGGATCGCTGGGTGGATGGCGCCATTGGCACGAAGCAAAGACAGTTTTGGTGTCCCGTTCGGTGAGAGACCTCCTGGAAAGACTAAGCATTGTGGCTCGATGCTCATTTCATTCTTACTTCGTCCACGCTGTCAGATTTGCTTCTGCCACGATGGCTGATGGTGGCGTGGCACAGATGATGGAAAGCTGTGGTGGGGCTGGAGAGCTGCTTTATTAGCCGGTTGAGTTTTACAGTTCTACTTCGTCGGGTTCCTTCAAAACGACAAGAACGTTACAGAACAACACCTCAACATCGATGTTGTCCAAGCTTGGAATTGTGCTGCCTACATAGGCTCTATCTCTCTTAGGGCCAAGCATCCCATTCCGTTGCGGTTCATTGCGATTCCTTGCTTACTTGTAGTTCTTGATGAGGATTTCCTGGTTCACCGGAAATGCAGCCCACAACGCTTACCGTCGCTCCTCTTGGATGGCCCATTGCTCGGCCGATATTAGAGATTACCTACAGTTGTTGGGTCATCCTTACTAGATATTCGGTTCGTCGCTCTCGTTCAAGATACATTGTCGGATGTCAAGGTCGACTTAGAGATGGGGAGAGTCAGGTGTGCTGAAGGGCTTCAGCGTTCGACAGTTGTGGCGGCTGAGATGCTCAGATCACACCGCTCCGACTTAATCTATATCCACGCATTGGGCTGATTGTCTCAGTGCTGGACTTTGACACCGTCCGGCTGCCGCCTGTCCTCACTAACAAGCTGTATTATACTGATGCCTGGTCCTGCCGAATGTTCGTGGTAGAGTGGTTTGCGAAGTAAGAGGAATTCTCATGGTTAGCGGTTCAAAGCACTGCGTTAAGAGATCAATTGATAAACTAATTTTACCTTCTCCTTGAGCTAAATACACTAATTAATTAGTTTAGAATCGAATGCCTGGGGTCTCATAGGGCGGTGCTGTGGCTGTGCTCAATAACTTGACTGTCCTTGTTGTCTCTTGGACTGGTGCAGTCTTCAGCTCCTTCTAGTATACCTCGGAGTCGGTTCGAAACTTATGAGTACTAAACTATATATTTTCCTGGCCAATATTTCAACGCAAGGCTTGGTCTCGCCCAGTGGCAAGACACAGGTAGGATTGGATGAGACCCGATTATGCTGTGCTCTAGGATAAGTACGGCGCGCTGCCCGCAGAAAGCTGACGAGCAGGCTCGCATTCCTTACCAAAATGGACCATTCGAAAATGTTAGCCTGATACGTTCCCCAAGTTGGCATCTGGTGACAATCGTCATTGGATGTTTTTCACAGCCACAGAGACCTTAAGTACTCGTTACACCCTAGGGTAAAGCCGCCGACACAGGTCAAAATGTAAATGTACACTCTCATTTTATCTCAACAGCCTGTCGGGCAATGAGTGAGGAAACTTGGAGCCCTCTACGAGTACCCGCTCTGTCACCCTGATCTTGTCCATCCCAGCATCGACCGGCGCAAATTGGTGGGAGGGTCTGCAAGGGCGCACAGAATCTACCTCGGAATTACATCTTGGACGTGATCAAGAGGTACCGGACGGACAATTGGAGTTGTAGGACTCAATCCTCGATCTCTTGAGGTTGTATTCATGTGCCTCCATCGCGCTACTCGTCACTGCCTTGGGTCTGCCTTGCGCCTCAGTCTCATCCTCACAGCCGATTTGCTCCGCTTCCACCCCGGAAACCCCACGATAGTCTGCGCAGAGATTGCTCGTTCATTTATCAGAGGGAGAAAGGTCGAGGATCAAGACGGAATTCAAATGCCGGGAAAGGTCTTGATGTCGGTTGTTTCCTCGTTTCCAATGGCTGTGGGAGGCCCCCAAGTTAGTGTACAAAGTGACATATCAAACTGGATAATAAACGTGGGAGCCTGTGGTCTCGCCGTTTCCCGTTGCGGTCCTGTCCTCACCAATCCCCAAGGCAGTAGTAGCACAATTGCTGATTCTTGTTACCTGTGTGGCACAAAACTGAGAGCTCAGCTCAACTTGAACTCCTCGAACGCAACGGGATCCACTACTTGTAACTGGGCGCCTCACTTTTCTTGTGACCTCTCCTGCCGTTTCTCCGCTTCCCGTTTCCCGTCTCCCGTCGCCAATTCCCTGTTCCCCATTCCTTGACTTGCCAGGTGGAGGCAGTGAGCCAGGTTCAGCGCAGGAGTGCATGTCAAGCCAGGTCCTGTCCCTTTCAATTGTTCCCCCTTCGCCATTCACCGTTCACCCCCCACACTTCCCACACTTCGAACCAGCTGGCGTAATCCGACCCCGCCGCCGCCGACAAGGAACGGGTGAGAGCTTAAGTCCTAGCTTGACAAGTCCTAAATTCTGGTCTCACCTCAACTCCAGGCCCCAACCTCGACCTTGACCTCGAAAGATCTGATCTTCAACCCCTCCAATAGTCAAATCTTCCATTGTCCCCGCTCCCTTTGATTCTCCAGATCCGAACTGAAGAAACACCAAAAAATGGGCAGAGGTTACATCACTCATTGTTCTTCCTAGATCAATCCTGTTCAATCTTTTTGACTTTGCCTTTTTGACCTCCCCTTCTCTTCTATGCCCTCTATTCCACTAGCTCGCCGCCACTATGGACCTAGAAAAACCACGCCTTTCGTTGTCTATTGCCGGCGACCAACCGGCTTCTGGACTCTCAGCCCTACGGCTTTCTACTCGATCTCCTTCATTCAGTCGCTTAAGCCTTAGGCGATCAAGAGCTTCGTCCATCTCTACAGCTTCATCTTCAGAAATATCTCACGGCGCCGTGTCCTGCGTGTAAGTTTTTATTTGCCTTTTCGTTTAGCGTCTCGCATCTTAGATCTCACACCTGCCCTCACACCTCGCACGACTCCAGTCTCTAGCGTCATGCCTCAGCCCTCTGGCCCCGTCACTCTCTTCCGTCGCCATGTTAGGAGATCCGGACTAACCATAGGAACATCAGAGCCCGAGAGACCTCTCGTGATGACTGCGCATTTAATCGTTTCATGGTCTGGGTTGCCGTTAAACGCAATGCATCTCAACGAATGACCCCGGCCGAGCGCCTCGAGTGTCCATTACTGCGGTGTAGGAAGAGATTTTGTAACCACGAGCTAATGCTCCGTCATCTTTACTCGTGTGAAGAGTTGGAATCTGGCGAGTACTGGTGTTACGAGTGTGGGAAGGTTGAGAACTTCACCGATGCGAAGTGTAAACGGTGCCTCGGTCATCCTACGAAACGCCGCAAGATGCTCTCCATGGCCAAGACCTTCTTTACTTCCCTGGGACACAAGTCTAAGAAGGACGCTATGCTCAACTCACCTCCAGAGGATGACCTAAACCCGCCACCAAGCTACGATTCCTTGGCCATCGAGTTATGTACCACGTCCGAAATCCACGAGATCGATTCGATCGAGATTCCCACTCTTAATCCAGCGCCGCGTTCCCAACCCCAGCGAATCTCCTCCCAAGGCCAACCGCCCAGGCCAAGACCAGGACCGGAACCCTCTCCCTTCCTTTCCATGATTTCGCCCCGGCCCACACCCCCTTGTATTGTTCCTGCCGAGCTGGAAAACCGCATGATGATGAACCCAGCTGGCCCTGACGGCGTTGTCATGAGCTGGATTAATGATCCGACCGCCTACATTCCGTCGGACTTTACCAACCCGGATAGAAGGTCCATTGTGTCTCTTAGTTCTCATACTGGAGACGAACGTCGTGTGAAGACCCGGAGCAAGACCCTGGCCCCTAGCTCCTCGCTTCGGTCAAATGCGAGCAACTCGAGCACCAATAGCACCAACAGCACAAGCAGCACCAGCACCACTGATTCGGCTCAAACAGCGAATACAGAATTTTCCATCTCGCCATCGGAATGGGGAGACGTGTGGCCGTTACCCTCAATGGATGCTGACCTCGACTCGCCAATGTCCAACTTCTTGTATCAGGCAAAATATGAGAGCAAAGACTTGCATCAGGCATCTCCGTTCGGCAGCCCGATGGACGATGATCTAGTCCTGGCAGATGTTATCTCGGAGCTGCCTGCAGACTACCCTCCCTTTAGTTCTCTCCCTAATGCCACCGGTGATCTCTTGGACCCTACTGCCCTTCTGACTTTCGACACGTGCGATCTGGACTCTGGAATGACCCCTACTCTCACTGATCTGGTCTCTAGTAATGGGGGCGGAGATAGCAGCATTACGTCGCCTTCTTCTGCCAGCGGCCCCTCCACGTTCGACTTCCCTAGGTTACCCCATACGGATCCCCCCTTGCTTGTTATGTCGATTTGGGAAACTCTTCAGGCTCACGTCTCTTCGTCGAAAATCAAGTTACAACCTCTGGATACTAACAGTTTGGCTCTCCGTTTCTCGGCAATGGATCCAAGTGAAGTAGTATCCATTGGCCACACCACACTGAACCGATTACTGAATAACGAAGCCCCCGAGTCACCGTTAAGCCTGTTATGTTTTGTCCACATGGCCTATTCGTATTTCCTTGTTGTTCACGAAGAGGATGCTCAGACTTACTCGAAGGATCTCTTCTTACAAGCCCTGAGTTATGCCCGTAGCTTTACCACGTCTTCTGCGAACGAGTATCTTGAGGTCACCCGCACGCTCTGGCAACCGGACAATTTCGAGACATTTGAATATGGGGACCTGCTTTCTCTAGGAATACAGCTACCGATTACCCCAACCCGGTTCTTTAGCAGTACTTCTGCCAAAGGCAAGGAGCGCATGGGTGAATTTGGCTCTCAACCCCAGAAGGTGGATTCACTAGTCGGGGTTGCACAGCATCTCCTTGATGGTAAGAACTCTCCCTTCCTTTTCACACATGCCCAGATTATTGACAAAACAACAATTTATGCAGAATTCGAATACTCTGTTTTGCCCGGAAATGCCCCTCAGATCTTGGAAACCTTGGCCTCAGACCTCTGGACAGCGCACCTCGAAGAATCAAGTCTGCCATGCAGAATTGGAAATCCCATGTTTTCTGTCTCAGTTAGCACTATTGTCGATATTATGCGTCGAAAATTCGACAGCATACCCGACTTGACAGCCGCACTTTCCACCGTCCGCAACAGAGTTACCAAGGGCCAGATAAGCACTGTCCGAAGAGCGGAGCTGGAGCTCTTACAGGCAGCTAATGTAAGTTGGAGATTCGCCCCTGCTTGAATTTCCTTGTGAAGTATCTGGAAAACTAACGGTTGACTAGGGTTCTATTCCTTCTATGGCTTTTATGATGGACTACGCGCCGTTTGTTCGAAGGCAATGCGATGCTCTCTACGGCAATTTATCATTGAGCGCCACCCCTCGATCAACTTATTACAGCCACGCCACCAATCTTATCGAGTCCATCATCACTTCAATTTCTCCTCGCCAAAAGCCTCAAGATCTGAACGACTTGTTTAATTCCTTAACCGATCAATTCATCTTTGATGGCGGGGACCCGTCTCTACAGTACGGCCTGCAGCAGTCCGAAATCGAATCTCCACTGATTGACTCGGGGGCAGCCTCGGTGAAGGCCATATCTAGTGGCCTACCGTCTCCCGAGCAGCAATTACCAGAGCACGTTACGCGCGATGAGCCGGCACAGAATTATGCTCAAGTAAAGAAGTCGGCCGAGCCCGAGATTCGTCCTGAACCCCAGAAGATAGAGGCGGATGCCTGTTGTGAGATTTGCGGTTACAGGCCCAAGGGCGACCCGCAATGGTTTAAGGGTAGCATGGCGAAGCACAAGAAGCTGCAGCACTCCAAGGCCCCACCACGGATCTACAAGTGCCCGTATCCGGGGTGCACTAGTCAGTACAAGAACCGGCCGGATAACTTGCGGCAGCACCAACTGGACAAGGGTCACTTCGTCGATGGGGAGAACGCGAGTAGGCGTCCGACTAAGAGGAAGAAGTTGGAGTAGTGACGGTTTCATCTTCGGTCCCTCCACAAGAAGCGCCTCGTTTTTTGGAGTTTTTCTTATTCTCTCTTTTACTTTTTCTTCTCCTCTTTTAGAGGTTGTTTACTCTCTTTTGTTTTCTTCGTTGGGAAGACTCTATGTCTTGGAAATTTATGGGACGGGGACTTTTTGTCATGATACCAAGTGTTATAGAAGGCGATTTAGGCGTTTGGATGTCTCGGGGCCTGGGTGTGCGGCTCCTCTCTTCTTCGTATCTACTAAGTAGTGCATCACCACTATTATAAATCTTTTCCACATTTGAGATCTTGAGCGCTTGGCTTGATGGGGTCAGCAATGTGCGAAGCCTTGATCCTGAACGAACTCTGAAAGCTCACAATCTGTTGTCAAGACCATATCTGTGTCCTTCGTATTGATTACCGAGTCCGGTGCATAATCAAGCTTGTGTAAGAGACGCCGGGCAGTGCCGAGGCGGTCACAACTCTGCTGCTGTGTACCACGCCGCTTTGAATATGCTTTGGGGTACATTCGTTCGACGCAGCCTTCGAAAACGCGAAAGCACGTGACGTCAGCTTTGCATTTCCGCAGCTGGGGTACCTGGTACTTTGTACAAGAATAGAACAAGCATCCAAACACGCCACGCCACCTCACACAGTGTGTCCATCCCGGCTTTACGCCTGTATTTCGTGGAGGCACAACTAAAACGCTACAGTTAATCTGAGGGATGGCACTGTAAGACTAGGGTAACTAGTATAGTGACTGTCTGTGAAATCTACACTGTGCATCTTGCGGATGAGTGATTGGTGTATGTGACGCGCTAAGAGTGTGCCATTCTGGAGAAGACGGGGATCACTAAGACAGTGTGAAGTGACTCTGATTAGTATCCTTGAAAGTACCGAATACGCCACGCTGACGCGCTGATGGGTGATGTTGTGGTCTTCTTTTCCACGAAGGTTCCAGGTGCAGTGTTAATATCAAGCGACTCCAACGTTTATGGCAAGGCGAAAGTACATGGTACACAGTATACGTCGTCAACGGCTGACCCAAGTCCAGCCAAGGAAAACTGGCCTGTTCAAACCATTCGCCTCCAAGCTGGACTTGGCTAGTGCGGCGGCTTCTCATTGGCCAGCTTACCGTTCGACCCAGTGTTATTGTCAGGCAGCCGGTCGGATTTTTGGGGTCCCAGCACCTTCCCACACCAGCCCAACCCGAAACTTTCCCTCTTCACTCCCTCCACCCTCCATGGTTTCCCCCCCCTTCCCCTTCCCTTTTCTCGACACCTCCCACAAAAACAGAGAAAAAACAACCTGGAAGCCCAAGCCCACATCAACCCACACCCCAGCAGTCCACACCCTCCCCCCCCCATTTCATTACTTCTGTATTCACCCCCGAGGGTTTCCTGTATGGTCACAACGCACCGCAAGTCCATCATCACCATCGCTAGGATTACGAAACCTTAAAGCGACAAGCAGTTATTTCCCCATCGTCGTCCTTGTTACCTTTTCGCGCCTCCGAAACCTCAAGGTCTCTAACCACCCCGGCTCCCGGCTCTCAGCCATCGTCGTCGGTCGTCGCCCTTCCATCATGTCGGCCCTGGGGCAGTCGGGATCCGGCGCCCATCCTGGCTTGACATTCCCCCAGGTTGGCCTCCGACGCTCTGCTGCCTTTCAACCATCCCATGCTCCTCCTCAGAATAAGGCCTCTCCCGTGCCTCACGCCGCTTCTCCCTACCAGCAGCAAGCCTACGCTCCCCAGCAGCCTCCGCAGGCTACGTACAGTCACCATCTCTTCAACCAGGCCGCCGTCAACGGCAATGTTGGCAACGCCCAGACTCGAGGCCCTCAGAGCCATGTGCCCGGTGCCGTCGTCCAGGCGAGGCAACGGGCGGCTCCTCCGCGACAACAAACGCCATCGATGATGTACGGGCATCAGCCCATGAGTCAACCGATGCACAACGATACCATCATGTCCCACCAGAGTCATCCCGCACATCAGACCCATCAGCCTCATCAGACTCACCAGTCTCTCCAGCACCACACTCAAACACATCAGAGTCACCCTTCCCACCAGACTCAGCAGACTCATCAAACGCACCAAACGCAGCAGCACCAGGCGGCTGCTCACCAAGCCCATCAGGCGGCACACCAAGGACACCTGGCGCATCAAGCTGCTGCTCATCAAGTTCATCAGGCGGCCCACCACGCCCATCAAGCACATCAAGCCCACCAGGCAGTTCAGCAGGCAGCGGCAGCGCAGCAAGCAGCAGCGGCAGCCCATCAAGTACATCAGGCCCACCAAGCCCACCAAGCTCATCAAGCCCATCAGGTCCACCAGGCGCGTTCGCAACAGACTCCTACTCCGACAATACCCCCTCAACCCCAGCCTCAGCCTCAAGTTCAGGCTAAGCCGGTGGCCAAGTCACAGCCACCGGAATCTCCCGCGCAGCCTCAGGAACAGCATGTTCCCGAAGCGATGGAAACGGAAACCCATGCCGAGAATGGTGAGGATGAGAATGCTGCTGATGCCAAGCTCGGGGACAACTCTCCGTTTGTTCCCCGCCAGCCTATGGGAGAGATGATGTCTCCACCACCCGAGGGCGGAAGTTACCCCACCTTGGAAGCAGTTCACAAGAGTGTGTTACAATACTGCACATCTGTCGGCTATGCTATTGTTATCGGTCGGTCAAAGAAGACTGTCCCTGGCCTGAAAAAGGTTCTGTTTGTGTGTGACCGTGCGGGCAAGCCGCCTAGTCGCGTCAGTCCCGAGGCCCGCAAGCGCAAGACGTCCTCTCGCAAATGCGACTGTCCCTTCGGCTTCTTTGCTATCGAGCAGCGAACCCAATGGACCATTCGGTACCGCCCTGACCCCCAACATCTCAGACATAACCACGGCCCGAGTGACAGTCCACTCCAGCATCCGGCAGCGCGAAAACTCGATAGTAAGATGGTGGCAGCGGTGAAGTCGCTGAAAGAAAACGGTACGTCTCCGCCCCAGAAGCATGTCTCTGTTAACATTTTTGTCTGACCAGGACCAGGTGTCGGCGTTAGCCAGACGCTCGAAATCCTGCAAACCGAAAACCCCCACGTCCCCCTCCTCCCGAGAGATATATACAACGCCCGAGCGGCTATCAACAGAAACCCGCAAAAGGTTGCTACCGGCCTGGCTGAGAATCGTCCGGCCATATATAGCAAACCACATCCAACCGCCGAGGAACGTATACGAGCCGATTTACGACGAGAACTGGCCAAGACGCGAGAAGAGCTCGAGAAACTTAAGGAGGAGAAAGATAAAGAGGTAGAGGCTCTGAAGGCTACCATTGCTGAGAAAGACAAGGTGATCGAAAAGTTTGAAATGTTTATCGATATATGCAACCAAAGGGTCATGGTACAGCGAGAGAGACTGGCTGAGGACGGCGGTGCTAGGGGTGCTGGCGCCAAGTGAACGGTGAGGACGCATATTCCCTGCCATCAGCATTTCACTTCACCTAGACCGCCCGCCTACCTGGGAGACTGAAACCTGACTTCCTTGGTTCTTGCGAGCAACCCTGCCTACTTGCTTCGTACTACTCGCTCGCTTCTTTATAGCGTCTTGCTAATCCCTCGCTTAATCGGCTGGCTTTCGGCAGGGCAGGGCATCAATGTTCCCTGGCTTCGAGACACTCTTGTCTCTTTGTTTTTTTGTCCATTCTTAATTCTGGGATGGAGACCGGTGCTTCTGGAGCTTTTCTTCCTTTTTTTTTTTAAATGTTGGACCATAGTGGGCTCTTCGTCCTGGGGAATCATGGGGATGGCATATGGACTTGGTATTTATTTTTCTGGTCGTATTGGGGGTTCATGCATTTGATGTTCGTAATGACAGCGCAAGGAGAGCAAAAAACGGGCTTAGAAACCTTATACAGACAGTACTTGCTTTTTTTTTGGTTGCAATGGTCGATAGCTTGTTTCTTCACTCAAAGCGGCTTCGTTTTTATTTCTCCGTTCGGTGTGTGTGTGTGGGCCTCGAACCGGCGCGGGCTCGACAGTGGACTCCTTTAGCCCATCTAGGACGCACGAATGGAATGAAACGCACTCTCCAGCACTCTCCTATAAATGCTTGTTGGCTAAGGCTCTAGTGTAGAGATTTCCAATGGTTGCGAGGGGAATTAAACGCTGTGGTCGTTTGTGGAGCAGCGTACGAAATAGTTCGATTCTTGAATATTCCAAAATTTGGGTCTGTCTGTTTCGACTCCCAAACTTCCGGATCTTTCGATTGGTGATCTTCTCTCGATAGGTGGCAAGTTCGCACTCTATCTTCCCGTAGAATAGTAGTCTATATAGCATAGTGTAAATCTACGAGGTAAGGGCAGCGTCTGATCAAGCAGGGTAATTGCAGATCCCTCACAGGCAAAGAAGAGAATAGCCCTCGAAGCCTGATAACCTGAAGGCAGTTGTAAGGTTCTCTACCTCAGTATAAGATCTAGAAATGACGATGAGTTCCCCTTCATGCTTCATACGGCGACCGCTCCCAACATGATGATTCCACAATCCCTATGATTTGATTTGAGATATCTTATATGGGGAATGATACGGTGTTTCACACTGGTACGAAGTAATAGGCGGCACGCCTGCATATGAGGCTTGTGGATTCTTCCAGGTTACCCCTGTCCTCATCCCCTCCAAAAGCACGGATGGAGTTCTCAGAACCGTTCTTCACCATGTATGTTGATCGTGGTTCACACAAAGTGCACGTACTTGTGATAGTGACAGTATACCTGCGTACACTAATACAAACTGGTATGGGGTGGCAAGATTACCCCTGTGGATACATGATAAAATAACACCAATGCCCATATCTTCACCATCATTCATGTTTCAGTGGCTCATGGTAAGAGCCGGAGGCCCTGATGGCCCCTGGTTCTTAGCGTGGATCGTAACATTTGATGGCAAGTCAGCCTGGAGCTCCATTTATGGAAGACAGCACCAACTGGCTCATTCAACTTCGTACTTTATACTTTGTAATAGAGATGAGGACAGTGAGTGTCGTCTGTAGTGTGCGAAGTAGTGTAGTGGTAGGAGCAAACGGCATCTTTCCAGCTGTCAACAAACGGTTGCCCGTATTCGCTCAAGGGGGGGCCAGCGTATCAAAGCACTGTGTTAAAGATCTGAGGGAGAACTGTTTTAATCGTGGCGAGCTAAGAGTGGTCACACAGTGTGAAAAATTCAACGGAAACATTGGGGCGAAACCTCAGGGACGAAAGTTGAGGCCGATATTACTGGACCGTCCCGTAAGGCTCCACTAACTCATCAGATCCACCCCTCCACCACCTTTGATTTCTCTCCGACTTATGTCGGTTCTGGTCACTATAACAGTGGATACTGTGTAGCAATACAGAAAATGAACCGTTGAATCTCTTCAAGATCAATCAACACCCACCGTCAGGGGGGCGTTCCGTTAACACCAACTGTTCTGTTAGCTTCCGTCCACTAAAAAAACCTGAAGTAAATTGCTCCATCCGTAATAACTATTCACCCCCTTCCAGACGCATGTCGTCGCGCAGGGGGTCACTCAGGTCGCGTACGTAGACCTCCGAACTCGTAATCTTCTCGACCCCAAATGTACCGTCTAGGAAGTGACAAGGGGATATTCTTCGTCCATCTCGAACGGACTTCATAATAGATCCCTTCCTTTTCTATCCAACCTATCGTCCGTGGTATCAAGCATCGGAAGGGCAGAACAACGCCTCTCGGCGCGACATCAAAGACACAAAGCCAGCCGTCCAGGCAAAATTGCATGAACACGACACGATAATCCTCAAGACTCCATACATGCCCGACTTCGATCTATACCTTTAATAGTATTTTTTCTTCTTCTTTCTCTTGCTTGAGCCAACATCCGACGACAGCCTATTATTTTCGAACGGTTTCGTTCTTTGGCTCATTGGCCCTTCCTTTTTTGTTTGTGCCAGCGGACGCATTTTCCTTCTTCATACGGATTCTTCTGCGAGTTCTTCGTTGCTATAGACTAAAATACCCTCTTTCTGCGATCTTCGTTCCCCCCTTTCGTTATGCGATGACCTAGAAAATCCGTACCTATCATCGACAATTCGTTTTTCCTTCGACAATACAATACCTACCATCCTATCAAGATGGAGGTGTCACCGTCACCCGCGAGCCCAGCCCCGAATGGCGTGAGCTCGCCTTCGTTCCCTGCCATAGACCCAAATCAGCTCGTCGACCATCTCGTTGCTGTCATCGGCAGTACCCTCGGTGCGACGAAAGAGGAGCTCGAAAGCCCTGGTAGTCTTCTTCATAAGAGCCGCATTGGCGACACGATTCAAAGATGTTCCCGCTTCGCAGCAGATACCCAGCAATCCCTCTATGTCCAGAAGGATATCGCTCCTTCATCGCCTACTGAGGCTACACCTGATGAATCCAGTATGTGGTGCTTTCTTTCTTGATATCACGGAGGTATCTTGGCATGATCCTAACCTAACAACTCTGCAATAGGGGCTCCTTTCCATACATACACCCTCACAACCGAAATGTCCTCGCTCCCCACGACCGTGTCCTCCCTTGTCCTCCTCAAAAGAGCTCAACCACTCGACCCTGCGCTTCCGCTTACCGCCCAGATACTCATCACCAATCTCCCTGGTCCTGCTACGTTGAACGCGACGGTTGGCGAGCAAGGGCCTTCTACTTCTCCCTACGAGATCCTCCAGTCCCTGATCCATAACGCTTTGGTTCCCTACTTCGACGCCAATACCAAGACCCAACTTACAAACGGCACGAGAGGCCGAGCGGATGTCGACTCGAAGACTGGTATCCCAATCACGAAGAAGCGATGGAACGATTTGGAGCTCAGCTTGCTCCATCTCCAGGAGAATGTCGAGATCCCTCAGGTGTCCCTAACGTTCCATCCCGTCGTACAGTCAGCCCTCGAAGCCGCCCAGTTGGATAGAATGCGACCGTCTCTCGACCTGATCCCGGAAAGAATTTTACAGGATAGTTCGATTCTCAACAATTTACAGGCCAATGTCAACAGCTGGATCAAATCCATTCAGGCCATCACGAAGATGACGCGAGACTCATCGTCCGGTCCGGGCCAGGATCTCAAGTTCACCGCGAGCCAAGAGATCAACTTTTGGTTGTCGATGGAGTCTGCTCTCGAGGCCATCGAGGCCCAGCTGGAGAGTGATGGAGTTCTACTCACCCTGGGAATCCTGAAGCATGCGAAGCGTTTCCAGGCGACTGTAAGCTTCACCGCTGATACTGGCTTGAAGGAGGCTATGGAGAAGGTGCAAAAGTACAACCAACTCATGCGAGACTTCCCCCTCGACGAGCTACTCTCGGCCACTTCGCTGCCCAAGGTCCAGGACGCCCTTATCCAGATATTTGCGCATCTAAACAAGAAGCTGAAGATCTGCCCTTACCCTATCCGACGAGCTCTTCCGCTTGTTGAGGCCATCTCGGGTGACCTTGACGAGGTTCTCCACCGGCTACTTCCGGGCACCGAGTTGGTTGAGCTGGAGTATCCCGAGTTCCAGTCGGTTATGAAGGCCTGCGTTTCCATCTTTCAGACGTGGGAGGAGAGTATCAAGGAATTTACAAACGTTGCTCGTGAAGTCACTCGTCGCCGAAATGACAAGTTCATTCCGATTAAGGTCAACAAAAAGCACTCGGAACTTGAGGGCCGTCTCAAGTATGTGAGTACCTTCAGGGACAACCATGAACAGCTCCAGCGGACCATTGTCAACGTCTTGGGACCCAAGGCGTCTGTTGACGGCGTGGTCGAACCGGGAGACCCCACCGGCGCCATCGTCATTGAAGAGATGGGTGATGTCGACGCTGTTGAAGAGGTCAAGCAAGCATGGGAAGCCCTCAGGAACGTCGACCTCCTCGACGTCTCCCCTCAAGGGACGGAGAGGTGGGCGAGAGCCGAGAATGTTTACAACGAGCGCACGACGCGGGTAGAGAATTCCATCATCACCCGACTTAGAGACCGCCTAGGAACTGCAAAGAACGCAAATGAGATGTTCCGCGTCTTCTCCAAGTTCAACGCGCTTTTTGTGCGGCCAAAGATCAAGGGTGCTATTGCTGAGTACCAGCACCAACTTCTTGACCACGTCAAGCAGGCTATCAACGGCCTTCACGAGCGGTATAAGCAGCAATACGCCCACTCCGAGGCCCACGCCATGGCTCAATTGCGTGATCTCCCTCCTGTTTCCGGCGCCATCATCTGGGCCCGCCAAATCGAATTTCAGCTAGACGGATACATGAAGAAGGTAGAACATGTTCTCGGCGAGGAGTGGAAGGTACACTCCGAGGGTCAGAAACTCCTTCATGAAAGTAACCTCTTCAGGTCGAAGCTCGATACACGCCCAATTTTTGAGGCTTGGGCACGAGAAGTCAAGAGGAGAAAGATTTCGATTTCGGGTTTCCTATTCACCGTTAACAGGGTTCGATCATCTAACACCTTGGAACTCACTGTGAATTTTGACCAGCAAGTGATCACTTTATTTAAAGAGACTCGAAACCTGGCCTGGCAGAACTATTCGGTCCCGCATACCATCAGCTCGGTATCCAAGGATGCCAAGAGGGTGTATCCTTACGCCGTTAGTCTGATGGAGGGCGTGAGGACTTTCTCGCAGACTATGCGCCAGATCTCCGAGATGGGTGAGGAGGCTGTTCTTCTCAACGGCTACCGCAATGACGGCTTTGCCCTTATCAAGAAGGGCGTGCCGCTGAAGTGGGAATCCTTCGTGACCGCTTATGATGTCTTCTTCAATGCCAACCGAGCCAACCACTCCCTCGCAGAGCTTGGCATTGGCAAGGCAGGTGAGAGCAAGCACGGGATGTTCATCCGGGAGTTTGTGGCTGCCGTTTCCCTCCTCCAGTCCAAGACCATTACTTTGGCTTCCATCCATGCTACCGTGGAGAAGGCACTTGCGGAGCTTGCGATCTGCCCTTACGCGACCGACGAGTTCCAGTCTCGCTTGGAGACCATCCAAGCCGCCGTTGATCAGCTGAACTTGGAGCAGTATGTTAACCTGAACTTCTGGGTCGAAGGGATGAACCAGAAACTTAAGGACGTTCTTCTTGCCCGTTTGCAGCACGCCATCCATGCCTGGATTGGTGCTTTTGAGGATGAATATCTAGAAGAGGGTGGCCGGAAACAAGTTATCGACCCGGTCGAGGCAAAGAATGGTCCCGTCATGCCTCGCCTAGTGCACGAATTGGCCATGCGAAACCAGGTTATCTATCTCGACCCGCCGCTCGAGCATGCGCGAGCCGGATGGTTCCTCCATCTTCACGATTGGCTTGGCGTTGTTTGCAACCTCCCCAAGCTCAAGGCTACCCGGTACCAGATGGCACTCGCTGCTAAGAACGACGACGCCCGGTTCACCGATCTTCCCATGGAGTGCGCCGATGCTCTTTCTCGCGTCTACGTTGCCATGGAGGCCAAGCTGCGGGACATTAGTGCTTACGTCGACAAGTGGTTGCAGTTCCAATCACTGTGGGACTTGCAGTCAGAGCAAGTCTACGAGGCCATTGGCGAGAAGTTGTCGAGTTGGCTTCAGCTTCTCCAGGACATTCGCAAGACTCGTCAGACTTTCGACACCCAGGAAGTCAGCCAATCCTTCGGTCATATCACCATCGATTACGAGCAGGTCCAGACTCGCGTGAACACCAAGTATGATCAGTGGCAGCATGATATCCTCCTCAAATTTGCTAGCCGCCTCGGAGCTCGTATGCGAGATGTTTACGCCGACATGGACAAGATGCGCCGAGATCTCGAGCCCCAAACCCTCGAATCTGCCTCTACTGACAAGGCGGTCAAATTTATCACGGCTGTCCAGGCTTGCCGTAGGAACGTAAAGATCTGGGCACCGGAGATTGATATGTTTCGCCAGGGCCAGTCTACATTGGTCCGACAGCGATACCAGTTCCCTCAGGATTGGGTCGACATCGCCCAGATTGAAAGCGAATGGGACGCCATTAACGAGATGTTGGAGAAGAAGTCGAAGATTGTCAATGATCAGACGGATGCCCTCCGGGCTAAGATTATCGCCGAAGACAAGCTTGTGAATGAGCGAATTGCTGAAGCCGCTTCTCAATGGAACGAAGAGAAGCCCGTTTCCGGCACAATTCCTCCTGACGTCGCATCCGCTACTCTTACGCAATTTGAGAGCCGCATCACAGCTCTCCAAGAGCACTCTCAAATGGTTGCGAAGGCCAAGGAGGCACTTGATCTTCCGCCCAGCCCCGATTCTTCTCTCGATGCCATCATGGAGGAGGTCCAAGACTTCCAGTCCGTCTGGGCCAATCTCGCCACAATTTGGGCCAGCCTTAACGATACCCGCGAAACTCTCTGGACGGCAGTCCAACCCCGAAAAATCCGCGGCAAGATCGACGACCTTATCAAGAACACCAAGGAAATGCCGAGCCGGATGCGGCAGTATGCTGCATTTGAACATGTCCAGAAGATTCTGCGTGGTCTCTTGAAGGTCAATCCTATCCTTTCGGATCTCAAGTCGGATGCCATTCGGGACCGCCATTGGACCAAAATCTTCAAGCAGCTGCGTCCTGGCAAGCGATATTCCCCTGTCTCCATGACTCTCGGAGATGTTTGGGATCTCAATCTCGTTGCAACAGAAGCGATCGTGAAGGATATCATCGCCCAGGCGCAGGGCGAAATGGCCTTGGAGGAGTTCATCCGACAAGTCCGAGAGACGTGGACCAACTATGCTCTGGACCTAGTCAACTACCACAACAAGTGCCGTCTAATCCGCGGCTGGGATGACCTCTTTGCCAAGTGCAGTGAGAACCTCAACTCCTTGCAGGCTATGAAGCACTCGCCCTATTACAAGGAATTTGAGGAAGATGCCTCGGCCTGGGAGGACAAGTTGAACAGGCTCCATGTCCTCTTCGACATCTGGATAGACGTCCAGCGACAGTGGATCTACCTCGAAGGTGTCTTTACCGGTAATGCCGATATTAAGCATCTCCTGCCCATCGAGTCGGGCCGCTTCCAGAACATCAACAGCGAGTTCTTGGCCGTGATGAAGAAAGTCTACAAGCAACCGTACGTCTTGGAAGTTCTTACCATTCCGAATGTTCAAAAGTCCTTGGAGCGTCTGGCGGAACTTCTGAACAAGATCCAAAAGGCCCTTGGAGAGTACCTTGAGAAGGAACGTCTGTCATTCCCTCGATTCTACTTCGTCGGTGACGAGGATCTACTCGAAATGATTGGTAATAGCAACGACACTCTCCGTATTGCCAAACACTTTAAGAAGATGTTCGCCGGTATCTCGGGTCTCACCATGGACGATGATAACTCTATCATCACCGGATTCACGTCTAAAGAGGGTGAGGTTGTCAAACTTAAGAAAGAGATTTCCCTTGCCAAGACACCACGCATCAACGACTGGCTTACACTGCTGGAGGACGGCATGAAACGGACGCTCGACCACCTTCTCGCAGAGGCTGTCGAAGCCTACACGCCCATCTTCGAAGCTGAAACGCTTGACGGGGCGGCGTTTGACAAATACATGGAAGAATTTCCCAGCCAAATTGTCGTCCTGGCGACGCAAGTTGTATGGACGACGGCTGTTGAGAAGTCTCTCGCTGCAGGCGGGAAGACTCTGCAGACATTGTACAATCGCGAGGTTGGCATCCTGCGATACCTTGCCGACACCGTCCTTCGCGACCTCGGTGTAATTGAGCGAAAGAAGTGCGAACAGCTCATCACCGAGTGTGTCCATCAGCGTGACGTTATCGAAAAGCTGATCAAAGCAAATGCCACCCACGAGAAGCATTACCTGTGGCTCCTGCAGATGCGCTACGTCTACACCCCCGAAGGCGATTATCTCTCGCGTCTTTGCATCAAGATGGCCAATGCTAAGCTGGACTACGGCTTCGAGTATCTCGGTGTGCCGGACCGTCTTGTGCGGACCCCGCTTACGGACCGGTGCTTCGGTACTCTCACCCAGGCGCTTTGCCAGCGTCTCGGAGGCTCCCCCTATGGACCGGCAGGTACTGGTAAAACTGAGTCCGTCAAAGCCCTTGGTGTCCAGCTCGGACGGTTTACCCTCGTGTTCTGCTGTGATGACACGTTTGACTTCCAAGCAATGGGCCGTATCTTCCTCGGTATCTGCCAAGTCGGCGCGTGGGGTTGTTTCGATGAGTTCAACCGTCTGGAGGAGAGGATTCTATCTGCCGTCTCTCAGCAGATTCAAAACATTCAGCTCGGCCTTAAACAAGGTGTCGAAGACGACAATGCCCAGATTGAGCTCGTTGGACGACAACTACACGTCAGTCAGAATACCGGTATCTTCATCACCATGAACCCTGGTTATGCGGGCCGATCCAATCTCCCAGACAATTTGAAGAAGCTCTTCCGAAGTGTGGCCATGTCCAAGCCAGACAAGGAGCTGATTGCCGAAGTCATGTTGTATTCCCAGGGCTTCAACCAAGCAAAGCAGCTTTCGAAGCAGACAGTGCCCTTCTTCGACCAGTGTTCCAAACAGCTGTCGAAGCAGGCTCATTACGACTTTGGTCTCCGTGCCTTGAAGAGCGTTCTTGTCAGCTCCGGTGGCCTGAAGCGTGCTAGGCTCTCGAATGGCGAGGTCAATGCAGTTGACGACGCGGCGTTCGAGCCAGAAATCATCGTTCAGAGTATTCGCGAGACGATTGCTCCTAAGCTCATCCGAGATGATGTCGATATCATGGCCGGAATCGAGGAAGTCTGCTTCCCTGGCATCAAGTACGTGCCGGCCAACCTCGAGAAGCTCGAGAACGCCATTCGAACACTCGCCAGCGAAAGACAAATGGTTGTTACAGACTCCTGGATGACCAAGGTTCTTCAATTGTACCAGATTCAGAAAATCCATCATGGTGTTATGATGGTTGGAAACTCGGGCAGTGGCAAATCTGGTGCATGGAGGCTCTTGCTTGATGCTCTTCGCGTTGTTGAGGATATCGAGGGTATTTCCCACGTTATCGACTCCAAGGTCATGTCGAAGGAGGCCCTGTATGGTAACCTTGACTCGACAACGCGCGAGTGGACCGACGGCTTGTTCACGAGCATTCTTCGTAAGATCGTCGACAACCTCCGTGGCGAAGATACAAAGAGGCACTGGATCGTTTTCGATGGCGACGTTGACCCCGAGTGGGTTGAAAACTTGAACAGTGTCCTCGACGATAACAAACTCCTAACTCTGCCTAACGGAGAACGTCTCAACCTACCGCCGAACGTCCGCATCATGTTCGAAGTAGAGAACCTCAAATACGCGACCTTAGCCACTGTGAGTCGTTGCGGTATGGTCTGGTTCAATGAAGATATCGTATCCCCCAACATGATGGTCGCGAACTACCTCGAGCGATTGCGAACTGTCGTCTTCGAAGATCTTGATGAGGATGCCGTCGGCTCCGGCCAAAACCCCGCCAAGATGTTGGCTGTGCAGGCACAGGTCGCTGATCTACTGCAAACCTTCCTGACCAAGGATGATTTCATCCTTGCAGCACTCAAGGAAGCCGAGGGATATACGCACATCATGGACTTCACTATTGCCCGTGTCCTCAACACCCTATTCTCCCTATTAAACAAGGCGGTCCGAGATATCATCGAATACAATGCCCAGCATACCGACTTCCCATTGGACCACGAACAAATGGAAGGCTATATTTCCAAGAAGCTTCTCCTCGCCCTCGTTTGGTCGTTAACCGGAGACTGCCCACTTGGTGAGCGCAAACTCTTCGGCGACAAGCTTTGCGGTATCGCCCACTTTGGATCGCCCCCAGTCGATGGTTCCAGCTCTTTGATCGATTTTGATGTCTCACTACCCCAGGCCGAATGGACTTCTTGGCAAGCGCAAGTCCCGACAGTGGAGGTTAACACCCACTCTATCACACAGACCGACGTCGTCATTCCGACTCTGGACACGATCCGCCACGAGGATGTTCTCTACTCGTGGCTTGCCGAGCATAAACCTCTACTACTCTGCGGTCCTCCCGGTTCCGGTAAGACGATGACATTGTTCAGCGCTCTTCGCAAACTGCCTAATATGGAAGTCGTCGGCCTCAATTTCTCGAGCGCCACCACACCCGACCTCCTTATCAAGACCTTTGAACAGCACTGTGAATACAAGAAGACTCTGAACGGTGTTATCCTCTCGCCGAGGCAAATTGGTCGCTGGCTTGTCATCTTCTGTGACGAAATTAACCTTCCCGCCCCCGACAAATACGGAACTCAGCGGGCTATCTCGTTCCTGCGCCAGCTTGTTGAGCACAATGGTTTCTGGAGGACCTCCGACAAGTCCTGGGTTACCCTGGACAGGATTCAGTTCGTCGGTGCCTGCAACCCTCCAACGGATGCTGGCCGAACGCCTCTCGGCGCCAGGTTCCTGAGGCACGCACCCCTGATCATGGTAGACTATCCTGGCGAGCTTTCGCTCCTGCAGATTTACGGTACTTTCAACTCTGCCGTGCTCAAGATCATTCCTACGCTTCGCGGCTATGCCGACGCACTTACGCAAGCCATGGTCAAGTTCTATCTCCAGTCACAGCAGCGTTTCACACCTAAGATCCAGCCACACTACGTATACAGTCCTCGTGAACTTACTCGATGGGTCCGTGGTGTTTATGAGGCCATTCGACCTCTTGAAACTCTTACTCTCGAGGGTCTTGTCCGCATCTGGGCTCACGAAGCTCTTCGTCTCTTCCAGGATCGACTCGTCGCTGAAGAAGAGCGCCAGTGGACTGACGAAGCCGTCCGCCGAATTGCGCTCGACCTCTTCCCCACTATTGATGAAGAGAAGGCTCTTGGAGGACCGATCCTGTTCTCCAACTGGCTCTCGAGACATTATGTACCCGTCGACCGCGAACAGCTTCGAGACTTCGTCAAGGCCAGGTTGAAGACATTCTGCGAAGAGGAGGTCGACGTACCACTAATCCTCTTCAATGACGTTTTAGAGCACGTCTTGCGCATTGATCGTGTGTTCAGACAACCCCAGGGACATCTCATCTTGATCGGTGTCAGCGGAAGTGGAAAGACTACTCTGTCGCGATTCGTTGCCTGGATGAACGGTTTGAAGGTCTTCCAAATCAAGGTCCACGGCAAGTATACAGCGGAGGACTTTGATGATGACCTCCGAGATGTCCTGCGCCGTGCCGGATGCAAGGGCGAGAAGATTTGCTTCATCATGGATGAATCCAATGTCCTTGATTCCGGTTTCTTGGAACGTATGAACACACTCCTCGCCAACGCCGAAGTTCCTGGTCTGTTTGAGGGAGACGACTATGCTGCTCTTATGACAGCTTGCAAGGAAGGCGCTCAACGACAAAACCTACACCTCGACTCCCCCGAGGAACTCCACAAGTGGTTCACGCAGCAGATTGTCAAGAATCTCCATGTTGTCTTCACGATGAACCCACCAGAGGATGGTCTATCTTCCAAGGCAGCCACCAGTCCTGCTCTGTTCAATCGATGTGTGCTCAACTGGTTCGGTGATTGGTCTGACCAGGCCCTCTTCCAGGTCGGCCATGAACTTACCCAATCTGTTGATCTGGACCGTCACAATTACGCTGCTCCTGACACTATTCCCGTGGCGTACCGTGCTCTCTCGCTGCCGCCTTCTCATCGCGAGGCTATTGTCAACTCCATGGTTTACATTCACTACTCGCTGCAACGGTTCAATTCCAAGCTTCTGAAGCAACAAGGTCGGGTCACATACCTAACCCCTCGCCACTTCCTCGACTTTGTTGCTCAGTACGTCAAGCTCTACAATGAGAAGCGAGAGGACCTCGAAGAGCAACAGCGTCATCTCAACGCTGGTCTGGAGAAACTCCAGGATACCGTGGACAAAGTCAGCGACCTCCGTGTCAGCCTTGCAGAGAAGTCTGCGCAGCTTGATCGCAAGGGCGCAGAGGCAGATGAGAAGTTGAAGCGCATGCTCGCTGATCAGCAAGAGGCAGAGCAGCGCAAGGCCGCCTCCCTCGAGCTTCAGAAGGTTCTTGATGTCCAGCAGCGAGAAGTGACTTCGCGAAAGCAAATCGTCTTGGATGACCTCGCTAAGGCCGAGCCAGCCGTCGAAGAAGCGAAGGCCAGTGTTAGTAACATCAAGAGGCAGCATCTAACAGAAGTTCGTTCCATGAGCTCGCCTCCACAGGGTGTACGTCTCGCGCTCGAGGCCGTATGCGCGCTTCTCGGCAACAAAATTACGGACTGGAAATCGATTCAGGCCATCGTGCGAAAGGATGATTTCATTGCCAGCATCATCAACTTCAACAACGAAGAGAAACTAACAAAGTCTCTCCGGCTCAAGATGCGCAATGACTACATGGGCTCGCCCGATTTCACCTTTGAGAAGGTCAACCGCGCCTCGAAGGCTTGCGGTCCCCTCGTCCAGTGGGTGTCGGCCCAAGTTAACTACGCCGAGATTCTAGACAGGGTCGGCCCTCTCCGCGAGGAGGTCGCGCAACTCGAAGACCAGGCCCTACAGACCCAGGCTGAGGCCAAGGCCGTCGAACAGACAATTGACAGCTTGGAGAGCCGAATTGCCACTTACAAGGCAGAGTATGCCACTTTGATCGCCGAGACCGAGGCCATCAAGGCGGAGATGTTGAGGGTGCAGTCTAAGGTTGACAGGAGTGTCAAGCTACTCGACAGCCTGTCGTCCGAGAGGATTCGTTGGGAGGAAGGAAGCAAGTCTTTCGAGACTCAAATCAGCACCCTTGTCGGTGACGTCTTGATTGCAGCGGCCTTCTTGGCCTACAGTGGTCTCTATGACCAGACATTCCGAAAGTCAATGATGGACGACTGGCTTCATCAATTACATTTGTCGGGTGTCCTCTTCAAGGCGCACAATCCGGTGACCGAGTACCTCTCTACTGCCGATGAGCGGCTCAACTGGCAGCAGAACACTCTACCTGTGGACGATTTGTGCACGGAGAACGCCATCATCTTGAAGCGTTTCAACAGGTATCCTCTGATTATCGACCCCTCCGGTCGTGTCACAGAGTTCCTTCAGAAGGAGTGCAAGTCGCGCCGCTTGACTGTCACTAGCTTCTTGGACGATTCCTTCACCAAGCAGCTTGAGAGCGCTCTGCGATTCGGTAACCCGATCCTCATTCAAGACGCAGAGCATCTTGATCCGATCTTGAACCATGTTCTCAATAAGGAATACCAGAAGACAGGCGGTCGTGTTCTCATCCAGCTCGGCAAACAACAAATCGACTTTTCGCCTGCATTCAAGCTGTATCTCGCCACGCGAGACCCGTCGGCAACCTTTGCCCCCGACATTTGCAGCCGGACAACATTTGTCAACTTCACTGTTACGCAAAGCAGCTTGCAGACTCAATCTCTCAACCAAGTGCTCAAATCTGAACGACCAGACGTTGATGAGCGTCGATCCAACCTCATCAAGTTGCAGGGCGAGTTCAAGATCCATCTCCGACAACTTGAAAAGCGTCTTCTGCAGGCTCTTAACGAGTCTCGCGGAAATATCTTGGACGATGACAACGTTATCGAAACATTGGAGACCCTAAAGACAGAGGCGGCCGAGATTTCAGCCAAGATGAGGAATACTGAAGGCGTGATGACAGAGGTGGAGGAGATTACGCAGCAATACAGCATCATTGCCAAGTCTTGCAGTGCTGTCTTCGCCGTCCTTGAGCAGCTTCACTATCTCAATCACTTCTACCAGTTCTCTCTCCAGTACTTCCTCGACATTTTCGAGGCTGTGCTCCATAACAACAAGCACCTTGCGGGCGTGACGAATTATGATGCCCGCCGCGATATCATCGTCAAGGATCTGTTTGTCAATACCTTCCAGCGGACTGCCCTTGGTCTCCTTCAGAAGGACCGCGTTACTTTGGCAATGCTCCTTGTTCACGCTTCACCTATTCAGATGGATAAGACACTCCTCGAATTGATCATCAGCGACAGGGTTGAGGGTCAGGATATCTCGAGTAACCCCAGCCTGAAAGCTGACGCTATGAATAAGGCTAGGCGCATTCCTGCTCTCAAAGACAAGCTCGACATGGCACCTGAGGCCGATTGGGACAGGTTCTTCACCGAGGAGATTGCCGAGAACTTTGTGCCCCGCATCTGGGATAATACAGCCGACCCTGCAGAAAAGACTCTTCAGTCGCTCTTGCTCGTTAAGCTCTTCCGTCTTGATCGGTTTATCCCGGCGGCCGAGCGATTCGTGGCTGGTGTGTTCGGCCCCGCAATCTTCGATATCATCGAAGACTTGGGAGAGACAGTTGCCGAAGTGCCCGCCACCCGTCCCATCTCCCTGGTTTCTAGCCCTGGTTTCGATGCCAGTTACAAGGTCGACAATCTTGTCGAGAGACTGAATGTCAGGTGCACCAACATTGCCATGGGTTCTAATGAAGGCCTCTCCGGTGCCGATAAGGCCATTGCGAACGCCGCGCAGACAGGCTCTTGGGTGTTGGTCAAGAACGTCCATCTCGCGCCCACCTGGCTCCAGAGTCTGGAGAAACGCATGGAGAACCTCAATCCGCATGCGCAGTTCCGCCTCTTCCTTTCCATGGAATCCAGCCCCAAGATTCCGGTCAACCTGCTCCGGGCCAGCCGTGTACTCATGTACGAGCAGCCCGCTGGCGTGCGCGCCAACATGAAGGACTCCATGTCGTCGCTATCTACTCGTGCTACGAAGAGTCCTGTGGAGAGGACAAGGCTTTACTTGCTCTTGTCTTTCTTGCATGCGGTTGTCCAGGAGCGTCTGCGATACGCGCCTAAGCTCGGTTGGAAGGCCTATTGGGAGTTCAATGACAGTGACGTGAGTTTATTTCCCAGAATGCCCCCAACATCCAGTAGAGTCTTCGAGTACGCTAACAATGTCGATTACTACAGTACGAATGTTCTGCCTTCATCATCGACACCTGGATTGAGGCTGTCGCGCAGAACCGCACAAACATTGCTCCGCAGAACATCCCGTGGGAGATGATTCGTCACCTCGTCGTTGAGACTTATGGCGGCAAGATTGACAACGAAGGCGACTACCGCCTCCTGACCGATCTCGTCCGCAATCTCCTGACGCCGTCGGCCTACGATACCGGCCACAAGCTCGTCGACGATGCCGATACCAACCTCACGGTCCCTGAGGGCACGTCGTTGCCTGACTACTTAGAGTGGATCCACAAGCTCCCCGAGAGAGAGCCGCCTACGTACCTCGGCTTGCCAGCCAATGCCGAGAAGTTGTTGCTTGTAGGACTAGGACAGACGATGATTCAGAATGTGAAGAAGGTTACGGATAGGTTGGATGATCAGGAGAAGCTCATGGCATAAGCCATTGAAGGCTTTTGGGGGGCCACGATATACCGCTTCATACTTCAGCTGTTTTTCCTATGTACACAATTACGAGATTGGAGGAAAGTTGGACAGAGGAGTTCATTGGCTTAGACATTGCATGAGTATTTGAAAGGGTAGGAAGGATATTGCAGTGACCATTGCAACAATGGTTTTCTGATTTTCTCTTGTATTATTTTTTCTTTTTGCTAAAATTTTTTTTCGAATGCCTCCCTCGAACGGAGATTGATATCGTTACTGTTCCTAGAAAGTTGAAGAGAACTTGTTACATTAAGAATCGTGTTACATCGGACCTGTGTTTGGACATGCATCGAAAACAAGAAAGCAGGTCGAGATGAGAGAATAGACAAGAAACTGGCCGGTCCTGCCCCCCCGAAAACCACCGAATGGGGGGTGGAGTTAGTTAGATACATGAAAATATGAAGGAAAAGTGAGATAAGAAAACCAAAAATAAGAATGAAGGAGAAACCAAAAGGGAGAAGAAAGAACAGAAAAGAAGCCTCGCTATCGCCTAGTTCATCATATCGTATCCCGTTGTACCCTCCTCCATCAAACTCACATGTGGATTCTCTTGATCATATCCCAGATCATCGGGAAAGGAAAATCTGCTTATGAATTCTCTAGTGTACTGAAATATTTCGTCCATGTAACGCCGTTCTCCCGAGGTGACGGGGACCGGGGAAGGGAAGGTAAGGTATGCATACTCATCCAAGAACGGGTCAAGGAGGTCAATCTTAGGCTCCCCCAACGCCACGGCAGCATCGCGGGCTAAGGTGAGGAGAGCCGTGGGGGAGGAGGATCTCGTGGCCTCTTCCAGTATGTGACCATTGGTAGATACCGCCGCATCCCCAGCGTGAGATCTGGAAACCGTCGTCAAAATCATCGAAGTCATAGTCAAGAGAAATTCCGATGTCGTGATGCCGAAACCTTTGAGAACGAGTCGGGCCCAGGGACAATAGTTTCCTGGGAGATCGTAGAAGCAGCACCCCCACAGGAAGCAGAAGACGTAAACGGTAGCCTTCCAGGTAGGGTCGTTGCGGTCGCCTGCGGTTAGAATGCTGGAGGGAGGGAGTCTCTCGAAGGGTCCGTTGAGCTTTTTGATGCACCAGGCGAGACAGTCGGGCAGGATTCTGAGGAACTGGCTCTTTTGGCCTTTCGGTAGTTGTTGGTTGCAGAGAAGCGTTTGCATCATCTGTTCTCGCCAATCCTTTCCATAGATCTCCGCCTCTCCCAGCGCTTGCTCTCCCGTTTGCATCAACTTTGAGTACTCATCCAAGCCGAAGTTGATCAACATAAATCGGGGCATATCGATGATCTTCGGGTAGGTTTCCAGGGGTTGCGGGTTGCGCGTTGCCTGAGTTATCGAGCCGGGAATATCAATGACCTTGGAGCCGGTTTTCGAGGGTTGCGGGTTGCGCGTTGTCTGGGCCACCGAGCTGGAAATATCAATGATCTTGGGGTAGGTTCTCGGGGGTTGTGCATTGCGCGTTGCCTGGGCTATCAAGCCTTCAACTCCAGCGCGCACCATCCGGGCAATGTCCTGCGTATCCTGCGTGTTCTGTGTGTGGTACATGTCCTGCGGTTGATATCCAACTCGCCGAGCAATATATCCTCGGAGAATGTAGAGAAGGTGGCAGAACAGAATACCATCCTCACTTCCACGGCCCTTGAGCTCCATGATAAGCCTATTGATGTATTCCCTTATCTGCACGGCCTCATCCGCCTCGCAAGTCCTGGCACAGTTGACCAATAGGTCCAAGAAAAGCCTCGGTATCGTGCACTGGGAAAGTTGTGTCCAGTAGATGGGGAAGGCGTGGCGACCATCGGAAACAGCCTGGTGGAAGTCGGCGGCGCTGAGCAGTCGCTTATTATTCCGGGAGTCGCCCGCGGCGCGGTTCTTATAGACCCCATGTTTGTTAAACTGGTTGACGAATTGTCTCTCGCTGTCAAAGCGTATTCTTTGTGTGAGCGAACAATGGCATTATACTCCCAAGGGCACAAGCTCTGTCCAAGGCGTAGCGGACTTACGTTGCAGGGAAATCCAGCTCTCTTCGAGCCACTTCTACTACTTCTTGGAGGGACATTCGATCGTAGAGGCCGGCAAAGGTCCATCTGTTTTTGTCCCATTTTTCATCAGGAACACGCGGTTGGTTCTTCTTTTTCCGGTTTCCGTCTGTCACGTTCTGTCGAGGCATGATGCAGAAAAACGCTGCATAGTCTAAGAAAAGAGAGAGTTTTCTCTAAGCGGGGAGTGTGGGAGGCCGATGAGATCACCGAGGGGCATTCGCGGGGGAGAGGGCGTGCATAAATCCATCAGGCATGGAGGCGATGAACGACCAGGCTGAGAGAGGCTTTATATGTTGAGCCAGATTGGTCGTTGTGAGCTGGCGCTGATAGTCGTTTCCGGCTACCACAAGATATTAAGTGTAAGAGCAGGAACGCCGCCGCCATATGGAAGTTTCAAACATATATATCTACATTTCTGAAATTACAAAATGGCGAGCGAAATGGACAGGATGCAAATTCTAGCACGACAAGATTAGAGGGTTCGCGGTTCGCGGTTCGCGGTCCATGAAGCTGATGGTGGTGACGAAGACCAATAAAGAGAGGAAGGTGTGACAGGCATCAACGCAGCAGAATGCAGGACGCTCAACTTCCCCACGCAAGCAGGTGCCGTGTCGTATTGTGGTTGGAAAGGTGAGCCAGGTCATATAAGCCTGGCACCGAAACTGACCTGGGCAGGGGAAACTCAGGGTGCCAAAAGCCTCCCGTCTCGCCGGGTCCCCCAGAGAGGGCCCTTGGCCCATCAGTTTCTTCAATGTTCCAACTTCCAATTGCATGGGAGTTCGCCTTCGCCGAGCATTCCGCACTTATCTCAGGGTCGCCTTGATCGTCGAGGCACTCTCCTTGCTGTGGTGGTGGTGGCTGTGGTGGTGGCTCTGGTGGTGGCTCTGGCGGTGGCTGTCGCTGAAAATGGAAGAACGACGTGGCTGGAACAGCACCCGCAATTGCAAGGCACACACCGCGCCGTCAATGAACCGCCAGTTGCAAGGAGACCGATTATCTAAGTGGACCTGACGATTCGGACAAGGGAGAAGGAGCGAGCACACCCAAACCCCCTCTCCCGTCATCTCAGTAACAGTCAGTTGGTGAACCCGTTACTAAGTGGAATTCGACTACCTTCGTACCTCGACTATTTTACTACTACTCCACGTGCGAGTGAAGAGGGGGGGATGGAGGACAACTCTCAGCTGTCGCAAAAGACTTTAGCTCAACTCTAACACGATAAACTTGGAGCCCTCAAGGTCTAATCACGGGAATCGCCCATGTTGCCAGACGTCCTCCAGGTGCTGGTACATTTATTTCTCTGGCAGTGAGGGGTCAATACTTTTCTTTTCTCCAAAACTCCAAATTGATCAATAAAACGCACTGCCAAGGTAACAGAGCCCGAAGGATGGCACATGAGTGTCCAGTCCGGGCCAGTCCGCATCAGTCTCGGCCCTCCAATTCAATCCGGGCTCTGAGGGTTGGTCATGCAGACACACCAAGACACCATCCATCTCTCTACTTAGTACACTTCTAAACCACGATGCACCAGCACAACTCACAACTCGGATGGGATCTCACCCTCGCGTTTCGTGTCGCGTACCGGGCAATGAGGATCCGATACCGTGGCAGGTGCTTCCTGTATTGCAGTATGCGGTTTGCGGTACACGACCCTTGGTGATTGCAAAGAAGGCCTATCGAACAATCTGCCTGAGAGACATTTAGCACATCAATTGATCGCTCGATGCAGGGGGTCTTGCCCTTGGTGTCACGTCGAGGGCAGCAACGAGGTTATTGCGGACGGTGGGTGGAGGTAAAAAAATTGCATCTCAAAGAGGCTAAAAGAGAACATTAAGGCGTACCCGGGTCTGTCCAGCTCTTGCCCGGGATTTGGACATGGACCCATATTCATCAGGTGGCCCGGTTTTAGGTCCGGCCCCGGCCGCAGTCGGAAAACCGGGCACGATCAAACGATGTCCCTGCAAAACCGCCCAATCCCTCTCTGTAGGCGGGACTTCGATTATAAACCGCACGTAAACGTCAAATCAAGCTGCGAGGTGCAACCCAAATCTCTCCACACTTACCCCGTAGTTATAAATTACCTGTGCAATGTTCGTGGGCCGTGAGGGGAAGGACCACTTCATTTCAGGCAGCAAGAAACATTAAAAGCCAGTGCACACAGAGCTCGATTTACCCCTCTCCCGCAAAAGCGTCCCAGGCTCCCAGGCCTTCTCTGGTGGTTGTAAAATTTGATGAAAGTCCCGAAGCAACACTTCGAAGGCATTTGATCCAGTGCATCCAATGCATCGATCCCCTCCACGCAGAGGCCATGGGGTGAAGAGCTGAGACATGAGAGGCCAAAAACGACGGTGACGCATGCACCCCGTAGTTCCGCGTAATTATGTACTTCGTAACTTCCTGCAAAGTGTATCCCTCATGTACTTTCTGCATGTTGGGTGCTCTTGCTTCTCTTGCACATCGCACATGCCTGACGCTACCCCTCTAGTACATGAGTACCACTTCTGTACAAGCGTCCAACTGCTCCTTCCCTCCCTCAAGCTCCTTCCCCACCACCCACAGGTGACCATGACACCCCATAACATCACCATCAATTTATGCGGTTCCAGTTACGAGTACAGTTGTACCACTACCTAGTGCAAATTGTAAGGTCCGACCTGCATCTGCCGCTCCTACTGCATCATTGACCCCTTCCGTCATAGATTGCTACCTTCATAATCCGTAAAACCTACGTCTCCCCAACGTATGAAGTAGTTTATGTCGAGTGAGCAAAGCTGCCTCACACCATGTAGCACCTCGACTAAAGCTGCCATTACATCAATCCCCCATTGTCTGCTTCGAAAATCGCCTGTTTTTAAATATCCAAGACAACCCAATCCTTGTGCCCATCCATCCCACTTTGCTTCCCTTTTCCGAAATACCATCAACCGCACGAATTCGACCTCCATCGAATCTCGCCCACGAACTTGAATTTATTGACCCGACTACACCTGCTTCGAAAAGAAGGAAATATCCGATACACGAGACCGAGCGAAACCTAGATCATTGAGAACCGGCCAAATCTCCGAACGAACAAGACACAATGGTCGACTACAACGCCTGTACGGAACCCCTCTTATAGCTTGGTGATGGCCCGACATGAACATGAACCCACCTTACAGCACCCTCGAGAGCCCTTAGCATTCCCGCCCAACCACACATCCAGTGCTCTAAATAGTCATGGGCTAACATACGTTTGTCTGCATCTTTCAGGGAACCCCTTCGCCCGTCGCGAGACTCATACGCCCCAGTCCATCACAGCATACAAGGTCCTGACTCTCCTGACCTGGTTGCTTGCCGTCCTTACCTCGGTCTACTATACTGTTGAAGAACCTCGGGATGGCTTCACGATCAGGAGGAGAATATGGGATCTTAACGACCTATACCCCACTGGATTCACCCTAAATCCCATTATTGCGAGCGTCTACTGGTATGTTCATCACCTCCTTCCGACCATCGTGATCCCCTATTAGTCCTCCTGCAGTTATTCACTGGCGGTCAAATGGCAGGATTCTTCTCTTCCTCTTGCAAGTCGGCTATATTAGCCAGCTCTTTTCTAGCGACGCTGCCCGCGTCACTGCCGCCGCCAATGTCGGCAGCCACTTCATCCTAAACAATCTGCTCCACTTCGGATTCGTGATGCTCTTCGTCCGCTCCCACTTCATCTGGGCTGAGGTGGTTCAGGTCATCAACTTCTTCAACCTCCTGAATCTGTACTTCCTCCACCGCACCAACCCAATCCTCATCCACATCGCCTCTGCGTCGGGACCTCTGGCCTGGGCCTTCGTTGCTTTGTACTGGAATGGTGCACTCATGGTCCGCCATCCCGATCACCTTGTCGACAGAGTGTTTGCCAACATCTTCATCTGGTCCATCCCCGTATTTGGACACTTCTGCTTGTTGATCTTCAAGGTTGGTTCTCCTGGTCCCGATGGTGCACCGTCGTAATACTTAACATATCGTGCCTTGATACAGGACTACACCATCGGTTTCTCCCTCAGTATCCTCTCCGCTGCTCTCGGTGTTGGCCAGTTCTTCCACCGGGTCGTCGCCCTCCAGTGGATCTTTGCCTTCGTTAGCATGGCTACCCTCTTCCTCAGCAGCAGCGCTGTCGCTAGTCGTGTCTGGCTTCGACGAGAAGCCCCCCCTCCCGCCGACCAGGAGCGCGCTCCTCTTCTCAACGACGAGAATTAAGCGGGGAACATGAGAGTGGGAGAAATGTGCGGCTGAGCCTAGTGACTCTCAAATCAGTCACACATTGTGAAGGGGTAGGTGTCGTGTGAGTTCTCGAGACTCGATAGTAGTGTGTTGGTATAGGGAATATGGGTATGCATGCGGGCCGTAATGGAGCGAGGGACCTGCCTCCTTCTCACACTTCACCCGGACATCGTCTTTCCCGGTGAAGCGCCCCACGCAAGAGAGTTGACGAACCTAATTCCAGTTGCGTTCTTCTCCCCAAAAGTGTGGTCACACAGAGTTTTATGGGCATTACCAGGAATGCTAGTCAAGCTGGCATATGATGGACAGTACACATAATGTTACAACTGAAACGAGTCTGGTGGATGGTTATCGTTTTGTTTTTGTTTTTTCTAATACTGCACGAATCCCGTGCTCAGTATCAATCAGTAATGGAACTAATACTGCCTTTTCTTTGACCTTTCATTCGGCGTAAGAGGAAGAGAGGCGTCAAGCAGAAACTGGACAGTGAAAGCGGCAGGAACGAATCCTCGGAAGGGGGATGTCGCGGTGCGCTTGTATCCATTCCGGTTCTGAAGTTACGAAGCCGGGTTTCATCATCACTAGGCTCCGAACCCATGCCGGGCCGGGACTCCGAACGATCGGGATGGAGTGGAGCGAACCAAGATTCAAATTGCGCTATTTGAATCCCGCGATAATCTCTCGAGCTCTTATCGATAAAGCTCTCCCTCACCACCAAAAAAATAAAAATAAAAATTTCCCCCTTCTCTCAACTCCCCAATCCCGGAAAAAACCATCTCCCAAACCCAACAATGGAAACCTCCCCAACAAACCCCCAAACACAATGAAACCCCCACGACCCATCCTCCCGTTCCCCATCCCCCTTCACATCGGCACCGACATATGCCGCGTCTCGCGCATCCTCTCCATCCTGACGAATCCGAAGCGCGGGAGGCGGTTTGTCGATCGCGTGCTCTCGCCCGAGGAGAGGGGGTTGAGGCGCGTGAGGAGCGCTTTGGGCGAGGGGTATTGGGGGAAGGAGGCGTGGAGGGGTGGTGATGTTGGGGTGGCGGAGTTTGTTGCTGGACGGTTCGTTGTCCTTTTTTTCTTCCATTCGTTTTCCGCACTCAAGCGATCGATGACGGTGAAGGGGAGGGGCTAACTTTCATTTTCGGCGAGAAAATAGATTCGCAGCGAAAGAAGCCGCGTTCAAGGCGCACCCATTTCGGCGATTAACGTTTCACGATATTGTCATTCGACCTACGTCCGACGGAGAGGAATCCGGGCCCATCGTCGCCGTTATACGGGGCGAGGAGGTGGATCAAATGGCGATGGTGTCCATTAGCCATGATGGGGACTATGCGACGGCCGTCTGTTTGGGATTTGATCCTACGAGGAAACAGCCGAGTGATCGGTGATAATAAGGAGATGGAGAACGATTGCGACTCTACCTACTACCTTGACCTGCCACATCTCAGACGCGACACACGCGACCGAGCGAGAATTGCCGAACAGGTAGACTCCACGGGGTCTCTCGAACACGATCTATTCACTGCATTACCAGGGTTCAAGCACGATAACCTATATCGAGAAAAGTGAAAATTCTACGCTCCAACAACCCAATACCCAATAATTCAATCCGAATATCGTCGTGGCTAGTCATCGGTTCGCCATCTGTATGCCGGTCTGTACGGCTTCTGCGGGCCGCCCTGCGAACCCGCCGAGTGCCGCCGTTCTGCTTGGCACTGCGCGCATCTCTCATGGCGATTGCGGTCCTTCTCATGCTGCCTCGGGGAGGTTCTATTATTCCAATCATCCTTCCAGAAGCTCGGCTCTCGCGGATTCTCGGAAGTAAGTCTGATCGGCTCTTGGCGAGGGACGTAGTCGATGTGGCCTCCCGCCCGAGGTAGCCAGGGATCTATCTCCTTGCCATTCTAGAATAAGAGATCGAGAGGGAACCCTGGATTGAACGGGACGGCTGCTTCGATGCGCGACATGTCGGTCTTGCTCAGACTGGTGATTATGGCCTCCAAGGTTCTTTCGAGCAAACCGATCGTTGGGTTGGAGATTAAAGGGAAGACATAGGGCTGCTTTTGCATCACATAGGCCAAGGCGATGCAGCCAAGCGTTGTCCTCTTTTCTCCCGCGATGGCCTCGAGAGCCCTGCTCAACTTGAGTTGGTTGTCGGTGAGGGTTGGCTTCCGGCCCTTGGAGGTTGCGCGGTGCTTTGCTGTCGAAAACGCAGGACCGCTGAAGGCGCCGCTGGCGACTATCGCCATACCCTCAGATAGGGCCATGGGGGCAATGTCTCGCTCAATATCCCGGCTAGCGGCAGACCAGCGGCCTTGGTAGATGGAGAACGGTCTCAGACCATGGCCGCGGGCATACTCATTGGCCCGGCTGTGTGCCTACATTTAGTTTCTAGGATATAACACCCAATGGCCAGCGTGATATATATCGCCTACCTGACTACCCAGGCAGGCATGTTACTCGCCCCAAGATATAAGACCTTGCCGGCGGCGACGAGGTGATTCAACGACTGCATGAGCTCGGGGAAGTCGGTCGCCTGATCCCACCAGTGGACATACAACTATGAGAGAGAGAGAGAGTCAGCCAACAAATACCATTATCTAGGAGATCGCGTTCCATCTCACGGTGAACGGCACTCACGATGTCGATATAGTCAGTCTGGAGATTCTCCAGGCTTGTGTGGACAGAGGTCGTCAGGCTTTTCGCGCTGTTGCCGGTGGAATTTATCATAATCTCGCCCTCACCGTGTTCGGCGCGGAAGTTGGTCGAGTATTTGGTTGCGATTACTAGTTTGATTTCGGCGTTAATAGTCGACTGGACGTTTATCCCTGGTCGAAACCGGGCGTATATACAGGGGACTAGGAACTTCTATTCTTTTAGCTTACCAAGCTGATCTCGGATGTGCCTCCTCGCCATCCAGCCACCAATGATTCTCTCTGACTCGCCTCCTTGATAATTGTTGGCAGTGTCTATAAAGTTACCTATGCCATGTCAGTAATAGCTGGGTAGGTGATGGTTACCGACTGCCAATCCGCTCGGTTCTTACCGCCCTAGTAGTTCGGTCAGTCTCTGCCGTATCCCCAGAGTGAGTCCTTACAGAGGCAACACACATGGTCATAGTAGAAATCCAGAACCGTTTCAGCCTCGTCCTGGGAGGATCCTTCACCATCCCTATATACATAAAATATCATCAGCATTCCATCACACATCAGTATGTAGTTCATAAATGTTAGAGTGTTTTGCTTACCAGCCTCTGCCAAAGTTCATTCCACTCAGACAGAATGGGCTTACTCTTACCGATGCACTGGGAGAGAGCAGGCGATATCGGCCCAAGGGGCTCTTAGGAGAAGGAGGAGACGGGATGCTAGACATGTTATGCACCATGGTGTCTAGTGTTGTGATGTATTGAAAAGCTAGGATTCTTAGTTGATGATGTTTGGAGATGATTATAGGTTATGTTGGAGAAGAGAGTGGTTGGTAGTTAGTACAAGAAGGGAAAAGTCGAAGATTGAGAAATAAACTTAGCCACAAACTCTTGAAAAGATCCTTCATAAAAGCTCATAGTCTGTTCATCTACCTCCAGGGTGATTCTCATGGAACATTTGAAGCCGTTATTGTGCAGGAGATCAACGTAAGTTTAGCAACATAAGAAGTATGTGCAAGTGAGATCACATTTTAGCCGTACTTCAGTAGTAGAAGTAGCAGCAGTAGCAGCTCTTTCCTAATTCAAGAGGTACACCACCCTCTAGAGAACTGCTTCCGGTCCTTCTTTCCTTAAATAACTAGGCTGGTCTACGGGGGATTGATGGCTCTTTCTTCTTTCACTAACACCTTGACCGAGGTTTACACAATAAATCAATGGCTTCAAATCCAGTTCTATGTTCACCGCAGGAACATGAACTCTGGCGAGCATACTAGTGTCATGAGTAAATCGGCTCCCCTCTATCTGGAATTGCTATGGATTTACCTACTGACATTCAACATGGGTTCTTCCTCCGTCCATCGCCAGTTTCAGAACTCGCAGGCCTGAACAGGGACGGCAAGGCAATCCCAGTCCCTGGTCATGGCTTTCAGGTCAACTCGTTTGAGGGTATATCTGCCTCGGAGACCGGAGAATCGCTCTTGGATCTACGACCCTACGGGTTCGGGTTGCTAGTGGCCGAGTAAGTTACCTGATATTTGCCGGAGAGCGCTCTCTAATAGGAGGGGTACGGATTTTCAGATTTTCAGATATCAGTGTTCCTCTGGATGACAGTATATCCGAAGATAGTCATTCCTCTCCGAGGCGGTCTTATTCGACCGGCCCGCCAGCTCAGCCGGTCGATATCTCGGAAGATGGCAGCTCTCGGTTGTTTACACGGAAAGCAGCATATTCCGAATCGCCTAGCTCCGACTTAGCCCACGCCGGTGACCGTAAGAAAAGGGGTGCGTCCTCGGATGCTACCCACCAAAGTGTAGCGGAAGGCCCCACACACATGACGAAAAGCCATGTGAGATTCCAGTCAGCTCGCCATGTTCCTATAAGGCGCAGAAGGCGTAGGCGACGTAAGCCCTCGTGCCCACGCGGGCCCGAGAGGCTTGGCCATTTTAAGATGCCCGGGGAGACACCGAACTTGTCGAGATTTAAAATCCCAAGCCAATCGAAAGAGCGGCCTATTCCAGGGACGGCTGCGTATCAGGGCAACGATGGTTTTGAAGGGGCGGAAACAGTTCCGGGAAAGAACATGGTATTGGCGTCAAGGAGCAAGCCCCGAGCTATCCCAGGAGTGGGAACGTTGTCCCTTGCCAGGCGAGGTCTTCGCAAAGCCACAGATAATTCAAAGCTACCACCCGCCAATGGTAGTGTTCTTGCGTCGACTAACACTAACGATGATGTCACGATCGAGGGAGCAAATACTAGCAACCGGCTACCAAGCATGTTACCAAGCAGTGAGGCTTCTGTACAGCACAGCTTTTCTTCTGATGCCTGGGTGAATAGTGGTCACACTCCACGCCATTCCCTTCCTAGCACCGAAAAGAACATTGGTGAGAGTGAGAACCCTACTAAGCCATTCTCAAAGTTGTCTTCAAGAACGACCACTAACATGGAATCAACCCCATGTGAAAGTCGAATTTAGCGGGGGGCTGGACGAAGAGAATCTTGACGATCTCGCCGAGAAAGTTCCAGAAACACCGCTCCGGCGTCCCTCGCCGAAGCCGAGTTACTTCTCGGCGCTTGCTTGTCCACTGGAAAGCCCACAAAGCGCTGGCTATCCCTCAATTCTCTCGTGGAGTGGCCGAATGCCTATTATTTCTGCTTCAGATCCACGATTCCCTTCCTGGAGGGAATTCATCTTACACCCAGCAGCAACCGACAGAGATAAGGTGCCGCCCGTTACAACAGATGGTTTGGGGGGATGTCAATGAATACCGGAGGTAAACAACGCCAGCCCTTCTACTTGGATGGTTAACGGATGCGAGACGGCCTGCAGAAATTTATTGATCCAATTTCGTAATATGGTTTGGGAGCATTTCATACATGGGTTCGCCATACTAATCGACACACTATTAATACACCCCCCCTACTCTGTCTTGAGGACAGCGATGGTGTCCCCATTCTTCACTACCTTTTCTGGCATAAGCCTGGAAATTGGAACAAGGAGGGAGGCCAATACAACAAGCCAAAATGTGGTCACTATCTGCACCAAAAACCAAATACCCGAGCCGACAATGGGCAGCGCAACTTTGAGGATTTCGCTGGGCTGAATGAGCTGTTCGTGCTCGACAATGTACAGACGGGTTCGTCCGCCCGGAGCAGAGGGATCCTCGGGGTCGCATGGGGGTAGGAATTGACCTTGAGCATCGAGGGTTCGTTGAACGAGACGAAAGATGAGAGTGGATTTGATCGTTGGCGAGTGGAAGGGGATGAATTTGGGATGGACGTTTTCTGAGATGTGAGCTGTAAGTGTAGCCGTTCGTTGATCATAGACTAAAATGGAAAGTCAATGTCAGTTTAGCGTGGCAGTAGCTTTGATATAATTGATATTTATCTCAAAAGGCACTAGCATCATAGTTGCTGTTGTAATAATAAGAGGGCCGTGAAGCCATACCTGCGGATTCGAGATTGAAGCTAGAAATGTCGACAAACATGCATCTTAACCTATAGAGAAGACGAGTGATGTGACGCGAGTTTATGGGAGGGAGAGGGAGATATGGAATGTGGATGTCATCGAAAGAAGGAACTCGGATGAGAGGATGGACGAAGGAGGAGGTGGGGAGAAAGTAGGTGTTGAAAGCATCGCGTTGATCGTCGGGTACGCCAAAGGCGAACTTCTTCATCAGGGACTTGATGTCCTTGACTGCGGGTGAGAGGAGAGTTAGGTCAACCGGAAGAATTGTCTTTTTCTCTTTTCAAAAATAGTGAAGAGCTTGATATCTAACCTGGGTGATCCATGATGAATCGTATTCAAAGATCCAAGAATTGTGCCAGCCTCGAAGCTTGAAGGGTTGAATCGGAGCTCGTCGTTCCTATCGTTGGAGGTGTGGTGGTTGTCTTGGTGGTTACGGGGATCGGGGCAGCTCTTGCGGTGATGCGAGGTGATGCGAAGTGATGCTTCCAAAGAATTGCGAGTGCGTGCCTGGTACTGATGTGGATTATCGCAATTGAGTTGCGGAGTTGCTGAATCGACTCGCCCAACTTGGCGAGAATTTGGGATTTATTATAACTGAGAATCTGGTGATGCAGGAGATGGGAAGGAATGTTGAACACAGTGAGGAATGAATGATAGATATATTTGCATGTGAGAGAGGAAGCAGGTCGAGCGATAGGTGAGAGCTACTTCGTACTTCGTGGCGATTTGTATAAGTGCCCGTTCAAGTTAGATCGGGCGTCAAGTGTCGTCATAGATGGGTTTTCGGAGGCAGCGGGAGAGCGAAGATGGGGCGACGATTGATCCCATTTGATGCTGCTCTCTTGGTCAGGTCGGGACTATCTAACGACTTCGTTCGTAGGGCAGGAAAACTTGGCTCTGATGATACTTCCAGACACAATGTTTCTCCCAAGGTATAAAACAGGTATCTCGTCTTCCTGCTTGCAAGTGGTGACACGACAGGGGAAAAAAAGAAAAAACTTGGCGGCAAGAAGCTTTGAAGGCACAGGTACGAAATCAGGAACCCCAGGTTGGTTCAGTCCGAACAAGGTCTCACTTGAAAACGGAACATTTGAAACTCAATAGTTGTAGCTACAAGTCCTCACGCTTCGACTAGACATTGCTAGGCACTATATTGTACCAAAAAACAGCTCGTAAAGAAAAGAAAGACAAGCCCCAAGTCCCATCGTAGACGCCATATCCTCGTACATGTTTTCTGCATATTTCCTTTTCCGAAGCTTCGTAACATCTCCCCATCCGCGATACTTCCCCGCAGTCCGAACCTCCGAGCCACTCCTTTTCTGCCCTAGTTGATATCATAGAGAAGCAGCAAAACCTTTCCCCTGAGATCCAAGAAAATCCTGCGAAAAAGAAAAGAAGGCGACAGGCAGAACTATATACCTCGTTACCCACAATTCAAAGAGCCCACCCTCAACCATCTAGTCCGACAGCCCAAGCCCAAACCTTTCCCAACTAATACCAACCGCACACTCCCAAGAAACTCCCCCAACCACCTGCAGTTCAATAGTCCCTGCTACTCCTCCTCCGACTGTGTCTCCTCTCTGACTCATACGTACTACTCTCTGCCCTCCTGCTCCCCCTCCTTGGCGGCAACAAGTCCTCCTCCACCACAACAATCTCATCGTCATCGCTAACCGTGCTCACCGTCCGCGGCGCCCTCGCCCTACTAACCCTCCTTCTCCTCTCCACATAAATCTCACTATCACTCTCCGGCGGCTCGGCATCAACAATAATCGGGCGCGGAGCACCTCCCCTACTACTATGCCTCCTCATTTCCCCACCACCTCCGCCCCCGCTCTCCCTCATCCTCACCTCCACAGTTTCCCGCACTCTCACACCCGAGCGGGACCGTGACCCTCCTCCCCCTCGCCGCCTCCTACCTAGAGTGCCTAGCGTCAGCACCGAGCTGCCGCCTATGTAACTTGATGCCGTTTCGCTGTAGACGGGCGGCGCGATGTTGAGACATGTGTAGATGAGGAAGATGACGAGGAGGAACCCGGCTATGGAGCCGAGGACGATGCCGGCGACGACGCCGGGGTGAGGGGAGGAGTTGAGGTCGCTGTAGGCGGAGGGGACGGAGCCGACAGTTTGCTCGTCGTCGCGCGGGAGGAGGTGGAGGGGTCGTGCGATTGGGATGTCGATAGCGGGCATCGTGACTCGTTCTTTTTCCGCCTCTTTCGCGCGCGCACTTTCGATCAGTTGTTTTTTTTTTTTTTTTCCTTCCTTTTTCCTGGGATATCCGTTTGGGGTCCGGGAGACCTTGAATTTGCGACTCGTAAGGCGTAGGTCTTTTTCAACACCCTCTAAGACGTCGGCTGCCTCGAGGCAGGACCTGGGGTCGGTACATCAATGGAACTAACCCCACCAACTGTGAAAGTAAATAATTCAATGTCGTAATAAAAGGTAGCTCATTCAGCCTCGAGAATTGGGTTGGCGATGCAGTGAATCCGAAATAGCGCTAAATAGCTTCCCGCGATCGTTATGGTGGGGATTTCTTGGAGGAAAAAAAGAAGTTCGGGCAGGTCGAAAAGATGCAGCAGGAGCCTGTGTCGCACCGAGAGTGTCAGCCCAGGATTTCGCGGCGCCTTGATGCTGCGATTCGGTCGTCCGGGCGATGAGGAGAATTGGCGGGGATGCGACGAAGTGTTAAGAGCTGGCGGACGGCTGTTGGCAGGTGTAAGTACATGAGCTTCGTGGATCTTCCCAATTGACTTTTTGGGACTCGGATGATCACCGAGTTCTAGAAATCTCATGCGAACGGCATTGGATCTTGATTAAATTGATTCTGAAGTTGTCAAAGAGGAGATGCGAGTATTTAATGAATTTATTGGGCGAGGACTACTGCATGTTGATGCATAAAATACTCTCACGGCAGCCAGTGGTCTTGTCGCCGACTTTGGCCTGCAGCTCCCAATCCTGGTCGACTCTTGTGCCTACACCACAACGACTCATGATCTTTTCTTCACACGGCATCATTATCAAAACGAAACAATTTTCACAAGGCTTGGATGTTCAGTTTCGTACGTGCACTTGAATGTGTTTTGTTTTCACCCTGGGTTCCCAGATCCCTCCTAGAATCTACGCTTCTTCTATCCAAGTATCCGTGAGCAGAAAAGGGAATAGGCAAAACGAAGGGGAAAAAAAAAAAAAAAAAAAAAAAAAAAAAAAAAAAGGAAAGGAAAAAAAAGGGAAATAAAGAAATTCAACATGCCTTCTTAGAAGGCGCATTGGGATTTGAGCCCAATGCGGGGGTCGAACCCGCAGCCTTGAGATTAAGAGTCTCACGCTCTACCGATTGAGCTAACCGGGCAGGCTAGTGTTTCTTGTTGTGTTTAGTCTCCTCGAGTGGCAATCTTAGGGGATGGGGTAAAGGAAATCTGGGAACTAAGAATATAGCTCTAGATATAACGTCACCGAGGGTCTTCACGATTCACACAACGCAGAATCCCTTCCAGCGAGGCTGCCATTTTGGAAACCCTCGCCTACTTCTCTCGATGGGCCTGGACAATGTTTTCTTCACGTCGGAGAAGCCTTGCTTCGCTGCTTGGGTTCAACAGCGGAAAAGTGGACCAGGTCGGCACCAGTCAAGCTTGTAGTGTCCACAGCATATCACTAGTTGTTAAGAGCCAAGGGGGGAAAGGAGAGAGATCTGAAAATGGTTCGACATATGCCCAGTTGTATTTTGCTGGCTTCCTATATGAGATGAGTAGGGGATCTACAGGGGAGATTGCTTTTACGCCAGAGTGGCGGATATGCGGGTGAGCTCTTGGTGCTTTTTGGATTGGGAGGTATACACTCAGTGAGACACTATGAAGAATGTTGCCAGCGAGAAGAGGCTCATTTTCCGGTTGCACCGGAATATCAAGTAGATTTCCCTCCTGTGGAGGAGTTGGAGTCATCCAGTCCTCGCGCTGTGCCGTGTCCAAAAGGTTATGACCGACCTGACTTATGACGAGATGGGGGGAAGGAATTAGGAGTGGCTTCGTGAACGCAAGTCACCGCGTCATGAAATAAATCAATATATCTAACTGCCAGAAGAGAAGTAAAGGCGAGCTCTGTCAATGACATCCCGGAATTTCGAGATCCCAACATGCATCTGACACTAGCGACACTGAATGCCGTTACCTTCAGCGACATGCTAAAGTGGTCGCTTTTCATCTGCGGCTTGGATGCATGGAATTGCGACAAGACTCCGGGTGAACCGGTAAGCAACAGCCATCTCCCCACCTTGAAACATCGGGGCGTCTGGCCGCGCAGCTCTATCGTGTTGAATACGAACTGGTCGAACTGCTTGTAGTCCTCCCGAACAGCCCGGCATAGGGCCGGCAGCTTCCACTAAAACGTAGGTGTCTATCACCTGACAGCGTGTCTTTTTGGCGTCCGCAGCAATCAAAGCTGGCTGAATTTTCGCTAAGATTAGTTCGTGGTGCGGGGTTCACTCCAGTGCATCTCAACAAATACGGATTGATGCGCCGCTGATTACTATTCGGCGCGTCAGCGGGGAAGCACGGCTCCCGCCGCTAACTTTGTATTCGTCGGAATGAGTCGTCGTGATACCATTCAGTCAGCTTTCACAGCCCAGTCAGACTTCACCCCTTGAAGTCTGAAAGGAGGTGATGGTGCAGATGAGCTCTTGGCACGCGTGCTAAATCCGTTGAGGTTTAATGCTCATGGAGCGTCAGCCCTGAATAGTTTTAGGCATCCCCTCCTTGTGGCCTTGAGCAGGGTGCGCGGGCCAGAGTTCCCCCACCCCCCGCGTTTTTCACGGAGCAACTTCATGCCCGCTAGATCCCGTGCGAAAGAAGCCAGAATCGTGCAAGGAATTGGTTAGAGTCCGCACATCGGTACCTCTGTCCCAGAACTTCTGTGAGGGCCCCGCTCTCCACAGTGTCGGAGAGGATCAACGTTGAATCGTTGCTGTGCCGCAGGAGCGAGGAGAAGTGTTTTCCTTAGCGGTTAAATCTTTAATGCAAACATAACAACGCTTGGCCCAACCCAGCTTCCTCTTTTTCAAATCCAGCGATTTCTCTCCAGGTTTTCTCCATATTTCGAAATAGTATTTCTTGAAGACACACCGTAAACATGTCGTCCGAGACCCAGGCACCAACGAAGACGTACCGCGGCAACTGCCATTGCGGCGCCTTCGTCTATGAGGCCGAGGTCCCCGAAATCAAGAGCGCGATGCAGTGTGGCTGTAGCATCTGCTTCAAGAAAGGCTATCTTCTCATTTTCACGCCCGCTAGCACCGTGAAGATCGTCAAGGGCAACTTGGATGATCTCACGACATATGAATTTGGCAGCAAAAAGATTTCTCACATGGTAGGCGTTTGACCGGTCTGCGTTCACACCGGGATCGGCAGTCAAATAGATGAGCATACTGACTTCGGTGCAGTTCTGCCCCAAATGCGGCGTCTCTGCGATCGGGAAGGGAGACACTCCCAATGGCACTTTGTATGCGTTGAATGTATGGGCGTCCCCTTAGCGTCTAAATTGTCATCGTTTCTGAAGTCCGTTTCGCTCGATACTAATTCGTCTGCGGCTTGACAGGTTCATTGTATCCAAGGGATGGATACCCATGCTCTGGAAAAGACCCCGTAGGTGCTTTGTATGCCGGGATAGTAAAGGATATATATGCTGATATGCTTTCAAAGAGCTGGAGGTGAGAAGATCGGACAAGAGCATGTGGTGCCCGAATACTCCGGCCCGGAACCGACCGCCGAGATCGAGGGTTCGAGGATGTACTACGGTAGCTGCCACTGCGGGGCTGTCACGTTCGCCTTGCGCAGCAAACCTATCGACAAGAATTATGACGGGTTCGGGCCTGTCGCTCCAATTGCGGAATGCACCTGCAGTATCTGTGAAAGGGTAAGCCAGCCTCCTCGCATCCATGGTCGCGGGCGCCAAACCCCTTTGTCAAACATCCGGAAACTAACGCTCGTTTAGTACGGAGTGGTATGGATATACCCCAATAAAGACCAGCTTGTCATTCAGGGGTGGGATTCGATCACCGATTATACCTTCAATAGTGGAATGGTGCTCAAGTCGTTCTGTAAGAAGTGCGGAGTTCTCATCGCGAACAAAGTTAGGGACCTCACCCAGGATGAGATGGACAAACTGGACGAGGCGACCAGGGCCTTTGCGAAGGCGAACAACCTCTATCCGGTAAATATCAGAGCGCTGGACAATTTCACTCTCGATGAGTTGGATATCAAGGTAGTCCCGGGTCACAAGCACGGCACACCCTACGTGAACCCTTAGAAGTATCGGCAACTCTCACCGCACAAACTCGCCTGGGTGAAGGGGGTCGTCGACACGTCTCCTGGAAGATAGTCGTTCAATTCAGCATGATTGATGATAACCACCTCAACGGAGAGTGGGATTTCATCCGATCGCAGTGGCTGTGGCAGTCTTTGATGTTGATGAAGATACAGGTTTCGCACGGGTAGGGTTTCCATCGTCATCGAACCGCGCCCACTCGAAAAACGTGCATGACTCTTTGCCCGGGACGTTTCCTCCGTGACACATCCAGAAGTATTTGCCGTAGTTTTCCTTCTTCTTTTGCACTACCCTAAGCACGCAAGGTATATTGCACTTGCACCTGGGTGTAAAATTTGGATGCATGGTATCCCGATAATACCGGTATGTGATGTTTATTCGCTTGTTCCCAGCAATTGGGTGCGGTTCAACTGAGAGCGCAGGTGCCACAGAATGTTTCCACTCCTCCTGCATCTCGGCATGCATAACAAGCAGTGAATTGTGCGGAAGGTGGATGGAGATCTGGCCCTCAGCATCCGGGTTATCGGCCGCGTCTTTATCCGAGTCCCTTGGCAGGATACGCCGCACTCTGAATTCTCGGGACACGCCCAGAGAGATGGAGCCGATGACTGCACGAGGTCCAAGGTAAGTGAGCTGGTCGCTGTGCCAGCCAACGCTCTCCTTCGGGCCATTGTAGCAGTTGACAAAAGCTGCATTCGGAACCCAGGGTTTCGCAGATTGGTACTTCAACTTTTGGCCATTTGGGTATCGCGTGCGTATCCTCGTCTCGATTTCTTGGTTCACCGCTTCCTGGACGATAGGTTTCACCTTTAGCAGATGAGGCGTAAGTCGACGGACGTCCTACAGATAAATTTGAGTATCGAGACTAGAAGATAAGAGGAAGGCAAAACGACAAATGAAAAGTTCCCTACTGTAAGTCTAGCGCCGTTATAAAGGTAAGCGGTCTTTTGCTCCCGCATCTCGTCGTAGCTTTCGACGAAGAAGCCGGAAGTATGCGGGCTCGAGACCACATTTTCAAAGAGCTTGAACGTAATCTTCTCAAACGATTCTGACTCGGCCAACAGTTCTTCCAATAGCGCATTCGCTTCTTCGGCTGGCAGGAAATTGTGAATGATGGTGCAAGGCGTGTGTTCTGCGACATCGACAGGGTCATAGAGATGCATCGTAGCCCCTTTCTTTGATATCAACCTCTTCCTAGCAGGAAGGGCTTGTCCATCGTCACTCTTCGGCAAAGCAAAGTGCCTAAGAGAAGGTTGATAGGCAAGAGCGCTATTCAGCTTCTTGAGTGGTCTCTGGGACTTGAGAATCGCAGACGCTTCTGCGACTGACCCATCATGGGCAAGGAGTATGTCGAGTAATATCTCTTGCTCGATGCTGGGATGAAGTGACGAAAGTATGGCAAGTTTCACGTCAGTTGGTTCATCTTTCGTGCTTTCAAGAGCGTCTTCAAGCTCGTCAGTCTTCTTGCGCTTCCGAGTAATAAAGGCATCCATTGTCCATTGTTTGAAAAGTGTGAAAATTAAGAGAATTTCAGGTTACATATACTGGGGAGGCAGACATCCACCCCACTTTATTTGGCTGGTTTAGAAATCAGAATTCACCCCGCAGGCAGCGCAGAAATCTCTCGTCACAGAAAGGGCGTATTCTTCTACTCCGTAGTTGTAGATGGAAGCGAGGGCTGAGTGGGTGATGGGACGCGACCTCCTCAGACGGTGTACCCGGATGGTGTGCGCGAAATCACCTGACCTGGCACTTGGGAAAAGACCCCGTCTTGACGGGTTAACGGGTAGTTAGGATGACTAACAACCCCACTTGCTTGATCAAGAAGTCAAGTGCGATTGAGAGACACCCCCCACGAAGACCATTTCGATGGCGCCTGCCGAGGTCCATCCGAGGGGCAGTTCTACGAGAGCTTCGTTCGCCTAATTAAATACGTCGTTGTTCGTCACTTATTGCCTTGGAGCTCTGTCCAACCCGAGACGGCACTCACTCGTACGTGACGGCGAACGAACCCCTCCTGGAATACTGTGTTCCTGAATGCGACTTTACCTAGACGTGGGGGAAAATTGGTGATGCCGCTCGGCATCTTCACCTGATTAGCCATGGCGGCGATGCTCGAGTTTAGGACGCAGGGTTACAACCCCTATGCGGTCAAATACTCGCCTTATTACGATAACAAGATCGCGGTCGCGACATCGGCAAACTTTGGAATTGTTGGGAACGGCAGGGTCTTTGTCCTGAACCTGACGAACCAAGGGACAGTGGTTGTGGAGAAGGCGTAAGTCGTTGAACTGGGAATGCGAAGGCATTGGATAGTTTCGGTCGCTGTTTTCTGATGCGGAGGCACCGTCCTTAGGTTTGACACGAACGATGCGCAATACGATGTCGCTTGGTCCGAGATCAACGAGAGGCAAGTGGTGGTAGCATGCGGAGATGGGTCTATCAAGCTTTACGACATAGGGGTGGAACCGGGGTTCCCCGTTATGAACTTCCACGAACATAAGAGGGAGACGTTTTCTGTGTGCTGGAACCCCGTGACGAAAGATAGTTTTGCTTCTAGCTCTTGGGACGGCACGGTCAAAATTGTGAGTAGGGAAAGGGGAAGGGGTGTGGGAAGGGGGCCTCCTTTCGATTTCGCTGTCCGCCCATGCGAAGACCATGGCTAACACGAATTAGTGGTCGCCAACCCGTATGAATTCGATTACGACGCTACCCATAGGGAACTGTGCATATAGCACAGCCTTCTGCCCGTCGAACCCTGCCCTAGTCTCGGCCGTCTCGAGCGACTCACATCTCCGGATATTCGATCTCCGTACTCCGGTAACTGCGAAGTACCATTTGACAGCGGCAATCCCGGTCCACGCACCACCTCCGGGTTTCCCAGGGCAACCAGTGCCAGCAGTGGGGCCCGGCGAGGTGTTGACCCATGATTGGAACAAGTACAACCACTCTATAATAGCAACCGGAGGTGTTGATAAGATTGTGCGAACTTTTGACATACGGAACCCGACCAGTGGCCCCGTTTCCTTGATGGAAGGGCACGGATATGCGGTGCGGCGGTTGGCGTGGAGTCCCCATGAAAGCGATATATTGATTACGGCTAGTTACGACATGACGGTGCGGGTATGGACGGATGGATCGAAGTACCCGAACGATCCCACTCTTCCGGGGATGAGAGGAAGGCAAATAGGTCTCATGAACAGACACACAGAGTTCGCAACGGGAGTGGATTGGTGCCTCTTCGGTCAAGGCTGGGTCGCCTCGGTTGGTTGGGATGAGCGGGTATTGTTGTGGGACGCGAGGCCGTTCTTTGCTAATAGATTTTGAATTGGGAACCACATTGATGATGGTAATTGATGTCTGTATAAGCTACGGATGCAAGACCTTTCGTGGCTGTGTATTTTCTAGCAGTAATGTAGCATGGGAGCAGCCTCCTCCGGAGTAGGGTCGTTGACTAGCCAAAGTGTCAATTCGACTTTATTAACTTTGATGATGCTTCTGCGCCCAGTTTGAGACGATGACAATTCCAATTCGCAAGGGACGTGGAACAATGCCTTGTCAATTGTCAAGTCGAGCCATTCAATGTTGTCAATTGCTGTCAATTGTTGCAAAGGTGCATGATGAGGTAATCTTGGGGGCCCAATTAAATTTCAACCGCGAGACCAGTCGCGTGGTTCCTGGTCTCTGTGGCAAGGGGAAGAAAAATTCCCAAGCCAAAAAAAAGTTAGGACGAACGAGAAAGTCGAGTCTCTTTTCCCGCAAACACCAATCGCACCTCCACCACCCGCAGTTCATCTTCCTCTCCTACAAAGACTCTTTCCCAGGGATCAAATCCTATTCATCAAAGAAACCACCTGTCCTTTCATTCCTTGCTCCATTTACACCCGTCTTCAATCCGAGAGAGCTCTTCCTCTTTTATCGAAGAGCTTTCGGAGCTCTAATACCGAGCGACGCTTCTTAATCATCATTCCCTCTCCTCCCTCCTCCTCTTCCTTCACCATGCTTCGCCAATCCCTCCTCCGAAGATGTACACCCATACGTCGGGTGTGCGGTGCCTCGGTCTCAGCCCCGGCCGTCTCTAAATTCCAATCCCGAGCCGTTGGCCTCATCCCGACTCCCCGGGTCACAGTTCGACCTGCCTTCTATAATGCCTTCCACCACTCTCGTCTCCTTCACCAGGGAACTGCGACAGCCGCAGAGACCGAGGCAACCGATGCGGAGCCTGCTAAGGACCAGACAATGCGTTTCGAGGATGCCATCGACGCTGGTATTCATCCCAATTTGATCCGCGCCGTCCGACAAGATATGGGATATGAGTACATGACCGAGGTGCAAGACAAGACCGTGCGCGCAGCTCTCCGCGGACTCGATCTGTAGGCTCCTTACACCATTCCATCGCATTGACCTGAATTAGAGAAAAAAGCTAACCATCTCTTAGGGTTGCCCAAGCAAAGACCGGCACGGGAAAGACTATCGCGTTCCTTCTCCCAATGCTCCAACGCATGATTGACGAGGACTCTAGCCTTGCGACCAGGCACATGACAAAGAGGGCGAAGCCGGATGACATCCGTGGTATTGTGATATCGCCTACCCGTGAGCTTGCAGAGCAGATTGGAAAGGAAGCCATGGAGTTAACCCGTCACACCGGGCTCGTGGTCCAGGTTGCTGTTGGTGGCCAACATAAGGGATCCATGCTTCGGGATATCCAGCGTCGAGGATGCCATCTTCTGATCGCCACTCCGGGTCGTCTAAAGGACATCCTGGAGGATCCCAGCAGCCGCGTTGAGGCTCCTAATTTGGCTGCGCTTGTTCTTGATGAAGCCGATAGGATGCTTGACGTCGGATTTGCCGACGCTCTGGAGGATATCCAGAGACTGCTTCCTGATGTCAAGGAAAAGCCACGACAGACTATGCTTTTCTCCGCGACAATTCCCCGCAATGTCATCGGCCTAGCGAGATCCATGGTCCGACAGGATCAATTCGACTTTGTGCAGACTATTCGACATGACGAGGCGCCCACACACGAGAAGATTCCCCAAAAGATTGTCATTCTGCCTTCGCAGGTCAACCTCTTCCCCGCACTCTACGAGCTTCTCGACCGCGAGGTCGCAAAGTCAAAGGAGACAGGGCAGCCGTTCAAGGCCATAATTTACTACTCAACCACTACCATGGTGGAACTTGCCCATAAAGTTCATGCCACGATGCGAAGGTCACGGCCTAATGATATTAAGTATCCCTTCACCTACTTCATCCACGGTCAGCTCAGCCAGAGAAACCGGACTCACGCTGCGGATTCCTTCCGCCGCGCCCAGTCTGCCATCCTCATCTCCTCCGACGTCACTGCCCGCGGTATGGACTTCCCCAACGTAACCCACGTTATCCAGGTTGGCCGCCCGGTCAGCCGCGAACAATACATTCACCGTCTTGGACGTACGGGGCGACAGGGCAAGGATGGCGAGGGCTGGCTCCTCATCCCCGCGCATGAGGCGGAAGACACGAGGCGCTCCCTCGGCGACCTCGACCTCGTCCGTGACACCTCGTTGGAGAGTTCTCAGACCCTTATTGAATCCGAGGAAGCCGGAATGCCGCAAATCTTTGAGGATGTGCGTTCGGCATTCGAGCACGTTGATGAACAAACCCTCACCGATGCCTACACATCGAAATTCGGACACATGCCGCGCTGCGATGCGCAGGATTTCGTGGACGATACCAATAAATGGATCAAGCTCATCTGGGGCTGGCCCGAGCCTCCTAGGGTCTCGCAGCAATGGGTAATAAAGAGGGGTCTCCGTAACGTCCAAGGCTTCAACGTCGGGCCCCAAAATCACTCGCCCGGGAACATGAGGCGTCCCCCGGTCAACTCGAGGCGCACCTTCGAGAATAGGTTTGAGAGGGTGATGCATGAGAACCGCCATACTGACTCCACCGGCCATAGTGGTCATCAACACAGGCGAAGGCCTAGGTGGTGAAGGACGTTTTCTGAAAAAAAATACAATGAAGAAGATGGTCAGGTGGTAGTGTGTGTACGATAATAATGCTTTGGAAACGAAGGGGAGAGAGGAGCAGGGCAGAAACGAAGCACCAACAAAAGAAGGTTCAAAATGTTTAGAAGGGGGGGGGAAGAAAATTGAGCGGCTCTTGGACGGATCTGGGACATCTCTACTTTGTTTTACTACACCATCTTCGATTCTTTTTTTGTTTTTGTCAAACAGGTTGTTCCAGTTTTGAGCCTTTGTAATCGATAGACGGAGGGCAGGATTGAATGACAGTTCGGGCGTTGTAGTATGATGATAACCTTGTGTATATACCTTTAGGCATTAGGCAGATTGTCCGCTCTCGTTGATTGATGTTTGCTATATATCAATTGTACTCTATCTTTCGTACCTCGTCAAAAGATGTATCCGTTACCTCTGTCCGACCGCCCTGGCAAACCCCGTTATGTGAACCAAAACGCCGAGAACCGAAAAACAAGAATAGCACCTCTACCTTCACGTCTATCCCGTCTCTATCCAAGGGAAGAAGAAGAAGAAGAAGAAGAGGGAGAAGAAGAAAAGGATTGGGAAACGCTCAAAACCGCCTCCTCTCCTGAATGATAACCAAGCCCTCCCCCAAGCCATCAGCCACACCACCCGCAACACCGCTAACCGTCCACGCAATACCACTCGCAACAGCCTCCCCCACAGTCCTGTCCCCACCAACCGACATAGTAGCGACCTGCCTAGCAGCCGAGCGAGCCATATCGACAGCGCCGCCGACCAACGCACCCCCAACATGGTACTTCCTCTCCGCACGTGCAGCAGCATGGAAAGCGGCTAGGATGTGAGGGAGCAGCATGCCTATTATGACGAGGTAAGCCGCCACCACGGTCTTCACGAGGCGGTGGAGGACGGAAGGAGGCGGCGGACCGCCGGCCGAGGAAGGGTGCATGTGCGGGGAGGAGGGGTGGAGGGGGCGGGGGAGGGAGGAGCGGAGGGCGGAGATTTCGGCGGGGGTGAGGTCCGGCGGGAGAGAGGTTAGGAGGTGGCGGAGGCCGCCTATGTATTCGGTGCGTTCGAAGGAGGGGTTTCGGGAGGAGAGGGGTTGTGATTTTTCGTCGCGGGCGATAGAGATTTTTGTGAGTCCTGGTTTGGCTGTTAGAGATCCCGGTTTATCGAGGAAGAGAGAAAGAGAAAAAGCAACAAGGCTCGTAAAACATACCACGGCGGACGGAGTCCCACTTGATGCCCGAGTCCTTTCTCGGCCTTGCAGGAAATGTCTCGGATTCCACAGTCCCCGCCGAGTTCCCCCTTGGACGCCTATCCGCATCATCCAACACGAGCAAGGCATCGCGAACATCCTCCATCAACGACGCCATCTCCCTCTCCTCGATGCTATACTCCGCCTCAACCTCCTCCGTCGTCAGGCTGCTCGGCGTGCTCTCCCCGCTGCAATGAGCAGTGGTGTACCCCGTGCCCGTCGGCCCTGTACTTGCGCCGTAGCCTGCTCGTTGTCTGAGACCGGTGGTTCTTAGGGTCCTCCGGTTTCCTGTTGCCTTTCCGTTCCACGGGCTTTGGCTTCCTGGCCGCGTGGGCAGCGGCGGCGTGGCTTCGCCGCTTTCGTCCGCTGAGGAATCTAGTTCTTGAAATCTCGGCGTGGAATCGATTTGCGGGCCGAGGCTGGTGCTGGGTTGCCTCACGCCTCTGTGAACATTGCGGATACGTTCGAGGCCGGACTGGACTGTGTATGGGAGTAGGGAGAGCATGGGCAATGGTTGTTTTGTTTACACAGGCAGTGTATGTTTGAGTTTGAGTTTGTTGATACAAGAGTCGGTGATGGGAATCCGCGTGCGGGTGTAAATAGTAGCTTATCGTATATAGGCAAGCATATGAGTTGGAATGAGAGAAATCCGCTGTGAATGTCCAGTCTTGTTGGAATTAGGAAAGATTAAAGGCAAGGCAAGGAACATATATCGCAATGTATATCTCTCTCGGTGGGGGATGCCGTGGTAGATGGTTGGGGGAAGTCGAGAATAAAAGTGAGCCTCAAAGGAAAACTCCTCCCGGCAAGGAATCACGGAGGCCCACGGAATCGGATCTCGGATCTGGTGTCAGAAGGGAGCTAAAATAGAACGATATGGAAAAAAAAAATAAGCTTTGGGTGTGGCCTCTTTTTTTGGAGGGCGTGGTCTCTGCTCCTTGCTCCCATACGACGGCGGTCTGGTTGTGTGTCAAAAAAGAACCAGAACAGTCATTGTGCTCGGTTTGCCTCACCTCGGTCGAAGGACATCTGCCAAGCCTGGCATGCGCTAGAGAAAGGAAAGAGAAGAGAATAAATGACAACAAGAATAGAAAGATAGGAAACTACGGCGTTAGGAATGGGACGGAGTCGAGCCGGAGAAAGTTTCTCTGTTTACACCCCCACTAGGTCCACGAGGTGGACTTCCGAATCAAATCCAACACGAACACAGACGATGAGGCGAGATTGGACAGGCCACAGATAGACTCCACGTCGATAGGGATGACGAGAAGAAGCCGGCGGGAAAGCTATTCTCGATACATTGGCGGATCAATGCGAGCCGGTCTAGCGCCGTGTTAAGCACTTGGATAGTGCAAGGGATCCTAGCGAGGGATGGCAGCGGACATTCCTTTTTTTTTTTTGCCTCTGGCTGCCTCGAGACGGAACATCTAGATCAAATGCCAAAAGCATCTGCACGCGTTCAAGCCAAGTGGACCCTTGCGTTCGCCCGATGCCACCCTCCTGGAACCTCAACGGCGCTACGTCTGGCCTTTGAAAGCTGCAAGATGGTAGATCTGGACTGGAAGAATACAAACCCTGGTTGGTCCTCGCCTCGAGAATCGAGTTCTTCGCTCAAATATAGACCCCAAAACAGAATGCAGCAGAAGAATGGAAGAAGCATTCTGCAAAGAGCCTCCTCCGCTGTCCAGGGCAGCCTCGGGCACGATAATTGACGAAATTGTCTAATGCGGCTTTGACCGGAAAGAGGAAAGAGCACTGGAGTCTTGGATTTTGACATGTGAAAGTCGGTGACATGCTGCGAGATAAGAAGCATGTGCGCGAAGGAAGGAGCGACTAATGCGGGCATGCATGTGCTACATCGGATTGCCGCCTCAACTCTGAAACTGAAACTCACCAACAATGCACAGTTCAATGTTTTAGGGAATGTTTTAGGGCTGCTATTAAGAGGGTATCAAAATTACTCTCTGTGTGGAAACAAAACTCGTTCAAACTCTGGAACTGGCCTGCTTGAATTTGAATCACCAATTCCAATCATATCAACAGAGCCAATTCTTGCTCCATGACCGCACAACATGTCCATCTGATCCGATGGCTCAAATTATTGCCAACTTGCAGTCCGTGATCCATGATATGGCATCGAGTTATATACCGAATAATGCGATGGCGATGCCCAAAATCAGGTATGGAGCAGTGCCAAACTTGGTGATCAGCCACCCATGCTGCTGCAGTGTTGTTCTCAAAAACCTGGAGTCCTACATCTTGAGAAGCTCAACTAATAATTCCGTCATAATCATTATAATATATGCTTTCAGTTATAAGCATCATGAATATGTAGAAATACAAGGGACAGAGGGAGAGCCTGCGATGTCCCCTTTTCTAAGTGACAGCAAAAAAAAGTGTTCCGTAGCACTCCCACGCCCAAACGCCGAAAGGAATAAAAGACCAAGCAAGCATAAACGCCGCCACACAAGCAAAATACAACCGAAACGCCATCGAACACTGCCCTGTCCCGTACTTCCACGAGCCACTTCTCTCTATCTTGTAGCCCTCCGCCATTGATATCGTCCCATTTAACCTCCCTATGCCATGTCCTTGCTCAACTCATAAGTCCATGCTCCTTCCCGCCGGAGCCTGTCTCGAGCCGCCATATCCTTCCGGATGTCATCCTCCGTCAGGCGGTCCGCACCGCTCCAGTTAGCGCTCGACGTGCGAGCCCTGAACTTGTGCCACCTGTCCTTGCTCTTGCTGAATACCTCTTCCATATTGAGGGGAGCCGGCGGCCCAAAGATCTGCGATGGATCCATCGTCTCCTGCCTCAACAACGCACGGCGGAGGTCCGGCGAGTCTGCCCAGGACGCTACCACGCCCTGGTCATTGTCTGAATCCTCGTCTTCGTCGTCCGTATCGATTTCTGGCAGCTCGATAGAGTCGCCGTTGGGGAAGCGCGGTGACGTGCGCGGCGCCGACTTCGCCGTCGACTTAACTGTAGCAACCGCCCCCGGCCTGGCAGGCGTCTTGAAAGCGGTTCCTGTCTGGCCAGGATTAGATGCGAATGGGATTGCGCCCTTGGAAACCTGTGCCATATCGAGCGGGTGAGCTGCCTTTAGGGCACCGTTGTGCTGGGATGTGACCGCTGTCTTGAATAGATCGCGGGGTGCGCTTGCCGGTGGCACTGCTGTGTACCCGCCGAGGAACATCGACTTGTTCTGAACCTCCGGCTGTGATAGTATTGTTAGTATACACGTCCGTGTTCGAGGCCTATCATGAGAATTGGTATCACTACATACCTTCTTATAACCAGCCGAAGGGCGGACAGGAGGGCCCTTGATGTTAGGCAAGCTCTCCATGTCCTCATCCGGTTCTTGGCTTGTCCGTCGTCGCTTGGCATCCTTGCCTTGGTATGTAGGTCCGTTGCGCGCCTGTTGTGCACGGGCATTACCCGCGTCGTTATCTTGGCCCAGCGGCCGTTTCTGGGCCTTGTTCGCGTTCGACAAGAGGGCATTGACTGGCCGGTTGAGATCCTCCTGAGATCGGAAAACCGACGAGCCAAGCCGCGATGGAGGTCTTGGCGGCTGTGAAGTTGCCTGCTGTTCCTGAGCAGCTGCGTAGTCAGGTGGTCCGTTGGGTTGCGATCGTACTGCCGGAGGTGGAGCCCGCGTTTGCTTGGCCTTCTCAATGGCCGCCTGTCTCTGCGCCGCCTTCTTGGCTTCTAACTCCCTCTCCTTTTCCCTCTGCCTCTCCGCTTCGAGGCGCCGCTCCTCTTCCTGCATCGCAGCCCTCTTGCGTTCTATCTCTGCCCTTGCTTCGCGCTTGCGCTGAGCTTCGCGCTCTTCCTGTTCCTTCCGTTTCGCTGCGAGCTCCAGCGCCTTGGGACGTCCCGTCGAGGAGACTGAACTCTTAAGGCTCTGTACTGAGCTCTTCGACTTCAGCTTCGTCTGGCTGGGCTTGGTAGCGGCCTGCGTCTGAGGTGCGCTGGGGGCCAGAGACTCGTGCAGGTTGGCAGAGAGGGCATTGTTGGACGGATGATACTGCGAATGATGGGCCCCCATGTTGACCTTGATAACCGTGGGTGCTGCCTTGGACTTGGTGGCGCTGTCCTTCGTTGGTCGCGTCGGTCGTTTGAGCTCACGGCTTCGGATAGCGGGGCCTGGACCGCCCGCGCGAGTGGCTGATGGCGGAGGTGGAGGGGGCATCGCAGCCGATGCATCTTGCATCTCGACATCTTGCTCCTGGACTTGTGGCTTGGCTCTCCTTGGACTAGACCTAACTGGCTTTGGAGGTTCCTTCTCAACCGGGCGCTTCCTCTCCTGTTCCTTCTGTGCAGCAACCTGCTTCTCCATGGCCGCAATTCTCTCTTGCTCCTTGCTAAACACTCGCGCTTTTTCACGCTCCTTTTCGCGCTCCTTCTCGAGCTTCTCCATCTGATCAGCTAATCGACGGGCTTCCTTCTCCATCATCTTCTCCTTGCGCTCGCGCTCAGCGGATGCCCGCGTGCGCCGCCCAATGGGCTTCGACGGGCTTGCAGGTCTCGAGAAGAGAGACTGGGCATCGGGCAAGACCTTTGACAGATCGGGGTACATCGATTCACCGAGATTAGGCTGCGCAATCGATTCTGACGAAGGACCTGGCAAGCATTCGAGACGAGTCGTAGACGGGGATAGAATAGAAGACTTTCCCTCTGCACTAATAGCTGCGCTACTGGCAAGAAGTCCCTTAGAGCTCTTAAGGATAGAGGACAACTTATTCTTGACCTGCTTCAGAGGGCTATCACGGGCCGTTCGCAAAGGGGATTTCATGGGTGTTCCGGGACGGTCCGATTCCGAAACGGTCGCCAAAGTGGGGTTTGAGACCGAGATTCCCTTCTTTGGGGAGCCTGCGGAGTCATCCTCTTGCAGCTTCGCATTAGGGAGCGCTGAGACGGACGCAGATTTCATGTGTGTCAATGTACTAGTTGTCCTCTCGGGAATCATCGGGGGCTTGTATGGTGAGTTCGGTCGGCTTGTTGGTTGTCGCTGCTTAGGCAAAACAAAATCGGCACTCTCAGTTTCGGAACTAGCCTTGCCCGGCATCGGGCCGTACGCGTTGTCCTTTGGAGGAACGGCGGGACGAGGGCTGGGTTGCTTGGCAACTGTGACAGGGGGGTCAATCCAGTCGTCGTCGTCATCATCACCAGGGAAAGCACCAGGTGTCGTTGGCTTTCGGATGGGGCTAAATGGCCTTTTCTCATCGTGTCGCGCCGGGGCAGGGGTGGAAGCCGTATTGATAGGGGCGAGGTTCGCAATAGACTTGGATGGACGGCTGGCTTTAGCCTGAGACTGTCCAAGCATGCCGATCCGGTCCTGAAGACGCTGGGTGTACGTCTTATTATGGTCTGTGATGGCTTCAGTAGGTTTATGAGACACGGTTTCCTCATCTTCATCCACATCCATCTCGTCGTCGTCGGTCGATGGTGGTGGAATGATGGTGTTGCCAAGGCTCTTGCCGCCGGTGGGTCTACCGTAGTAACTGGTCCTGTTAAGATCCAGGTGACTGGTTCGCGACATCCTACCACCCATGCTCTTTCCAGTCGTCAAGGGTTCTCGGGCAGGCAACGTCGCAAAGTTCAGACTGCTCTTACGAAGAGCGGGCCTGATTGGGCTAGAGTTATCAGAATGGGAGTGCTCATCGTCCTGCTCATCATCTGCCTCTTGTTTTGGCTCGGCCTGGCTCGGTACTGGCTTTCGGATGATGGGTGACCCAACTTGGGTCTTCAGAGGAGAGGCCTTGACGGGAGACATCTTCATAGGAGAAGACTTGACCGGAGAAGATCTTATGGGGGAAGGAGAGCGCGGAGCTGAAGCGTGGGATGATGGCGCGTTACTTTGAGGTGGGATATTTCTAGAGCGGGTAGTTGTCGGGGATATGATCTGTTGGGTGGCATCTGGGATGACTCTCGCAGTTTGTTCTTCCTTTGCTGTTAGGAAGGTAGCTGTAGGAGACTGGAGCACTCTTGTCCGAGTCGGGCTCTGTTGCCTGTGGAGGGTAGGCGAGCCGATGGGAGAAGCAGCCTTAACCGGGCTCTTCGCGTTCAGCGGCACACGGGTCTGGCTAGGGCTCCCCAGGTCATCAATCTCCTGAGATTGACTTCCGTGGTACCCTGAGTCTGCATGAGGAATGGGAGCGGGAATCTGTCGATTCGGAGAGGGAAGAGGCCTTTTGGCTGGCGAATATGCAGGGGTCGTAGTCGAGGGCTTTTTCAGTTCGGTCGGTGCCATGGGTGAAGGGGAGTTGAGTCGGTTAAGCTGCTGGAGGAACGGGTTTGCCGTTCCACGGGGCGTTCCCGAGAAAATATCTGACAGAGGCTGTAGCACGAGTTAGAGGTCATTGCCAAAGCAAACGCGGCACCGCATCGAGAACGTACGACTCTCGCTTCTGTATTTTCCGGTTTCCTAATTGCTCTTGGAGTCTTCGCTCTTAACTTTCCAGGAGTCTTAAACATCTCGGCGACATTGCTATTGTGCCAAATGTTAGTGCCGTGGCGTCTCTTGTATTCCGAGGGACGGGTGTGGGATCTTACATTTCATTCTCGTCGAAGATCCCGGCCATATGCTCGTTCAACCACTCGAAATCGTTTCGAACCGAGTAGGAGAATTCTTCAGCCTCGTCTTCCACGATCTGGAGAGCTGCTGCTCTCTCCTCCGAGATCCATGGCGCCGAGCCGATTGGCAAACGCGATCCACGGATCGTGGCCATAGCTGAGACGGAAATCGATGTAGGTGTGAATACAGAGGCGAGTGCGGCTATGGTGGAGGCGGACTGAGTTATCAATTGGAGGATGAGACCAGTTTGTATGTGAAGAATACTGGGAAGAGGTTGTTGATGGCAAGGTTGAGGTTGAGGTCGAGATAGATAATAGACGAGGGTGTGGGTGGTTTGTGGGAGTGTGGAAGAGCTTCGGCCAAAGCTGCCGGGTCGTGTTGATTTCCCGCCTTTTCGTTGCGTTCGTTGCTTTCATTGGGGCTCGTTTGTTTTGATTCTTCCCGATCCGGGTTAGTCTCTCCTCCCCTCCTGGTGTGGATCACAGCGTTGGCCACTGTGGAGAGCTGCTACCTCACGTGACTTGTACAACTGGATCCCGCTGGTAGGAGCGCGATTGTGGCGGATCATTGGCGTCTTACTGGCTCGACTCTTTGAAACACCGAAGACATGAGTAAGACCAACACTGTAGTGCACTGTATGGAGTACTTTGTATCTTTGTTTACTTTGCGATTTGCAATTGAATTGGACTTTCCGCGTCGCAGCTCCCCTCAGAGAACTTCGCAACATCACCTCTGAATCAATACTAACCACTCCAGCGGCCTTGACGCTTCGCATGCTGCAAACATGAGGGTTATCGAGGTTATCATAGACGTACGACTATCCCTTTCGCCCTCCCGGCCATATCCATGTCTCCCTAGCATACTAATCCTCTCTACAGGGCTTCAAGTCGTATGCGGTGCGAACCGTCATCTCAGGATGGTAAACATGCCCCTCCAACCACCTTACGCGCGAATCGTGTCTCTAAATCGCCACAATGTAGGGACGAAAGCTTCAACTCCATTACAGGCCTAAACGGCAGTGGCAAGTCCAATATTTTGGACGCCATCTGCTTTGTTCTCGGTATCACAAACATGTCGACAGTTCGAGCTCAGAATCTACAGGTATGCACTTGAACGTATTCGGTGGGCCGCCGGGGTTGCATGAAGCGGCCATTTGCTAATACCATCGCGATCCCAGGACTTGATTTACAAGCGTGGCCAGGCTGGTGTCACAAAGGCGAGCGTCACCATCGTCTTCGACAATCGCGATAAGAAGAAGTCCCCCATCGGATTCGAAGAATATGCCACCATTAGCGTAACCCGGCAAATCGTACTCGGAGGCACCTCCAAGTACCTGATCAACGGACACAGGGCGCAGCAACAGACTGTGCAGAACCTCTTCCAATCGGTTCAACTTAATATCAACAACCCCAACTTTCTTATCATGCAGGGCCGCATCACCAAGGTCCTGAACATGAAGGCCGTCGAAATTCTCGCCATGATTGAGGAGGCTGCTGGCACGAGGATGTTTGAGGATAGGAGAGATAAGGCGTTGAAGACGATGGCAAAGAAGGAGATGAAGCTTCAGGAAATCACCGAACTTCTTCGTGACGAGATCGAGCCGAAACTCGAAAAGCTACGGACAGAGAAGAGGGCTTTCCTCGACTTCCAGCAAACCCAAAACGACTTGGAGAGGCTAGATAGGCTCGTCGTAGCATACGACTATGTCTCAAACGTGGATAAACTGACAAGGTCTGCTGCTGACCTGGAGAAGAAGGTCCAGAGGCAAAAGACGCTCGAAGAATCAGCCGCCCGTCTCAAGAGCGAGATTTCTCATCTCGAGGAAGATGTCAAGCGAGTTCGAGCCCAGAGGGACAAGGAGCTCAAGAAGGGTGGCAAGGCGCAGGCTCTCGAAGATGCAGTCAAGAAGCACTCCAATGAGATTGTGAGGCTGGCGACTGTCATGGAGCTCAAGAAGTCCAGTCTAACTGAAGAGGAGGAAAAGAAGACTGCCGTCGAAAGGACAGTTGCCGAGTTAGAGACATCCCTCAAGGACAAGGTCAAGGCCTTTGAGAAGATCAAGGCGAAGTATGATGCTGCCAAGGAAGACCTTGAGAAGCAATCGAAGGAGGCGGAGTCGAAAGAAGAGCTGCTCCAGACCCTCCAGACTGGCGTAGCTTCTAAGGATGGCCAGGAGAATGGCTACCAAGGCCAACTGCAAGATGCCAGGAATCGCGCGACTGCTGCCATTACCGAGCAAGAGCAGGCGAAAATCAAGATTTCTCACCTTGAGAAGCGCGTCAAAGAGGAGGAGCCGCGCGCCAAGAAAGCTAAGGAAGCAAACGCCGGTCTACTGAAGGAGCTGGAAGGTCTCAAAGTCGAAGCCCAGAAGCTTGAAAAGGAACTTGGAAAGCTTGGTTTCGAGCCGGGCCAAGAGGAGGAAATGTATAAACAAGAGTCGGCGCTCCAGGAAAAGATTCGGGAACTGCGACACGAGTCCGATACCCTCAGGCGTAAGGTAGCCAACATTGACTTCACCTATGCCGATCCTGCACCAAACTTCGATCGGTCCAAGGTCAAGGGCTTGGTTGCCCAGCTCTTCACCCTCGACAAAGAGCATACCCACGCTGGCACCGCTCTTGAGATTTGTGCCGGTGGTCGTCTTTACAATGTTGTCGTAGACACCGAGGTTACCGGTACGCAGCTTCTCAAGAACGGCAAGCTCCGAAAGCGGGTGACAATCATTCCTCTGAACAAGATTGCCGCCTTCAAGGCCTCTGCTCAGGCTATAGCGACCGCTCAGAAGATCGCTCCCGGCAAGGTCAACCTTGCCCTCTCTTTAGTGGGTTACGACGAAGAGGTGTCAGCGGCAATGGAGTATGTCTTTGGCAACACTCTGATCTGCGCTGATTCGGAGACGGCGAAACAGGTCACTTTCGACCCGAGTGTGCGCATGCGAAGTATTACCCTTGAGGGTGATGCGTATGATCCTTCTGGAACCCTATCAGGTGGCAGTGCACCAAACTCGAGCGGTGTGCTTGTCACGCTGCAAAAGCTGAACCTCCTCACGAGGCAGCTGAACGAGGCCGAAGCCACTCTTAAACAGCTCCAGGTCAAGATCAGCAAAGAGAAATCCAAACTAGACAAGGCAAAGCACATCAAACAGGCTCTTGATCTCAAGGCCCACGAAATCAAGCTTGCCGATGAACAAATTGGTAGCAACTCGGCCTCGTCCATTATCCAGGAAGTGGAGGCCATGAAAGAATCAATTTCCCAGCTCAAGAAAAATATTGCCGACGCACAGAAGCGACATGCTGAAGCCACGGCAGATGTCAAGCGGATTGAGAAGGACATGAAGGACTTCGACAACAACAAAGACGCCAAGCTGATTGAGCTCCAGAAGGCCCTGGACAAGTTGACAGCTACTATCGCTAAGAACTCTGGCTCGGTCAAGGCCCTTCAAAAGGAGGTTCAATCCGCCCAGCTCGACTCTGAGCAGGTCGGTGCAGATCTCTCAGGCACCCGCGAGCAGCTGCACGAGGTTGAGCTTGCCATTCGCGCGCAGCAAGACGAGATCAAGGCATTGGTCAAGGAACAGGCTGCGGTCAAAGAGACGCACGACGTAGCCCAGGCAGAGCTGGAAGACGAGCGATCTAAGCTTAACATCTTCGATGATGAACTCCGCGCTCTTGAGGAGGCTACTCGGTCAAAGAACAAGAGAATCACCGAGGAAGGTCTCGAGCTGCAAAAACTTGGTCACCAAATCGAGAAGTTTGACAAGGAGCAGCAGCACGCCGCCGAAGAGGTTAAGAAGCTCGAGGCCAGGCACGACTGGATCGTCGACGAGCGAGACAAGTTCGGCCGGCAGGGAACGCCATATGACTTCAACAGCCAGAACATCCGAGAATGTCGCTCCACACATCGAAACTTGACGGAGCGCTTCCAAGGCATGAAGAAGAAGATCAACCCCAAGGTGATGACTATGATCGACAGCGTCGAAAAGAAGGAGGTCTCGCTTAAGCACATGATGAAGACCGTCATCCGTGATAAACGGAAGATTGAAGAGACTATTGTCTCGCTTGACGACTACAAGAAGAAGGCGCTACAGGAGACATGGGAGAAGGTCAACGGGGACTTTGGTCAAATCTTTGCGGAGCTACTCCCAGGCAGCTTTGCCAAGCTAGACCCTCCCGAAGGCAAGACTATCAGCGACGGCTTAGAAGTCAAGGTCTGCCTTGGTAAAGTCTGGAAACAGAGCCTCACTGAACTGTCCGGTGGCCAAAGGTATTATTTATTTCCCCTTCCAGTTTTTTTTAAGCTCGGCAAATAGCTAACACTGGATTTAGATCTCTCATCGCCTTATCCCTTATCATGGCACTACTCCAGTTCAAGCCGGCACCCATGTACATTCTTGACGAGGTAGACGCCGCACTTGACTTATCACATACGCAGAATATCGGCCGTCTCATCAAGACAAGGTTCAAGGGCTCGCAGTTTATCGTCGTCAGTTTGAAGGACGGAATGTTCCAGAACGCCAACCGCATCTTCCGAACAAGGTTCAGCGAAGGCACGAGTATGGTGCAGGCGCTAACACCGGCAGACCTCAAGTAGATGGAATGAGCGCGACGCAACTATAGACTGGGGAACAGCGGATGGGGCCTTTTTTTTTTCTATATCTCGGGCAAAGGGATGGCGGAGGCGTGGGTACGGTTGCGTTTTATTGTGTGTCATGACGGGGTATTGGGTGTGACGGATCATCTGCGCTGGATCTTGTTTTCTGGGACAAATTTTGCTTGAAATAATGACTGGCTACGGCACCTGTATAGTTACGCTTTTGAGTTACATGCGTTTTACGGAGCAATGAAGCTGAATTGTCTCTTTTCCTCTCGTACATACGCGCCAACAGGCGCGAGACCAACACCGTTGAAGTTACCATTGACATGCTTATATATCGACCGACCATTCGTACACACACATCTCCACTCTTTACACAACCTTTTCCCACATCTAAGTCCTAAGGAAGAAGTGCTCGCCTCGCTCTTGAACTTCAATTTCCATGCCAACCTCAAGCCAAGTCTCCAGAGCCACCCGTCTCGACTCTTCCGAGAAGAGAGGCGTGAGCATCATGCCCAAGCATCCGTTCTTGGGGCATCCATCATCGATGTTGCGATGCTTTCGGAGATAACGGTCAGGCTCTACGGGGTGGGGGATGCCGTTGGTGGGGTCTACATTAGGTAGTTTGCATCTATATCGGCACCGTTAGAAAAAAATGAACAGGATAAAGATACGAGGGGGGCTTGTTGATTCTTTACCTAGAGGTGCGGCATGAGACATGATAAGTGCAATCTGAGCTGACTGATGCCGTTCCCTGTGTGACGCGGAGGCTCTTCCAGCCATCCTCATCATAAGCCGGAGGCCCAGAGACTATGAAGACAAGGTTAGAAACCAGGATCATCTAGGTCGAGAGGGGGTGTCGGCAAGGAGAGAGACAACATACCAACAACATTGGGCCTGAATCTCCGCACGGTGAAATTCTTGAGAGTGGGATCGGCTATCTTCTCCTCCATGTCCTCGACACTAGCAAGATTGATGAGATGAATCGGGTACTTTGGCCGCCGTTAATTTCCTCAGTTCGAGATCACAAAGCCAGGTTGTTTTCGCACTTACGGAGTCCTGGAATCTTACCGAGGGTTGATACCCAGCCTCCTCCTCCTTGGGCGCATTTCGATAGACCTCCCTCAACGTATCCGGGCCCATCCTGAAAGCACCCAACCTCTCACTGACACCGAGATAGGTAGTGAGTTCGCGGGGGACCTCCGCCTCCATGTTCAAAGCCGTAACGACATCCCTCCACACCCTCACCTTCTCGTACCTATACCCCCTGCCGGCGATCTCGGCTTCGGAAGGCAGGTTAACCGGCAACAGGATCTCCTTCTCGGGGACGCCGCGCCAGCCTTTACCGAGCTTAGCAGCGATGTGGTCAAGGACGCCGAGCAAGCCCGGCCTGCTCCACGGGAAGCGCACAATCATGAAGGTCTCATCCGAGCCCCGCTCGGTAAGCTTGCCTCGGGTCTTAACGGCGTCGGGGCACCAAACATCGATGGCGACATTAGCCATTCGCGGGAATTGCCTTTGCGTGATGAAATCCCAAACAGGTTCCTCTCCGGCAGGCACGTCCTTTAGCCTCGCAAAGGTGTACAGCCTGTCATATTGCAGGCCCGAAGCGAATACTTTCGCCTTTGACAACTCGATCCCCTTGCACGACTTGATAGGGTAGATGAATAGGCTCTGGATTCTCGTCTTGGTAGTTGGTGAGGATCCGGTTGCCGGCTGCGTGTTCTTCTCCTCCGGTTTCGGTAGGTTGGAAGCTCCAGGCTCCAACCCCAGCTTTGTGTGAGTTTGAGAGAGTGCTTCGGAGATGCGGATGGGTACTGGCGGGAAGAGGATGACGACGGGCACCACGAAGCTGCAGAGGGTGAGGAGGAAGACAAGGGTGGTTTGGACGTCGAAGACCGCAACGGCCTCCTCCAGAGTGAAGTCGAACATGGTGGAATTGATAACTGAGTTGAGTTTTCTCTCAGCTCCGATGTTCCCGGTGATGAAACTCGATCTTAGACACCAAAAGTATACACGCGACCGCCCACAGTTGTGCCTTTATCAATCTCTCATGAGAAATTGTATGATTATAAAACTGGGACTCTTTTTTCTCTCCTGGAGAAGTCCAATTAAAAGAAGAGAAGCGAAAAAGCAGGAAAGAAGAGGAAGGGTGAATATCTAAAATTGAGAATTCACATTTGAGAATCCTCAAGCCGCCCGTTTCATCTAGCCTTTGAAACGAAACTTACCCCCTGGAATAGCCTCACCTCTCCCAAAACGTCCGTGTCGCCACCCTAAAATTCATGGTTGTAGCAACTGAAACCAACTGTAAACATCACGTGATCGAATATTGGCGTTGTGTTGGGATGAACTCTTCTATTCATGAACCCCGATCTCGGCTCCGAAACGGGCTCTCGCAAGTGCCGGGCCGTGGGTTTGAAGGGACACTTTTTATATAATTACCGGCACTAAGGAGACTCCTATACTTTGGGGACAGCACTGGCAGTGGGACTAAGAGTCACTGTCGGCATATTTTAAGACACAAGGGGTTATAAGGGCGTGTGTTTCTATTGATACTCCTAGAAGGTAGGAGGAGTCGACCTCATACGAAGCCATCTAGCTAGCTACATATATAATATTCCACCGTAGACCATAACATAAAAGAAACGAAATCCGAACAACTTGCCATTCTCCCAACTAAAACGCGGTAATAATTCGATCGACGATATCATGGACAGGGCTTCCCGGAAGAATCTTCTGCCCACCCAAGCAAAAACCGGACTCATTGTCGTAGTTGGCAACATTCTCGTGGGGATGGGCGTTGCAGTGTCTGCAGTGTTTGCACGTGCTTCGGCCATGTCGACAGATCGTGCTATGCTTGCAAGTCCTCGGGAGTTCATTGAAAATCGCTTTCCACTCAGTGATGACACTGAAGTCACTATCTCCGTCGGGCATGGGCATGCCATCAGGGAACATGATAGTTCCACGCTTCGCGTGGAGTTCGTACTCGGTCCATCCTGTCTGGTCCGCATCATCCTCGCTGTGGAGTTTGAGCCCGAATTTGCGCTGCAGACCTCGCTCAGAAACGAGAGTGCAGAACTCGGCTAGGAACGACTCAAAGCCCTTCATGTCGGGCACGTCGTACGTGCCATACTCATAGGCCTGGAGGGATCCATTGCCCTTGACGAAATAATGGATGCCCCGGAGTTGGCTGTCATTTGGGGGCACAATGGGCTTCATGATCTGCACGGCTCCGTATCCAGGGACAGGGATCTTTTCAAAAGCCATGACTTCCCCCTTGGTGGTGTCAAAGTGCTTGTGGATCAATCGAACACTGACGCCCTTGGGAACATTATGCTTGCTCAGCAGCTCGCGGAGGCCTTGGAGATCTTTGGAATGATCCTCGGGTGCCGTGGCAACTTGGCTGATTAAGGGCAGAGAGTTGTAGGTGCTGGAAAGCACGAAGGTATCGATCAGACAGGCCATTCTAAGACACCTGAGGGGGCAGTAGTTGTGGAATTGTAGTTCTGAAATCGTAGTTATGGGATTGTAATAATGGAATCAGTAGTTATGGAAGGGAAGCTGTTAGCTCAAGAGAAAAGAAAATGTTGATGGGATTTGGGTTGAAATTCACATCAAGAAGGAAGGGCAGCTATCTCGCCTTTTGTAGACCGAATCCGAAGCAGATGCCTATTCCGTCAAATCTCTAGTGAGTTCGGCTTTTCCATGATGGCCTGCTGGTCTCTTCCTGTCGGCCTGTTCGTCCTTCATGTTGGCTCTGTTAGCCCTGTTGGCCCTGTTGGCCCTGGTGGCCCTGGTGGCCATTCATGTTGGCCGGCTGACATTTTCATATTGGGTCGGTCATACGGTGCGGTCAGGCCAGCTCTATGGCAGGGTGATGCTCTGCTGAGTGTCGAAATTGATAAATAAAGTAAATAAAGAGAGCTGACGAGGGTTGGATAGGGTAGTAACAAGAATCGGTTGCCTAGAATTCCCTATCAACTACCTGTTTTTGCTCCTTGAGGCTCTCGAGTCTAACTGTTCCGTCCAAGCATTCACAGGCCCATTCATAACCGTGAAAGTAACATTGATGGTAATTAAGCATGTATAGTATCGAAGGCAAGATCGCTTGTGCAACTAGGATTAGAGTTCAAGAATTAATGCTTCCAAGCTAAAAAGCAGTTTGTGAGATATCGATCCTGCTGGTCAAAGACGATATATTAATATTCGATTTCTGGTCAATACCCCACAATTTTCACCCCGCCACGACTCAGCCATCACTTCGTACTAATGGCACATCATCATCATCCAAGAGAATGACATCAATGGCACAGCCCGGGGGCCTTGGCTGCAATTGTAAGCTGAGAGGCTTGGAGTGGAAACATCAATTGATCAATTAATTGTATTTAATGCGACCCGGCAGCGTCGATCAGCCGCACCCACAATGAACACCGGAAGAGAGACGCGAACAGGAACCATTCAAGCTCAACGTGATCCTAAACGTGCTGGCTGCTTGCTCAACTGGAAGGTGGAACCAGAACACTTCAAGACAACTTCGAGTTCTAAATCACATTGTTCGCCAGGAGGGGAAATAAAAGAACATTGCTACAATTAATGACGAGGATCTTTTCTGGTAATGCCGACTAATCGTAAAGGTAGTATCTAGGTCAAGATGCTTCCTCGATACAGTCCAACGCTTCAAGCTCAGACTTGGCCTGGCTAGGCCTTTGCTGGCTGTCCTGTCGTGGGGCTTATGGTAGGCATCGACGCCCCGCCCCTTTCCCTCCCAAATGCCCGATGTGTATAAAAGCTCCATCACATGCACTCGTTTCCTGGGCAGGCTGTGTGCCGTCCACGTTTCTAATCACACCTGATTTTAACTCCCCTCATCAGTTCAACATCGGCGATTTCACTCGAATGTTCGGTCCTCCTAACTTTCCATGCAACATTGATATTTCCATGCAGCTCCTGAGCTCACTCTTCCAGGAGCTGCCAACCTCCTCCTCCTCCTCCACCACCATTCGCACCACGCACTGGAGACCTTGTAATATCTAACACACCTTCGTGCCCGCTGGCGCTAAACCGGAATCCCCATACGACCTTGTTGACCTAGGAGAATCAAGTCTTCGCCGGAAATTGTGAACCACCTTCAGATTTCTTACTACTATTTACGACCGTCCTCACACCGCGAAGCGTGTTCCATTATCATGGAAAATCGCTTGCTAGGAAATCACCTGCTAGCCTCGCCGGCCTCCCGAACGAGCGACCAAGAAATCCTTGATAACATAGACGGCCGCATGCACGGCCCTATGGGCGGGTTTATCAAGAGATATTTCACCAATTTTCAATATGTCCACCAGGATGCTGCATTGGAAATTCACGCCGCCGGAAAGGTTGTTGGCCGTTGTGTTGTTCCAACAGCGGCCCCATCGCCCGGCAATTTCCTACAATGGTTTTCCAGCTATGTCTCGCGGGAGCTTGGCGGCGCTCGAGGCTCGTGGCATATATCCGGAGACCGTGGTGCACCTAAGCATGGGGGTCCTGACAACGGTGCACGTCTCCTCTTGACCGTGCCTGCTTCGCCGCCCTCCAACGTACAGATGAGGTGGGACGACGTCCAGGTTATTGGCCAGTTCTACCCTCGCCGTCACGTTCATTATCAGGATGGACTATTGCGCCTCTGCCGGTCCGCACACGAGGTCTTCGCTAGCCAGCCTACGCGGCTCTTCTTGCATGGCTTCTACATACGTGGTCCACTCATCGAACTTTGGGTCTTTGATCGATCCGGCTTATATTGCAGCGAAGTCTTGGATATTGAGAAAGACTTCATCCAATTTCTATCAATCATCCTCAGCTACCAGCGAATGACGGACCAGGATCTGGGGAAAACCAACATCATTGAGACTGATGAGGGCGGCAGCTACCTTATCCCTGATACTGCGGTGATACCCTCTTTGGGCAAGCTCTATCTCGAAAGCCAAGCAATTACGTCTCGCGAAGGCCTTGTTGGCACCGGGACTGTTTGCTACCGGGCTAGGTTGCCTGGCTCGAATCGGTGGGATTACGTCTTGAAGTTCAAATGGCGCTGGGCCAGGGAGCGTCCGGAGGATGAACTTCTGAAGCTGGCCAAGAAGAAATGCGTCTGGGGTGCCGTCTCAGTCGATTATTACAAAGAAGTTGAGAGTACGGCAAATCTACGACGAGGCATGCGGTGGGGGACACACAGAAAATTCGCCAAGATGGACTCTCCTGAGAAACCTGGACGTGTCGAAGAGCTGCGACAAAACGGGTCTGGGGATGCCGGCGGACTTGCCGACTATACACAAGAAACCGACAGCTACTTTCAAAACCGGATTCTTGCATGCATCGTTACGTCCCCTCTCGGCAGACCGCTTCACACCTTTAAGTCTTTGCTAGAGTTGCTTCAAGTGTTTCGTGATGCTATCAAGTGTCACCGGTCACTCTATGATGACGCCAAGATTCTTCACCAAGATATATCCTCGGGGAACATGATCATTCTGGATAACGAAGATGAAAGAAAGCCAAAGGGGATCCTGATAGATCTCGATTCCGCAATAGAGCTCGACGAGGGGTTAGAAACAGAGCATGGAATTGTTGGCACCAGACCATTCATGGCGATTGGCGTTCTGAAAGGTGGATGCCATACTTATCGACACGACCTGGAGTCCTTCCTTTACGTTTTCCTGTGGACCATAATCACGAATCATACGGAGAAGCTCCCGGAAAAAAGTAAACTTCGACAGTGGAGTGATGGCGACTGGGACGAATTAGCGACACGCAAGTCTCTTGACATGGATCAGAGCGGCTTCCAGGGTATTTTGGAGGAATTTCCTCCTGAATTCCACCCCCTTAAGCCTCTCGCCGAAAGTCTACGTCAAATTCTATTCCCAGTACGGGATGGGATAATTTGGACAGGGACGGACGACTCGCTCGAGGCCGCAGACAGGCTCTACGACGGAATGATCCAGATGTTCGAAGAGGCCATTGCTTCCCAGAGCCGAAGATAGCTATAATAAACTGGAGAAAGTGTTTCTCGGCCCTTCGACTTGATAATGACTTGGCTGTTGAACAAATCTCCTCCCTTAGGTGTAGTCATTAGCTTGATTTACGAATGTGCTGACGTGGTAAGGTATTGATTTTCTTTACGACGAGCTTCGAGTAATATGAAGTAGATACCAGCACGTTTGGTTTTGGTCAACATTGCATTCTGGCCGGTTCCTTTTCGTGAATGCTGTATACGCCATCGAAGAGCTTGGCCGGCTTTAACCAAATATTACGCCTCGTTGTAAGATGGCCCTTCGTCCCATCATCCTCACTAAGACGGATGAAGTAGACCGAGGCTTTCTTCATCAAAATTTTCATTTAAAAAAATAATGGTAATAAAAAAAATTTAAACCGTGATGGCAAAAATTGCATACTGAAAAAATCCGCGGAAATCACGCCGATCCGCAGGTGGGATATATAACAGCGGCAATTATATGGGGGTGCGAACGTATGTAGTGTAGTGTAGTAGCATCCCCTAAAGGCACAGTAACTACGAAGGAGACCGACCCTATTTCTGGACAACGACGTCGTGTCCAACCTCGCAGAGTGCTACCCACAGGGACCCGTTCGTCACCTCGCCCCGGTTCAAAGTGGAAACAAAACCGCGACCATTGGCTTGGGAGAGAAGTTTGCTCGCCCACTAGGGTCTCTGTTTCCACAACAATCCATCCATAGCGCACAGTTGTCCTACTTCGTACAGTCGGAGATAGGATGAAACGCTGAAGTTCTCTGTTATAGGCTGGGAACCCAACGATAGGCCCGAGAAGAACCAAGGTTTCCACGAGCAAGCCAGACCGGAGTAGGAAAGGGCGAGGCAATAATTAATCTCACACGATGTTCCATCGTCCACCTGCTCCGCCGGAAGAGAGGATGAGTGTGTGAGGGAGAAATTAGTCGGCGAGGTGGAGGGAAAATGGAAGAAGTTTTCACTTATTCTACCCGTATTGTTTTGGAACCTGCGGAGTCAAGATCGACGCCAACCAAGGCGGGTCCTCCCATAATCACGGAAAATTGTTCAGGGATGAGAAAATCCTAGATTAATCGACACCCACAGCGCCCCTAATACCTTTGTGTCGGACTGTGGGTTCCTACCGACGGCCCGCGTGGCGTTCAAAGAAGATTCGACCTAAGCAAGGCGCTCATTTCCCACTCTTCATGGGAAAAAAAACATCAAATGAGTCGCGGCGCTAGTGGCGTTCAACTATGACAAGGGAGCCAAGTGAAGATCCTGGTTGAGTGTTGAGCTTGGCGGCAAACCCTAGTCGAAGTGGTAAGTGGCGCTCAGATGGGTTTCTCTCCTGCGTCCGTACGGAGTACGAAGTAAACTGGAGTCGTAGACCTCCCAGGTTGTAGCCTGGAGTTGGCCAATGCAATGTCAAGACAGATGGCGAGCTCTCACCTTGGTGAGACAGCTACTTCGTATCTTTAGATGTCTGAGTACCCTGACCTTGACCCAAACCCAAACTGCCCCAGGCAAGGCGGTTCCCACTCGATAGCCTCGCCGTTATAAGGTCATACTCAACCGTGTCGTGGCTCTTCCAAGGACCCAAAATGCTATATTATAGAGCAAGACCCTGAACATTAATTACTCCTCGTCCCACTTGGACACCAGACAGGGGATCAGAAGAAAAAAAAATATTCAGACCCAAATCCTGCAGTCAAGACAAGCTTTCATGCCTCTCTGGGCAATGATCGACTTCTGCATTGCAGGATGAAAACCTATCCCCGACAAGGGATGGTTGATTTCTCTATTTTTACACACTTGAGAAGAGGCTGGACGGGGATACCGGAGATGATAATTTAGTGCCTGGCTACTCGATACGCGTACGGAGTACTCTGGGTTGTTACTTACTTCGGTCCTCGTACTACTAAGACTGGAAGGACTGAGGTGTGAAGAAAAGGATCCAATATCCAATATCCCTTTCCGCTCAGTCTCCACGTTATTCCACAGGTCGGTGGGATGGGACCTGGGCCGGCGGCAGGACGAACCTCGGGATCCAGGGCTGGGGTGACCTGGCCAAGCAGCCCTATAATGCTCGTCGTACGACCAACTGTCCCATTGGAAAGGTACTTCGTACCTGTCATTCTTTCGGGGTTGCATTGAACTGGAGCACAGCATTCCGGTGCAGGCAGGGATGAACTGTTGCCAGAGGTAGTATTGCAAGATTGGAGGTCCTCGAATTGCTGTGCTGTATTTATCAAACTAGCTAGCCAGGCTAGTGGTGGTAGTGATGGCGGTGATGGTGGTACAATCGTCAATGTCTTGCTTCAATCACCATCTCAAGGAATCGAGGAAGGAGCGTTCTATTTGATTAGGGGAGCTACCTTCATCATGTGCTAAGTTCCAAATTCCCTGCGTATTTGCCAGAGAGACGCACGAGCAACCACGCGGCAAGGCAAGTCCAAATAATGGATGGCATCGCCATGGGACACCATAACGCCTTGAATTCGCTGCTTGTTCACCCGCAGCCCACACTCTTGGATCTTGGAGGCCACGCCCTGCCATACTTTTATTAGATGAGGGCTTAGCTCCAGATCCCATGTACCACGCCAAGTGATAGATGCACATCCTCTGACTGTCTGGTATATGAATGCACAGGCATTCCCTCGAGTGCCGTTCCAGATCTGCAAAGTATGCAATCGGGGCATCTGAAGTGCAGCATCACCAGCTCTACATAGCATCGTATGGATCGTCTGGCGGCTTGTCGTACACCGTAGGAGCTGCGACGTCAGCGAAAGAGACTGGAGGCTATGCCATCTCCAGGTTGGCAAGCAAGCCTGGAAGAAATCCTCGGCGTTGACCATGTAGGAGACAGAAAGCTGCTCGAGATTGAGGCTTCGAAGAGCAAACGCGGCGCCGACTCTGGGGTCTACGATGCGGGAGGTGGTCACTTCATCCAGCCAGGGTGGCCGGCCATTGTTCAGTGCTACCGCGAGATCGTCGTTGAAATCTTCAAAAACTGACAATGTCTTGAGCGTTTTGGGAAGACTTTCTCGCACCAATTGTCTGAAATCTGCAGCTCAGATGTTAATATTAGAAATAGGGGTGCCTTGGGGATGGGGATCGAACGTTTGTCAAGTAGATCTCTCCGCCAGCTTTGCCATGGACGCCATGGCTCATAGACTATGTGCTCTAAACGGCAAAGCTTGTCCAATATGGGGAGAAATGCCCAAGAGCAAAGCCGACGACGGAGCTGTCGACGTATGATGAAGCATGAGACTACGTTAACCTCAGGAAGTCCTTTTCGGAAGCGCGGGTCGATCTGGCTAAAGAGCCGCAACACAGCATCGTGAGGGGGAGTCCTAGCTCTTTGGCCTTTGATCCAGCCATGCTTTGGGTCATGCCACCCGGAGCCATATTCCTGCAATGAAGTTGTGTCTTCGTTACCCTCGTCACCCGAGGCGAAGTGATAGTCCTTGAACCAGTGGTCAGAGTCGCTGGGAGAATACGCGTTAAGCTCTAACGTCAAGCCCGTCGACGACTTCCAGGTGCTGAGAACGGTGAATAGTTTCCACACTCCTTTGCTGACGATGGCGCTATTCCGAGATTCCCAGGACTCTGACTCCTCTCTTTTGCAAGATCGGCAGGTGTATCTTGCCAGCTCAATATTGAACGAAATATGGCGAACGAGGTCCCTCTGGCGAACGACCATACATTCAAGGTCATCCAGGCAAGAGACCTTCAACTGCAGCGTATGGAAGTTTTTCGCCTCTATGAAAATCTGCCATTCTTTACAGACAGATGCTAAAGAAGCCCAGCCAGGATTTATCTGGTGTCTGACTGCCTCTAAAATCATAAGGCGAATCTCCGCAGGTAGAGACATCCAGCACCTCTGTTTTGTTTCTATCGAGTCGTGAGGTATCACTCCATCACATCGAGCACCGCTGCAACTGTCTGCCATGATGACGAAATTTGACAGGGAGGATGGTATTTCGACCTGGGAAGTGTGCTTTATCAGCTATGTGTACCAATGTAGTGGTAGGGTAGGGGGTCTGCCCACTTACAGACGGTATCACGGCGATTTCGACAGAGTGTATCTCTCCTTTCCGATGCAGACAGTTGTCGTGCTCAACGCATCATAAACGGCCGCAAGCTGCAGAGCCGGAAATCATCTCATGACCTATGCCAGCCTTGAGTACTATCTGGGTTTCACATGCCCATCCTATGCCAGAGGTGCTGATAGAGTTCTGAGGGTTTGGGCACTAAAGGGACCAGCCTCTGAGGCTATTCATGTGCCGTGCTGTAAACAAGAATTTCGGAAAAAGTATTATTACATATAAACTACTCCTTGCTTTACAACCTTCTTCCCTTTCTATGATATTAGTTCTCGAGAAGTATGAAGTAGACATGGTGTCAGTTGTGAAGAATCAATGAGAGGACTTCTCGCACAGGACCTTAGATGTGTTGTTGCGCAGTGAAGATGTCACAAAATGATCAAGATTACTTCGTAAATCCCATCGAAATCTCCACCTATTGTCGCAATGGTGCCGCCATTTGACCCAGTACACCGCCTTCAGTATTGACGCGGTAATTACTAGGTAGCAACCTCCGAAGTAAGATCCACAACCCGCCCCATGCGTTCCTGATCACCGTTGTAGTGCAGCTCTCGGTCGGGATGGAGGCGGGATGGAGGCTTCGAGCACTTGACCAAGTGTGCTCACCGGCATGCAGCGCACGTCTGTCAGTGTCCTCCGCCCGCAGACAAGGGAGCTGAAGATTTGCTGTTGGTCCAGAATGAGAGGGGGGTGGCTAATATTGGGGCCATGAGCCGCATCAACCGTTGCTTTTCCCAACTGGGAGAAGAAAAAGAAGGCAGAAATAGAGAATCGGAATAGGGGGTAAGATTGCGCCGTCTAGCTTGTTTATTTTATTTATGTCTACTTCGTACTTCGTAGTTCAATTAGCAGACATTGATGTATCTGCATGTCGACATGACAGGTGGTACGCTATATGCCGTGTCAC